GTGACGACATTGGATGCTGCACCATCATGCTGCTCCTGCCCGGCTCATACTCGCTTTCGGGTGCCCCCTCGCACGCAGAACTAAGCTGAGAGGGCTGTCTACGTCCAGCAAGCGCGAAGAGCAGAAGTCTATCGGTCGGATCGAGCTTGTCCCTCAATCAAAGGCAAGAGATGATGATGGCGACTTTTATGCGGAATGGCACCGTGAGATGCTCGCTGCTGGCTACACGACGCCATCAGAGCGCTGGAGACCGTCCGTGACATCGCCCGTCCTGTTTGCGACGGGTCTCTCCGCCATCTCGCTCGGTTTAGCGGCCTATCTGACCAACCGAGATGAAGAGCATTACAAGCACAAGATCGATGGCACTCGCTTCAGAAGCTGGCTCAGAACACAGTCAGACAGTCACGCACTGGCTGGCGAGTGTGCTGCGTTGGCGCGAGCACGTGAACAGGACAGACTCGCTCGGCTGCGCGCCTGGTACTCGACGCTCAACCGTGACAGCAAGGAGGCAGTGGCGCCTTTGCTCAATAGATGGAACAGGATGACAGAGGGTCAGCGTACTGTTGCAGGCGTNATTGGCGTCTACGTAGGAGTCTACGGCCTCGCTTGGGTTCTCAAGCCAAAGACATTCTTTCGNNTGTTCACTCACTATGCGCCCACGGCTCGATTGTACCCGCTCTTTACATCGAGCATCGCCCACTTCAATCTGCTTCACCTCGGCGCCAATGCTTACGCTCTATACACATTCAGTGGAGCCATGTACCACCACATGGGCAAAGCCAGCCGGCTGACAAGAGAAAGTGGCGCTCGCGATGGCGGCCAGCCAGCTCAGGCAGAGTCGACGACACGCTACCACTTCTTGGCGTTCATGGTCTGCGGTGGTGTCATGTCATCACTCGGGTCGCACCTTTGGGATTCTCGCATTGCTTACAACGCGGTAAGGCGGGCACTCAGAGATGGCATACGCGCGACGCCCAAGCTGTTCTGGCGCGTTCGACCTGGCTTGGGCGCATCGGGTGCAGTATGGTCAGTCGTCTCTTATACCGCCCTCAGTACACCCGACGCTCGGCTCGGCATCATCTTCTTACCTGGAATTGATTTTCCCATTGGCGCGGCTGCTGCTTGCTTGGTCGGTCACTTGCCTGACTCATGTGCGTGTCACTGACGAGTGAGCAGTTTGGTATCGATGTGCTTGGTATGCTCCTCGGCTGGTCCCGCTTCGGCCATGCAGCCCATGCGACGGGCGCACTGTTTGGCGTCTTCTGGTTCTACGAAGGCGGTAAGCCAGCACATGTCTTGCATGCTACAATGCTGATCACAGANNATAGGCTACATCTTCGACAGCATCAGAGCAAAGGTCAGGCAGCTCTCAGAGGCAATCGCATAGAGCGTAAGAGGNCAAAGTGTCCATGCAATCAAATGTCCATCAAGCAGCAAAGGCAAGAGCTNCGAGCGGCTNAGTAGACACCAGCTGCGCCGTTGATGCCAGTGCCGGCGGAGCTACCGAGACCGTTTGCGACTGTCTGACCGGCCTCACCACCTTGNGCGCCTGCGAGATGACCGCCTGCATTCGCGCCATTGCTGCTGTCGAGGTGGCCCTTGTCGCTCGAGGACTGACCGGCCTTGCCTGCAACGTGCGAGCCTTGACCTTGCGAAGCCGAGCCGCCCGAGGCACCGCCGAACTTGGCGCTGCCGTCCGCATGGCTACCTTGGGATTGGTGAAGATCACCAGCAGCATTGTGCGAGTCAGATGTGGAGATANTCTGGCTGGACTTGTCGCTGTTCTTTGCGAAGCCGCCGATATCGGAGTTGCTGGATTGGCCACCCTGGACAGAGCCGAAGCCGTTGCCGTAGGCATTGTTGGCGCCAAAGATGTTGCTTCCCTGGTTGAGGCTGCCGTAGCCGGCGTTGTTGATGGCCTGGCCATAGCCGAGGTTGTTGTAGGCGTTGTTGTAGAGNGCACCNTTGCCAGCGCCGTATCCATCTGCTAGTCCATAGCTCGAGCCTGCTCGCGTGATGCTCTGTTAAGTTTCACTGGGCAGACGAGCGCCTCACTGACCATAGCCCGCACCGTAGCCACCGAGACCGGTAGANCCGGCACCGTAGCTCTGCGTCGGCAGGAAGGCGCCGTAGAACTGGGGCGCGGCGGACGCAGAGGCCACGATGGCGAGCATGACGAATGAAGCACCGATCATATTGCAAGTGATAGACTCTGAAGTGGTAGTACTGGTGAGACTGTTGATGCGATGGAGGTGAAGCTGACTGATGGATTGAATGGCTGGCCCGGCATGATTTATAGCTGACGATCAGCCGATTCGGATCATGGGTCTGCAGCGCGCCGCTATGCAGGGCGCACAAGGCCGAACCGAAAACGAATCTTAGGGCGCACGGTTGGCGAGCACAGACCCACAGCATGCCAGTTTGCGACAAGCAGGTGGTCTGTTCGCTCGGCACGAGACATGCACGGAGCGAGTCTTATATGCGGTGCGAATCTCTGCGCTGGGTCAGCAGATCATCAAATGCTGGTGTCGACATGTGCCTTGATGATCGTACAAGACGAGCATTGCGTCACCTTCAAGCGCCACGAGTCCTGGCCAAGTTGTTTGAGGCGGACAGATCAGCGTAGGCCTCGACTGCCATTGCAATTTTGGTAAAGATTTGCTGGACGTGATGATCAGACGAGCGACGATAATCTTGAGTGAAGCGCCTTCGAACCAGCAGCGCCTCTTGGTATCCTCATCGGTCATAAAGGCAACCGCTATTGCAGGTTCGGTGATGGCAGCCCTGCCGTTAGCAAGTCGATCAATCCATCTTGCCATGCCCTTCTTGCTCTTCACATCGCCATCGTTAGATTCGGCGAACTGGCCGTGAGGCAGCCCAAGGGCAAATGGCGCGCCTGCGTTGTGGCCGTCGGCAGGCGAATAGATGGTCTGGCAATCTGACCACGTTTGGCCGTCGTCAGTCGATCTGAGTGTCTGAATCACGAAATGGCCCTCGCGCATGTTCTCGATGGTCATGACGAGCATCTTTGCCCCTTTGGCCAGTGTGACTTCGGCAATAGAAGGCATACCCATTCTCTCGTCCTTGAGCGGTCTGTAGATCTCGATTGGCGCCGACCAAGTCTTGCCGTGATCTCGGGAGATCTTGCGGACTATAGTCTGCATGCTCGGCGACTGCTCGTCTGCATAGTAGAGTTGTATATGTCCTGACCGATCGAGTCGGGCGAAGGGTTCCCAGAGCCCGCCGGTGCGCTCAGTCTTAGGCCCAATCGCCTGCTCTCCTAAGCGAGCGATAGGATGAGCAGGCCAAGGAGCATGCGCAGGTCGGCAAGCAGGCTCAGACAAGAATCGCCACGACTGACCGCCGTCCTCGGAATGACAGCAAGTGATACGGTAGCATTCAAAGCCATCGGTCTTGCGTGAGTGATTGCGGAAGAAGCAAAGCAGACGTTTGCCGTCCTCAGGCGAAGTCGTGGCAGGACTGGCCGTCATGAGCAAGATGGCGTTGTCGAGATCGTTTGCTCGGGTCTGGTCGACCATGCCGATTGGACGGAAGCCAGACTGGACGACACTGTTGAGGTTCGACATGCCAATGACAATTTTCTGGCATGATGGAGAGAACTCAGTGTAAGCGACAAGAAGACTAGATCCAATCCTGATGGCGCGGGGGTATGTCGTTGCAGGTTGGTGGCCCTCTGCGCTGGCTGCAAGCAGGTGGCATGGCTGGCTGGTGATGGTCAGACGCTTCATTGTTCAACAGTATGAGTTACGCTTGCGCCGATGCATCGATGCATTGACTCGGGCCTCAGGACGTTCGATGCATGCAAAACGCGTCTGTTGAGCGTGTCAGCCACAAGTTCGTAGCTCTCACAGCCGCGGACTACGCGCCAGACCTGAGCAGGAGGCAAAAGCTCAAGGAAATGAGAATTGAAGGACTGGCCGACTCGCAGTCGAGAGGCGCCAATGCGAGTCTCTCGAAGGCTCACCGAAGCCTGAAAGATATGTTGGCAAATATGCAATTCAAATTTGACTTCTCGGTAGATTGAGGAATACAGCCTTGAGACCTTGCGTGAGTTCATGACAATGACAGTTGTGTCAGCCTAAGGAGCAGGCGCATTGAGGTTGACCTGGACCGTTTTGACGTTGCGGTAGTTCTTGAGTGCTTCCTGACCAAGCTCTCTGCCGATGCCAGACTGCTTGAAACCTCCGAAAGGTGCGCCAGCGTACAGCGTGTTGACGCAATTGACCCAGACTGTGCCTGCCTGAAGACGATGTGCAGTCGTGATGGCCTGGGAGATGTCGCGAGTAAAGATGGCGGCGGCGAGTCCGTAGACGCTGTCGTTCGCAATCTTGATGACGTCTTCGGTGTCGGTGAACTTTTGTAGCACGAGAACAGGTCCGAAGATCTCCTCGCGTGCGATGCGAGAGTCGTTTGGAACGTTGGTGAAGATGGTAGGTTCGATGAAGTGGCCCTCGCCGGCACTGCTGTGCTTGTTTCCGCCGGTGTGGAGCGTGGATGTTTGCTTGCCGGACTCGATGTGCTCCATGATTCGGTCGAACTGAACCTTTGAGACTTGAGGTCCCTGGAACGAGTCGGCCGTGAACGCGTCGCCACTGTAGAAGTTCTTCAGCTTTTGCCACCTTCATAATGGCAGGCCACGTACACTTTGATGCTCTTGACGTGGTCAGTCAGAGCAGCGAGTACCTTATCATAGATGCCTGACTGGACGTAGACACGCGAACCGGCGCAGCAGGTTTGACCAGCGTTGAAGGTGAAGCCGAATGCTGCCCAACGGACGGCTTGTTCGACATCTGCGTCGTTGAAGATGATATTGGCGCTCTTGCCACCGAGCTCGAGCGTGACCTTCTTGAGGTTGGAGGATGCTGCAGCTTTCATAATGGTTCGGCCGACGAGCGTCGAGCCTGTAAAGGCAATCTTTTCAATGTCGGGATGCGAGGCGAGCGCAGCGCCGGCGACGTTGCCGAGACCGGTCAGGATGTTGACTACACCGGGAGGGAAGATGTCCTTGATGAGCATAGCGACTCGGATGGCAGACAAAGGGGTCTGCTCGGCCGTCTTGAGAACGACCGTACAGCCTGTGGCGAGTGCAGGTCCGAGTTTCCAGGACAACATCTGCGGACGAGCGTGAGGAAAGCACCATACGGTTCGCATGGAGCACGTACGAGCAAGGGGAAGTTCCATGGGATGATCTAGCAATCAAATTCGGTTAGCTGAATGACACGAGAACAAATAGGGGCTCACCTGTCCGACCACCCCAATTGGCTCATTCCTCGTGTAGATGAGTGTGCTCTCATTATCGGTCTCGACGACCGTACCACTGTCCTTGTCTGCCCAGCCGGCATAATATCTGAAGACCTGAGCGGCCTTGGCGACATCGATACCCTTTGCCATCCAGAATGGCTTCCCGTTGTCCAGCGATTCAATGGCGGCGATCTCATCTTGATGGGCATCGATGGCGTCTGCGAGCTTCATGAGGAGGCGACCACGTTCGTCGCCTGCCATCTTGTAGCCATACACGGTCTCAAAGGCCTTCTTGGCAGCCTTGATGGCGGCATCGACATCCTTTGGACCAGCGCATGCGACTTTGCCAATGACCTTGCCTTTTGCCCACTTTTGTCAGCGTCAGTACACAGTAAACATAGAGCCGGCTAACCTGTGCTCGGGTTTTCAACGTCTAGCGTCTTGCCATCAAGGGCAGGTACGAATTTGTTGTCGATGAGGAGCCCGCTGGGGATCGTGGCCGTCTTACCGTCTCCGAATGTGAGATTGAGCTCAGACATGTTCGCAAAGTATAGTCAGGGGATGCGAGTGAGTGAGGCAAAGTGTAGTCAGCTGCCAAGTCGCTCCCAACATATATATCCGAGTGCAGCCGGAACTTTGCGGGGTTGACCTCTTAGCCGAAGTCAAATGACCTGCGCGTACAGACAAGACACGTTATTCGTGCACGTGCTCAGTCAGCGCCTCCGTGCACGGCCAGATCTGCTTCGATCTTTCTATCGATCCTAACTCAAGCAATGATCTTGTCCTGACCCCCCTTTCGTCAGCAACTCGCCAAGATGTTCAAGCGGTTATCGCAGCTCAGCCTCAATGACTCGCGACCGCCCTTGAACTCGCCATACCTGCAACCAGCGCAATCTCGCTCTGCAGACTTTTACGCTTCATCACTGACCAGGCACGTGGACTGCTTCAGCTCACCAGCCACATACGATGGCTATTTCCCACTCCAAGCTTCGTCAGCATCTTCACAGCCGCCTCCGTTGACGAACAGGTCGCGTCGTAATTCGTCAGTTGTCGGAGTTCCTGCGCAGTCGACGGATCGTGCCGATCTGCAGCAGACATTGCTCGCCACGGAAAATGTACGGCACGCAATGCGAGAGTATGCTGTCCTGCTATCTCAAGTGACTCGCGCAGAAGCAGCTATATCAAAATCGTTGCGCCGTCTGGCCGATACGATCGACAAGGACAACTCTCCCGCGCCGACTGAGGCGCTTCTGAGCGTGGCCAAGCTGTATGAAGGCCTGAGCGAGGTAGATACGCGTGCCTCGAAGCGTACAACTGCAGAACTGCGGTCAATGGATGATATCTGCGACGGTTTATATAAGGACATCACGGTAAGCTCTGCTACGCCGAAGAAGCCATCTGTGCCAACCCTATTGAGATCCGTAGAAATCGGACAAGGCGCATACGAGCAATCTCGAGCAGCTCAACGACCGAGCGCGCGCGAACCAGGTCTCATATGATCGTTCCATGCGATCCGCTTCTGGCAATACACACCCATCTCAATCTAGCATGCCAAGCCATGAGCTCGTCTCTTCGCATGCTTCTGCTCACCAGCGCTATATCCAAAACCTCACACAAATCGATCAAGCCTTTACGTTCTGTCGCGATGGCCATGGACAGCAGCTCAGTCGTCGCAAGAGCAGTCTCGCACGACAGATAGCCAAAGGCTCGTGCGCAATGGCTTCGCTAGATTGGTCAAGAATGCTAGACGAGACTGCCCTTGCCGCTGATGAGATTGGAAGGATCGCTAGACTGGGCAGCGTCTGCCAAGCTCGTGATCTGCCAGAGGTTCCCTTGCTCGAACGACCGCCCACTATGGAACGCAGCAATTCAGACTTGAAGCCGGCGAGTACGACTTCGACTGACGAATTCCAGACTGTTTCTAGTGGATCAAGTGTGGACGCTCTGATGTGAGTCATGACAAGTAATTGCATTTTGTACCACTGGCTACGCCTGACACATTCGCGTGACTCGAAGGTCTTTGCGAGCGAGTTCTAGCTTTAGAGCGCATTGATAAACCCCAGAACGAGAAGAACGCCGAGTACGCAGGCAGTGGGGACGATGACTGCGCCACGACCTGACCATCTTGTGGTGCTCATGTCGCTCGTCTGGCCAGAGATGATGGGAGTATGCGTGACGGTTGCGCTCGTGATGCTAGCCAAGGTCATTGCGGTACTGGTCGACGAGGCACTGTCTGACGTCAGGGTCGTGACGGCTGCCAAGGCTTGGGCGTGACGGGCGCGTTTAGCAAAGTCGAAAGGGTCTGTCTGGGGATCGGAAACATTGCTGTTGATCGAGAAGACGGCTCCTTGCTGACACGTGTTGCCATTGGTGGAAGCAAACCTGGCCGTGACGATGTTGTAGCCTGACTTGTGAGCATGACAGAGAGTGACGCACCAATAGGGTTGCATGTTGGGAATGATGATCGTGTAATTGTGAGCGTTCTGGGCTCCAAAGAGGGTAGTATTGTGTACGCCTGAATCCCAGCCGGTCACGGATGTGCAGGGCTGATCGAAACTCGTCTGAGTGACTGAGTACTCCGCCGACTGGAAGCCTGATGCGAGCGAGCGCGAGATCTCTTCTGAAGCAGGAGCCCAAGTGAAGACGACTGTATCACCGACCTGAGGCAAGATGCGCGAACTGATTGATCGATCATTTCTGGTTAGCGTGTGATAGGTAGGGAGAATAAGCAAGCTGACGGGTCGAAACCTGTGCCGGGCATGCCTGTCGTCTCATCGATACCAACGGCGACGGTGTACGTTGATCCGGCGCATGCGAGTGTGGCAAAGGCGAGCAAGGCTGCTGAGGAGGCGAACATGTCGAGGATCGTCTAAACGGTCAGTCGAAGCCAAAGTGCCGATCCGTGAAGACATGCTCAGCGGGAATCCAGTGTCCGAGAGCAGGGGGCGAGGAGGGTGTCGTCGGCGCGAGAGTAAGCCGGTCGCAGTGGTGCGCGAGCCTGGCGCCGGTCGATAAGTCGCGCGTCTCTGCGGAACGACACCCGTAGGCGCCACAGCCAGAGCACAGAGGCGCAGCATCAAGCCACAACTGTATCTCTCTGCCCCGCATCAGGCATAGCGACCACGGACAGGCTTGCATGCGCTAGGATACGAGACAGAGCAGCGACGAACAAACACTGCGCGCGAGGCGGTAGACCTGATAGACCCGACTGCTCGCCAGACGACAAGAGATGGCAGGGACGCTACTGCATCTAGCACGACAGAGGCTGCTCTAGATGGTGGCAGTCGGCATTCCTTGACAGGACAGGGGACGATGGACGAGGCACAGCTGACCAGAGCTGGCACCGTCCCGACTGCGCAGTCGGACGGTGCCCAACTCGAGGAAGAGCTCGTGGCTGCGATGACGAGCGAAGTCTATCGGGGTTCAGAGCAGATGGAGACGTCCGATGGTCTCATGACGCCAAACTCGGAGCCACGGGAACTGCTTCAACTGCCAAAGGCCAAAGCGTCTCTGCTCAGACGCTTTTCCGAGACCGCACTCCACTTGTCCTTCATCAAGTCTGCCGCTCCCGATCAATCGGCCACGACAGTCCGGCAGGACGATCTCAGGGCCAAACCTCGCGCACAAGCCCTCGTCGGCCTCGGTCTGCCACGCATGCTCAGTCCAGACTCGGCCAAGGAGAGCAGGACGCCCGGCAAGAGACCAAGCTCGCGACGTGCGATGACTGATCTCCGGCGCGCAAAGTCCTTTGATGTTGCGTCCGCGCTCTCTCCGCTCGTCGTTGCTGCGCCTCTGAACAAGCACGAGATCTTGCCCGACGATGTGCTCCACCATCTCGCCCAGAGTCCGCCACCCAAGCCAGTGCTAGGTCTGCCTGTGCCAGCCGACAAGGACGCGCCGGGTAAGAAGCAAGCACGCAAGAGCATGTTCCGCGCAAGTAGCCTTTTCAGTAGCTGGGGCAGCAGAGCGAGCAAGTCTGCTACAACGAGTCCGATGCCCTCCCCGAGCGCGGTAGAGCCGCCATCGATGACAAGTAGTCCGGGACCCTGTAATCATCCATCATTTGAAGACGCAAGGTTAGGTAGTCCAGCGCCGCAGAGTCCTAGCACAGTCGGCACTCATAGGCTGCCTCCCCTCGAAGAAGGGCTCGGCAGACTCTCAATTTCGTCCAAGCTGCCTTTTGATGGCGCCGCCACCACCACCACCGTGCCGATCGCAATCAAGCGCAATCAAAGCGAAGAGGGCCTCGAATGGACACAATCACCTCATCCGAACGCGCTGATCTACTCCGATTCCTCAGCGCGCACGTCTTCCGATGTTGCGCCTTCGGCTCGCTTTTCGCGCGAGTCTGGCTATGCAACAATGGACTCATCGAGTGGGCCCCTCGACAGCTCGCCAATGCAAAAGAGACGCAATATCTCTCTTCCTTATCGAAAGCGGTCGAGCACGTTGGGGTCCGTCATGACCTCAGTCGACGATGGCGAGAGTGAAGATGACAAAGACGAAGAAGACGAGCCGGACTATCCTCAAGAACGACCGGACGCTCGTCAGCAATCGCGCACAGATAGCCACGAGGCCAATTATCCCTCTGAAGCGGATATACGTCAAGCAGGCGTCCTCTCCTTCGATCTGCCTGCGAAGCCAAGATCTTACAGGGGCAGTATGTATGCCGTGTCACCCTCTCGCAGGAGCAGTGGCGCGCTGCAAGATAGTCCATCGCTTGGCCAAAACATGCTCGACGCGTTCGCCAAGAAATCAAAATCTGCCCTTGATCTGACAATGCGACGGCAAATCTCAGGCGGGTCATCCGGCTCTGGCAGGGCAAGAGATGTGCAAGTCAATCCCTGGTCGGCCTCACGCCCTCCTGCAGCACGGTCAGAGTCTGCGACCCGCAAGAGCGCGGCTAGTTTGACCTTTGGTCGGCCCCCTTCCTACGCGCCACCGGTAGACCGCGAAGAAGTCGTCACATCGTCGCTTGATGTGAGGCCGCGGTCTGCATCTGGCAGCTTCACTGCCCGATCAGCATCGCTCAATGCGGCTCAAAAGCTACAGATACCACAAGGGGTAGACACTCGACGGGTGTCGGTGCCTGTCCTATCGCAACTTTCGTCTGCAAGCAGCTCATCAGAATCGTTCAAGACACGCATCGGACGATCTGCGAGCGCATCGCTTGGCTCGCCTACCAAGCGAGGTTCGCCTGCAAAGGTGGACGTCACGCCAGTCGACTCTGCAAGCACCTACTTTTCTCGCGTTGTCAGTCTGGTCCACCCGTCTCGTGTGCTCTGCGTTCTGTCCGAAAAGTACGTTTCCTCATGCGCACGCTCGCACCTGCACATCCTGACTTGAGGCAGGCACGACGCGATACGGCAGAGTGCACTCAGGGTGTATCTGTCTGGCTTTGACTTTTACCAAGATGCTTTCGATATCGCGCTCCGCAAGGTTCTGCTCGTTGCCGTGCTACCAACGGAGACGCAGCAGATCGACCGTGTGATGGAAGCGTTCGCCAGTCACTATTGCGACTGCAATCCCAACGTCTTTCAGACATCAGAGCAAGCTTATGTGATCGCTTTCTCACTCATCATGCTTCATACCGACCATTGGAATCCGAACAATAAGCGTAAAATGTCCAAGACGGAATATCTGCGCAACACGAGCATCGATGGCGTACCCGATGTGTTCCTCGAGGTTAGTCGGATCTTGCCGGCTGCTATCAATCTTGCTGATCAGATGTCGCGATGACGTGCCAGTATCTCTACGAGAACACGACATACACGCCGTTTCGCTATGTCGACGATGCAGATCCTAGGCATCTCGATGAGAAGGGCGACACATCGCCTTTGTCCCCTTTCAGTAGCCCACCCCTCAGCAAGCCAAGACTCGATCTTTACGGTCTCATGGCGCGAGACCAACTGCATGCTCTTCATGTCGACCTGGGCTCGACGATCTCGCCGCATCGTGCGGGCTCTCTCAATTGACGTGCATTGGCTGACCTTGTCTGCAGATTCGCTGTCGTGCACCGGCACCGTGCCCTTCCTCAACACAACTACTCTCAACCAACATTTTGCTGCCGCCCCAACCCTGCTCTTCTCCAAATCTGGCCAAATAAGGCGCTCGATACCAATGGATCGCATCAGTGCAGCTTCATCAAACAATGAGCTGCTCACTACCGCTCCTCCGCGACACACCCTATCTTTGCCTGTCGTGCGGGCTGGCTTTCTCACCCGCAAATGTGACTACGTCGATACAGACAAGCGATCTGGCAATAGAAAATGGCGTCAGATCGGCGCCGTGCTGACTTCCTCGCAGCTTCTTATATTTGTACGTGCTGTTCGAGTGCACGGACGCAATATTTACTTCTTGTTGCCGCTTGCAGAAGGACACTGCCAGCCTTTATGACGTGCTTGATGATCTCGAAGGAAGGGGTGCAACTGGCCAGCGGCCTACCGCTGATGGCTTCATACATCAGCCGGATGAGATCTGGACTCTCAAGGATGCTGTGGCAGTCTACGACCCGGATTATATTCGACGCGAGCATGTCTTCCGGCTGCGACATGGCACGCGTCAAGACCTATTCCAGACTGACGACTATGCCGCGCTCAATGACTGGCTAGCTTGCCTCAACTATGCTGCTGCTTTCAGGACTTCCGACTTGTCTGTTTCCGACAACCCTGCTGCCGCCAGACAAGCTCTGTCAGACCCTGAGGCAGACGATTCCGAGGCGAGCCCTGTGTCTAGCAAGCTCTTCGTCTCACACTCAGACCGACGGGACCGACTACAGGTGCGAAGCAACCGAGCGATTGGTATCGTGCTCATGCAGCTTTGCAGAAATGCCTTGCGGAGCTCTCAACAGCAATTGCAGATGACCAGAAGCGAATTGCAGACAGCCTCGCAAGTGCCAGACGATTGGCCGTGCTCATGCCTCTCTCGCCGGCTCTAAGAGTGCGCATCACTAATTCTGCCCAGCCTATTGCGGCATCCCTGGCGCGCGACAGGATCGCGCTCTGCCAGCATGTCACCCACCAAGATATCTTGTCGCGACACTCTACGACGCTCTCACAAACGAAGCAGCGTCGCATTGGCTCTCCTACCGAAGCAGACCTCCTCGAGGACCCACGCTCGCCTTATCGCGGCTCGCACGCGCACTCTGAGGAAGTGCTCACCAAGCGCAGCAGACCGCGGGGCAAGCGCGCCCAGACTTTTATTGGCTCTCGATAGACTTATGACCTGTTGTAGCATGTAGTGACAACAATAGCAAATGCTGTCCGACTAGCCTGCTAGCCGGTATAGCGCTCTCGCTCAAAGTCGACGAGCATCTGTCGTAGCAAGGTTCTCTCTGCTTCATCCTCCGTTCTGAGAAATCCCGCCATCAAAGCATCGCGTTCATGCTTGCCCATGACGGCCAAGACCTCGACGAATCCGGGCATAAGCTCGGCGCGTAGGCTGGGAGAAATGGCTGCTTGACTTGCGGTCGACGCTTTGAGGAAATGATAGAGAACAAAAGGCGAATGCTTGGACATTGGAGCACTGAGATCGTCATTCCTACCCTCGCCCTTGCGCAGCTTGTCGCCTCTTGCTCGCGTTCCACGTGAAGTGAGTGCTGTAAGAAAGCATGCAAGGCGACGCGCATTTCCATCGCTGAATATAGCGGCGTCGCCCGAGGCCCAGATCGGTACGTCCAGACCAATCATTGCGCTGCCAGGAGTCACTCCTGACAGTCGACCTATCTGGAATAGATGGGATAGGACGAGCACGACGAGAGGAAAGTGCGTCTTGACAACATCCGCACGATTTCTGGTCATTGTCAGAAGCGATTCGAGAATGTCCCGCAGAATTCTCCGACCGTGAGCCAGACCGTCATCGGCGATGCGGTACTCGAATATACGCAGCAGCGAGCTGAAGACGACGGAAATGTCTGTGGCGCGAAGGCGCTCAATCTGCTGATGCATCAGTACGCAGTATCATCGGACGTGTCAGGCTTACTGAGACGATCAGAGTCGCTTCGATACAGCGCGTAATTACCGATAAGTCGCCTGTCGTCTTGAGGCAATCGTCGCTCAAGAGGGCGCGACATTGCGACAGGAAGCGACTTGCATGAATATAGACGACTTTCGAAGCATCTGTTGCCTGCTTCAGCCACATTCACGGCCAGGGCAGGCGTCTGACCTTCTGGCACCTCCTTCAATATCGCCACGTACAGCTGCGCAGCTGTAAGGCAGGCTGGCGTCACTGGCCGTGACTCGTTATCGATCAGTTCGGCGAGCAGATCCAGAGACCGCGAGATCGATATGGGCTGGGCGGCACGAATTGCCGCGGCCAGGACTGCCTCCAGGGCAGGAGCAACGTTGCTATGGCCGGCGGAAACGGCGATCAATGCTGCTGTCATGATGCAAAGGCCATCGCCTCCGTTCGCCTTTGCGCTCTTGGCGCCACTTGTAGCAGCAAGGTGCATACTCACAAAAAGGCGGAAAATTGCAGGCAGTCGCAGCTCATTGTGGTGTCCTGGACCTTTGCGTACCAAAGAAGTCAGCAGTCGTGTTGCGATCGTACCTGCACAGGAGCTGGAAAGCTCCTCCCGACGCAACAATTGCAGTGCAGAGCAGTAGCAATCGATCATAGGCGTCGGCATGTGCTCAGTAGCATCTTCCGGAATGATTTCGGCGCGCGAGACGATGCTGGACGCTAGCTCGAGGCAGCCGCGCCGTGTTGCATCACTTTGCCTGCATGCTGTACTCAGACCAATCCAACAGACTGCGAAGTGAGCCTACCCTTGGCTCTTTCGGGGCTCCTGCTCGTGCAAGGTTACGAGCAGGATACCAGCGTAGTCAAGGAATGCTGCAGAAAGCTGGGAAGCTGACAAACTTTTGCATGTTGAAGCTAGAATGCCGACTGCGACGACGAGATCGTTGTTCTCCGCATCGGTCGCATGCCGAATGCATGCTGTAGCGATTGCTCGGACGGTACTCGCCAGATTCGGAATGACCCTGCCTTGGTCATGTAACCTAGAAGGTCGTTTCGCCAAGCTTGTGAGGAACGTTTGAGATGCGAGCAAATTATCGACAGCGCCATCAAGCGTGATGGCATGTCGTACGAAGCCATAAAGGATCTCATTGTCCGATCCGGCATACGTCGCGGTGAGACGGAATGTCACTTGCAGCAGTGTTCGGCGAGCTGCCAGCGTCAAATAGCCAATGGATAGGGCTTGCAGGGACTGCAATAGACGAAACAGCTGCTGCTCGGGTGCGGCGAGAGCCAGCTGCTCGAGCTGCTTGCATAGCGCATCGCGCAGCCTCGGTCGCTCTTGCAGTTCGGCGTCTAGCAGCTCGATCCGGCGATCAGCCGCCTGTGTGAGAGCATTGGCAAGAGCGAGAGCATAGAGTCCGGTCAGCTGCGCCTCAGGCTCGATGAGGTCAACGTTCATGCGCGCGAGCTGCCACAGAGAAGATGCCCGCGGCGATCGCGCGAGCTTCTCTAAAACAGCTGACAGGATGCCGGCTACTTGCTTGATACTTGTGCGAATCTCCAGTGCTAGGCTGAGTAGGTGATGATCTACTGATGGAGACGATGCGGACAGCTCCGTCACGGCGGCTATCTGTACGGTCTCGTCGATAGTGAGATCGGTCGAGACATCAATGCTGTGCAGTCCTGCAGCCCTTCCGCTTGCCAGACGTCTAGAGATTGCAAGTCCCAGTCTGGCTGTGCTTTCGAGCCTGGCAAGCTCGTTCGGCGACGGGTTCGGCTGCGCCAGCGAGGGCGCAAGGATCTCTCTTGCATGCGAAGCAAGCAATTGCACAAAGGGCATCTCCTGACTCTTCTGTAACTTCGCATGGACGATAAAGACGCTTGTGAGTCTGCACAAAGCGTGGTGCTGTACAAGAGATATGGCTGATTGGGCAGAATCAGATCTTCGCTTCTTCCTCGGCGGCTGTGAAACTCGTGCGGGCGTTGCAGCGGCAGCGTGTTTCGCCAAGAGGCCTTGCAGTACGACAACTGTTCCTTCGTTGGGTCCTCGAGCGGCGATGGCGTCTCTTATGAAGACATCCATCTCGACAGAGGCATAGATACCATTCGCCATGTCCTCTCTATACGCCGTCTGCAAGAGTTCTTCAGTCAGACTTAGACAATCGCCTAGCTGCTTTGTCTTCACGTAGTAGTTCATCGCGTCCTTGAGTGTAAGCCAGACGATTTCTGATAGATCAGATGCACCGGCCAGCGTGGTCAGGAAAGGGCCAATCATGTCGGCCGTGATTGCAAAATCAAGTCGCATAATCTGTCTGAAGAGCTGTACGGCTTCTATCGATACTGTGTGATCTGATTCTGCGCAGTCGAGACATTTTCGAGCTATGCGCTGTAGGCAATCAAACCAGGATCGTTCTTCTTCGCCGTATGCGACGATATAGAGCGCATGTTGTTGCAAGACTCCGACGCAAACCAGGTAGGATTCCGCTACTGCATCCATGCGATGCTGGCCAAGTGCACTAGTGACGAGTTCCATGAACGCAAAAGCGTGAGATCGAATCTTGAACAGCGTGGCGACTTCGAGGGCAGACTGGGACTGAGCAGGTCCCAGAAGCGTTGCGCGTTGCTGGCCGAACAAGGCTGTCGCGTTGTTCTTGAGTGATTCCGTATAGAGTCTCATCATGATCGGCAAGATACGCAGGCCGTCCAATTCCAAAGCAGCCAGTGCGGTGACGATATCGTGTGCATTGGCAGGCGATGTGGTGGTCGCATTCGCTGGGGCTCTTTGCATTTGCACAGTATTGAACAACGCAGCGGATGCGGATTCGGAGAGCACGACTTGGGTATCGGTGTCGCTCGTCCCATATGCAGCAATGAATGCAGCAAGATTGGCCTTTGCGATGAAAAGGCTGAACGCTTTCTTGTGGGCCGCCTTTGCTTCGATGGCTGCGCTCCACTCGCGAACGATCATGAGCGCTAGAGCATGCATGTTCTCCCCTTGAGTCGGCCGTGCAAGGTAAGCAATGGCAGCAGCGTAGGCTGTCGAGGGAACTTCGAACGTCGTCTTGGTCGTTGCAGAGGGCAGCAAGTCTTGCGCGACGAGGAGAGCGTCGGTGGCTATAGCGTCAGCACATGTAGCGGAGGCAAGCAAGCTGTCGAGGATAGGTACGAATGGGATCTGCAAGAGGAGCGACTGACGAGCATCCGCGTCGACAGAGGGTAGCAGAGTGACGAGCAAACGCCAATGGCGAGGCGAGAGCAGCGATCTGAGTGCCCCCGTTGAGCTCACACGGTACGCATAGCTTGATAAGACATACTCTTCAGGCTTGGAGCTCTGTCGCTGCTTCAGCAGGCCTTCGAGGAGCCATTTCGTCAGAAAGACTGCCTTGCGCGGCAGGACGAGTCTATCGCTCTGCCAGGCATGCCAAGCAATGTCAATCTTGCGGTATGCTTGAGCATCACTTGGCGGATCTGTGGGTGCTCTGAGCAGCCTGAAGAGCGAGCTAGGCGTCAGTTCAAGCTCCTCCATGCCACCACCGATCCTCCTTTCCAAATTTCTCGCGCCAAGTCGGTCGGATCCGCTGGCAGCTGGGCTCATGCCACGGCGCAAGCCAGCTCGCTATGTGCCCGTGCCTGCATCACTCAAGAAGGCCATCACGAGATCGTCAGGCCTGATCACAGAGGACCTCATCCTTCTTCGCCGCATCATCTACAAGAGCACGAACCAGTACCGCCATTTTGCCTGGTGGAGACGGATAGAACAAGTTTGCAAGCTAGCCTCGAGGATGGAGAGGGAACTGAGGTTCTGCATCGTCGACTTTGATGCGCCCCCGTCAGTGCTGCCTCGCGTTCACACCCGCCGCAGCCGCTGACTTGCACGGCAGGCCAATCTCGGAAATATCCGTCAAGCTCGGAGGTGCATGCCTGGACGCCTGTAGACAGCACGCAAAGACAGCCCTGAGGCTGGCAGACAAGGTGAGTCATATGCACAGCAGGTATCAGGACACGCTGACCGGCATGCAGCTTCATCAAGTCAATGAGCTGGCTTATGCGTGAGTTGCTTGCGAGCGTCATCAGCGCCCCCAGCTGAATGCGCTTCCTCTTCTCAGAGATCTCCAGCAAGTCATCAACACACGCTATTTTGTTCAGCTCGCAGCCGTCTTGCTCGCCATCCTCGCCCGCTTCGAGATAGTCACAAAGACGCTCGCGCTCGATCTCGCGCGACTCGGGGACACGCTTGCCTCGCCTGCCGCAGCCATCCTACCCAGTCTTCAGCCTAGGCCTGTCCCCAAGCCGCAAACGCAAGCGGCAACCAGCCAACCTGCTGTAGTCAGACGACGTGCAGTCAAGCCAAAGCCAACACCAGAAGCGAGCAAGAATGAGATCGATGACATCTTTGGCAGCTGAAATTACAATGCGATACAGAGAACATACACAATGTGCAAAGCCACATAAGTCGTTCCGTTACTTGCCGTGATCGGAAGGTATCCTTGCCGATAGCGGCGGTGCCTCTGTCGTCAGAGCTGCATGGAACGAGAAACTCGGTCGCCCCTGGCTAAGTGAAGGCCGCCTTGAAGTCGATGTCGGAGACGTTGGCGAGGTCGGCTGCGGAAAGGGGAAGCGGGTCTGTCGAGATGGATTGCCCCCGACTGAGGAAGCAGAAGGCGATATGACTGACTGGTTGGGCGAAAATGATGGCGGCGGAGCGCCTGCAGTCATATTCGCTGACGCGGCTCCCGACTCCTTGAGAAGGTACTCTATCCACAGTGCAGAGAAGGACTGTACGCCATCGATCAGTCAGGTCTAGCGCAAATGCAGAGCAGAGTCTCACTTCGCCCTCCGCTAAGCTGTCATCGACCGTCTGCGCTTTCGTTCTCGCGTGACCCTTCGGCCTGCTTTGGGCCCTGCGAGGATCGCCCGTGCCCGCTCTTTGCAGGCCCGCCTTCTCTCTGTCCTCATCCGACCACGATAAGATGGAAGCGAGAAGTTGTAGCATCTCGAATCGCTTCGAGTCTGCCCTGGGCGTGTTGAAGAAAGTGAGCAAGACGTTGGTGACGAGCCGTCTGTCGACATTGCTATCGTTGGAGTCCTTCTTGAGCCGCCGTAAGGCTTCGCGAAGGTGCTCATTCAGTATGACCGCTTCGTGACGCAGCTTGCCTATCTGGGTATTCTTGTCTTTGACTTCCTGTAGCAGCATAGCGACCTTTTCGCTGTCTGCTTGTGCTTCGCCGAGCCGCGTCTTTTGGTCCCGGGTCAGCTCGGAGTCTCCTGTCTGCGATCGTGCGCACCTCTGCTTGTAGCGCGCGGTGCTTGAAATGGGCGAGAGAGTCGATCGTCGTATCGAGCTGAGTCTGCAGATCGCCCAGCGACTTTTGCAGTTCTCGGTCTTTGCCCTCCTGAAACTCTTCGAGAACGGTCTGCAGGTTGGATGCGCTCTCGGCATATCTATCTCTATCGGCCTGCATGGCATCCTTGTCCCTCTTGAGAGTGCTGATCTCTCTATCGATGACCTGCAGAGTCGCCTGAGCAGTCTCCCTCTCTATCCTCTCCCGCATCGCTTCGGCTTCCCAAGCTTCCTTGGCCAGCCTCATCTTCTCCACATCATCTTGTAGATCCTTGAAAGCCGCCTCGCGGATTGACAGCTCTTCTGCGCCGAGCCGTTGGGAGTCTGCCGCGCGAGACTGGATGTGTTCTAGTTCGGCATGCGCTTTCGCATTATCTTCGTTCGAGGCGATCAATTCAGTCTTGAGCGTCTCGACAGCTTCGTGCAAGTCTTCGTTGCTCGCCTGTAACGTAGCGACCTGCTGCGCTCGTTTCTCAAGTTCCTCTGCATCTTCACGAAAGCGAGCGGTGACTGTGGATCGCATCTGGGTCAGCTTGTCGAGCAGCGACCGGTACTGAGCTTCGACGGTGGCCTTATCCTGCCTGGTCTGCTCTAGCTCTTGCTCGAGCGCAACCAGTCGGTCCTCTGCTTCGCCTGGCCATCCCTCTGTCGCGCCAGGCGCGTCTCCATGAGAGAGACTCGTCAGGATGGCTTTGCTGGTATGTACAGGTGACGTGACTTCTGAGCTGCGCGAGGTCTCTGCAGAGGAGCGTGGCTGGTCTAGCGAAAGCTTGCGCAAGTCGGCTACAGGTAGCGTTGCCGCAGGAGTGTGGCCGTTGGACAGATGCTCATGAGCGTGGTGCCCTTGCTCGGGCAGCACGCCGTTGCTCGTGCTCGTGACCGTCACCGGCGCTCTGGCTTCTTCAGTCAAGCCAGCGCTGTCGTTTGTGTCCGGCTCGGCGGAAGGAGCAAACTCGAAAGCAGGCTCAGCTTGGCCTGGCCCAGTTGATCGAAAGAGATCGCTCGCATCGCCAAAGCTAGCCTGTGCCTGATGACTGGGATGACCGTATCCGTTAGTCTGAGTCATCTGGAAGGCTGTATGCGCTGGCAGACTGATATGAGGCTCTTCCAGGCACTGGCCTTGCTCGTCATCGTCTGCCTGTCTGTGCTCGTCCATGGCAGGCAGAAGTGTCACCTCTGTCGGGGGAGAGTCCATGCTTGCTCGTCTCTTCAACGTTCCATATCACGCTAGCCCTACCATGAGCGAGTCTGCTGCCCTCAATCACTCGCCTGCCTGCCTGCCTGCCTGCCTACCTTAGCTTTGCCCTCTCCTCCTCGCGCCAACCACACGCGAACTGTTGGCGTCAATCGTCCTGCTCCGAGATGGCGGCACGCATGGCCAGACGACCCACGCTACTGTCCCGGCTGTCGTCGAGCTCCATCCTCAGCTTCAGCGCTCGCACGGGTCCCACTCCGATCGAGAAGGAATTGAGAGATCTGCTCGTACAGCTTGACAACTTGCTTGCTCAATTGCTCAGCGCTTTGTCCGACTATGAGCAAGCCAGACTACGGCTGGCCAAGCAGTTCCGTACAGTGAGCCAGCTCATCGTCGCCACATAGGCGCATGAGCTCATTAGACACGAGTTGGCAGGGTTTCTTTGACCTAGCGCGTGCAAAGCGATCGCTAGGCACCAGCAGGGTCAGTCCTGCCTCATACAACATGGCATCTTCTGCACCGCTCCGTACTGTGTGAGTCGACAACAACCGGCCTGTGACCCAAGCTGAGCTTTGGAGAATAGCCTCGTTGAGCAGCACGACCGCGTATCCATTTGCGTTTCGACAAGTGCGAAAGCTCTGATGGGCGCCGTCTCTGCCCCGTCCAGTCCTGAGCAGGTCGAGAAAACTCGGCGGACTCGAACCCGATCAGCCTCTGCTGCTTCAGCAAGCTCGAGCACCTCAAGTCTGACAGAGGACGAAGAGCCACGTGTCATCGAGGATCCCATCATGCAATTCTCTGCTCTGCCGCCCATGTCGCTCCGAGAGGCTCAAGCTGGCTTCGTCAGGGGCACCGAAGCAGTCTCCGATGTCCTCAATGCGCAGATCGCCATCACTCGTCTTGAGCACCAGATTGACCAGCTGCGGCGGACCATCGACGCCCTTAAGCGAGATCGACCTGAGCTCGGACCTGCGTCATAGCGTATCGCACAGACAGGCCTCCGCCCTTGGCACACCCTGATGCGAGCAATTGCGCATACAGTCCTCGCTCTCCGCAGTCGGCTTGATCCGATGCGGACGAGGTGCAGGTACAAGTGAGCAATGAGGAGCGAGACAGAACATCACTCAGCTACTTTCATCACTTTCACTAAAGCAATTCAAACCTTCAAGATGATCGGTACTTCATTCGTCATGCTCGCTATCGCTGCCTCGGCTTCTGCTGCACCTCAATTCTACGGATCTTTCCTGCCTACCGAGACTTACGGATCGGGCTCCACTGGTATCGGCGGTTACGGAGCAGGCTATGGTGGGTTTTCATTGCCTTCCGAGTATTCCTGGCTCATCGTCGAGGCAGGCTCGAGCTACGGCCTCGCAGACGGCTATGCATCTGGCACGGGCGCGCTCTACAACAACGCCTACAACAACCTTGGCTATGGCCAAGCCATCAACAACAACGCCTACGGCAACCTCAACCAGGGATCAAACGCCTACGGCACAGGCAGCGCCTACGGCAATGGCTTCGGCTCCGTCTCCGGTGGCCAGTCAAGCAACTCGGATGTCGGCGGCTTCGCTAAGAACAACGACAAGTCATCCACCACCGTCTCCACCTCTTCCTCGTCCGATGCCTCCGGTGATCTCCATCAATCCCAGGGCAGCAAGGCTTCAGGCAGCGCCAAGTACGGTGGCTCGTCTGGCGAATCTGGCTCTTCTGGCCAAGGCAGCTCCGTCTCCGGCAAGGCTGGCCAGTCTTCGACCGACAGCGGCAAGCTCAACTCGAGCAACGGCGCAGACTCTGGTGCGTCTGCATCCGGCTNAGCGGGTGGTGAGGCCGGCCAGACTGTCTCGTCCGGTCTCGGTAGCTCTGCCGGCACCGGCGCAACTGGCTCGGCCGGTCTCGTCTAGATAGCGAGGTCTGTCTGCCTTGTGCTCGATGGACATTTTCACACCAATGCATGGACATTTTCTACCTTTGCTTTTTATTCTTGACATGAAGGCCTGACGTGCTATCATCAGCCGTTTCGCCACTCACGCGCACGCGTTCGTCGGACTGCTTCTCTCGACTTGTCCGCTCCCACAGCCAGGACGAAGATGCTGGTCGTGTATGAGAGCAGCATCACGTCGAAGCATAGCATCAGATCCAATCAAGAGTCGGTAAGACGCATCCTCGCCCATCTTAATCCAGTCTATCTCGACATTGCCAATGATGAAAGTGCAAAGGCGACATACAAACGCTTGAGCGCAGGCAGGACGGAGTTGCCGCTTGTCGCCGTCAACGGACGCTATGTCGGCGTGCGTATGCTACGGTACAGTGTCGTCGTGGTATGCTGATGGGCGAAGCAGTCTGTCGAGCAAATACAAGAGGCGAATGAGCACGGCGAACTTGATCAGCTCCTCAGGCTCGACGAGCAAGAAGGAGATGAGCTGAACAATCTGACAGAGGCCGAAGCGGTCGAGCTAGCCTCGGAGATCAATGCTATCGACAATGCTAAGCAGGCTAGCGCTCAGCTATCGAGCATACCCCCCGCTACGGCAGAGCCTGTCATCGTCACAGATCAGGAAGGCGGTCATCATGTCAATCCGACAGGTCAGACGTATCAATATGTAGACTCGCACGGCCATGATCAAGTTGACGCCACGCACAAGCCACTGATAGACTCGACTCAGCCTTTTGTTGGCTCACGCAATGAGACCGAAGAAGATTTCACAATATCGAATCCATAAGATTATGCTGTATGTACCATCCTTGCACGCTGCAACAGCACCGTGTCGTCTCGCAGCGATCAAGTCATCGAGTAGGCTGAAGACGCGAGTCGCGATCGGAACTGACTTGGCCGCATCCGGTCTTCGCTGCGGAAGAAAGACGCATCGATGGTCTCATCCATGTGTGGCTCGACTGTGCGTGCGCGTTTATTTCGCTGATCGACTGAAGCTGCGCCTGACCAGAGGAATGTCGTTGGTATTCGAGCCATGCTTTGCCGCAGGGCATACGTCGCACGCAGTCGCTTCATGCCGCGATTCGNTGCTNCATCGGCGACGTCCGGCAACGAAATGACNATACTTGCGTCTCGATTGCTGTCCGTCAAGTCGTGCATTGGCAGTGCGTCACTCGACCATGCTTTCGTGTNCATGTCCAATGGCGGCAACGCTTTGTNAAGCAAGGGATCGCGTGCCACTGGTCCGCAAGCTGCCTTGCCGGTGTCGTCCTGACCTGGATTGAGCTCATCCATGCCGAGCACTTTGAAGATACGATAGATGACGGCAGCGCAGATTGCTCCNACATATGGCGCCAATATCCAGACTGTTTGCGTTCAGCCGAGACCCATCTTTGACGTCAGAGGCTCACTCTCGAAGAATCTCCGCTCAAACTTGCGACCTACCACNGATGGNCCTAGTGCGCGAGCNGGGTTGACGCCTGCCGAGTCGTATTCGCTCGCAAAGAGTAGACANATCGACAGCGATGAGCCGATAACCAGNGGCGCAAATGGTGTCAGACGATGCTTCTCTACAGCTACAAANAGTACAGCCAGACAGAGNAATGCTGTCGTCAGNCCTTCCATAGCGGCGGCTGTTCCCGCNGAAATGCCGGATAGCTGNACTATCGGTTCGAAGGGAGCCGGCGTGAGTTTGTCAACGACTGCTGCTGCTGCTATGCCGGCTGCATACTCTGCTATGCTGAACAAGGCGAATCTCACTGGAGATGTAGCACCGACGAGAAGCAGTGCAAGCGAGACTGCTGGGTTCGCTGGCAGCCCACAGATTCGGTACCATATTGACAGATTGACTGCGAGTGATCCACCAAACGCCAGAGCGACGTAACACAATNCTGCTGGGCTCGCTGCTGACGNTGTCGAAGCGTGAGATGCAGCTTGNAGGCCNCCGAAAGCGAAGAGCAGAAAGCTAAAGGTGCCGATGAACTCCCCCAAGGTTGCTGCAAGATCTCGTCTGATGCTCCTGCTGTCCATCGCTAGCAGCTAGCATCCATCACAAAGCGTGCAATGCTAGGAAAAGTCGTATGATACATGGCGGTACAAGTTCTGTTGGTATAGCGATGACTCGTGAATCGTGTCGAGAGACGGATTGCGTTGAGGTAGGGTCTGTGCTAGGCTTGATAGCTTGGCAAGTCACCACGCGCCTCCTGCAGCGAGACACCGGGTAGGAGCTGTAGAGGGCCCCTGAAAGCCTGCAAGATGACGTCCGAGTCTGCAATAGTGAGAGCTATGCTGAGCGCATAGTCGACTTCCCAGCAAGGCGTCTTGGCCGATGGCGGCAAGTTCGCGGTCGGATTGCCGCCTTCACCTTGCAGATCGACATCTAGCTGGCAGCTTGTTGTCTTGCCAGGCTCGACAACCAGACTGAGTGGACAGACGAGCAAGCGTTGCTCGTCCGTGCGTGTCTTTGGCCTTGGATCTATGCCACCCCGGGTGGACACACGCGAAATGAGTCTTATCTTGGCTTTCGTGATCGTGATGGGCTTCGACTTGGCAGACAGGAAGCCGCCTGCATCGTTATCAAGCGAGAGCTCGATGGCGGCTCGGATGGAACGAGTCGAACGAGCAATCTTGAGATGNGCAGGNANAAGAGTCTGTGATGAATCCTGTNAGTCACGATTCAAGATGGNTTGTTTGCAGACTGACATATGATCTCAGACTACCTGTCGAGCGACCAAGCTTTGACTTGAGGGGTGCATGCGAGATGAAAGCAGTCGTCGGCCCNTGATAGCCATCGATTTGCGTGGCGANCTTGGCATCCTGCACNGCGGGTGTAGCGAAGCGNTCGCCGATGGTGTCAGGCGCAAAAGTCGGCAGGCTCGTCAGATCGGCCTCACAGTGCTCATCGCACGGCAGAGTGGGAAAGACAGTCCGGGCGACCATGACNTTAGAGGTGGACGAGATCCAGCCGACTGGATCGACGCGCGGCTTCTCCACCGAGCCGGTGTCGAGNGTNAGCACGACTTGNATCACAGACTCGAGAGANCAATCGCGCTGGCCTCGCATTGTAGGCGGCGGTGCTCGACGAAGGGCAATTAGCTGGGGTCTGTCCCTTGGCTCATTGTAGGGTATCTTGTTANATTCGGTCACTGCGACTNGAGTGGGCAGCGTNAATCGAAAGGGAAAGGTAGCCGANTGGCTCTTGTCAGACTCGTAAGGTGGCAGGGGCGACAGAGTGATCGGTCCCGACTGCAGCTCGGCATCGCTGATGGGGAAACGATGCCATTCGTGTCCTTGTTCGGTGTCGAGCTTGACTTGCCCGACTGTGCGCTTCTGCGCTGTTCCCTCGTAGTCCCAATACATGACCCTGGCCTCATGAAACGCAGAAAGACTCAGGCGGGCAGACGGCAGCGTAACGGGCTTCTCGCTCGCTCCTGCTGCTCTGTGCTGTACTTCCACCCTGCCTTCGATGACTTGGCCTGACANGTATGCNTTGCAGCCCGCTTGCCTTTGTGTGTCAATCTTGATGACCAGCTGGAAAGGACCATCGCTCGGCGTCTTTGAGTTGGCGCTCAAAGGGAAGTAGTCTCCGAGGCCGCTGGGCGGCAGTCTTCCCTGAACATCTTCGTGCGTAGGTGCAAAATAGATTGGTGCGATGACGCCAACGCCGTACATCTTCGACCTGTTCGATGGTCAGCCAATGTCGCGACGTGTAGAGCCGTCCGGGGTAATTATAAAATGTGGGCGGCAGCAAGCTCACGTGCTCAGGTGGCTACGCGTTTCACGTGCACATGTGACAACATTGGTAAGGCCTATATTACCAGCGCCCACGCGTGGACTAGGCTCGCTTGAATGTCCGGCCACTGCATGCATACATGCCTGTAAGTCACGTTACGATTGCATGACATGAGACATACGATGCAGTCTTCTTCTCCTTCTCTGCGACTTCTGGCTTGGCGCGGTTGAGCACCTTGAGAAATTCGGCCACTCTCGCACGCATACGAGAGTGCATGTATGCCTGGCCAGTTCGCGCCTTAGCGTCTGTTGAGCTGTCAGAGCTGCGAATCACCTTTGAGCATTTGATGTGATAGTGCAAGTAGTCTCTGAACATTTGTATTTGAGAGATCGTCTTCCAGGTGCTGTCCGCATCTCTGAAATGCCGTGGGAATAAGACTGAAGCAGACATGAGCACACAGTGGGTCAGACGGGTTGTCATCACGAACCAAAGGTGACGTAGCCGACGTCCTCTGTCGTGCTGAGGCCGGGCACGCCGCGGATCTCGAGCGGCGGTTCGCGATTGCTGTAGAGTACCTGCGGTGCCCCTTGGATCGCAGGCTGCCTCCGCGCATCGACGAACTCCTGCATGATCGAGGCAGACACCTTCAGCAAGGGGCTGATGGTGGGACGTGGCATAGACCCGCCTGTAAGAAGACTTTGCCAAAGATCCGATCGGTCTCCTCTTTGAAGACGGTGCTGAAGACGACGGTGACGCGATCCTGGCCAGGGCAAATGTAGATTGCCTCGTCTGGTCTGTCAAGGCTGGCGATGTCAGCACTCGAATGTCATGGCGGCCAGGGTGTTCCCTTGCCCGAAAGCGCACCTGTAATGAATCGCCATGAGTTCCTTTTGTCCTTCGGGATTCTGGTCGAGCTGCTTCTGCAGCGCAAAGGCGCGTTCGAAGGGCGCTGCGAGTGTGTTGCGCTTGAGCAAAGACATTGACCGTATCAGCTGAGCGCGTTCGTCTATCACGTCCGTCCCACTGATCAGCTCGGACGTGCTTTGGCAGAGCAGCGTTCAGCTGACCGAGGTCTGCCGGCAGTTGCTCGAGATCGATAGCGAGCGAGACGGAGTAGTCTGGCTCTGTCTCTGTGATGTAGGGGCCATACTCTCGCTGGATGAGCTCGCTCGCGCCATACCGCGTCTGCTCCGTGTCATTCAGCTCATGCAGGGCCTCGGTGTCCGCAGAGGGGGAGGCTGACAAGCTCATTGTAGCATCGCCAGTCCATACTGAGCAGCAGCTGTGTCTTCTTGTTTGGCGTCGAGAGATGGAAGCGGACCCCGTCAAAGTCGACGAATGCCTGATCAGTCGTTGCAGGCCTGAACAGCTGCGTATGTCAGCAGGACAAGCGAGCTGAAGGTTGTAAGCTTGACATGCCGCTGAAAACGCTCGGTGAGGATGTCCTTGATGATCACATTGTGCTCCTCTAGCAGGATCATCTTGAGCTTGTAGACTTCTGGCGGTGACCATCGACCCAACACCTCAAAGCTGATCTCGACGAAAGATGACGAAGCGGGATATCGTCCCGAGACCACCCTAAAGACTCGCCGACGCGCCTAATTCGTCCCGACAGCAGCCAAGTGAACGCCGAGCTCCGAATAGAACGAGGGCAAAAGACCCTACAGAGAGTACAGGAGACCGACAGCGAGCAGTCCCACTGCGGACAATAGTCAACAGACCACACATACAACCCCAAGTCTGGGATTTTCCCTGAAAAAGCCCAGTTACTGCACGTTTTTTCAAGTGATCCGTAGAGGTCAGTCTGATCATCTCATGGCACTCGCCTCGGCCGGTGCAATGTCATTCGTTCACGCACTGACGCAATCGCTTGTCCTTCTCTTGCACGCTTGCCCGTCCACTCGCCCTTCGAACCGATCAACTCCGTTCCTTGCATCCTTTCCGGCGTCTCTGTGGCAATCGTCGTACGCTGTCCCGGCGCTTGTCTGACTGTGACCAATCGTGACAATCGATACCTCGCTCTCTACTTGACGTCGTCGCCGTCCTCACGACTCATCTAAACTCATCTGGCTTGGCTCCAATATCCTGCTACGCGCCGCTTCCCCATTGGTTGCCCTATGAACTCTTCGAGCGATAACACAGGCGTCCGATAATCGCTACGCCTGATTCTAACGGATCAACTTCGAAGATTCTACAAGCTCCAGTCGCTCCAGCCCGTCAGAACCGACCTTCCAGGGACCTATTTCCATGACCTGCTAAGCTCCGTAGCTCTGTCAACACATACCAATCGCGCTCACAGCGATTCGACACATCCGCGCTGACTAGTCAGTCGAGATCAGCAAAACTGTACTAGCCCAGAGAGGGGAAACGTTGGACGTCCGATATCGCTACGTCCCGGAACAGCTCTCGCTGCTTCCACGTTCGTCTCCATCTTTGTCCCGTACTCACTCGCCTCTGTCCCCGCTCTGCTCGATCGACGCGTCAGAACTCTTTGACTACTCGCAATCACAGCAAACCACTTTGCCGTGCCCATCCAACAACGTCGGACTGCACATCACGTTCGACAGACAAGTACACTCGCTCGAGATTACGCTTGGTCATCGCCCAGCGTAGCAACCTGCCCTAGCGCTCAACATCCAAAGCTGGGCTTAACGGTCCTCATCGCGTCCGATATCGCCGCGTAGCTATTGTCAACTAGTGACCATCCTCTCAGTCGATCTACTGTGCGTCCGGCGCCGCTACGCGTATCTATTTGACCACTCGAAGCTCTAACAACCTAGAGCTGATCCCATTCGCTACTCTGCTGCGCAGCCGCTATCACTGTTACAATTCTGTTGCCGTATTGGTTACGCAAGCCACCTTTGAACGCAACTTACGAATTTCTGTTCAACCTTCAATCACTCGTCTTTCTCCCATTGATACAGGGCCACTGCACAGCTAAGTAACACGACAGACATGTCGTCTTACAACCTCGTCACGCCGCCCATCGACGCGGCCCACATGAGTTTTGAGTCCGCGCATGCTCGCAACCCTGACTGGTCTGTCAACTCTCAGACCAGCTACGCCCAGCCTGCCAATGCTACCGCCTCCAGCTCGATCAATAAGCGCAGCGCAGACCACTTTGACCCAACGGACGAGGCCGCACAGGGTCTCGACCCGAGCAGCTTTTCCAAGGTCACCTTTCAGATGCCCTCTTTCCTCGCTGGCGGCCCGGCCGGGCAGTTTGCCTCTGGCCCTGCAATTGCAGAGATGCCTCCGTATGTCCCCTCCCTACTTCGCATGATGTTGCGCCCCGCTGACTCGAACATGATGATGTAGCACGCACAACAGTCAGACGCCGTTTCTCAACATGAATTCGTCTTTCGCTGCCGTGTCGCCCACACGCAAGACCGCAAAGTATGTGCCCGACCCGAGCAATCCTGTCTATGGCAATTATGGCTCTTCGGTCGTCGGCGTCAATCCTGACTTGACGCCCTTCCCCATTGAGGCAAAGATGGAGGCCGCAAAGCTCAATGCTGCCGGCAAGGACGAAGATTTCGAAGCCACCAACGCAGGCTTACCCGAGCCAATTGGCGGCAACTTCCCTGGTCTCTACTCGTCTTCAGGTTTTGACATGGTCAGCGTGCTAGCCCGCGTCGCGGCCCGACCTAATCCTCAGATCAACGTTGGACCTGTCGATACGTCGTGCTCCTTCCTTGTCGTTGATGCACGCAAGTACGATTTCCCAATTGTCTTCGCATCAGAGACTTTCTCCAAGCTCACTGGCTACGAAACGGACGAGATCATCGGCCGTAACTGTCGCTTCCTTCAGGCTCCCTCTGGCGATGTGCAGATGGGCAGCAGGCGTAAATACACGGATAGCAATGCTGTCTATCACATGCGTACGCACGTCATGGCAGGCAAGGAGTCTCAAGTCAGCATCATCAACTATCGCAAGAATGGCCAGCCTTTCATCAACCTCATCACGATCGTGCCTATCACGTGGGACACGGATGAGATCGCGTATTTCGTCGGATTCCAGGTCGATCTGGTCGAGCAGCCTAATGCCATTCTCGAGAAGCTGCGCAACGGCAGCTATGTCGTCAACTATTCTCTTCTGCCCAACACGCCTTTCAATCCGACCGGTTCGTCGCAAGCGCCTAATAAGATTAACGACGGTTCGCTCGCCGCTTCGGTTTCCGCGTATCAAGTCGAGGAGCCTATGCGCAGCGAGGAAGCCAAATCTTCGGCAGAGATGCTCAGCATCCTTGGCACAAACTATTCGGACGATGGTGAGGACGTCAAGGCTTGGCAGAAGGCATTGCTCGGCCAGACGCATGATCTGGTGCATGTGCTCTCCCTCAAGGGCTCGCTGCTCTATGTCTCTCCGAGTTCAGCGCGCATGCTCGAATACGAGCCAGAGGAGCTCGTCGGCCACACAATATCGCAACTCTGTCACCCGAGCGACATCATCCCTGTCATGCGGGAGCTTAAAGAGTCCAGCAACGCTACTGATCCCAACCATACGGTTTCTTTGCTCTATCGCATCAGACGTAAGAATTCTGGCTACATCTGGATTGAAGCTCACGGCAAGCTCCACCTCGAGCCCGGCAAAGGTCGCAAGTGCGTCATACTCGTCGGTCGAGAGCGACCTATCTATCGCATGTCATGGCGTGACGTCAAGCAGACCGGCAGCTTCGGCGATGAGGAATTTTGGTCAAAACTGAGCTTGGACGGACTGTTTCTATATTCAACGTCGTCTGTGTCCAGCATGCTGGACTTCACTGCAGACGAAATGATTGGAACGAGCATCTACCAGCTAGTCCGACCCGATCGGACGACGGATGTTACGAAAGCGCTCGATCAGGCTGCTGCTGGAAATCCTGTCAGCTTGCACCATCATCTCAAGCAGCGCAGTGGCGAATATATCGCCGTGGTGACCCATTTCCATCCCCATATGATTGACGACTCCTCTAGCGGGGCTCAGCATCCTGCTGTCATATGCCAAACGAACAAGCTAAGCTCAGAGACAACTCGCACCGCTCATCGACCGCGCCATGATGGTGGTGTCAATACCAGCTTCGCGTCAAATGACATGCAACGCAGCTCATCCAGCAACAGCATGATCGCAATCGCTTCTCCAGAATCCTCTGACGAAGCCAACACGCCTTCCCCCTTCTCTGCGATTCCGAGCACTTACAAGACCCTCATGTCTGCACCGCAGTCGGACAATATCTTTGAAGAATTGGACGCTACGCGAAGCACAAGCTGGCAATACGAGCTCCACCAGTTGAAGATCATCAACAAGAAGCTTCGAGAAGAGCTAGAGCTGCTGGAAGCGGCCAAGCGGAAGCGCAATAAGCGAAAGCTTGCAGCTGCCGGCGGGTCCGGCTCGCCTTCGACGGTCAAGTCATGCGCAAATTGCCACACGACGTCCGCACCAGAATGGCGAACAGGTGCGTATCTTCTGCCTCGCAGGTACTCGATGCTGATGCGCATGCATAGGTCCATCTGGACCCAAGACACTATGCAACGCCTGCGGGTTACGATGGGCAAAGGCCACGCGGGGCTCTGGCAACAGTCAGACCGACAGTGCATCATCGCAGCGCTCTGCGTCCATCGAAGCGAACTCGGCCGTCAGCTCTGGCTCCGAATCTGCTGGCCCGGTTCCCGGTTATCAGCCAGCCGCAGGCTTCAATACGACAACGCGACCCTTTTAAATGTGACACAGCCAGGTTCTATATGTTTTCATTTTGTACCTGACATGGAATGTGGATGAAATGAAGCAAGAGTGTCGCAAACGGATCATGAACAGTCGTGATATACACAGATGCTTTGACCCAACCGCTCAAGGCTATTACAAACGCGCTGACATCAAGGGAGATGCTAATTGGGCCATTGACTTCGGAAGCGCTTGCTGTTGAGCGATCCATCCTTGTCTTCGCCCAAGACTGATTCCGCACGCAGCGAAGTCCGACTCTTCTTGCCCTGACTCTTGCTTGACGTCCTGGGCCAAACGTCTGGTTCGTCTGGCGAGCCGAAGACGTCCTCATCTTGCGTCAAGGTGGATCCCCTTGGCTTGCGATGACGGGACGAGATGCTGGCACTGCTCGCATTAAGTCGACCTACATCGTGCTCGCCCTGCAATACCGAGTCAGCGACGGCCTGCATCAGCTGCGAGCTGCTACTCACGCAGCAGACACGGACATTATCCACGCCTTCAAAATCGTCATGATGGTGTGGAGTGACGGGCGTACTCGATGCGCTCTGTGTGCGTGCCATTGTCGACCGAGAAAGCGACGAGCGCCGAACTTTGCCGGCGGCAGACGGTGAGAGCGGTCTGCCGTGATCCTGCTCACGCAGACCGAGGGGAGAGCCTCCTTCGTCCTGAGGCCGTGCCAGAAGGAAGCTGAGTGCCTTCATCCATACTTCGTGCTTCTCGCGGGTGGGCGCTGTAAACTTGAGCTCACGATCGTGCGTTTCGATGATGAGACTGTACTGATGTAATCCAGCGGGCGCTGTATTGTTATCGATGACTTGCCTGACATCAGTGATGTATACTGTAGCGTTGATCAGCATGAGCACCATCATGAGCCAGGCTGCATACCGCTCTTTGCTTTTGACTGGGTCAGATTCTCCGAGCCTGGGTTCTTGTCGCTCCAGTAAAGTGTCTTTGTGTAAGGATGAACCCAGAAGAAGCGCTTGTGACGAGAGTTCTTGTTCATTGCTTTCCGAGTGTATTTGTAGAACGAATCTCCAATCATAGTCTGCGTGATGGCGTGGATCGCGTCTGGATCGGCAGAGGTCGGCGCGCCGGCGGCCGCAGCCGCCATACCATCGCTAGTCTTGCTGGATCCTGTCGAAATTTGTCGATGTCGGCTAGTACGAGGCGTTGGAGCGTCTGATGGGCGTCGCGAAGGCTTCAACGCGCTTCGAGACGGTCTCGGCGCCGGGCGTGGCTGTGGCGGGGGTGTAGTAGACCGTTTGACCGGTACGACGGCAGGCGGTGGCATGGCCCGGGCATCCTCCGCACCTTTGCGCTCTGCTGCGCTTGGCTCAGGGACCGCCACGATTTCTGACGCGTCTTCAAAGTCGTCATTGTCCGTCGCTTCCTCCTTTTCAGCTTGTGCAGCAGCGAGAGCCGCGGCGGCGGCGGCAGCAGCAGCAGCAGCGGCGGCAGTAGCGGCAACCTTTGTATCACGGTCTTGTTCAGGCTCTGTCTGCGATGATGCCTGCGCAACAGCGACGGGCTCTGTGTTGACTGCAGCGTTGCTAAACAGCTGCGCTTCTGTCTGCGAGGCCTTGTGCTCTGTCATGACGACTGCTATAGGCTCGGTCATGACTCCAACTTCGATGTAGATTTTGGCAGGCAAGGTATCATTAGCGCCAACATCGCTGACGGAGCGGATCGAGCCTGATCGACGGAATGACGAGAACGAATTTCGACCAAAGTCGCCCAAAACCTGTGGCCTGTCCACGCTAAGTCGAGACGAATCGACAAAGTCTGGATCCATGCCGTCAATGCTGCCGCGGGACAGATCGACGTTGTCGAGGCTCTCATCATCGTGGAAAGCGCCATTCGACCTTGTGCTGCGTGCTCGGCCCAGCGTAGCCGCGCCACGCCCTCTGCCGCGACGTGAGACGTATTGCGAGTCCATATGATCACCGTTGCCATTCGCGTGCGCCGCCTTTTCGCGACTGAGCGCATTGCGGAGTGCAGTGATGGTACGCTGCGCGTGAGCAAGAGACTGCCGCAATTCGTCAACATTACGCGAAGATTCTAGTCGTACAAAGTCGCGCTCGTCTGGGTAGCTGTCTCCCATCTCGTCAGATAGGGAGTGACCCTCATCGAAGCCCAGATCGCGTCCGTCGCCGGTTTTGCGCCTCTGCATACGATTGGCTTCGAAGCTGTCGTCATCTGCCGCGAGATGGTCTAAGCCCGCGCCCAAGCCAGCACCCGTCAGTCCCGACGCAAGTCCGATGCCTGCTGTCGTCGTCTTGGAGGCTGCGAGCTGCTTGTTCTTAGCCGCCAACTCGGCGTTGAGTGCGTCGACCTTCATTTGCAGATCTTCGCGCTCGCGCTGTATACCTGCACTCTCCTTGCGCATGCTTGCAAGATCTGTCTCGTGATTGGACTTGAGTGACTCGAGCTGACCCTTGAGGTTATTGACTGCCAGGTTTTGCGATTCGAGTTCATCACGTGTGTCGGTGAGCGTTCGAGTCATACGGGTCTTTTCTTGTTCGTGTTTGGAGATGCGGTCGACTTTGTCCTGATGTTTCGACTGTAGGTCTTGGTGTGCCATCTCGAGATTCCAGTTCTCTTCTTTGTACTTGCCGACGCTTTCCTCTAGTGTCCTGTTGGCACCCAGATGCTTGTGGACGTCGCGCTCGAGTGCATCACGCTCTGCCAGGGCCTTTGCGAGTGCTTCGTCCTTCTCTGCAAGCTGGCTCTGCATAGCTCTTACTTGGGCGATGAGCGAGGTCGAGATGTCTGCAGCCAGATGATGGTCCTCTACTCGGCTGGCGTTGGCAGCATTGCGTGCTCGTCTGTTCGTTGCCGCTGACCTTGGGGGCGTGACAAGCAAGGAGGCTTGGTCTGTCTCCAGACTGGACGATGACGCCTGCAAAGGCAAAAAGATGCGCAATCAGACGGGCGATGGTCCCTCAAAGACGATGGGCGTACACCAGGCATGGGTGAGGTTTTCCACGTCTTGATCTCATTCTGTACACTTGCTACCAAGTCCTCCTCTTGCTCTGATCGTTCGACCGAGGACGAGGCGCCGAAAGGACTGCCGGCCGAGGGCAGTGACTGCAAGCGAGACTCGATCGCCGCACGCTGACTGAGCAGTGTCTGGCCCCACTCGCCCGCTCTTGCCAGCTCTGCCGATTTTGCGTCGAGCAAGCCGGCAAGTTCCGTTCTGAGGCTGGCTATCTGTGTCATCGTACGTCGCCCTTACGTGGCTCTAAGAGAGAGCTGCGCGTTTGCGGGATCGGTCAGAGTTTGTCTCAAAGGGGATGCTTGGTCAGGCTGAGACTTTGCCGACGATAGCTGATGATTTTGGCGGACTGTGCGTCTACAGAGAGCGCAGTCTGAGCCGTGTGCTGGGGCTGCACGACAAGCCAAGGCGTCGGACAGTCAACAATCTGTGGCGATCTCCTGCGCCCTGTTCTGACCCGGCGCGACGTCAGGCTCTGACCTTAAGGCACCTGTTCTGCGCTCGGTGACGAAGTCCAAGGTACTAGCGTCTTGCTGCCAAGCACCGAGACTGGCGGTCGGACTGAATCCACAGCGCTGCTCGGCCCTGCGACAGATCCTGGAGAAATCTCTCACGCGACGCAAAGCAAGCAGACGCGCCTTGTCGCGCCGTTGCCTTGCAGGTGATGGTCGAGATGAAGGTAGGCAGGGCTCCTCAGCTTCCCGCGTAGCTGATGCAGCTTCGCCGAGCAGTCCGACACGCTAGACGTCAAAGTTGACGCCTTGTTCGACGATGATGAAGCTACAAAACACGAAGGCCTCGACGACGCTCTTCTGTCGGTGCAGGCTGGCTTTGACGCTCGTGACAGCTTCTGATGGCCTCGAGCTTGAGCAGTGTAGGAGCAGCAGCACGGTGGGACGCTGTTGACTATGACGACGTCAGCAATCCGAGCGTGATGAAGCTATTCTATGCCCGTCTCTTTCCCTTTCGACAGCTCTTTCGCTGGCTCAATGGCTCAGAGAGTGCGCCCGCTACGCGCATCGCTTCCATGTCCCGCGCTGACCGTCTGACAGAGCCGAACAGCAATTGGACTCATCGCGAGCTCGCGTTCACGTTGGCCAATGATGTCTATCTGAGATACCAATCCTTCACCAACGATGCCGACTTGCGCAAAGAGATCCTCAGGCTGAACCCTTCCCGCTTCGAGATCGGTCCCATCTATACATCCCGACCGCGAGACCGTAGGACGGTCAACAAGGCAGCCTTCAAGCCTGTCCGGCGAGAGCTCGTTATGGATATCGACATGGACGAGTACGACGCGATAAGAACGTGCTGTACAGGCAAGAAGATCTGCAAGCGATGCTGGGGCTTCATCGCTATGGCTGCAAAGGTCCTCGATACTGCCTTGCGGGGTCAGCGACGTCCCAATCAAGCATGGCATCGCGATTGATCGTCATTGCAGAGGATTTTGGGTTCGAGCACCTTCTTTGGGTTTACTCAGGTCGGCGAGGCATCCACTGCTGGATATCCGACCCGGCTGCTTGCAGTCTCAACGATGATCAAAGGCGCGCCATCGTCAACTACCTCGAAGTCATCAAAGGCGGCGGCGGGCAAGACAAGAAAGTCAACTTGCATCGTCCGCTGCATCCCTCGCTCAAGTGAGTATGCTGCTCATTCTCGCGATCTGACTCATGCAAAGGACACACAGGCGCGCATACGAGCAGCTCAAGCCATATTTCAACGACGTCATCTTGAAGGACCAAGATGCCTTTGACACTGATGAACGGTGGGAAGCATTACTGCGCATCGTTCCGGATGGTATGCGCGACCACGCTGCTTGTAGGTTTGCTGGTGACACCTGTACAGACGTTGCAAATCGCTGCCGGGCCGAGTGGACGGGCAAAAACATCTCTTCATCGCTCAAATGGCGTGACTTGCTCAGCAGCGTAGGCAAATACAAGACTAAGGTCCGTCAAAGTCGATCGATCAGTTAGTATGACTCACGCAAGACGCGAGTAGGGCAAAGAATCCGCCAAGGACATCGTCGAAGATGTCATTCTGCAGTATACCTATCCTCGTCTCGACGCTGAGGTCTCAAAGCATCTCAATCACTTGCTCAAATCGCCGTTTGTCGTTCATCCAGGAACCGGCAGAGTTTGCGTGCCTATCCTACCCAAGGACATCGACGATTTTGATCCAGAAGCAGTGCCGACGGTCGGTCAGTTGCTCAGGGAGCTCGAACAAGCGGATGCCAGGGGAAATGCGGGCTCAAATGACTGGGAAAGCACCTCGCTCGCCCCATATGTTAGGCTCTACAAGGCGCACATCGACAGCTTCCCCGGCTTCCAGCCATGTGAGACAGACAAGCTCCTGGTAGGCCCATAGCTGATGTAGTCATGCAGCGAGCAAGAGCGTAAAGGCAGAGTCTACGGAATTCTGATGTAATAACGGCTGATGTTGTGTGTTGACTACAACATCATTGACCAAGGACCTGCGCGTGGATCGATTACCGAGTCTGCTTTGCGTGCTTGACTCTGATCATCAAAGTACTGGTCAATGCGTGAGGAGCTGTCGTGGTCCGCATTGCTGATACCTTCCTCTGACGTCCCGCTTGATTCGTGACAGCCATTGTTCAGCATTAGATTGGCAGTCTGCGCGAGGGCTGAGCCGGTCAAATTGAGCTTGAGCATGCCACTGGTCGCAGTCGCTGTGAGCTTTGTTTTGAGATCATCCGGGGAAAGTTTGGTGCCGGGGCTCAGATTTGACAGCCAGAAGGCAAGCATGCCAGATACGTGGGGTGTAGCCATAGAGGTGCCCTTGATGGTGTTGACCGCAACGTGGGAGCCGACCCAGGAGGAGGTGATGTCTTCGCCAGGTGCGAACAGTGTCACACAAGGGCCATAGTTTGAAAAGTAAGAGCGTTCGTCCTGTAGAGACGAGGAGCCGACGGTGATCACAAAGGGACTGCCTGCCGGCGAGAGATTGCATGCGTCTTGATTCTCGTTGCCTGCAGCAGCGACGACGTGGATGCCGGCTTGATGGGCCGCCTTGACTGCCATGCTCGTAAACGTGTTCAGCGGACCGCCGAGGGAGATGGATATGACAGTAGGAGGACTTTGGCGAGCATCGTACTGATTGATGACGTATTGTATTGCAGCGATGATGTCGCTATTTGCTCCTTCTCCATTATCGTCTAGGACTTTTACGGCCCGGATGGTGACATTCTTCGCGATACCCCATCTACGTCCGCCTACAGTACCGGCTACGTGAGTGCCATGACCGTTGCCATCGAGCATCTTGTAGCCACCAAACTGGGCGACTATCTTTGCTCGCCCGCCAAAGTCGGTGTGGTTGCCATTGATGCCCGTATCTAGGATGTAGACGACGACTTCCTGCATGTCGCTCTGGGTTCGTGGAGTACAGTATGTATAATTGAAGCGGATGTCTTCTTGCAGTGACTTTAGGATCGGTCCAGCCTGCGAGACGCGTTGAAGGCCCCAGGTTGCAAGCTCCGGTTCATAAATGAGCTTGCTGGAAACACTTTGTCCGGTGAGCGACAGGCGGTGATCCACTGAGATGTGATCCACCTGACCAAGGGTCAGTAGGCGCATTAGTGCAGACGTCAAGAAGTCAGCATACATCCTGCGAGGACCTGATCCAAGCCAGTGCTAGATCGCCAAATTGACCGGCAAAGCCATTGCCGAGCCAAGGTTCGTAAATATGTCTGATCTCGACCTCTTCGGTTCGCTTGAGCAGCTCGAGAGCGTCGCGAGTCATATTGAGCCGCACCGGATCGTAGGCAGCAAAATTGTCACCGTAGGCCAACTCATCGTCGCCAAAGGTCTGATTCATTGCTCCATGACCTGCGTAGCTTGAATCGCCTTTGTCGATCGCGTGTGTGCCGGTATGAAATTGGAGGTAATGTTCGAGGCGGGCAAGGTGACTTTCGGGCGTGATGCCGGTACGGAGGGACACAAGGTAGGACCGCTTTCGATGTGCCAGATGCTGCCGGCCGTGGATCTCATGACTGCTGTTGCCGGGCGCCACTGCTTCTTGCGGATGGTATTGCATCGGCCGTTCGTCGGCTTCGACTGACTGGCCTGCGGCGCAGGGATGGAATCGAGCGCACTGTGTTTGGACATCACTTGCTTGGCATCGTACAGCAGCGATGATGAAGACAGCAGCTGAACAGAGAGCGAAGACAGATCTCATTTCGCGAGCGCGACATCAACGAATAGAAGTCTGACTGGGCGCAAATTTATCGCGTATGCCGTCGACGGGAGAGTCGACGCCGGTCTCTGCGCCGACGGTCATGGCATCTCCCGCTTCCTTCTTGTAGACGCGTGATTCGCCTCTGAAGCCGAGGTAGAAGACGCGCATATGCGAGCTTGGCGGTCCTTCTAGGTAAAGCGTCACTGTCGAGACATTTGAGAATTTTGCTACCTTGACCTACACAGCAGCATCAGAGTCTGTTCGGCCAAAGCCAGCATGTCGAAGACTGACCGGGTACTCCACAGCCTCGAGGGCGCCTTCGAGTGTCTCGAATTCTTGATCAGGGCGCGTCTCTTGGCATTCGTCAAAGCCGAGAGCGTGAGGTCGATTGACCCATATGCGAACCCGTCTTGGCCGCTCTCCTGCTGTGCCTGCGTTGATCAAGACCTGCTTGATCCTCACCATCTCTGTGAAGCTGCATGGGCGGAGATCGATCAGACCGCGTCATCTCTCATCTTGTGGAGCGAGCAGACTTGCCGAACATGCACAATGATGCCGTCGTCTTCGTCGAGGTTGATGAAGCAGCGCTCTCGATCTCTGTCGTTCCGAGTGTCGTTGGGCCTGCAGACCTTGGGCAAGCTCTCCGGATCGAGCAGATTGATGCCGTTCGAGAGATGAAAAGCGATGTAAGCGAACAAGTTGTAGGACGTCGCACCGCCGGCGCTGATCCTGGTGTGGGATGAGCTGCTATGGGACCTGTTCACATCCTCCTCAGTCAGATCACCTTCGCAGGACATGCCGTCTCGCGGATGAGAGGCCAACTGAGCCGACCAGTCAGTCGCGTGCAGCGTGCAGGGTCTCCGGGAAGGGCACCACCACCATCACTGGCACCACCAAACCTTGTGGCTCATCCATCGCACACGCAGCAAGGGTAAGCCGCGCGCTCAACGACAGACAGGAGCCTCAGTGCAGATGAGACTGCGCTTGCGAGGCAGACAGTGCAGACGGTAGAGCACTGTCAGGCCCAGAGGTGCGATCTTCAGCACCAGTCACAGCCGCAGCGAGCGGCGCAAAGTTGCTAGATTGCAGCGCTGCTGGGAGCGATGGATCCCAAGAGCGAGCTCTTCAGCTCACAACGACGCTCGCCGCCGGCCGAGAGTAGCAGCTCCGCCAACAGCGAGGCTGGCGATCCGCCCGAGCGCGATCCTGACGCTGCGCACAGCCAGCCGAGTCCATTGAGCGTACCGCTCGAGTCACCCCTGCTCGAACTAGATGCTATGCGCTCGATGGATATCACTCCTCTCGCGTCTGACAAAGCCGAGCCAGCAGACCCTCTGGACGAGCAAGCGCGCGCAGAGATGGCTCCGTTGCCTATCTGCTCCTTCCTCGAAGCCTACGCTGATCCTGCATTCATCTTGGACGTCAAGACGCTTGCCGAGAACCTGACGGAGAGGCTCGTCGTCAAACGACAGTTCGATCCCGAGGAAGCAGGTCATGTCAACAAGAAACTCACCTTTCACGGTGAGGCGGCCGCACGCGACAAAGCCCTCGTCGACTATCAGCGCTTCCTCTCGGACGCACAGCGAAGACGCGAGTCTGTCACTCTCACGCCTTCGCCAGGCCACGTGCCAGAGGGCAGCTCGACCTCGAACGGTACCACCTTTCCCGGCATGTCAGTCGATTCAGATCAGCAGCAGATCAAGCAAAGACGAGACGCGTTTGCTCAATCGCGCACAAGATCGGACAACAGCGACTCGACTACTGTTGGCTCAAATGTGGCCCCTAAGACAGACAGTTCGGACAGCATGATCGCGCAGCAGAGCTTCTCTACAACGCCACAGTCGCACGAGCGCAGCTGGCAAGACCAATCCGTCTTTCTGGCCATGCGGCAGAAGGAGGCTCAAGCTGATCGCATCCTGTCCGAGGCCTTTATGCCGAGCAGCGAAGAAGCTCAGACAGACTCATCAGCTCCTTCTATGCTGGCAACCGAATCTGCCACGCTCCGGTCCGATGCTGTTGCAGGGCATTATCCATTCATAACGGGCGCGGCAGCCGATCGTGGCTGGACTGCACCACTTCATCAGGTGCTGCGGCCACTCTGGGCGAATTCTGCATGGGACAAGCTACTGCAGACGATGGGAGTCGACAACAGACCCGATAGCACCGAGGGTCTGCTCGATCTGCTCAGCCTCTCGGATGGCCAGAAGCTCACAGACTATCTGGGCGCGCTCGTCCGGTATCATACCGACCTCACGCATGGTGCACGCAGCGATCTGCCTAGGCTGGGCAGTATCCGATTGCTCTTGACCCCGCATCGCTCCGTCGTTTCTTCCTACCTGAGTAGCGACGAGGGAACGGACGAGGAAGACTCACTTCCGGAGGACAGGCGACGCAAATCACCTTCGCCTGCGCCTGGCTCGCGCGAGACAGCTCGTCATCTGGCGCTTGCCCGTGTGCGCGTCGAGCTCGACCTCACCGCAACGATCTATGTCGACGAGGCAAACACTGCAAAGAGTTTGGCGATCCCACATGTCGTCGTAACGACTACTGTCCATAACATGCCCGTTCGCTTGCTTCGTGCTGCTCGACCGCCACTGCGTACTCAGACCTCGACTGATCAACTTTCTACGGATTCGTGGAGCAGCAACAGTACCGAGGAAAATCTGCCGAGCGATCCGACGGCCGTCGATCAATCGACCGTACCTGCAGGATTCGTCGTCGAAAGCTTGAGCAACCGGTCATCCAGGCGAAGTGGTCGACGCAACAGTAATGATCAGAATTCGCTGACAGATGAAGATATAGAAGAAAGCTTGCTCAGCGGCGAGATGCCAGGCACAGACTTCATGGATATCGGAGCGCTTAAACGGCACGCCCGAGAGGTCAAATACTCGGACGCGCGCTCAAAGCCAGAAGCTTTGTTGATGGCTGTTACACACGCCGATATGACTCGCTACATCAGCACGACTGAGCTCCGGCTCGATCCGTTCTGCACGTATCTCGCCACGATCGGGATGGGCCGTCTCATCCTAGCCTATCCTTGGCACGAGACTTCGCTCGGCCCGCTGTTGTCTTGGGCGCCCGAGCTCAAGGTGCTCGTCACCATGCTCCTGGCTAGTCCCTTCAGAGAGGCACTCTGGGTAGGGTCAGAGGGCGTGATGATATAGTCAGTGACCCGCCAGGATGCTGACGCACATTGGCTGATCCCATCCCGCAGCAATGATGCCTACGTCAAGACCGCGGGAAGGAAGCATCCTACGCTTCTTGGTCAGGCGGGTGCAAAGGGATGGGAGGAAATTTGGGAGACGTAGGTCCTGCCATCGTCGGCTCTCGACTTATTGACACCACCTGCGCAGGATTGAACCTTCCGTACGACGTGTGAAGGCTGGCGAGACAGTGGCTGCATACGACAACTTGCTTTTCATGAATCGATCGCCAGACGATCCGCTCGGCATCAGAAGAGAAGAGACATATCATATCTGGGCGCTGATTCCAGCTTTAGGACCGAACGGCAATTACATTGCGGCTCACAATCCATCCTTCGAGACGACATCGCGTGTGATTGCAGAGCGTCGCCTGGGCACGTTGCGAAATTTCGTCACAAAGACGTCTCAGGCACGCAGCGTGTCCGAGTTTTTCGATGCGACCTTGTCGAGTCTGTCTTGACGTCGCGCATACTGACAGAGCTGATTCTTGCTCGCAGGCCTGAGTCAAAACCCTTACGACGTGCCTTTTCTGGTATGCTACACTTGCAATCTCGACGTGACGACGAAGAAGAAGCAAAGACACGCTACTGGTCTGATGCCAGATCAGCCAGAAGAGAAATCGTCCGTACTCCTGCTTGGCTTGCAAGGCACTCTAGGCGTACCAGAGGGACACGCAGCCTGTCCAAAAGAGCTATCGTTTCCCTGGGATGGGCAGGATAGTTCTGATCAAGGATCAATGTCTGAGACTGATTCGTCCACGGCCTCGAGCGCCACAGCAAAGCAGAGCTACACTGCCGACGATAAGTCATATTGGCCCCTTCATGAGGCTTGCATCACCGGCAAACCAATCTTCATGCCCAATTTAGGCACGCGCAATGATGATTTCGAGATCAGGGGCTGGGACGAAAAAGCGCGCGCTGCCGTCGTGATCCCTATTCAGACGGACAGTCGCTCAGCCCCGCACGCTGTGTTTGTTCTTGGCCTCAACCCCAGGCGACCGTTCGATGAAGCCTACGCCAACTGGCTACAGCTAATGTCGAAGCAAATTGCGACTCAAGTCGTTATTGTCAAGGGCTACGAAGTGGAGATGGTCAAAGCTCAGGAATTGGCGATGCTCGACCGCGCCAAGACAGCGTTTTTCAGCAATGTCAACCACGAGCTTCGCACGCCTCTGACCTTGATTCTCGGACCCCTCGATGATATCCTGGGGGACAAAGCAGAGGAGCTGGCGCCGACCGTTAGAGACCGCCTTCGACTAGTTTCTCGCAACGCACACCGCCTTCTCACTCTTGTCAATAGCTTGCTTGACTTTTCACGCCTCGAAGCAGGCAAAATGCAAATGGCTGCACGCAAGGTCGACTTTGCGGCGATGACAGCCGACCTGGCCTCGCTGTTCAGAAGCGCGATCGAGAGAGGCCACGTCCAATACCTGGTGCAGATCCCCGAGCGCGAAGTCGAGGTGTATCTGGATCCAGAGCTTTATGAGAAGGTGGTGTTCAATCTCGTCGGGAACGCCTTCAAATACTGTCTCTCGGGCACAATAACAGTCACAGTCAGAGCTACGAAGCAGGCGGCGTTGCTCATGGTCACCGACACTGGCGTTGGCATTGCCGAAAGTGAGCTCAAGCATATCTTTGATCGCTTCCATAGGGTCGAGTCGACCAGTAGAACGCAAGAGGGCACTGGTATTGGCCTCGCGCTTACCATGGAGATTGTGCAACTCATGGGCGGCACGATCGAGGCTACCAGTGTGTTGCACAAAGGCTCAACCTTCACGGTCAGTATACCTTTGGGCACAGCTCATATTCCAGCGGGTCATATTGCAATGGAAGAAGAGGAGCCTACAACGTTGGGCGTCAAAAGAATGCCAAAGGACACCGCCATAGTTGACGAGGCAGGACGTTGGGCAAGCTTCGGGGCCAACACGGTGCTCGTCAGTCCAGCCGCAAGCAACAACTCGGATCAATTGCAATCAGAGGGTACCGGCTCTGGCTCTGGCTCCGGATCCGATGGCTTCAATGGCCCCGTTACGGATGACGTGCTGTCCATCAATAATTCAGTGATCGTACTTGCAGACGACAATCCCGACATGCGCAAGTATTGCCTTAGTATCCTTGGCAAAAAGTTCAAAGTGGTCGAATGCGGCGATGGACAATCCGCTCTGGACTATGCTCGGCGGTATCCTCCTGACATGGTCATCTCGGACATTATGATGCCTCGGCTGGGCGGTTATGGCCTACTGAAGAGCTTACGAGACGATCCTGTCACGTCGCTTGTGCCTGTGATCCTACTGAGCGCTCGCGCTGGTACGGAGGCGCGTGTCGATGGCCTGCTAGCCGGTGCTGACGATTATCTGGTGCGTGATATATCCAGTACAATGTGCTGGCAATTGGCTCATGCAGGCTTGCTTACAGGCGAAGCCGTTTTCAAGCAAGGAGCTCCTGGCTCGTGTCAATACGCATCTTCAACTCGGTAAGATGCGTCGTGAGCTCGAGAAACGCGTGCAAGAGCGCACGCGTGCGCTAGTTGAAAGTGAGATTCGCTACCGTAATCTGGCAGAGGAATACTCGGCTGTGACGAACATGTCGCCGGTCGGTATTTACTCAATGACAGCGACTGGCTCAGTGATCTTCACCAACAAGACCTGGTACGATATTTCGGGCCACCCGCCGGATCGACACTTGGACGAATGGCCGCTAAGCATTCATCCCGAGGATCGTCCGGAATTGCTCGCTGCTTGGGCAGAAGCCGTTGCGAATCAAGTGCCGTGCATGCGCGAATTCAGATGGCTGCACGGCGGGCATACGCTGTGTGATGTCCGTCCGCAGTTTGATCGATCAGGCGTGCTGACCAGCTGGGTCGGCTCATTGACCAACATCGAGGAGCGACGAAGGCTAGAGATATTACACCTGCGCGCCGTTGAGCAACGAGCCGAGGACGCAGAGGAGATGCGACGGCAACAAGAGCTCTTCATTGATATCACCAGCCACGAAATGCGCAACCTGGGCTCTGGTATCTATCAAAACGCTGAGCTTATTGGTGGCAGCCTCGAACGGCTCTCACAGATTATTACAGGCGTACGACAAGGCCTTACCTTTGAGGCTGCTCAAATGGATCACTGCACTTCGGAGATTGAGCAGAACGCCGATGCCGTCGACAGTATCATCCTTTGTGTTTCGCATCAAGGCCGTATCGCAGACGACATTCTCAACTACTCTAAGCTTTCGATGGGTCTGCTCAGCATCTCGAAGATAGACTTCCCCCTCGTCTCGAGGCTACGCAATGTCCTCAAGATGTTCGAAATCGAGAGCTCACAAAAGCAGATCGAGTTGTCACTCTCTGTCGGCCCTGGAATAAACGAGCTAGGCGTCGAATGGGTCTCTGCGGATCCTAATCGGCTGGCGCAAGTCTTGATCAATTTCTTGACCAATGCGATGCGATTCACAGCCGAATCTGCGACTCGCCGCATCGTTATGAAGCTAGATGCCTCTGCCAGTATGCCATTGAAGTCGCCAACGGCCATGCGCGTCGCCGAGCCTGCAAAAACAGATTTGCCGCCAGACGCCGTATGGCTGACGGTCGGAATCTCTGATACCGGGCGAGGACTGACTGCGTCAGAACGACTGAAGCTGTTCGAACGCTTCGCTCAAGCAAATCCCAAAAAGGATGGCGTTGCCGGCTTCGGCCTGGGACTCTTCGTCTCTCGCAAGATTGTCGAATTCCACGATGGCTTTATCGAGCTGGAGTCAGAGCGGGGAACTGGCAGCACATTCAGTTTGTCAATTCCTGCTCGGCGGGTGGCGCCGGTCGAGGATGCGGAGGGCTCGACGCAGATTGCCTCGCGCGTTGTAGGACGATCGATCAGAACGATACCTGCAGTGAGACGGCCAACGCTACCGACTTCGCCAACAAAGGCGCTCTCGCCATCACCGCCGGTGGCAGTGGACGAGAGCACCGGTCTGCACGTACTCATCGTAGAGGTCCGTTCGCAGTGCCACGAGCGTCCGTCAGCATGTGAGCTGATGTACGGCCACCAGGATAATCCAATCAATGTGCGCGTTCTCCAGCGACAGCTAACGAACAACGGCTATGCGACCAGTACGGCCGAGAACGGACAAATAGCAATTGACTTCTTGCTGAAGACGCACGCCAATCCGAATTTGCGACCTATTGATGCCGTGTAAGCAGTCTCAATTGCCGTAGGATTCATGGAACTGAAACATGCTGGTCAGGCTCATGGACATTGAGATGCCCGTCAAGGATGGCTTGACGGCTATCAAGGAGATCCGGGAGCTCGAAGCGAAGGGACTGCTGCGGCCACCGCCAGTCATTGCTGTGACTGGCAATGCTCGGCAGGCTCAAGTCAGCGCTTGTAGGCAGGCAGGCTTCAGACATGGCATCGCAATCAAGCCATACCGTATTAAGGAGCTCCTGACGCTTATAGAGATCGCTCGTGCATCGCCGGACGAAGCGCTCGATCCGGCAGCCGACGCGGCTATGAGCACACAGTGACTTTGGCCAAGCTTGTCGCTTCGCACTTGTAATCTATGCAGCAACTTTCACTCGTCTGACGTTGCGCAATGGTCCAGTCGGTCTCAGGTCATGAGCCTTTGCCGTTTTTGCAGGGCAGAGGTATAGGCGAATCAGGATCTATCGGGCGCGAGAGGACTTTGCCAACCTTCCAGTACTTCTTGGAGCGCTCGAAGAAGCTATGCCATCCCTGTATAGTCTGAGAGCGGAGGTGCAACGGCATCAGCCAAGGCGGTCTCGCGTTCGGCCGTCACTGACCCGAAGCTCCTTCTCGCTCAGGCCGCGCGTATCATGAGTGAGGTCGGTTTCGAAGCAGCCGGTCGTGAAGGCTCTCGAGCCATCTCGTCCTGCAAAGTGATGGTAGCTCCCGCCAGGACCGTACATCCTTCTGCCAGCAGAGACATCGAAGACATCGCTCATGACGGCGAGGTAGATGGGTTTGCTCGGGTCTGTGCCATCGAACTGCCTCAGCTGGGCTTCGGTGAACGTCTGCTGTGGGGTCGTCCACTGCAACGCAACAGGCAGTCTGACCGTGCTCACAGAATCGAACGGAGACTTGTGCGTACTTTTCGGATGACATGCTTCGGATCCGAATACTGACCGTCATAGCCCCAGAGCCAGGTCTCGGTGATCATCCTGCTCAGTACGAGGCTGCAGAAGATGGCCATGACGAGCCAGGAGAAAGCAGTGACGACGAGGGCGCCGGTACGACCTGTCTCATCGTCTCGCTCATCCTGGTCGATGCTCCGCACAGCCAAAGGCTTGTTTGACGATGAGTGATGCCGGTCGGTTCCCTGATGCCGCCGTCTTGCAGTCGTGTCGGCTGACATGCCCCGTCTCTTATGGCTCGTCGACGTCGACTGCTCGTTCGGGCCTCGGGCCTCGGGGTTAGCCCGGTCTTAGATGATCTTATCTGATCAATCTGAGTCATCGCCCGCCCTCTATCGCCTCTTGATAGCGCCGTAGTGGCTTTCCTCAAGAGTGACAGCATGCGTCGATTCAGTAGCTGGATGTCGTCAGGTGCGCCCGTCCAGGAGAAGGACCGCGAACCGCCAAAGCTGTCTAAGCGAGCCTACGGATATGTCAAAGAGGGCGAGCGGATGAAGCAGATAGCCGAGCTGAGTGCGAATCAGTACAGTAAGGACAATCCCGACGGCGTTGTGATAGCCGGTATCGCTCAGAACAGCATCTTGCAAGAAGAGTTGGCGGACTACTTCAACGCGCACCTCGAGCTCAAAGGTATGCATCGACGCTGAACGAAACAACTGCACCTGACGCTGAGCCCCATCAGAGCAAGATTTCTCGTATGGCGATAGCATCTCGTCCTCCGATCGGCTCGCACATGCTCTCAATGCTCTCTTCAAGACCCGCTTCAACTCGCGCGTCGACCTCAAGCCGGACCAATTCGTCTTTGGTGGCGGTCTGACCGCCATCATCGATCAGCTCACCTCGCTCGTCTGCGATGTAGGCGAAGGCATCTTGATTGCAGAGCCGTACTACAATGGCTTCAACCATGACATCACCGGACGATCAGAGGGCATTCCTGTCGGTGTCAGTCTCAAGGACTTTGACGATCTTGCAAGCCCGGCGACACTTGACGCGTTCGAGGACAAGCTCACAGAGCTCAAAAGTCAGGACGGTCCCACCATTCGGGCAGTCATACTCTGCTCGCCACACAATCCTTGCGGCTTCACGTACCCACGGGAGACGATCATCCGATACTTGCAGTTCGTAGAGAAGCACGACTTGCACCTCTTTGTCGACGAGATATACGCTCTCACTACATTTGCGAATCCGAGTAAGGATCTTTCGCTCTTGTTTCAGGAAAAAAAGGTTCTCACCCTGTCGCGCAGACATGCCCAACGCGCCTCCCTTCCAATCGATTCTCTCTTTTGATATCGGAAAGGAAAGCGGCTGCGATCCGAGTCGGGTTCACTGCCTGTATGGTGCCAGCAAGGACTTCTCTGTAAACGGGCTGCGCATTGGCGTCTTCTCGTCTCCCTGGAACAAGCAATTCATGACGGCTTTCCAGGCAAACTCGATCTTCATGAAAATCTCAAGCGCAAGCGTACGTGTGCCGTCATGTTCGATAGCAGACCCTGGCTCACAGTGACACAGGACGCGCTGTGGTCCACTCTGCTCAACGATAGAGACTATCTCGACAAGTATATACACAAGAATTCGCGCGAGCTAGCCGCGACGTATGCCCACTCTGCTTGTTTTCTGCGAGCAAACGGGGTACCTTTCCGAGAGGCCAATTCGGCCATGTTCATATGGAGTCAGCAGTCTCTTCGTAACGCAACCAAAGCTGACGTGCGTCACAGTGGACTTGCGCAAGTTCTTGCGCACCAAAACTGACGCAGGGGTCGTGCTAAGCTCACAGCAAGCTCAAGAGGACGATCTCGCTGCCGAGCTCATCAAGGCAGGCATCTTCATCGCGCCTGGGCAGATCTACGCCGCTCCCGAGCCAGGCTTCTTCCGTCTGACGTTCACACTTCGCATGGACTATCTCGACGTGGCCTTGAGTCGCTTCAAGAAAGTGCTAGATGCGAGGAGGTAGATCTGCGTCTCGCATCGGTCACGCTTTTGCATCCTATGTAAGAACTTCTGATATGTATGTATAACCCTCGTATGCCTAGCTCTTCGCTTTCTGAATTCGTACACAATGATATTCGAAGGGGCTCTATGTGGATGGTGATGTCGGATCGAGCGGTGGTGGTGTCAGGGCTGCTATTCTGGTAATGATGTTGTGATGGCTGTGATGATGACAACGTATAGAGGATATACTGACATGGCAACGAAAGGATGTATGGCCGGCCGACGTGCCATATTTTCTGGACAGGTTCGCAATCATAGGTAGACGCGAGCCATCGCCGGCAGACCCAAAGATTGATCGCCGACCAAGCCGTCATGAAGGACAGGCGTCAGTCAGGCGCCAGAGGAGCCAGCGAGCTCGAGAGCTTCTCCATGCTGCGATGAGAAATCCGAAGCGGCAAGAAAATTGTCGGTCTGGCAGGGCGAATAGAATTGCTCGCCGTAGCTATCGAAGGCATTGGCCATGGCAGTATATTGACTGTGTTGTTTGACCTTGTCGAGGGGCATCTCAAGCTTGAAGGTTCGTCCATGACTGTTGTCATAGACTCTCTGCAGGAAGTCATCCTGCACGGGGTGGGAAGGCGGAGGCTCCCTTATCGCTGGTATCTCGATACGCTCCAGGTGAGCGAAAGCAGGGGGAAGCTTCGTCCAGCTGGCGCCCATGTGTGCTTCGTTTTGAGAGATGAGCGTGGAGCTTGACGATATGCTGGCGCTCCTATTCTCGAGAGCAGGTTCGCCCAAGATCGTGCTGTCGTCGTCGATTTCCGCTGCTTCTGCTTCGCCATCTGCATCTGTCATGTCATCATCGGAAAACGGAGTCTGCAGGTTGACAGATGACGGAGCGCGGCGAGAACGGTGAGATGCTGCGTTTGTATCCGCCATCAGTTCTTGATGGTGGGATGCCAGGATGGATTCTCGCTTGCCCACGTTGCTGCACAAGACCTTTCGTGTCTTGCAAGCTCCGCAAGGCATCAGTCGATCACACTGAGGCGACACTATCAGTCAATGCCTCTTCTGAAAGGTTGCAGACAGGACTCTTACTTTCAGCTTCTGCGGGCAGATGGGCTGGTCATGAGCCTCACCTCACTGATACTGATCAACGGAAACGCACCTTTGCTCGACAATGATCGCAGGAGAGGATCTCTCGCTGCTTCCTTGGCTTCTTGGCCACGGCCGACTTCGTCTTGACTGCCATCACGATGCTCGTCGGAGCCACGATGATCTGCGTCTTCCTCCAGCGCTGAGGATTGCGACTGGAACGATGTACCTTCGCGAGACTGTCAACGGTGGCAAGGGATAGAGGTCCTTGGAAATCATTAGATCTTTAGAGCGGCCCAGCGCCCGCGTGCATGACTGACATTTGATGCCACAGTCAGCACAGCTGGGCAAAGAGTATTTCCCATCATCACTTTTCCGATCGTGCCGGACGGCTGACAGCGGTACTTTCTATGTTTCTCGATCGTTCCTCACAGACAAGCCTAGATCTCTTCAAACTCAGCATCCGCGCGACGTCGGCCATGATGTAATTCGCGCCAACTGCGGGACTACGATGGGTAGCAGTACCGCGCGAAGCAGCGCGTGCAGGTCTGGGACCGCGACACACCCGCACGGTTTCTGGCTCGATCAAGCACAGCGCATGCCAGACATGTACCCCATGCAGGGTCGGAGCCGCCGTCTGCCGTCGGGATTCCGCTCGAAGCAATAGTATGAGCATAGTCGAAGAAGGAGCTTTGCTGTGCGAGTGTGTATGATAGCGTAAAGGTGGAATAATTAGTCGTCGTGCCAGCGCCAATAGGTCGATTGGGCAGGTATATCACCAGCGGATAAGTCTGACTAGCCGTAGTAGACTCGCATTTACAGCCGAAGAATGTCGGCCTAGAGCTGTAATTGCCAGCTTGGAAAGCGCCTGTCGAGCTTGGCACAGGTGGGAAGCTAAAATAGCCCTGCGACATGCTTGCGCGTTGGCTAGTTGCAATCAAGCTGGCACCGTCAGGATGGTTGTCAGACGTGTCGGCCGAAGCATCAAGAGCAAGAATGACATCTGTGTTGCGGGCCTTGACGAGGTGTGGCGCGAACGGGACATTCTCGAGATTGAGACCGCCATCCACGATGCTGATGACAGGCTGGTTGGACTCCTCGTACGTCGAGGGCATCTGACCTTCGAAAGGATTTGGGTATCTTGCCGTCAGAGCTTTTGTCGCTTGCAGTTCATCTGCAAGCGCGGCAAGACCCAGCTGAGCTGCAATACTGGTGATGTTATTGACCAGATCGACGAACAGACTAGCCGATGAGCCTTGCACGAAGCCGAGGTTTGAAAAGTGCATGGCACATTGACCAACGGGTTTGCCGTTATTAATCTCTGTTCCCAGATACGTCAGGTTCGTCGCTCTCGATAGGATAGGGTCGTAATTCGCGAATTCGGCAGGTCCGATCTCATATACCGGATCCGAAAGATCGACTTTCTCAGTGTCATATTGCAAGCTGTCAACAACAATGAGCGGGTAAGGCATCTGAAATTTCGTGTATGCCATAGTCGATTTGATGGTCGGTCCAAAGTCGAGCGCTGCTGCATGATTAGGCGCCGCGGCAGAGTAGAAGTTGGCAATCGTGGTGCCAGGATCGAAATGGTAAGCAATCGTCCGTCCGAAGACATCCGTCAGAGAGACCGGAAAGCCAGCAAGGCGCTTTGCCTCGACATCGTGCAATATGTTGGCATAATAGGCAGCATCTCCAGCAGGGTCCCCAGTCTCGAATAATCCTTTTTGCAGGATCCAGCCGTTCGGTGAGCTGTCGCCGCCGAAGACGAGGGATGACAAGGTCGGCAGGCCACGAGAAGCCACTGTACAACACGTCAATGCGGGGCGCAGGCTCGTGTTGCAATATACTCACATGAGCCAACAATCCATGAGCCTCCCGAGAGACCAGTGATGCGAGAAGCAAGCTGAAGAAGACCCGCTGTCTTCGTCCTGACAGCGCTCGAATTGCGTGCATCAAAGGCGGACAGAGCGCCCGCGCCGTATAAAGCTGCACGTTCGCCGCCGCCGGAAACGGCTATGCCAAAATTGGGGTACCCCTTTGTAAATTGCGCCTTCGTGTAGCCAGTGCCAGTGCTCGATATGTAGGTATTCCATAGAGTCGGCAAAGTTGCTTGTCGCGATGCGACATAGGCTGCTTCCTCGGCACTCACCGCTTGTGACCCCTTCAAGGGAGATCCGGTGTCTCGTACAAGCGGCGTGCTGGGACATGCACCCATCGTCGGCGCATAGCCAGACGACACAGCACCAGGCAGGGGAGCGATCGCCGCCGCATCGAGTGAATGCGCGAGCAGCAAGAGCGATAGACAGCGAAAGCCCAGGAATGAGGCAGAAGTGAGCATTCTGCCGATTTGCTCTCGCGTGTAGGTGAGATTATGTACGATCCGGATAAGCGAGAGCGAGCATCATGCACGTTCGTGCGTGTGTCTTTTGCTTCATGGAGTACGGGGCAGACGCCACCAAACGTAAAGCGGAACCGTGTACACTGCCGCAATATTGTTGAACTATCCGGTAGAAGCATGGGGCAAGCCTGCATTGAGACCGTGGTCTGAGGCATGAATTGAGCTCATGGATCGAGCGAGCTCTGGGCACGATTCAGCGGTTTAGCCCCTTCCACAAAAATGCCCCATCTCGCCTCGCGACGTGTTTTACGCGGACAAATCACAAATCAGGCTTCGCGCCGTCCGCACACCACATGAGCATGGGCGCAAAAGAATGTACGCCCAAAAGCGCAGAAGGACGTCAGCCCCGAGCCGGTCCAAAAATCACGGTCAGCAAGATTTGAACTTGCGCCTCCGAAGAGACTTGATTTCTAATCAAGCGCATTAGACCGCTCTGCCATGACCGTGCCTACCGCTGTGCCGTCAGGTATGGCTGAATGCGACCTTACATGTGTGAGTATATATTACTGCAACTGTCGTTGGATAAGCTTTTTGGGTTGCATAATCGCAGATCATAGTCGTGCGTGCAGCTTGCTCAAAACATAAGAAAGCTACCGTTCCCGCTAGCCGATACCCTTACATCACCCTTCCGAGGTCCAGCCAACATTGAAACCGCGTCCGCAATGTCAGGCGATATTGACGCAGGCTTCTTCGTGACGCGTGAGGATGTGCGAGGAAGACTGCCGCCCAGTGGACTCGGAGACTACTTCCCTTTGAGCGCCAACTCAAAGACGCCGAGCGATAGTCCTTTCCAGCTGGTCATCAAGATTGACACACAAAGGCAAGCGGGCTGCAACGCATACCTGTCAGGCCAAGTCATCGAAGGCAGGGTGGAAGTACAGCACAGAGCAGCAGGAGCGAGCGAGAAGCCCGTTACGCTGCCGTCTGCCCGCCTGAGTCTTTCTGCGTTTCATGAGGCCAGGGTCATGTATTGGGACTACGAGGGAACAGCGCAGAAGCGCACAGTCGGGCAAGTCAAGCTCGACACCGAACAAGGACACGAATGGCATCGTTTCCCCATCAGCGATGCCGAGCTGCAGTCGGGACCGATCACTCTGTCGCCCCTGCCACCTTACGAGTCTGACAAGAGCCANTCGGCTACCTTTCCCTTTCGATTNACGCTGCCCACTCNAGTCGCAGTGACCGAATNTAACAAGATACCCTACAATGAGCCAAGGGACAGACCCCAGCTAATTGCCCTTCGTCGAGCACCGCCGCCTACAATGCGAGGCCAGCGCGATTGNTCTCTCGAGTCTGTGATNCAAGTCGTGCTNACNCTCGACACCGGCTCGGTGGAGAAGCCGCGCGTCGATCCAGTCGGCTGGATCTCGTCCACCTCTAANGTCATGGTCGCCCGGACTGTCTTTCCCACTCTGCCGTGCGATGAGCACTGTGAGGCCGATCTGACGAGCCTGCCGACTTTTGCGCCTGACACCATCGGCGANCGCTTCGCTACACCCGCNGTGCAGGATGCCAAGNTCGCCACGCAAATCGATGGCTATCANGGGCCGACGACTGCTTTCATCTCGCATGCACCCCTCAAGTCAAAGCTTGGTCGCTCGACAGGTAGTCTGAGATCATATGTCAGTCTGCAAACAANCCATCTTGAATCGTGACTNACAGGATTCATCACAGACTCTTNTNCCTGCNCATCTCAAGATTGCTCGTTCGACTCGTTCCATCCGAGCCGCCATCGAGCTCTCGCTTGATAACGATGCAGGCGGCTTCCTGTCTGCCAAGTCGAAGCCCATCACGATCACGAAAGCCAAGATAAGACTCATTTCGCGTGTGTCCACCCGGGGTGGCATAGATCCAAGGCCAAAGACACGCACGGACGAGCAACGCTTGCTCGTCTGTCCACTCAGTCTGGTTGTCGAGCCTGGCAAGACAACAAGCTGCCAGCTAGATGTCGATCTGCAAGGTGAAGGCGGCAATCCGACCGCGAACTTGCCGCCATCGGCCAAGACGCCTTGCTGGGAAGTCGACTATGCGCTCAGCATAGCTCTCACTATTGCAGACTCGGACGTCATCTTGCAGGCTTTCAGGGGCCCTCTACAGCTCCTACCCGGTGTCTCGCTGCAGGAGGCGCGTGGTGACTTGCCAAGCTATCAAGCCTAGCACAGACCCTACCTCAACGCAATCCGTCTCTCGACACGATTCACGAGTCATCGCTATACCAACAGAACTTGTACCGCCATGTATCATACGACTTTTCCTAGCATTGCACGCTTTGTGATGGATGCTAGCTGCTAGCGATGGACAGCAGGAGCATCAGACGAGATCTTGCAGCAACCTTGGGGGAGTTCATCGGCACCTTTAGCTTTCTGCTCTTCGCTTTCGGNGGCCTNCAAGCTGCATCTCACGCTTCGACANCGTCAGCAGCGAGCCCAGCAGNATTGTGTTACGTCGCTCTGGCGTTTGGTGGATCACTCGCAGTCAATCTGTCAATATGGTACCGAATCTGTGGGCTGCCAGCGAACCCAGCAGTCTCGCTTGCACTGCTTCTCGTCGGTGCTACATCTCCAGTGAGATTCGCCTTGTTCAGCATAGCAGAGTATGCAGCCGGCATAGCAGCAGCAGCAGTCGTTGACAAACTCACGCCGGCTCCCTTCGAACCGATAGTNCAGCTATCCGGCATTTCNGCGGGAACAGCCGCCGCTATGGAAGGNCTGACGACAGCATTNCTCTGTCTGGCTGTACTNTTTGTAGCTGTAGAGAAGCATCGTCTGACACCATTTGCGCCNCTGGTTATCGGCTCATCGCTGTCGATNTGTCTACTCTTTGCGAGCGAATACGACTCGGCAGGCGTCAACCCNGCTCGCGCACTAGGNCCATCNGTGGTAGGTCGCAAGTTTGAGCGGAGATTCTTCGAGAGTGAGCCTCTGACGTCAAAGATGGGTCTCGGCTGAACGCAAACAGTCTGGATATTGGCGCCATATGTNGGAGCAATCTGCGCTGCCGTCATCTATCGTATCTTCAAAGTGCTCGGCATGGATGAGCTCAATCCAGGTCAGGACGACACCGGCAAGGCAGCTTGCGGACCAGTGGCACGCGATCCCTTGCTTNACAAAGCGTTGCCGCCATTGGACATGNACACGAAAGCATGGTCGAGTGACGCACTGCCAATGCACGACTTGACGGACAGCAATCGAGACGCAAGTATNGTCATTTCGTTGCCGGACGTCGCCGATGNAGCANCGAATCGCGGCATGAAGCGACTGCGTGCGACGTATGCCCTGCGGCAAAGCATGGCTCGAATACCAACGACATTCCTCTGGTCAGGCGCAGCTTCAGTCGATCAGCGAAATAAACGCGCACGCACAGTCGAGCCACACATGGATGAGACCATCGATGCGTCTTTCTTCCGCAGCGAAGACCGGATGCGGCCAAGTCAGTTCCGATCGCGACTCGCGTCTTCAGCCTACTCGATGACTTGATCGCTGCGAGACGACACGGTGCTGTTGCAGCGTGCAAGGATGGTACATACAGCATAATCTTATGGATTCGATATTGTGAAATCTTCTTCGGTCTCATTGCGTGAGCCAACAAAAGGCTGAGTCGAGTCTATCAGTGGCTTGTGCGTGGCGTCAACTTGATCATGGCCGTGCGAGTCTACATATTGATACGTCTGACCTGTCGGATTGACATGATGACCGCCTTCCTGATCTGTGACGATGACAGGCTCTGCCGTAGCGGGGGGTATGCTCGATAGCTGAGCGCTAGCCTGCTTAGCATTGTCGATAGCATTGATCTCCGAGGCTAGCTCGACCGCTTCGGCCTCTGTCAGATTGTTCAGCTCATCTCCTTCTTGCTCGTCGAGCCTGAGGAGCTGATCAAGTTCGCCGTGCTCATTCGCCTCTTGTATTTGCTCGACAGACTGCTTCGCCCATCAGCATACCACGACGACACTGTACCGTAGCATACGCACGCCGACATAGCGTCCGTTGACGGCGACAAGCGGCAACTCCGTCCTGCCTGCGCTCAAGCGTTTGTATGTCGCCTTTGCACTTTCATCATTGGCAATGTCGAGATAGACTGGATTAAGATGGGCGAGGATGCGTCTTACCGACTCTTGATTGGATCTGATGCTATGCTTCGACGTGATGCTGCTCTCATACACGACCAGCATCTTCGTCCTGGCTGTGGGAGCGGACAAGTCGAGAGAAGCAGTCCGACGAACGCGTGCGCGTGAGTGGCGAAACGGCTGATGATAGCACGTCAGGCCTTCATGTCAAGAATAAAAAGCAAAGGTAGAAAATGTCCATGCATTGGTGTGAAAATGTCCATCGAGCACAAGGCAGACAGACCTCGCTATCTAGACGAGACCGGCCGAGCCAGTTGCGCCGGTGCCGGCAGAGCTACCGAGACCGGACGAGACAGTCTGGCCGGCCTCACCACCCGCTNAGCCGGATGCAGACGCACCAGAGTCTGCGCCGTTGCTCGAGTTGAGCTTGCCGCTGTCGGTCGAAGACTGGCCAGCCTTGCCGGAGACGGAGCTGCCTTGGCCAGAAGAGCCAAACTCGCCAAATGAGCCATCTTGCGCTGCAAGTAGCTGCTACGCACGCCCGCCGATGATAAGGCTTGGTGCTCAGAGAACTCAGATCCGACGCGGTTCTTGAGATCCGAGGAGAAGTGGGTGTAAAGCGGATGCGTTCAGTATCTTGGCAGGCGTGGGTCGACCGATGCCAATGCGATCCATCCCCCAGCAACGTCTGTGATATTCGCATCCGGTCGAGCTGTTCTTAGTGCCTGTGCAGCAATGACCGAATCATTGCCTCGCCGACAGAGCACGATCAATGGCGCTACCAGCGACGATGCCTGGCGACTGGGATCTTTGAGCAATTGCGACAGCGGAATGTCTGCGCTGCATTGTTAGAAGTGGCCGCCTCTACATCGAGAAAGACATACTCTGTGCGCCGGGAAGCGAGACCATCTCGTACTCTGTCGCGGATCGCACATCGAGGACATTGGCGCCGTCTGCAATGCGCGAGAGCGCGACCTTTGCAGCGGGTCAACAATCATCATCGTAAAGCGCGCGCGGTGAACATACTTTGGCGCTCAGACGATTGAGCGAGTCTGTATTGGACGCATCGCAGGTCATGCCGGCTGAAAAGTCAGGCCAGCCACGCTGTTGTCGTGAAAGGGCAGCGCTCAGGCTCTCGGGTCGTCTCCGTCTGATTTTGAGCGTGCGCATTGGCGTTTCGCTGAACGGCGCATAGAGTCGTAAGAAGGGCTGGCAGGCTGTACAGCGACTCAGCCAGAGCAGCGAAACGAGAGAGCGAGTGACGCACGCAGATTGCCAACGATGAGTCGTATGGCTTCCGATGCCATCATGACGCCTATGACGCCAGTGATAGGTCCCAGCACGCCTTCGTCCTCACATCGATCGCCTGTGTCTAGCTTTCCGTCAAGAGGCGGTGGAAAGACGCAAGCATACGACGGTCCCCGCTCGACATCAGGGTCACATGTCAAGATAGTACCGGTCTGAAGAGGCATATTCCATACTGCAAGTTGACCTTCACACCTGATAGCTGCTCCGCTGACGAGCGGCTTCTTGTATAGCATACAAGCATCGTCGAGCAGGTACCTCGTGGGTGCATTGTCTGAGCAGTCGAGTACGAGATCATACGAGGCAAAGTCGATTGGCGCGTTGGGCGCAAGCAGACTGGGCGAGAAGTGCATTGCTACGCCACGACAATCGACATCGGAGTTGATCCTGGCGCGTTGCAGTGATCATCAACTCCGTACTGATGCATGCGAGGGGTCATCCGGATTACCTTCCGATGGCTTCGATAGCGCTTTCAACCTTTGTCTGACACGTTGACGCGCCGAATTCGGTGTGGACGACCTGTCTATGCAGGTTTGACAGCGAGACAGCGTCACCGTCGAGTAGAGTGATGTGTCCTACGGTCAGCGTGAGCTCTCACGCGTGCGGGATGAGGTGAGCAGACATGCCGACGCCTGCAGCTGCTAGGTACAGGAGCGCTGGACAGCCAAGGCCTCCTGCGCCGACGACGAGCAATCTGGCTCGCTTGAGGTTGAGTTGTCCGGGCAGCCTGATCTCTGGCAAGATCATCTGGCGACCATAGCGCTCATATTGTTGATGATCCAGGACAAGCTCGAGCTGGGGCAGTCGCTGAGGAGGATGGGCAGCACGATCCAATGGAGATGATGCAATCTGAGCTTCGAGTGCTTTTAGCCGGGCATTTGACTGCTCCAGAGCTGTTCCAAGAGAGGCCTGTCGTTTCTGTTCAGCTCTGAGCAGCCTGAAGAGTGTAGCCTCGTCTGCCATTGACGGCAACCTGCAGCCAGCAGTCGCGAAATCCGGGCCAAGTCAAAAATTTGGATTCACCTTGCGCTCGATTGGTGGACTGCACAGCTGGAGGGATGGTCCAGTCAGGCTTCGTCTTCTCGAACCTGATCGGGACCGTCTACCGTCAAGGCAATCTCTGCTTCACCCAAGATGGCAACTCGGTCATCAGTCCCGTCGGCAACAGAGTCACCGTACTCGATCTTGTCAAGTGAGTCGACTTTGTTCGGCCAGACTTGGGCTTGCTGATGGGGACGGGCCCAGTGATCGTTCGAGGACGCTGCGGTTCGAGAACAGCAAGAATATCGCATGCATCGCGCTCTCGCCAGATGGCAATGTCCTGCTCAGTATCGACATGGGTGAGACTCATTGGCTCTCTGCAGCTGCTGTTGCTCAGTCTGAGGACAGATGGCTACTGCCTCATGGTCAACTTCAAGCGCGGCGTCGTCCTGCATCGCTTCAACTTCAAGCAGCCCGTCAGAGACGTCGCTTTCTCGCCAGACGGACGATTCATCCTCGTCACACATGGTCATCAGACCCAAGTCTGGCGGACGCCCTCCCATCTCGCTCGCGAATTTGCGCCCTTTGTGCTCCATCGCACCTACACAGGTCACTACGATGATGTGCTTTCGGTGCAATGGAGTCCGGATTCCAAGTCCGTCGCGCCGCTTTGGTAGAACATTTGACTGACCGACCGACCGAACGGCCAGATGCTTCCTCACGACGTCCAAAGACATGACAGCCAAGCTCTATACGATAGATCCGATCGAAGGCTATCGGCCAAAGACCTTTGCAGGCCATCGCGATCACGTCTTGCATGCCTACTTTTCTCAAGACGGCAACACCGTGAGCGAACATGGAGCTTACAATGTCTGACCGCTGAAGCGAACGCAGATATATACCATTGCCAGGGACGGCGTCGTGTTTACCTGGCGTGCAAAGGAGCAAGACGAGGACGATAGCGAGAGCGAAGATGAACGCATGCGCGGACTCGAAGCGATTCCATCTACACGTTGGGGTTTGTCCGACCGCCACTACTTCCACCAAGCCGGTTCGCGAATCACGTCCCTTACATTCCACTCGCCCTCTTCGATGCTCATTGTCGGCTTCGCGAGCGGTGTCTTCGGCCTCTGGCTCATGCCTGCCTTTGAGAACATCCATACTCTGTCAATATCGCAGGAGAAGATCACTTCTGTCGTCGTCAACCCATCGGGCGAATGGCTTGCTTTCGGCGCCTCGAAGCTCGGTCAGCTACTCGTCTGGGAGTGGCAATCTGAGAGCTATGTCCTCAAGCAGCAAGGGCATTTCTACGACATGAATTGCTTGACCTTTTCAAGCGATGGACAGAACATCGTCACCGGTGGCGAGGATGGCAAGGTCAAAGTATGGAACGCTTCGACCGGCTTCTGCTTCGTCACCTTCAGCGAACATTCGTCTGCAGTCTCCGCCGTCGAATTCTCGAAACAAGGTCAAGTCCTTTTCTCGGCTTCGCTCGATGGCACGGTGCGTGCCTTCGACCTCGTCCGCTATCGCAATTTCCGAACGTTTACCTCCCCCTCGCCAGTCCAGTTCAGCTGTCTCGCCATTGACCCTAGCGGCGACATAGTCTGCGCTGCCGGCTCAGGCGATGACTTTGAGATCTGCGTCTGGTCCACGCAGACGGGCAAGATTTTGGACATTCTCACCGGTCATGAGGGTCCAATCTGTGGACTGGCATTCTCGCCCACTGGCGATCGCTTAGCATCGTGCTCATGGGATGGCACTGCACGGCTATGGGATCTTTACGGAAGGAGCAGCGCCGTCGAGCCTTTTGAGCTAGGCTCGGATGGTCTCGCGATCGCGTTCCGACCAGACGGCAAAGAGATCTGTGTATCGACGCTAGACGGCCAGATCGTCGTATGGGATGTCGTCAATGGCAGACAGACTTCTGTTATCGATGGCCGAAGGGATATAGCGGGCGGTCGCAGATTGGATCAACAGCGAACTGCAGCCAACAGCACTTCCGGCAAGTGCTTCACCTCGCTTGCATATACAGCAGACGGTGCGAACGTCATAGCGGGAGGCAACAGCAAGCATGTCTGCCTTTACGACCTCAGAGAGTCTGTGCTGCTCAAGCGCTGGGAGATCAGCCGGAATCTGAGCCTTGACGGCACGCAAGAGCTACTCGACTCTCGCAAGCTAACCGAGGCGGGGCATATTGATACCATCGATGAGCGTGGCGATCTCTCGGATCTAGAAGATAGGCTCGACAAGACTCTGCCAGGCGCTCGAGGTGGTGATGCCTCTCGACGGAAGTATAAGCCGGAGGCGCGCACCAAGTGTGTTCGTTTCTCGCCAACAGGTCGGAGCTGGGGCGCAGCAAGTACAGAAGGTCTTCTTGTCTATTCGCTGGATGATCAGCAAGCCACTTTCGACCCCTTTGATCTCGAAATTGACATCACGCCAGAGACGATCGCAGAAACCCTAGCAGCGCGCGAGTACCTGAAAGCGACCATCATGGCCTTCAGATTAAACGAACACGCGGTCATCAAGTCGGTCTATGATCAGATACCACCCGACGATGTCAAAATTATCGCTCGCACACTACCTGCGGTGTACACTGAAGCGCTCCTCAGATTCCTTGCAACTGAGTTAGAGCAAGCGCCTCGTCTCGAGTATAACTTGCGCTGGGCAGAAGCTGTTCTGTCGGCACGCGGCTCATACTTGCGCACTAGAAGTGGCGAGTCCGCTGCAACTCTGCGCGCCCTGCAAAAGAGTTTGTCTGCATGTCAAACGTCGATCGCTCAGCTTTGCGATGCCAACACGTTTGATCTAGAGTACATCATTGATCAGGTTGCAAGACAATCTGTTGTTGTATGAGCCTAGTGATTGTACTAAACGATCTTGCAAAGTCGCAGTGGCATTCTGGTCTCATCCTCGCCCTTGACGTAGGGCTTTGCGACTGCGATGGTCCGTTTGATCATGTCGTGACCGGCATCGTCAAAGCGGAAGGAGTGCAAGAGAATGGCCAGCAATGCTTTGTACTCGAGTAGCGCCATCTTATAGCCGATGCAGCTTCGAGGACCGGCTGTATCACTGCTGCTCAGCTCAATGCCTCCAGATCGACGCAGTCAACGTACCGAGGAAAGTGAGCATGTTACCATAAAGCAGTGACATGCCCTTTGTTGCGCTGTGATCACCCGCCTTGCCGTCTGTCCATCGATCTGGCCTGAATTCTGCAGCGTCGTCACCCCATACCTCGGGGTCAACATTGAAAGCGCTGATACTGACAAGGATCTCCTGGCCGCGCTTGACACTGATAGCCTCGATGGCTTTACCATCGCGATCTACGTTGCCTTTGGCAAGCGGTATGACGTCGTCCTTGCTTGCGACGCGCTGCGTGCTCGGCAGAGGCGGCAGCAAGCGCATGGTCTCCTTTGTGACCGCGTCCAGTAGCGGTAGCTCGTCAAGCGCTTGCGAATCGAGCTCGTCTTCCGACATGAGCTGAGCGACCTCATCTCGCAAACGACCTTGCAGAGCTTGGTCATTTGCGAGCAGATGTAGCGTCCAGGTGAGCGACGTTGCACCAGTTTCGTGTCCGGCAAGAGCAAAAGACCCGATCTGACCTAGAACTTCATATTGAGACATGCGCAAACCCTTGTTGCTATCGTCTGCGTTTGCTTTGATCAACTGAGACATGAGGTCCTTGTCCTCAACGTCGGATCGGCTGTTCGCGCAAGCCCGCTCATAGATCTTTGCAAATTGTCTGTTGGTGTTATCAAGCGCCTGTCTGAGCTTCGACATTGCTTGCGTCGGCGCGTGCAAGAGCCAAGGCATGTAACGTAGCAGGACGAGTCTGACGATCAGAGATGACTCTTTGGCACCCTCGCTGCCGCCACCGGTAACAATGGTCTTGAAGGACTTGCCGAGGTCATCGAGATCGCCCGTCAAGCTAGAAAAATCCCAACCGAACCCAGCTGCACCAATGATATCGAGAGTGGCATTGTTGAGACCGACGGAAACATCGATGACGTCCGATTCTTGGCACTCTAGCTGCGTCTTCCAGACTTTTGCGAGAAGCGCGGCTTTAGCGGCAAAGATGGGGAACAGCGCTCTGATCTGGCTGGGGGCAAAGCTTGGGTTGACAATCTTTCGTTGACGCTTGTGAGCATCGCCTTCGGCCAGGAGTACGCCTCCACCGGACAGGAATTTGCCGATAAATCGCCCTTTGCCGAGCGTCTTGGGATAGTCGTACGGACGAGCGATGAGCAAATGAGCAATGGCTTTGTGATCTGCCAGGAATATACGCTCTTCGGCCAGTGTTGCCGAGATGCGGAAGACCTTGCCAAAGCGTTGAACCCAATCACGGTGTACCTGTGCGACGTCTGCGTTGATGAGGTCCTTGAGGTTGCCTAGCAGGAGGCTGCTAGATGCAGGTCCGCGAAATCGACGAAAGGGTGATAGGACATGCGGCTTGATGTAGTAGCGCGAGACGATCGTATATACGAGCACTGCGCAGAATGCTACGAGTAGATTCGACAGCATGACGGCTGCAGCGGAACGAAATGGTACGGTGTGGTAGGGTAGCGCATTGTGCCAACCAGATCTGGGAGTCTGGCGCACGGGCCTGCAGGATGCCGAGATCTACGCTTGTTTCCTTGTTGATCGACGCGTTGACTTTGTCGACTCCTCCGCTTTCTTGGCAGCCTTTGCCGCTCTTGCCGGCTCTGCCTCTTGTGCAGGCTGCGCTTTACGTTTCGATTTGGAAAGCGCCGATGCTTTCGCGGGAGCTTCCTCGGTCTCTTCGCGGTCCTGCTTACTCGTTTTGACTCTTGTCCTGGGTGGCGGAGCGAGCTCTGTGACTGCTGCAGTTTTGCTGAGTGCGAGTATAGCATCGTACGCGGTCTGGTCGACTCGCTGGACTGACAGTCGACCGCGGCTGAGAAGATCCATGGCCTTGATGGCAGACAGTTGTTCAGTCGTGATGATATCTTTCAGAGCATCCGGTACGTCGTCCATTGCTGCAAGCGCCTGGAGCGCTTTGAGAGAGACAAAATTGTCGAACTTGGACACAAAGACAACGTCGACCATGTACCACGACGGCTTGTCCTCCTTGCTCTTCTCGTCATAGTAGGGATGCGATGAGTCAAAGGCAGTGAAGTCGGGGTAGGCGAGCCTGGCAACCTTGGCCAGGCCTGCGACACCTGGCCGCTTCGTATTTGAATGGTAGAACAAGACAGAGTCATCAAGCTGCATGCTCTTCATGATATTCTTTGCTGTCGGCGGTGCATCATCAGACCAAAAGGTAGGTCTAGCAGTCCCGTATCACCTTGATGGTTGCGTACGCCGTCCCAGGGCGAGCCGACGTCCCTGAGTGCCTCGAGATCGTCAATCGAGAATTTGACATCCTTACCCTTCTCGATACGGCTTTCGGGCTCTGCCTGTCGGTAGCAGCCAGTGAGCGACGAGCAGCGAAGTCATCAGAGCGCATGCCTTCATGAGGAATGGCATCCCTTCTTGTCCGTCCTCTTGACTTGATGACGTTTCTAGCGTTCGCCGACGCGTCGCGACCAGCGATCAGAGGCCGCCACATGATCGTTGCGTTGGCGCCGAGCACTCGCGGTTTTTCCAATACTCATTGATCTAGGCAGCGATGTATTGATGCAACAACAGTTATGCACGGGACGCTCAAGCAATGTGATCTGGATGTGACTGGCAGAAGAGCAAGAGACGGGCAGCATGGCCAAGCTTGACACCGAGCGCGACAAGACGCTCGAGACCGATGTAGACGAGCAATTTGGGCGTTACGGCTTCTCGCAGAAGGATGTCTTCCGTCTGCTGCCAGGCTTCATCATTCGCCGTTCCTGCTGCGCAGTCGGCGGGAGAGTCTTCGAGCATGCGGACGAGCTCGATCAGACTCGACATGCCGTTGACCACGAGTGATTCCGGCTGTCGGGCATCGTCCTGAGGACCATTCTCCATTGTTCGGACAGCGGCCATGATATGCAGCGCCAAAGCCTGTAGCGATCGAATGGGCGGCAAATGATTCTGACCTGCGTTTAGGCGCAAGACCTCGCAGAGCTTAGCAGTAGCCTCTGATTCCAGGTTGTCGAAAGAACGATTAGATATGCCGTCGTCATTGAACAGGCGACGAACAGCGTCGACGGTTGCTTGGAATCCGGTGAGATCGGCTGGCGTCTTGACGAGCTCGAACAGAGGAGTCAGGCAAGTCAGGACGGGCTTCATTTTGCGAAAGCCGTTGAGACTGATGAGGTCGAACAGCATCTGCAAGTAAACACATGGCAGACAGACACGCTCCTGCTTCGCCAATGCTATCACACTCGCTTTGTCGAGCGTGGGAACGACGACGGTAGACAGCTCAGGGGAAGTCCACGAGACGGCGAGAGAGTCATGTCCGCAGATGGTCTCCCAGCCTGACGCTGTCCCACCGGCGATCGGTCGCTCTGGACCAGGCACCGTTCGAGTGACGTCGACCGGCGGCGCCTGAGATTGCTCAGCTTTTATGACGACATCCATCGGTTCTTCTAGCTCGGCGCTGGATTCTGACGAGCCAGAACCAACGTCATAGTCGCTGGTGTCGTCAGGCGGCTCGGAATCGGGTTCGACAGAGTTCGACTCTGAAGAGTCATAGAGTGCTGGCTCGCTCGACGGCAACTTCAAATAATTTCGTTTGAGAGACTTGGCGCTCGCAGAGGGTACACTGAGCTTCTCAAGTGATCTCGGGGCGCGAAAGACTCTGCCATCACCCATCGGGGTTGGCTTGCCGCGAAAGACGTATGACGCGGCGAGGGCGTGCCTAGCGTTGGCATGCTTGCTAGGCGACTCGTGTACGGTCGCATTGTGTCGCTTAGCAGGTTGTGCAGTCTTGCTGAGCTTGACGGGCGACATACTGCTCGTTGGAGCGGTCATCTCAGACTGAGCATGAGCTGCACGCGAGAAAACGCTGGCGGGATCTGAGGAAGCAGCGAGACTAGAAGAGGTGTCGAGGGGCTTGCCATCACTCTTCTGAGACTGCTTGACGGGGGACGTGCCGCTCGCGCTCTGGCCTGCATGCTGTAATGCCAATCTAGACGACCGTCGACCTGCACGCGTTTCAGTCAGCTTTACGACGACTTTAGAGCAGCCTGCGCACCCTTTGCTTCGATTCCAGTGCGCGTTTTCACCTTGAACAAGGCTGGCCTGTCCTTGGACGCTACCCGCTTGGCTGTCCGAGCAGCTGCCATCGTGACAGCGGCAGTGAGCAAGAGTCGGCACAGAGCGCGCTCGGACGTGGACGTGGACGCGTTTAATTTAATTTTGATCGGGCCGTATTGCCGGCGGCGAGTGCGTCGGCGCTGCCACGAGCTGAGCAGGAGGGTCCGCCACTCATGAGACGGCTGGGCGCTCGACTAGCTTCAGTGACGAGATACGACGCTGCATGGGACGGTCATGCAGCAATCGCATCGCTCGTGGCTGGCATGCTCGTCCAGCCGTTCCAGTCACGGCGACGGCAACATCTCGGCTCTCTACGACCTCTTGCTCGTGCACAATCATCTGCTGCCGAATCATCATCAGCGCACGCACTGCAGCATCTACCCTTGCTGAACGCGCAGGATATGAGATCGTCTCATCTCCAGTTTGCAAGCCACTGTACGCAGAAACCTATCTTGAACTACCCCATTTGCTCACAAGTCATCCGACAGTACTTGCCATTCCTGATGAGATCCGCCACGAAGCACGCTATGACGATTTTTCCGTACCGGACATTGTTCGTTCGGTGTCGGCGCTGCTATCAGCGAACGATCCTGCAGGCGCATCCCGCCAGCTTATGCGCGAATTCGAGTCTGGCTCGAATGCTCATCTCAGGCCGGTCTTGCTCGAGCTAGCAATACAGGTTGCGCGTGCATTGTGGGACCGTCGACAGTCGGACGTGCTCGAGAGCCTTGCGCAGACAGTTCATGACTGTCTCTTGGTCTGGGCCATTGAGCCCGGACAGAGGCAAGCCAGACCGCGCAAGACGCGCTCATTAGCCTTGCCGAAGCCTGTCGGCTATCTACAGCAGATCTACGCATCCCGAGCATATCGCGCCGACGCAGATCCAGACACGGCCATCAGACCTGGCACTTTAGCTTGCAATCTCGTCCTGATCGCGGGCACTCGTAGTGGCGTACGGGGTCTCAGAGCAATGGACACCGATCAATCTGCCACTGCTGTCATCAGCGAAGTACTCGACGAAGACGAGAGCGCCATATTTGACGAGATCTCGCTGCTCTGCTGGCTAGAGCATCTCGACAGCAGGCATGTGAGAGCTACCGAACAAGATCGCACTCGTCAGGTCGCCTTGACATTCTGGCACACTGTCGTCAGCACGCGGCTCGATCTTGACCTTCCGCTCGCATTCGGCTTCCTTCGTCACTGTCACTGGCTGCCAGATCAAGAGCGAACATACGTCTGCGAGCTGCTCCTCGTGCGCCTGAATCATTTGAGAGCACAAGTCGATGATGAAGCCAGCAGCTTTGACATAGAAACGACAAGTATCAAACTCGCAGAGGTCATCGTCAGCAAGCTCGTGCAACCAGTCGATGGTAGTGACGAAATGTCTCCTACCGCGAGGCTACAGGTTGATCGACTCGCAAATATCCTCTCGCAGATCTCCGAAAGTAATCTTGCTGCACTGCGAGAGAAGCTATCGAGACTGTCCACACTCGCATCGCAACGATTGCTAGAACGACTGCCCGCCCCTGCGCGGATGGAGTCCACTTCTGCAGAGTTCAGAGAGGACATCATCGACCTCTTGACCAGTGGTCGCACGAGCCTGGCGTACAGCAAGCTAGAGCACCTTGCGCACCAGGGCATCTCGACAGACGATCTCACAAGATACGTCAAGATGATGCGTGGTGTAGGACGACCGATGCTCGCCTACCGACTACTATCGCGCGTCCATTCTTCAGAAGCCCTCGCAAGGCTGCAAAAGCTCGCTGTCAAACTCGTCGGACGTGGCAGCACGGACGAGTCTGATGAGATCTGGGAGCACAGCGCGCTTTCCCGCGATGATACTGCCCTCAACCTGGTCAGGCGCGATCTCGAGTTCTGCCGGGCTAGGCTGGCGCATTGTCGCGTACACAGTCGACAGTGGCAGACTCAAGAGGCTCAAGAAGAGCTAGCGAAACACGAAACGCCTCGTAATCTGATCGAAGAGCAGTTCGCCATTCATGTCAAGCTCGATAATCGCAAGGCCGCTCTGCAAGATCTTCAAACTATGCGCAAAGAAGTAACGATCGAGCATGTCAATCAGGTACTGGAGATGTACCTTTCACCGCGTACATGGGGTCGCGGAGAACGTTACATGCGTCGCTTTGTTCAGTACTTGCACGCAGTCTTTGCAATGTTTCCACAAGTCGAGCCCAATCCGCTCACAGCTGTCATCGTCGCCAGAGCACTTTTCCGTGGGCAGACAGTTGTCGAAGCCGACTCCGTCCTGGCTATTGTTGATAGTGCTCTCGCAGACAACGACGAACTGTCGACAATCTCGATCAGTCGGGATCGTCGAGCTCATCGCGCACTGCTGTCTGCTGCCGCCGCCGCTTTAGAGGCGAGGAGGGATCTTGCAGGTGCGCAAGCAATGCGCAAGAGACTTATGCGAGTCTAGATCCATGCAATGTTGTGCCCCAATGTCGTTGTAAGATACAAAACACAGTACAATCTATAAAGCTACGAGTCATCGGGCTTGCTATCATCGCCGTCAGGCGCAGTACACGCGAAGCTGTAGATGGTCGCTTCTGTGTCAGCGAGAGTGATCGAGTCTTCCTTGCGCAAATCGTGCGAGATGGACGCTGAGGAGCCACCTGATGGATTGACGACCATTGCTGCTAGTCGCCTGCCGTACACGCAGCCCGCATCGAGTCCGATGGTGTACTCATTGAGCTGTAAGCCCTCTTTCGCCCAGTGACCATATCTGCGCAATTGTCAGTGGCTTCAGGCAAGCAGTGGCAAAGACTCGCATGACGTTTACAGGCTGACAGTCCGCGCGTGCGACAGTCACAGCTTCATCTGATGATGAGCTTGCTTCGCTTGCTTCGTCGGTGTCCCTGTCGGATGATATCGCGCCTGAAGTGTCTGTATCATTCGGATGAGTCGGATCGACTATCGTGACGTTCTGAGCGCTTGCTAGCGTGCTATTTGCTTGACTACCCGGCCTAAAGCTATCCGGATAATCTAGTCCATGGTCGCTCTCATCTGCTGACTGATCCTTGTTGTCTGCCTTGTCCGGGTCCGCATCGTCGCTTTCGTCCATCTTGCTATTCGATGAGCTTCCTGACTCATTCTGCACATCGAGTACGTCCTCGTTTGCCACCTCTGATGCAGGCGAATCGTCGGATGACGCTTCTGAGTCCGCATCGGGCATCGCAATTGTCTCTTCGTCTTCATCATCTGTGACGGGCTGCGAGCCACTCCAGGAGAGCGGGTTCCACCAGCTGGGTGCGGCCGAGCGCCGTCGTAGCCGCAGCCGATCAGAAGAGTACGTCCGTTGGCATTCACCCATCTCGTCGTTATAGAGCTCGTGCCAAGGTGTATGTTTGCTGCTCTTGGTGACCTCAGTATTGTGTCGTATCCCACGCATATTCATGAGCGCGAAAGCGTCTCGATTGTCGGGTACGAGGAGCAGCGCAGACTCTGCCGATTCGAGCATTGATTCGCGAGTCTGCCGAGATGGCGCAAAGTAGTCGCCAAGTTGAGCAGACTGGTCTATCGCTGTCACGACGTCTTGGCGACCCACGTTTGCTTCCTTCGCATGTCGACCGCTGAGCGTTTCGAAAGGCATCAGGCCGGCATGTACGACGTAGCTATGCAAAGAAGGTATATGCAGCGTGAGTGGTGAAGCTGCAAGCCAGGCCGCATCGTCTGAGGACATCTGTCTGGCGATCTGAAAGTGCTGAGATTGCCACTTGTACTCCCTCCAGTCGTCTGGCACTTGTACGTCATCAGGGAGATCTTTGCTGTCCAGCATCGACAGCTGATTCACTGACGTAGCATTGTCGGCATTGCTTGCAGACAGCATGACCTGCTGCTGCATCCATTCGCGCCATGCAACCACTTTGTCGTCGTGATTACCACGAACGATGCTTGCATTGACCGAGCGAGCATAGGCGACGGTAGCGAGCGAGGCGTTGACGCTCGGGTGCTTGGCAACGAGATCGCCGACGAGTATGAGCTGGTCTTCGTCGGGCTGAAAGTCCAAACCTTGCAGCAGAGATCTGCAATGTTTAGATCAGCGCTGGTTTTGGTAGTGTGGGAACAGAATCACTTGAGTGAGTCGACCATGCCATGGACGTCGCCGACGACGATGAGACGACCTCTGGCATTGCTTAGTGACCAATCGAGGCTTTCATGCCAGACAAATGCGTTCCCTGGTGTGTCTGAAGCCACAGTCGCGGTTGCGTTCGTTGCATTGGTAGAGAAGTCGTCGGCGACTTTTGCAGGACTGCTAGCCTGTGCTTCCGCATCGCTCGAAGCGCCAGAGTATGAATACCTTGGCGAGCTATCACCCATCGAGACAGGCCAATCGTCATAGACCCAGGATCCAATCCAATCTGTCGCATTGGCGTCTCGCGCGATCGATGTAGCACTCGATGCCGCGAGAAAGACGACGACGAGCAAGAAGCCCGAGATGATAGCGACTGAGAGCACCCTTCGAGCTGTGTCCGGGTGACCAGGCGGGGGCAGAATCTCATCGAGAAAGCTATTGGACTTTGACCTGGAGCTTGCCGAGGTCTCTGAGGATTTTCTGTACGGCGCTGTGCTGGCGAGCTCATCCAGAGTTCTGTAGCGATGCTCCTCTCCGCCCGTTTGCCCGTCCAAGGCTGCCCATGCCTGAGCAGCCTGAGCAGTAGGATCATCTTCGTGTTGCTGTCGTTGTCTCGACGTGCCATCAACACTTGGCCGGCCCAAGTCACGCCCTTCTTCGGCGTCATCGTGGCTCAGACCACCCTGAGCGTAGAGTCCCTCTGTCATGAGTGCCTTGTCTTCATGGTACGTTGGGAGCAAGCCAAGAGTGAAGTCACCACTTTGTCGTCGCCTCGCCTGCCAAATGCAGTCGCGACAGGTCGATCACCTGCAGATCCGACGACGCCGATGAATGACACGCTGGCAGACCACCTTGCGAAGATCAAAGCACAGTCAACGCACAAGTTTGACGAGTCTCTCTATCTCTATGTTCTGCTCGCCCTGCTCCTGCGCCGGGGACATCTGCTCGTCCACGTCAGGACAGATCACGACAAGCATGCCATCGCAAATATCACAGCAGAGATAGACTGGGTGAGTCTGTATCACGGCCTGCCCAAGGTGCCCTGACGAGATGGTGCCAGATCTGCCGAGCTCTGTTCGGCCTGACGCCTGACGCGCTAGACCTTTCTGCGCCAAACGCATCCGACCGCTCGCGAGAGCTATTCTCTCGAGGATCGTCGAGCGAGCAGACTTGTCAGGCTGAGATCGCAATCGTTTCGCACGCAGAGTCGCTCAAGACGGCCCAAGTGCAAGACCTGTTATCAAATTTGCGCGACCACGACCGTGCCGAATCGAATGACGAAAGGCGGCCGAAGCTGCTCTGCATCTTTGTCGTTGGCATCTCGGCAACGATTATGCGATCATCAGACGAATTCTACAATCTCAATCGGTATATTGTCGATCGATGCGCCCTGGGCCTCACCGCTACTGCTAGACCACAGACAGCTACGAACATGGCCACTTCGCAGTTGCCGCACTTGGATTTCGCTGTACTCTCGCGTATGGAGGAGAAGGCAAAGGCGATCTACACCTCGCTCGAAGTGATGACATATATCTCGGATCTACTGTCTGCTGTCAGGTACAATCAGCTATTGGACGGCAGGATGGTCAGCAATCGATGCAACCGGCACGTCATACGTCATGCTGCCACACTTCTCGCCATCATCACAGAGCCCAAAGTGGACGCACTGACGCCCAAACACATTCGAGCCATCTTTCCAGCCATGATCACTCATCGACTCGCACCTCGCGCCAAACACAAGGACATCCTCGTATCGTGGACTGAGCCCGCGTTACGAGAAGCCCATCTCGGCGAGCCCATCACCAACGCGCAGATCTCTCTCGTCCTGCAAGACCTACTGAATCTGGTCTGAGCATGTACCATCATAGTTTGAAGGCCTGTCGTTGTAGCAACAGGGATGCAAACGAATCTACAACTCGTCCTTGGGCTCTGCCTGAGCCTTTTTGATCGTCTTGAGCTGCTTCTTGAACCATGCGTTCAGCTTGTCGTACTTGAATGCATCTGCTCTCCTCCGATCGCTCAGCACATTCTGTGTGCTGTGAAGACCCTGAAAGCTTGCCTGTGTACAGCGTAGCTTTCTCGCCATCCCATAGGGTCAGCTGTGGCACTTTCTCGACGGACAGTGTCTTGCGATGAGGCGCAAAGTCTTCGTTGTCTTTGACGAGATGGAAATCAAAGTCTTTGTAGTAGTCCGTCGAGAGAGCTTTGTAGAGCGGTGTTGCTATGGCAGATTTTGTGAATAGAATCACTTGTGGCTTCTCAGACTGTGCAAGCAGCGAAAGGTCGATCAGTTCAGCTGAGCATAGCCTCGTCGCGCGTACCTTTTCTTGTAGCTTGGCTTTGAGATCTTTGCCCGTTTGCAATCGCTTGACCCAGCTCGGCATGAGATCGACAGCATAGTCTGCAATCGCTTTTGCCGTCCTGGCTCCCTGATAGTCTCTCGGGGTCGTCTTGCCCTTGCCAGAAAAGGCCTTGAGGGTAGGGAATCCCTGGATGCCGTACTCGCCGCATAACGGCTTGTTGCTCGCTTCGTCACAGTCTACAGCGAGGAAGTTGACGAGACCGTGCAAGTTGTCTGCTGCTTTCTCAAAGTGAGGAGCGAGGTTCTTGCAATGACCACACTGTGCAGCGGTAAAGTGTCGACGTGTCAGCTTATTGAGAGGTTGATCAGCTGTTAGCCGGGAAGAGGGAACTGACCCAAGGTGCGTAAAAGACTGCGACTGATACTTTCTGAGGAATGCGCAGAGGCGAGTGAGCTGACGATGAACTGCAAAAGGCTGATGGACTCACGTCGCTCTTGGCGATGAACGATTTGAAGTTGCTCTGGCCGAGCTGCTTCACTTTGCCGCCGAACGTGCCAGCCAGTGCAGACTGAGCGAGAAGCAAGCATAGTGTCGCAAAGATGCCCAACTGCCTCGATACCATCCTGTTGTCGTCGTCAGCAGGATGATGAGGTCGTTTGTGTCGCCACGAACGCGCAAATTGAAATGAACGCGACGGAAGAGGAAGAAGTCAGCTCAGCGGACTGCGTCATCTCAAGCCTGAGGCAAGACTCGGGGCCAGCATTGGCCGATCATCATGATGCTCAGCGAACCCAACGATCCCTGGCTCAAGTGGCTGAGGATAGCAGCCGGCAGCATCATCGGTCTCATGTCATTCACGGGCGGGATGCTATGGCTGTTCCAGTGCAAGCTCATCTATCCTGCCTCCATGCCAGCCGACAGCCGGACAGACGTCTGGAAGCCTAGCAAGTTTGGCATGGATGAGTATGACGATATGATGCTCGACTCGCCGGACGGAGAGCAGCTGCATTGCTATGTCATCCGTCAGAAAGATGATCAGCAATCCCGCCCGACCGTTCTCATGTGCGCTTGCTCTTCAAGCCACTGCTGACCTGCGTCGTGCTGATGCGAGCGAGACGGAAAGGTACCACGCGAATGCAGGCAACATGGTGAGCTTCGTTGGCAGAGCAAGCGCGCAGGAATTGAAGACGGCAGCAGGGTCATCGACTGCCTATCGCGTCTGTGTTTTACAAGAAGTTCAGGTGCAACGTCATGCTGCTCTCCTACAGAGGGTACGTCTGCGGCTCGCACGGGAGTAGATCGTAAAAGAGTGGATCAGGTACGGCAAGAGCACAGGCACGCCGCAGGAGAAAGGCATGCGATTAGACGCCCAGACCGCTCTGGACTATATTCTATCAGATCCAAAGCTAGAGAAGACGCCCATCATCCTCTATGGTCAGAGCATAGGTACAATCATCCCGACACCCCCTGCCACAAAGAGTCTTATCAGGTGAACACAGGCGGCGCGGTCGCAATCGCTACCGCTGCCAATAACGAGAGGCGACTGCATGGACTGATCGTCGAGAACACATTTACAAGTCTCGTGAGTGACTCCTCTCGCTGTTCGTCTACTCGCACGGCCTGAGACTGTATCCAGCCCGAGTTGGTTCCGAGTGTGATGCCTGCAGCGAGGCCGTTCCTGTCCTTCCTCACGGAGATCTGGCCATCGTCCCGGGACATCAAGACGTTCACGCATCTGCCGATCCTCTTCATGGCCGGCGTCAAGGATGAGCTGATCCCCCATGCACACATGAAGGAACTCTATGCGACCTGTGGCAGCGACGAGAAGTACTGGCACGAGTTGCCAGATGGCACGCACAGTCTGTCTGGGGCCTGACTCGCCGCCGTGGATTACTGATGCTGGCTGATCAGATGATACTTGTGTCATGCCCGGCTACTTCGAGCGAGTAGCGCAGTTCATCAAGGAAGCCGTCTTGCACCGTCGGACGCCTCTGCAACGGCATACCAAGCCGGTTCGACAGGACACCTTTGCGCCCGAGCAAGTCAAAGGGGTCGATATCGCGCTGCAGAACCTCGGCGCGGAAGCGGGCAGTCGTGTACCGGGTAACAGCCATCTCTAGACGCTATGCAGGCACGCCTGTCATGTAGCAGGCATGAGCCCAGTCACGCTCGGGACAGAGACAAGACAGGCTCGCCTTCAGATTCGTACATCGTGAATGCGTTCTGGATCTTGCCTGCCTTCTGTCTCGGTCTCTTCTCGCTGTAGCCTGGCTCCCTGCGTGCGATGACGCTGTTGACGAGTTGTCGGCGTTGCATCTCCGTTCTCAAGCTGAGATGTCTCGATATCTTGAGCAGGACGAGTGCGACGACGACTGCGAGCAGCAAGAAGGAGACGACGATGGAAGCGGCGACGATGGTCGAGGATGAAGCATGGTCGAGCTGTTCGGGTCCATTGGCCGTATCGTTGCCCGACATGGCGCATTCGCCGGGCCAAACACTCGCCGGACTCGCCCTTGGACTGCTCGGCGCGACCGAGTGGATCGATCAACTTGCCGAGCCGAGTCCGACCATGCTGAGGGGATGCCGGCCCTGCTGCGAGGCACAGTCCTGGCTCGTAGCCAGCAGAAGGTCAGCAGCACGACAGAGGCGACAGCTGAGCGACGCGCAAGAGTTCAGGAGCGACAAAGGCTCACTCAAGCTCTCCCTTGTACTTCCCCCTTGCCTCTCTGCCACCTCCCTCGTCGGCCTGACGTGGACTCGACTGCATGTAGAAGTCCGCCCATCTCATCGGCATCGCACAGAGTCGTGGCGAGCGTCCGTAAGCGCGTACATCGTCGCATGGGACGGCGTGTGACGAGCGAGAGGACAGATATCAGGAGGATGCCTACAGCGTCAAGTCGCTCGACCTGAGCACAGCCGAACTACAGAGGACGCTCAAGCGGACAGAGAACAGCTCAGCGGCCGCCTGGAAAGGCAAAGCCAAAGCTTCCTCTGAGCCCACAACCGAGCAAGTCGCCTATTTTGCCGTCTTCGACGGGTTCGCTCTCCGTCGCATGTTCCTCACTGCAACGCTCACGAGGCCGCAGGCACGGGACGGACCAGGTCTCACACTATCTACGTGATCATCTCCACGAGCTACTTGAGACCGCAAAAGCATCAGACGTGCCAGCAGCGGTAGAGACCTACAAGAAAGTGGGAGGATATCTGCGTCGCTTCAAGGGCGGCTTGCTTGAGCGGCTAGCTCAGGGTACAGATGGTCTGGAAGAACCGGAAAGAGTTCTTGCATTGGATGAGCGGGCGACGCTAGCTTTCATACAAGCAGACGAGACCGTCATGGCCGACGAAGAGATCACAGAGTCAGTTCCCGCCTTTGGCGTCTCAGAGCTACAGCTCATCGTGACACATAGTTCTGGCTCCGTAGCAACAGCTGTATTGCTCCATTCACTCGATATACCCGCTACGCCATTCTTCGGCGCTTCACTCCTCGCACTCACCACGGCTCACGTTGGCGACACGCGAGCACTCTTGACAAGTACAAAGACCGGTCGGATCACCGTCCTCACAGAGAACCATCACCCAGACTCTCGCGTCGAAGCGGAGAGACTGAGGAGGATAGGCACAGGGCTCGTCACCGATAGTTTTGGTGAATCCAGATGGGGCGGTGCGCTCGCCAATACGCGGGGGATAGGTGATGAGAAATTCAAACGACTCGGCGTCGTTGCCGAGCCAGATGTCACTACGCGTGTACTCAAGGGCGAAGAATGGTCGTCGCTCATCTTGCTCTCCGATGGCATCTCTGGGTCACTCATCTCGCTTTGTGTCGTTTGGTACCCCTGCTGACGAACCAACAGTGTCATCTCGGATCAAGAGACGGCAGACCTCATCAGAGGCATCTCAGATCCCACAAAAGCTGCTCAGGCTATCGTCAACTTTGTCGAGGAAGTGGGCGGGTGAGCTGCTTGTCCGATCAGCCGAGGACATGCACTGATGATCGATCTGTGCAGCGAGGACAACATGACCGCCATTGTCGTTCCACTGCCTGGCTGGCGCAAAGTAGGAGGAAGCGACAGCACTGCCTCTCGACGCGAGTTCAGACTACGTCAGAACGTAGGCCAGAGTGCTAGAGCGCGGCGAATGTAACGTCGCCCCGTGCAATGCAGTCTCACACGGGCTTCGTCCAGTGCGAGAACCAATCACTCACCGCCATCGTGAGCTCTGTCTGTGCCCCTTTGACAGATTCCGGCATGACCAGACCGATGTTGCTGGGCGTGACGACCGACAAGGCGCCATTGTGTCCGATATCGTCAATAACGATGAAAGGCTGTTGAACGGTGCTCTTGCGAGGTGGTGCGAGGTCCGCACAGGGAGTCGCTTGGAGCCAGGGATCCTTCTTTCCGCAGACGTATGCTAGCCGGTCGGCAGCGATACCCCAGCCGCCTAGCTTGTTGGTCCCAGCCGTATCTGGCCAAATCGGTATCGAGTTTAGCTTACCTGGTGGGAATGCCCACGGACAGCCTTTGTGCATGAACGCCATGTTCTAGATTGTCTAGCATCAGTGGACACGATCCGCGTGATAGCGGGAGAACTGACGAGATGTCGCGAGACAACAGGAAGACCGGCACTCTCCGGTCTGCCAAAGCCAGAGCGAAAGTTGGGCCACTCCGTGCACATCAGATAGTACCACGGCTTCCAAGTCTGCGTCAGATCTGCGATAGCATAGCCAGTAGCATTGTACGTCGTCCAGTTCTCGTCTGCTGTTGTCGTGTAGCCTCTCCAGCTCTCGCCGGTGGGCTTGAACCAGGTCATCCAATTGATGAGCCAAGTGGCAGCTTGTATGAGCGTCTCGCCTTGACGGTGGCGATCAGACATGAAGCCCGAAGCCTGGACTAGGTCTACGGCGCTGGTCAGATCGGCCGTCGAGTAGCCAGCGTGCGCATTGAGCGGCGCGGTAATATTGGCACAGAAAGCCGCATAGTCGGGTTGCAAGCCACCGTTCTGCTTCCAGATAGAATCGGTGAAAGCTTCGGTGCCGCTATTGATGTTATAGAGTACGTCTTCGATGTGATGGACACCCGTCATACCGAAGCCGTCCTTGATGGCTTCGATATGTGCTAGATTGCCCTGATCGACCAGGAGATCCATGACAAGCATGGACACTTGGGTGGCCCGCACGCAGTCTCTGATGCCGTGTTCAATGACGGCGCCGTAAAACTGCCAGTAATTCAGGAATGACTCTGTGACGGCAGAAACGGCTACAGCTCCCGCAAAAATATCGCCATATTTGTTGCGGGCTATCGCTGCTTTTGCGCCTCCGTAAGAGACTCCGACGTAGATGATCATTGCATTCTTGTACGTCAGATCAAGATTTTCATAGCCAGCGTAGGTAGCAAAGGTCGCAAAGTGCTTGGCGTCTTCGATGCTTTGCAAGGTAGACGAGAATCGCATGGAATCTGTGCTGTAGTCCGAAAAGGGTTGCGACTTGCCGTAGTACCGCTGCTCGAGGATGACGACCATGCCTCCCGTCAGCTTGGCTGCGTCCATCATCCAGCTGTAGTCGAGATAGTCGATCATGACTTCTGCGTCGACCTCGGCGCCATCGAACAGATAGATTGGTCCAGGCTTGGCTCGGTCGAAGTACTTGTCCGAGAAGAAATACCTCAGCTTGAACGAGCCTACGTTTTCAGAAGGATTGGTAGGGAAGTGATCGATGGGCGTATCGATGTAGTACTCCTTATGAGCGAGTGGTGCGGCTCGCTTGACCTGAGCATTTCTACTTGACGCTTTCGAACGAGGCCAGGCCGTTGCATACCCGACAAGGAGGAGAGCACACAGTGTTTGGAGCCAGAGCATCTCACTTGCTGAGGGGGAGAGCAGACAGGCAGGCAGGAAGGAGTTGGGTTGTTCAGTGACGGCATTTGTCCCTGTCGCCTGTCGCGTGCCTTTGCCACAGCGTGTCAGCAAGTCGCCGTCGACACTCGACACCGTACACCTTGGGGACTCCCCTCGGCTGACGTACGACGAGGCGTCCATGTCGTATGCGCCTCCGCCAGATCCTCCGCCATTGAGTCACCATCGTACTGGCAGCAGTACTGCAAGCGAGCATGGACGGTCTGTGCCTGCGAGGAGTAGCACGCTCGACGCCGAGCCAGATTCTGAAGCTCCTCCTGCATACTCGGCCACAGCCGACGAGGTACAAGAACAATCACTTGAGCATGGCGTGAATCCCTTCAGGCCGGTGCAGCACCACCCATCATCTCCTCGGCCAGCATGGCAACCACCGCCTCAAGACTGGCGTACCCCTCCCCCGCCCAACATCTCACCTTACCCGATGCGGCCGCCTTTACCCGGTCAGCCGCCGCCTGCGCTACCCGCTGGCTTCAGACCAGATTCGAGCACTTCGACGATACCCCGACCCCCGTTGCGATATGAGCCTGCGACGAAGCCTATCAACGGTCAGCCACTGCTACGAGAGGGCAGGATCTTGCACTACCCTCGAGGCTTCGTTTGTCCCAAATGTCACAGCACGGGCTTCAAATCCTACGACCCCACGCACCCCTGCAAGACTTGTTGGCAAAAGTATAGCCAACCTATGACATCTGCCCTACGAATCTCGCTCTCATCTGTCACAGACCCGCCGCGAGAAGGCTGGCAGCGACCGCTACCTTCTTTCTCCCATCAGCCGCCGTATGGACCCGCTCCGAGTCAACCTCCAGGGGCGTACCCGACTCATCTACACCAGCCTCCCAGCGTACAGCTGCGATCTTACAACGGCTACGGTCCACCCCCGGGAGCGCTAGTGGTTCGTCCTGGCGATCCAAGGATAGGCGGTGCTTTGTGTCGTGAGCATCGTACTCCGTCATCCATGCGATCTGGACTGATGCTGTGCGCGTGCAGGCTCCTGCGGTGGCGAAGGCAGCATACCCTGCGGCTTCCTCATGCTCGACACGGAGACCTGTTTGACGTGTGGAGGCTGTGGTAGAGTCTTCTAGCCGGCGGTGTCAAGCTGAGAGAACCTTTGGCTGCAGTACGGCGCTGCGCGTAGATCATGTTCAAGGAGATGAGTCCATTCCTCTGTAGAATGTATTGCACGATGGGATTGTAGAGCACTGATCGGGTTCGGGAGCTTTCGTGTGCTTTAGTCAATGCACCAGCGTTGATGGCTAGCCGCGGCGTGTAGCAAGCTCTGAATCATAGATGCTGCCCAAACTCATTCATGTCGACGACATCGTAGAAGCACCTTTGCAATGACACGCGGCGCCTGCACGCGCTACATCCTCTATGGTCCTAGATAGCCTTTGACTTGACGAGATCTGCATGGAGAGTCAGCCAAGCCCGCCTGGCTGTAGACCTCGCGTGCGACATACTTTCGACCTCTGTGACCGCGTTGGCCAGGATCTCCTTCTGAAGACGAGCGTCAGCGAGGTCCTTGGCGACCTTGTCGCGGATCGAGTTGACGAGATCACGCTGTTCGCCTTCTCTGACTTGTGCCTCAAAGCGGACCCAAGAGTCGAGCGTCGACTTGAGCTCCTGAGCCAGAACGGACTTTTGTCGGAGCGTGAATGACTCGTGCTCGAGTTTGGCGGTCTCCTGCATTGACAGACTCTCATCAGTCACGATCCGAGTGCTGCCCTTGCTGGCTCGCGCACCTTTGAGAGCGCAAAGAGCGCCTTGGTAACATCGACGACATCCTTCATCTCGCCGACAGAGTCGATACGCGTCTGGACTGCCTGGGTATGCTCCTTGCGGGTGGCATTGAGCAATCCCTTGATTTTCTACTCGTTTCTCGTCACATCAGCGCCCGTACGACGGCGTCCATGGCACCAACGGACCTCGACTTGGGATTCCGCCCAATCTTTGTACGGCGTTCGGACCTGAGTCGCGACAAAGACGGCAAAGGCAGCGAAGGAACCGAGGATGACAGTCTCTTCGTTGATGACGTAGAGCTCAGAGGAGACGGCGTAGGCGGTCAGGCCGGTGCCCAAAGTGACCCATCCGGTCTTCGAGATGACACTGTTGCCCGGCAAGGTGTCAATCAACGCAGCTGCTCGCGAAGCCGGCTCCGGTCGACCTGCAGAGCATCGAATGTCAGCCTGCATGTACGCTGACGGGCTTGCGCAGGTCGTCTCACTCGGTGTCGAGCTCTGATATCGCACACTGCTCGGGACGAGGATCAGCTTTGAGGGTGATTGAATCGCAGGTCAGGCTTACCTGACCGGCGCTGACAGCGTCGCCGTGCGCAAAGTCGGAGCCAAGCGTGGCAGAGTACGTCCAGCCCGCAACATCATGAGGTAACAAGCCGCCCTGGATGGTGTCTGCCTGCTGGGCCAATGTTTTTGAAAAGATTCAACTAGCGCAAACCGCGTCTAAAGAATTGGGGGCGAAGTGGACATTAATTGTGTACAAGATTATGACATCAACACTAGACCTGCTGGTTCGGACGCTTTTCTTGAATCTCTCCGGCAGGTGCGTTGACTTGCGTCTGATTTTCGTGATCAGCATTGGGTTCCTTCCTCGTCCAACGCGTTCCCCATCTCTGGTTGACGGGCGAGTCCAACCCGGTGTAGATGAGCATATCGTACGCGAGAGACCCCAGCAGAGCACCGCAGATCGTGGCAACGATAGGCGTCCAGATCCAATACCAGCTGTAGAACGTCCAGACGCCTTTGCCATATCCGACGATCCAGGTAGCAAGTCGAGGTCCGAAGTCTCGCGCTGGGTTGATACAATAGGCTGTCTGTGATCCGAGACATGCTCCGATGGCGAGGACGAGGAGTCCGATGATGAGAGGATTCATGCCTTCTGTCGGCGTCGCGTTGGCTTTGTCAGAGACAGCGAGCACAATGATCATGAGGATTGCGGTGCCATAGATCTCGTTGAAGAAGGCTACTGGTGCACCGACGTATGTCAGTGGGTAAGTCGAAAAGAGAGCGGCGGTCGCTGTCGGTCCAGTGTGAGTCCTGATGTTGGGACCGCCCTCGTAGATCGTTATGGCCTCGTGATAAGTGGCATAGACCATGAGAGCGCCGCACATAGCTCCCAGAATCTGTGCAAAGATGTAGATCGGTACCTTACGCCAAGGAAAGCCTCTGAAGACTGCGAGGGAGACTGTCGGATCCCATCAGTCAATTCCAGAATATGGACATACGCAGAGAAAGCTTTACTCGTCACTGCTGGATTAATGTGTCCGCCGGAGATACCACCGCTTGCATAGATACCTGCATCAGACTGTCAGCAAAGAGGTCTTTTGCTGAGGCGCAACCAACCTGCGGGTACCATCAGTCACCATGCCGCAAGACTGGCTCAGAAGAACATACCAAACACGACGGCCATGGCCCATCCAAAGGATATGCTGAGGTAGTCTCCTTTGGGTGACGTCGAGACAGCGGTCGAAGATGACAATGTGACCTGCAAAAGCGTCTGGATCAGGCCTCGTGCTGGTGTCATGAGCGCAGAGACCCACCTGACAATTCACGCCATTCCCAAATGTGATGAGGATAATGGTTCCCAGAAATTCTGCAAAGGGCTCTCTGGCCTTGTGTCTAATGCGTGACCAAGGATTCGGGAAGTCCTCTTCATCGTCAGAATTGGAGCTGCTCGAGCTGCTCGTGAATGACTGCGGTCTTTTCTCTTTGCTGTCTGCGTACGGATCGCTGCTGTTCTCGATGGCGGTGATAGCCTTGCTTTGCTCGCTCTTTTCGCTGCTCTGGCCAGATGTACCTTGCGTCAGGGCCTGGAATTGATCTGGACTCAGAACAACAAAATTGTCTGCAGAGCGATGAGAGCTCGTTGGGATTTGATGACTCCAGGTTTGACCAATCGCAGGACCGAGAGAAGCTGACTTCGGTGCTGGTAACGCATCAGGTGCTCGCCAGCTGTTTTGCCTGCTAGGGCCTTTCGAATTGGCCTTCCTGTGTCTCATTGCATCTCTTTGGGCTTTGAGGACTTGCATCTCCGCATAGCTGGGCAGAGGTCGACCGAGACCTTGGACTCTCCGCCTGCGCAGAGCTTCTTGTGCACTTTCGAACGGTCGTTGTCCGTAGGCTCCGTAGCCGTAAGCCGCGGCCACGAGCGGGTCTTCGAAGCGATTGCCTGAGAGGGAGAATGCAGGATGTTCGTTCGTGTGCTGGCGGGGATATCCCGGCCTGTGATGATGCTGATGCTGATGCTGGTGGGTCAGTGGTGCTGTGACGCCGCCCACATTGACTTGCGTTGGCTGGAGAGGCTCGAGGAGACCTGACGAGACTTGGACGTCGGCCGCCAGTGGTGCGAGTGCGTAGTCTGACGCTGTGATATCCTCGTGCTGTGTGTGAGGTGTGGGTGAATGCGCTCGAGTGACGGGTGCGGAATTAGCGTCTGCAATGCTCGCAAGAGCCGTACGACCGCCGACGTGGTGGCCGGGCTCGGCAGTCTGGACATGTTCCAGTCTGGACAAGTGAGCTCTCGGGTCCGCACTTGACGGCGAAAGTCCGCTGGCTGTGCCGAGTGACTCTGCATTGCCGGCCGACAGATTCCTTGGCAGGTCGGGTCTGCCTGTCATCTGGTCTGGTACGTTGTTGGTGCTCGCAGTTGGCGCTGTGTGTGCACGCTGTCAAGGAAGACAGCTGTGAGTGTCGCTTGGGGAAGATCTGCGTCGACCATGCAGACGCTGCTGACCGTCAACGCTGCGCGGAGCGTGGACGGCTGCTCCCCCGCGTCGGCGTCATCTAGCCACGCGGTCGAAGTCACGAGCACGAAGATCTATTGCAATGGCTCGGCAGACTCGGACAACCTGCTCAGATGGAGATAGCAGTCTGTCCCATAGCCCTCCATGCTGATCAATCGCAGCCCTCCTCCCAGATACTGGCTGTACAGTCGCGCGATAGGCAGACCATAGCCTGTACACTCTCTGTCAGCCAGGTGCGATCACTGTCGTTTGGCATACGTACCAAAGCCAGCCATAGGTGCCTTGAAGTCTGACCCCTGAAAGTCTTGCTCGACCGATTCTGGCTCGGCAGTGGTGTACATGTATGTCCAGACAAGCGGCATCGCTCTCCTCGGGATGCCACCGCCTTCGTCCGAGATCTTGATTGTGATGTCTTCCTTGCCTTGCGCTACTATCACTTTGACAGGTGGATACGAATCGGCTTCGGCTCCGTGAGTCTCCACTGTCGCGCGCAAGCTGTTCTTCATGACTTCAAAAAGCATGTGGTTCTGCGATACCCTTTAGCAAGCAATAGACGTGCGGAAGACCGGAACTTGCCAGATGGGATGGTATATACATAAAGGTGAGGTCTTTGGGACAGATGAGTTGCACAGGCGGGCCTTTGAAGAGGCCATAGTGTTCCTCGCAGATGAAGCTGGCATTGTCAATCGCTTCCCTGCAGATGTCGTGCACGTTCGTATTAGTGCAGATGATGCCAACGTAGTCCTTGTGCGGCTCGAGTCGATTGAGTGCGATATGCTGGCCTATGAGAACCCGGATGCCAATTCGTGACATGTAGAATCGGTCGAGGAAAGTCTGGATGTCTTTGTCGAGCACGTCTGCTGCACTGTTGGAAGCGCGCTTGTATTCGAGAATGCCCTGGGCGACAGTGGTGACGACGGGATCGTGCCGCTTCTTGATCATGGTGAGTGCCTTTGTGAATCGCTCATTGTAGTCGACGACCTCGGGCGGCCATTTGACGTCTTGTGTATGGAAGTTGGCGTAGTATCGATGCTCAACAGGTACTCTCCGCTTGTTGCCGTTGCCATTACCATGGTTGAGCGGTTGTGCCATGTGCGCGGGCAAGGAAGGATTTGGTTTGGATTCCGGCAAGGGCTGTGCGTCTGCTGCTGCTTTGACGAAAAGCTTCTGGATGTCTGGACTGAGTGTAGGTTTCGGGAATGTGATGAGTTCCTGTCATGTCGATCTTGTGAGCAGGCAAGCAGCACAAGCGCGCGTGCACCTGCCTCGAATGACTGGGCATACCAATTCTTGACTTTCTCTATGCTTGGCATGGTCGAGAGATTGTCTGGTAGTTCGTCTAGCTCCTTCACACGATGTGCCAGGCGTATGGGCAGCTCCTCTGCATGCTCGCGTGAGCTTGTAGCCTACGTGCGTGCCGTCCGCCTGACCTGCCAGGAACTCGCTCGCTCTGAGCAGTGTCCCCTGCGATGGATTCTGGCCTGTTGCAGACGATGCGAGAGTCGAGGAGTGCATGCAGGCGAGCGAGATGTTCGATCAAGGGAGCGAAAGTGGAGAGGGCTGTCAATCAGTCTACGCCCTTCCGCGGGCGGGACGACGCACCGAACATGACCATCTGCCGCAGACTGACGCCCGTCTGAGGGAAGGACGCATAGTGCCGTAGCTTTTGCCATAGGGGCTCGCCTATCTTGAACTGAGCCATGTTCACCGAGTCTGGACGTCAATGGCACACGCGAAATCGCGCGAACTGCCCAATTGCCGAGCGATTCGATCGATGACCAGCAGAATCTCGCAATGCGCATTCATTTCGACAACACGCCTCGCACGTACGGCCATGCATGATCGCAGGAAACTTATAGCTCTGCCTCAAGGAATGTCTGGACGGCCTTGAACCAGACTGCAGCTGAATAGTGGAGATTGGCTGCGTGACCGGTGTTGGCGATGACATACGGCAAGAATGCTCTCGCTGAGGGATAGTACTGCTTTTCGGCCGCGATCAGGTTCTCTTTCCCGGCAATGTAACACGATCCAGCACAGAAGATGGCGTCAGAATCACCGGTAAAGATAGCGACGGGCGAAGTGACATTAGCAGTAGAGGCCATGACGGCCGCACCCATGGTCAAGGCTTCGCCGAGCGTGAAAGTCTGAGCAGTCGCCAGTGCTTGCTTCAGGACTGACTGAGCATAGTAGTAAGTCTTGAAGAAAATCAGTTGTGCGCCATAACCGGCCGGGTTGAACAGGAAGTTGCCATTGCTGAGACCGCTGAATGCAGAGGGACCGTACGTATTGGCCAGTACGGGCTGCGTGCCGTCGTAGAATCCTACGACACCTGTTGAATTGTGGCTGAAACCTGTGAAGACATAGGCATCTGCCGCACTGGGGTCGGATGCTGCCAAGCCATTGCCAATTTCGCTCCCGAAGGAATGACCGACGTAGGCGACCTTGCCAAATTTGCGCATGTTCGAGAATGGCAGCGTGCCCTTGCGCAGGTTATTGGCGAAATACTACTCGATATGATCAGCCTCACGTACAGCGTAGCGAGCAGGAACATGCCTTGGCAATTGCTATTTCCGTTGCGGTCTGAATGACTTCTCTCGCATCTGGCTTTTCTGAGCGACCGATACCCAGACGGTCGAAAGTAAATGTGCTATAGCCCGCCGCATGGGCCGCTCGGACGTACGAATAGTTGGCAGGATCGATAGCAAAATCCCAGTAAGAGGAATCAAACCCGATGCCATGCACCAGGAGCTGCACAGTAGAGGACCGATTGGACTTTGGCGTACAAAGCTTGCCGTAGATGGAATAAGTTCCGTTGATCTCCCTTGAGCTATTGACTTGAGTGGCAGTGATGTTGTTCATTCCGTTCAAAGCAGTCGCTTTTTGAACAAATGCGATGAGAGCATCCTGGTCTGAAGGCAGTGGCACCTGCTCTGGGCTCAGAAGAAGCTTCAGCTTGATGTATGTGCAAGTACCTGGATGTTTTTGCCCTGAGCACTGACAGGAACATGGATCGTGTTGGTCTGGCAGTCCACAGAAGTAGCGTATTCGACCGGTGTCGCTGCAGCTAAGGCCGCGCCGAGTGCGACCACTGCAAGCGCGAGAACCATTGTAGGAAAACAGTGATCTGTGCTGGCCTGTTGCCTATATATCTCAACATGGCGCTGGCGGCGCTAGTGTGTTGAGCCGGAGAATCAAGCGAGCGACATTTTGCGTCATCGGCGCAATGCCACAGAGTTTTTGAATGATGATATAATTGCGCTTTCTGGCCATCCCACTTCATCGTCTTTGGCCGAGCTGGTTAAGGCGTCAGATTCGAATGCATTGCTTCGAAATTATCTGATTCGTTCGCGAGCGCAAGTTCGAGTGAGTTGCGCTCATAATTATGCTTAGGGTCTTGCTGACAGCACTCTCAGATCTTGCAGGACGAGGCATGCCAAAGGGGCAAAACTTTTTGCAGCACGCGATTTCGCTATCGTGCTACTTTTTTGGCCAAGATGGCCAACGTAGCCTCGATGGGGTGTGTCACATCATACTTCTTGCGGAAGCATGACTGTGCGTTGCTTGAACTCGATTGGTATTGCATGCCCATACAACGACTAAATGCGAATCTACTCAACATCCCTCTTTAGTACACCAAAGATCGCTCATACAAAGCCGATGCTAGGCGCTCAGGCAGAGTCTGTCCGCCTGACAGGGCGCATGGTACTATGCGATGATGCGATGAGCGTATTGAAGCATTCATCGCGCTTTGAGACCTTTGCAAATCGAATTGCTTCGCCTTGCCGAGTAGTGATACAGAGCCCATGAGCGTCCCATAATCCTACCGTAAATCCAGCTTCTTTCTTGATGCTTGCGATATCGTCAAGACATAATTCGACGACGTTGCGATTCTTTTTGAGATCTGCATCTGGTGTCGACTGAGATCTCTCATGTACGTGCAATATACCCGTTGAGATACCATGCAGACCCTTGATAGGACTGAACTCAAGTCGTTCGCTTGTGAGACGGAGCTGACCAGGCGTTGATTTGTGCAGAGCAAAGAAGCATCGCGCTTCCGGTTGTAGCGATGTAGCGGAGATTGTTCTGATTGAAGCCGGCCTCGCGGTCAGGGCGCTGGCGCTAGAGGCTGCTGTAGATGCTCTTGAGAGGGTCGGCAGATCGTTGCCAGAGGAGCCCCGATGCAGCTTCTGTCGCAGAGCCGACATGCGTCGCGGCTGCGCTGGCCGTTGCATTTCTTGCTTCTGCTTCTTAGCGCGCAGCTTCTTCAAATCATGTCGGTTGAACACTGGACGACCTGCGCGCTCGGCAAGCATATCCAGCGCGCATTCTGCATCCGTCGGCGCGTCCCAGAGCAGCCAGAATAGGGGGTTCAGTGCCCGTCTATACTTCGGATAGGCGTCTTGTAGATACGACAAGACGAAGAAATGAAAGCCGAGCCAGCCAAAGAGAGCTTTCACTTGCATGCCAGCCGGCAGGAAAGCTAGCATGAGTGAGCAACAGCACAAGATGGAGAGCGTGCGATATGTCGCGGTTGGCCGCCGCCAAAGCGCGACATTTTTGGTCTTCTCCGCAAGGTCGGCCCAATCGCTCAAATAGACTTGCGCATGCGGTCCGAACGAATGAGAAGCATCTGCGATCATCCGATAGAAGCCGACAGATGAGTTATGCGCGGATGAACTTGTCGCGGCTTCGAACGTCTTCTCGGTCGACGGCGAGAGAGGCTCAGTAGGCGCGTTCGCACCAACCTGGATAGGAACTTTGCTGATCTGCATGATGGCAGTGGCCAGTCCTCCTGCAGCTCGGCCGTGGACCTCGCCGCCAATTTGTGCGGCTCTCTCTCCCCGTGCACGTCTAGCTGCGATCTCCTTTCGCAGCGCTTCTGCACTGGGCGGGAACATTCTGATTGCAAGTAGCTGGTACACAAGAAACGCCAAGGTCGCCGCCGGTATGAGGTTGTGATACCATAGGTACGTGTAGATTGCTGCTATCGTGCCTGTCACAGTCGGCGACTGCCATCTGTAGATCCTTGCCACCTTCTTCTCGATCACGAAGCGGGCTAAGCTCGGCGGTACGACCACATAGAGACGCTCGCTCAGTTGTCGCGTCCTTGTAAGACTGAACTTTTCTCGATGAGGTGGGCTGAGAAAGCTGGCGGGCAGATAGGTGTCTGCGAGTGCGAATGCATATGTGCGTGCGTAGCCGATGTAGTCTGTCGATCCTGTTGGTGTGGTATGCTCTTTGAGGTCAGGAAAGGGTGTAGGTACAGCAGCTGCGTCGTGCCCGAGCTTGACTTCTGTCACCGTACGCCCGACTCGATCAAGGAACTCAGATATCTCTCTGCAGTTCGATCAGATGCGAAAGCGAGCAGCCAAAGATGACGAACATGTCCTGAAGCTCCTCGAGGATCTGTGCTGCCTCTTCATCGCTCTCCTCGCTGCGGGTTCGGGCGAGATTGTGCAGCGGATCTCGTTTCTCGCCATGTGGTGTCAGCTGCACCCAATCGCCCTCATCGAGCTCCTCATCTTCACCGTCGCACCGAGCTCGCATCGATGCCTCCTCGACCGGCTCCATCTGGCATCACAGCTACAATCTCAGGGTCGTCTACACCATCGTCGGCGCTCCGGCTTCCGCGACTAATTCGAGACCGGCCGGGGAAGGATCGACAATCTGATAACAGCGTCGTGTGCTATGCGGCCGCAGCCCCACTTTTCCGACTTGATGCGACGCGCGACCTCGTCGTCGCCGATGCGATCCTTTCCTGCTTCCCGAAGTCCGGTGTTGCATGTTCGCGCTGCGTGTCCGTCTGTACCCACTCACGTTCCGTGTCTACAACAAGCCTTGAATCGTCCAAGCAAGAGTGCATTCGGCAGAATACAAAGATGCAGGACGCTTTCGATCAGCAGCGCTCGTCCTGTCGCAATCAAGTCAAGAGACGAGCCTTGAGCGACAGACGCGAGTACTGCGTGATCGTCAGCATAAGCAAAAGAGCTCAGCCTGAGCGAGACGGACGAAGTGATAGCTTGGGCGTTCATATTCATCATATGCCACAGTCGCCGTAAGCGAGCTACGTCGGATCGTCGTCCAGCGCTGAGTGCAAGTGCCCGTGGCCTATACTGCTTGGCGACAGTGAGCTCGCACATCCATTCAGGCTCAAGGGTCTGTCTTCGAATCACGGCCCCAATCGGGCTGGTCAATTCGCTCCTGCTGAGCGAGACGAAGGGCGAAGCCGTCGCGAGTGGTCGCAGAATGACGAGCAGAGTGATCAGAAGTTTCGAGAGCATGTCTAACATCTTGCTTACGCAGAAAGGACCCGCGCTGACGACAGCAATGGGGTAATAGGAGCTTCGAACGTGTCGACTTCGATCGCCGATAAGACGCTGTGACAACTTGACGCACGCTGATAGAGGGGCTGTCATGGCCAAAGACATGCATTTCCGGCAAGATCTCATGACGCCATGATGCTTCCGTTCAACAAGGCAACGTCTAGATTTGGCACACAGACAGATGAGTCAGCGATGCGATAAGTATCTGGACCCAATGCTGCAGATGCATCTGATCTGGCTGCCTCAGACCATATGCAAGTGCTTGCTGATTTCTGATCTGATCCTTGCGGCACGCACGGTCGAATCTATAGACCTTTGGGGCTATCAAGGTTGGCTAGTTCTCAATGCATCCTTGCACAAGCCTGTGCTGTGTCCTCGCACGTGTCTGGCATTCTGGCTCAGCCTGGCTTGCCTCGCAACAACCAGGTGTAATAACAGGGACTGTAAAGGAAGCGAGTGCGAATAAATGTATGAGACATGCGACTTGAGTGCAAGGGCATAGCGAGTAGCAGGAGAGTACTGCATCGGTTACAACAACAGCGAGCGTTGGCCAAGTCAGGANANTGCACCTGCAGAGCAGGGCCAAGAATTAGCACATNCCATCGAGANCGAGCGAAGACTGACCTGGGTCGCACGATTGGGAAGAGCGCTCGCTCGCCAAGTTGGGTCTCATTGCGAGATCGCTNCTTCCCGGCTCACCAGTCCCATCCTTTGACAGCCCGTCTGCTATCCTTGAGCCAGACTGTCATCAGAAGGGATCCTCTCCAGCCATCTTTCTCTTTTCTCGGCTTCTTCCAAGAGTGGAGCAGTTTTCGGAGGATAGGNGGAGACCAACGATGGGTCAGAGCGTTCGAGAGNTTGCTTATATATGTTCGCCAGACAGCAAAGGATCATGTAATTCTTAGCTAGTGCACATTACGTTAGGTAACGTAATCTTACAAATCAATCCGACACACGCGTCTAAAGATATNAAAGATAATGCCCCGGGACTACGAATGTCAAATTATTGACTGTCGCGCTTCACGAGGAGCGCCTCGTGACGAGCCGCCGATCGGGTCTGCTGTGCTGAGATCCGGCGTAGCGCCGCTCTGCTGACGAAGCGATCCCAAATGACATCGTCTCCCTGGACCTATGAACTCTCACGAACCTGGTACGGCGTCGAGCTGCCAGCAATCTGTTCGACCTACTGAGAAGGGCCTCCGACTATCGAGCGATCTCAAGCTATAGCAAGTCTGCCGACAGAACGACACACTGCGAGGCTCCTTCTCTGCGTCGTCGCAACCCCAGACATGCATCACCGACTCGGGATTCTAGCTGGCTCATTTCGTCAGAATGGCAACGCTGCAGGCGTGACGAGATGGGCAGCTGCACGTCTGCGTGAACTAGTCGACAAGGACACAGAGGTGCTCATCCTCAGCGAACACGCCACTTTGCCCTTACCAGCGCTCAAAGAACAGGCTGTGCCGGCTACGATCAACGACTCGTCAAACTATGAATTTGCTGTGGTTCAGGAATGGTCACGATTGATCAGCTCGCTGTCCGGGCTCATCATCACGACGCCTCAGTACAATTGGGGCTACCCAGGCGATCTCAAGAATGCAATAGATCACCTTTACATGGAATGGAAAGATCTACCGATCGTCATCGCGACCTTCGGCGGACATGGTGGGAGCAAATGCGGGCCCGCACTTGCGCAAGTCATCGAGGGCATCAAAGCCAAAGTTGTCAGCGTCAGCGAGGTTGAGATAACGCTACCGAAGAACTACATTGGAGGTAACGAGAGAGTGCAAGACGGTCAAGAAGAGTTCCTTGCCGAATACGGGCCCAAGCTCGACGAGGCGATGACGAAGCTCCTTGACCAGCTGCGCGAGCGCAAGTAAGACCAGCCTTTCTCGGATTCGAGTGTCTTCCACAATGCAATATCAGCTGAAGAGCCGTTGCCGTGAGACTTGCCGAGGAGTCGAGCTCTATGTGATCGTCCTCGGGACGCCATCCGCTCCTGTCCGCCTGTAATTTTGCAACCCAGTCGTTGCCGGCCATCGTGGCCTCATGGAAGGCACCTATCGACCGTTCAAGGTACCGAGGGTGACGCCTGCTCAGGCCTCGTACTTGGAAGAGAGCCCGATCAGATGGCCTCTCTCTTTCCATCCTCCTGCCATGATGCGTTGTCGTCAGACTCCTTCAGTGGACTCACCTCGGCCTGCCCATCAATCGCCTCTAGCCTACCACGAGTGCATCACAGCGTACACTTCGGATGGACCCTACGGCTCCGGCTCGTCGACCGCAAAGGATCAGTCCTCAGAACTTGAGAGATTGACAAGGCAGCTCACTCATATTGAGCAAGACGAGGAAGCCATGGAGGACGTTCAGAGTCCTTTCCTGGCCTCTGCAACGCTCAGCAAGCTCAACCGATCTTGCGATCAAGGCCACAAGCAGGAGCACGAGCCCGCTCAAGCATCGTCCTTTCCGCTTGCGCCTGCTTGCGAGATCAGCCCTCGCAAAGCCTATCCATCGCCCGATTCTGATCACCACAGATCAATGCAAGGTGATATGCCGGGCGGGGCATTGTCAATGTCAGACAGATCGTTCGACATGTCAAGACTCGACACGCTTGCTTTCGTGTCCGATTTCATCCGTCAGCAGAGAGAGGCGCACCGAGCTTCGGCCGAGATCCTGCTCTGTACACCTGTCCGTGTTGGCTCTCGGTCTATCGAACAATCACCAGACGCTGGCTCAATGCTCTTGCAGTCTGTCCCAGCCTCGCAATCTCAGCCACTCTCTCAAGACAACGAACTCGCTCGCTTGGTGAAAACGTATGCTTGCGCAGAACAACCTTCGCCTATACAGAGGGTGCAGCTCAAGAGTGAGCTGCTGCAGAGACGCGAAGGTACCAGGTTGCGACAGATCATCCAAGACGAAGGCTCTGACCAGTGCGGCACGCCAAATCAGACCGAAGCCAATGCGATGCCATCTACATCCCCCAGCTACCCAAAGTCAAAGATAGAGACTAAAGCCGCGACGCCTCCGTATCTAACACCGGCTGGACATCGCTCATTACTCGCATGCTCACCTGCGCCTGCAAACTCTGCCCGCACATCTTCGCCAGCGCGTCAGGCTCACCGTCCGGCACAGCAGACACGATTGATCGCAAAAGGCGACTTGCCGGCCAAAAAGTACATGCCCACAAAGGTTCGATCGACGGCCAAGTCACGTCCGCCAGTCAAGGCACGCCCATCTGACAACAAAGCTTCCCCTGCCAAAAGTCTTGCGTGTGATCAAAGTCGGTCTGTCGCGCTACAATGCTTGCCTGCCAATCCTGTGCGGTCCTCCCTCCAGGGAGCGCTGCATACTACATCCACCATCTCCGACCCTTGCCACTCATCCACTGCAGCGCTGCCCTTGCAGCGACAAGGAAGCACGCCTACATTGCTGAAGCTCTCTACTTCGGCAAAGGTCAACAAAGCGCAGAAGCCATCATCGGGACTGCCGCCGCCAGAACCGGCGAAGCCATGTACGCCTCTGAAGCCTCGCGTCAACAGATCCATGCCTCACAAGAGGCAACTTCGTAAGATCGAGAGCTCGATCAACAACCATCATCCAGACACAAAGGTCACTATCAGGTGATGGCAGACTCGTGCCGACTGACTTACATTTTAGCAGAGCTTTATTCGCGTCCTATGGGACGAGTGCGATAACGAAGCCAACAAGGACTATCTACGCTGGGATGGAGAGGGTCTTCGCCTGCTTGTTCGCTTACAATCTACCGAACTGGGTCAGAAAGTGCAAGTCGCGAGGCTCGGCGAATGAGACCATGCTGAAGCTACCTTTTCTTCAGCCTGCTACCTCATTTCGGCCACGCGAATGGAGCTAGCTTCCTGCGCCAGCTCAATGTTCGTCTCCCTCGCAGCGCCGCTTGTGAGATGCTTATTGATGCTTGTGACAGGTCTACACTTTTGTGCGATTACATCGAGACTCCCTGCAGACAGTCTTGGCGAGCAACAATCTACTCGATGCCCCGCCGACAGATCCTTGGTCCTGCTTCTTCCAAGATGACTGGATCAGATCCGGCGGGACAGACAATCTACGCAAGATCACAGCCAACAGCAAATTCGCTCGCCAAGACCCACCCGCTCACAAGACGAGGCTAGCGCGTATCAATGCTAGCGCCAAGCTCGCCCGAGTCGCTGTCGATCAGTGACGATCTATCTCGGAGCAGCCTAAAGTGTCCCTCTATAGAGCACGCTGTGTCGTCGCGTCCGACAAACATGCAGAATTGGTTTGTGATCGACGTGATCGGCCAAGCAAAAAAAAGCGTGATCTGATCATGAGGAATCGGACACGCGCCGCGTGCCTATCCTTGGCTTCCAAGCAACACCGCAGTCGTTTTCTTCTCGGAAGGCTAGACATTCGTTTCTCGTTCGCATACAGTCGAAGGAGCTCACTCTCTGACTACCACACGCTCGCTTAAGCACCCCAATCAAGGCAGAACAGTCCGGTACTGCTCTTCCCTTGCTCACGAGAGGTGCGTGCCTTTGTCGGAGGTTGCGAGGCCGAGTGAGCTCAATATAGACGCCTTTGTGTACGCTCTTCAGGACTATACACACCCTTCGGCGAATCTACCGACAACGACAGCTCTCGAGCCTGGCCGGGAAGCAGACCAATCCCACCCGTTCGACCACACCCACACGCCTAGCAGGCACCTCATCGTCTCCCTCTGAGTAGACATCAGCATCGACACTCTCTTGCAGCTCGTAGAACACGTCATATCGCTCAATACTATCTGTGAGGATGCGTCAATCAAGCTCAACGAACACCGCACGCGCTCTCGCCGTCCTGGCCAACCTGGTCCCGCTCGCTCTTGCCGGCAGTGGGTCAGGGTCCGTCGACAACGTTGTCACGGCAGCCTCCTTGCTCGTCAGTCCTGCCTGCTCACCGTGCCGAAGCACATGACTGATCTGCAAATTCGACGCATAGGCCCAGGGCAGACAGCTTGTAGGCGACTACTATATCACGAGCGTATCGACCGGACAGACCATCTTGTACGATCGTAGCGCATCGCAATCGTTCTATCCTACCTCGGGCTCAGGCTCACCGATCACTTTCAAGGCAAGCTTTTTCTGGTTACACCGAGACGCGTCTTACTTATTATGCCTTCTGCGTCAGGCACACGGCGATGGGACCAACTGGATGCGAATGTCCGCAGGCAACAACAAGTGTGTCTCTGCGCAATGGGGACCGGGCGGCTACGATTGGGCGGCCGTCATGTACGCTTGCGCTGTCGACCCGCTCGTGAATAACAACCTCGAGAAGAGCAAACAACACTGGCTCTTCATACCCGTCGACCAGGCATCTGCTCAGATTGGCAGCAATAACCCTAATGGCGGTGATGATGGCTCAGACATCGGGAATGGTGTCGGCTCCGGCGACAACTCTTTCCTGTCGGAACTCAAAAGCGTTGCTGGCTCAAAAGCAGTCGCAAACGCGTATGTCCCGGCCGGCAGCTCTTCCAGCTCCAGCAGCGATGACGGCGTGAGCTTCCTAAACACTGCGTCGGGCAAGTCAGTAAGCAAGACGACGACGACAAAGAAGACCACCACAAAGTCTAGCGCAAAGTGCCCGAAGAGCGCTGCATTCGTCAGTCGCCATCCAGGCTACGCGAAGAAGCACCCTGCTTGCAAATCACTCATCAAGTGCTCCAAGTCATCCGCGTGGCTCAAGCGACACGGCAGCAGCAAGTGGTACAAGAAGCACCCAGAATGCAAGGGCCTTGCCAAGCGCGATCTCGAGGGCGACCTCTTCGAATCGTTGCCATCGCTCGAGAAACGCGATGTCGACCATTCAGATCTTGCAAAGCGTGCCGTCGGATCGTTCTACATGTGCGTCGCCTGCTGATTGCTCTCTATTTATATCTCATGCGCCTTTGTGACAGTATTCCTTTCGATCACCTGTACGACATGGGCACACGCGCTCTGCAAGCGGGATCGCAGAATACCGGGTCTGGCTGCACATCGACCCAGCTCGGCTCATGGGATCAGAGCGAATCCCAGCAATGGTACCTGACGCCCGCATAACTCACGCGCGCATAGCAACCTTTTTCACGATTCATCACGCACTAACTTGGACGATCCTTCATTCGATGACTTCTCTGATGCAGCACTCGCTCGACACAACGACTCTGAGACCTCCTGACACTGTCTTTCGAACTTTCGTAGCACCAGTCGTTTATTCGCGCGTGATGCCGCTCTCTTGTCATCGATACGAGACCGTCCTTCATCATTTTATACCATAGCTCGCGGTTGTTGCAGCCCTGTACAAGCCGGCTTCTACTAGCGCTGCTGATACCGCGATGCATTTGTTTCTGTTTCCCTTTGCGCTGTAGCTTGCCACGTGAGTACTCGGATTCACTAGGAAAGTTCGGAAGACGCGTCTCTTGTCTCCTCTGCAAAAATGACATCAGCAGCTGAAGCATGGGCGTCACGATGGCCTCTCGCACCTCTGTCAGGCTACTTGCTGACGATTGCCGTCATCGTCGGATTGATCCTGCCCCGCATTGCGATCACCCGAAGCTCGGCGCTCTTCTTGCTCTTCGGTCTCGGCTCGCTCGGACTGACATGGAGCCACATGCTCTTGTACTTTCGCTGGTCATTCGAGAACAGCGCACAGCAAGCGGATGCAGCCTTGTCGACGTGGACTGCCGCTGATTGGCTCAGTAAAACGTCACTCTTCAAGGAAGCCTGGTTTACCGTCTGTCGTCTGCCCGAGAGATGGTGGTGGTCTGCGCAGCTCTGCACTTTCACGACAGGCACTTGGTACGTTCCGTATGACGCGGCACGGTCTAGACTCACAGAGGAGGCAGGACACCTTTTCTCTGGGCAGAATCGCAAAGGCGGCAGATCAGGCACGCTTGGCTGTTCATGCTCATGGGCCAAATGGTCGCCATCTCCGTCGCATCATCACTCTTCTTCGCTGCCTGGTTGGCAGCAACGAGTACGACGATACCTATGAAAGATACTCGCTTGCTCACACAGATTTGCATTCTCGCCGTGGCGAGCGTACTGTTTGTGCCCGGAACGATCACGCCCAAAGGTGCACAGTCGAATTTCTTGCCGGTGATCTTGGGCATGCATGCGATCATTATCTCGCCGCTTGTCTGGCGAGCACGCGAACCATCGTCGCCGGCGAACGAGCAGCGGTTGAGGGGCACCTATCTCGTCAGTGCTCTGATGTCTGGCTTGATCCATCTGGTCAACTATGTCGCCGTATTTGAGCGTGTCACCGATCAGCCTGATCTGTTGGCTCGGACGGGTCGAGTGATGCAGTTGCTGGAAGAGACTATCTCCATTCATCCGGCGCAGAGCAGCATCACCTGGGACACGATTATGACGAGCGCAGTTGCCTGCCTGTGGATTCTCATCGACGTGCGGAAACAGCCGCTGTCATCTATCCTATCGGCGGTCGGTCTAGTGCTGGCGACACCTATAGCCAGCGCAGGCGTGACGGTGCCACTTTACCTAGCGATGCGCGAGCGACAGCTCGATCTCGCCCGAGCACAACCGACAAAGACCATCAAAAGCACCTGAGCCGCCGGACATCACGTAAATGCCATGTTGTCGAGATGGAGGTCATGAAACGCCGCAGAAGCGCCGGATGAATTGAGCTTCTGCCGCGCCATCGGACCCAGCCAGACGCAAGCAATCGCAGTCGCGGCGAGCAATAGCACAGTGATGCCAGTGTAGAGCAGCACCTCAGAGTAAGCCGAGACCTTGCTGGAGACTGCCTCTTCCGAGGCAATGCGGGCCGACATCTTCTGCATATGTCGTCTGCCTTGCTCGAGCGCCGAGTGTGCCGCTTCGAGCTCTTGTCTTGCCTGATCGAGCTTGTCCTTCTCCTCTTTGGCTTCCCTTCGGTGAGCAGCGATGGAGTCCCAGCCGTTGCTCCTCATTGCCTCGAGTTCATCTTGTAGCTGCTTCGTACATTCCTACGTGACCCATCAGCCGATACTATGCGACAGGAGAACAACGTACAGAGGCCTGCGTATCCAGATTGCGGTAGTCCTGGTTCATCTGGGACCACCGTTCAATCTTGAGCTCAATGGACGACTGTCGCGCGCGCCAAATAAGCTCCATCTCCTCGTCTGTAGAGGCTCGACTCACTTTGAGCGCTTCCACACGCTTCTCCGATGCACGCAGACGGTCCGAAGAAGCTTGAGCTGCCTCTTCGAGTTTGCCCATCTTGCAAGCTGGTCTCGTCGTGAGCTGAGCTTGTCGAGCTGATATGGTCTCAGATGAATCAATTCGACTGAAGCGCGCCTGCATATCTCCCCACTTTGGTCGCGATCGAACGCAGTCGGAAGGGAGCCCATGCCAGTGCGCGATACCAGCCGCTCCGTTCTCTTGCGCACATCTTCGGTTGTATAGGTGCTCGAGAGTGTTAGACAACTTCCTTTCAAGTCTGCGCGGCAGTATAAGAATATAGTCTACAACTCTTCATGCATTTTGAGACACCATAGAATGCGGATTTAGTCGACTTCCTCCATCTTGGACAGGCTTGCGTCTTCGAGAGGAGGGGGCGCATCAGCATCGATGGCGGCAATAGGTTCGTCAGCTTCGTCAGTATCGAGCGAGAGACCGAGCGCGATCATCTTGTGCACCCGATCGGCAAAAGAGGCAGGCTGGTCGAGTGAGAAACCAGAGGTGAGCAGGGCGGTTTCGTAGAGCAAGAAGGTCAGATCGCGAACGGTTCGGTCCGCTGAATCTTCTGCTACTTTCTCCTTGAGCGTCTTGATGATGTTGTTGTGCGGGTTGATCTCTAGCGTCTTCTTGGACTGCATGTATTGCGACGTAGACGAGTCGCGCAGAGCTTGAGCCTTCATGATTCGCTCCATGTTAGACGACCAGCCAAAGGCAGAGGTCGACAGGAGGGCGGGGGAAGATCCGAGCTTGGAAGAGACGACGACCTTCTCGACCTTGTTGTCAGAAGCGAGGATGTCCTTCATGGTCTTGCAGAGATCTTCAAACGCGGTCACGTCCGCCTCACGCGCTGCCTTTTCCTCGTCAGTCTCTGGCAGTTCGAGACCGTCTTTGGAGATGCAAGTGAGCTTCTTGCCCTCGAACTCCTTGAGCTGAGTGATGGAGTACTCGTCAATCGCCTCTGACATGAGGACGACCTCGAGACCCTTCTTCTCAAAGACCTCTAGGAAAGGCGATTCCTTGAGGGATGCGAGAGACTCGCCAGTGAGGTAGTAGATATCCTTCTGCGACTCTGGCATGCGCGTCACGTAGTCCTTGAGGGACGACATCTCCTCGCCAGACTTTGTGGTGTGGTAGCGGAGGTAGGTGGCCAGCTTGGTCCGGTTGGCAGAGTCCTCGTGGATGCCGAGCTTGAGGTTCTTGCCGAACGCCTCGTAGAACTTGTTGAACGAGTCCTTGTCCTCCGCAATCTCGTCAAACATCTCGAGCACCTTCTTGACCAAGCTCTTCTTGATGACCTTGATGATCTTGTTCTGCTGCAGCGTCTCACGAGAGATGTTGAGCGGCAGATCCTCAGAGTCGACGATGCCCTTGACAAAGGACAGGTACTCTGGCAGGATGTCCTCGCAGTCGTCCATGATGAAGACGCGGCGAACGTAGAGCTTGATGTTGTTGCGCTTCTTCTTTGACTCAAAGAGGTCAAAGGGCGCACGCTTGGGCACGTAGAGGATCGCCTTGAACTCGAGCTGACCCTCGACAGAGAAGTGCTTGACGGCGAGATGTTCCTCCCAGTCGAGCGAGATCGACTTGTAGAACGCCGAGTACTCGTCCTGGGTGATGTCTTGCGGGTTGCGCGTCCAGAGAGGCTTGGTCTTGTTGAGCTCCTGCTGCTCGCTCGTCTTTTCCTTGATCTTCTTCGTCTTCTTTGGCTTCTCTTCGTCATCGACTTCCTCGATCTTGGCCTCCTTGTCGGCCGACTCTGGCTCGGCCTCGTCATCCTCGACTTCCTTCTCGACCTCCTTCTCGACGACGAGTTGGATGGGGTACGAGATGAACTCGGAGTGACGCTTGACGATCTCCTTGATCGTCTTTTCCTCGAGATACTCGAGCTGGTCCTCCTTGAGATGGAGACGGAGCTCGGTACCCCGGCCGAGCGAGGGATTGACGGTATCGGTGGTGATGGTGAAGGTGCCGCCGGCGGAGGACTCCCAGATGTACTGCTCGTCGTCGTTGTGCTTGGTGAGAACTTCGACCTTGTCGGCGACGAGGTAGGCCGAGTAGAAACCGACACCGAACTGACCGATCATGCTGATGTCTGCGCCAGACGAGAGGGCCTCCATGAAGGACTTTGTGCCAGACTTGGCGATCGTGCCGAGGTTGTTGACGAGGTCGGCCTTGGTCATGCCAATGCCGGTATCTCTGATGGAGATGATCTTGTTCTCCTTGTCGGGCGTGATGCGGATGTAGAGCTCCTTCTCGCTGTCGAGCTGACTCGGGTCCGTGAGCGCGGCGTAGCGGATCTTGTCGAGTGCATCCTGCGTAGATCATCATCGTCAGCGCCTGCTGCTGCCATGGTCGATGAGCCAGCGGTCTGACTCACAGATGAGTTTGAGATCAATTCTCGCAAAAAGATCGATTTCTGTCAAGGCTTGTCAGTCTGCTGTCCGTCGAGCAGTGACAGGAACGGATGACGACTGACGTTTGAGTAGAAGGTGTTGATGATCTGTGGACAGGCAGGAGCCCACAGAGTCAGTGACGAGTCCCCAGAGGCACGCAGACCGAGTGGCTCACCAAATCCAACAGCTGGCTGATCTCGGCCTGGAAGCCGAACGTCTCTGGTTGCGATGCCATAGTAGTACGTTGCTCCTTACGCGTGCAAGTCACACTCGTCGCTCGTCTATAAAGATCTTTGCTCGTCAAACTCAACTCCAAACGGCAGCCCACAGGCTTTTGACGCCGCCGGCCAGGCTTCGAGAAATTTCTAGTCAGGCCCGTCAAACGTTATGGAAATCCAATCTGCCACGACGACGACGACGACGTGTTCCAATCGCGGACCGGGCGAACAGGAATTGGGCTTTCGCCGAGTGAGCATGCCGGCTGTAGCCAGGCTACTCCTGCAAACATGTATATTGACATCTCTCCATCTGTGTCTGCTCGTCCTACGGCTGTATGACCGCCTGGAACGCTTCATCAAGCTCAACATACGTTCGCGCCGTCGCCTTGCACAAAGGCCGCTGCAAGACTCCTCTCTCTCGTCGCATAAAGTTGCGCCAAGACTACGGGAGAAGCTACCGCGCGTACTCGCTATCAATGCAGTGATACCCAGCGGGTCAGCAACGGGTCTGCGGCCCGACACGTTGGTGCAACTCGAGCAGCTTGTGCAATGGTGTGCCTCTTCAAGCGTTGAGCATCTCTTGCTCTACGACAGGCAAGGCAAGCGAGCAAGCGTCAATGGTTGGCACCACTGACTCGTGCGCGCATGTGCAGGCTGCCTCAGACAGAATGCAGCAGCCATTTGCAAAGCGCTTGCTCGCAACGCGACAGTAGCAGACTGTACTCGGCCAGAGGCGCGACATCGCACCTTCGACGTTCAGCTACAGCGACAAAAGATCAGGATCAGCATGCTAGATGCGCAAGATGGCAGAGCGCACATTGCCCGTGTTGGACAAGTCCTCGCGAGCGCGGTCAGGCAGGGCTACCTCGCGCCAAAAGAGATAGATATCGCTCTGCTCGACGACAAACTGATAGGCAAGCTCCACAAAGTGATGACCGGATCTTGCTGACCTCAGGGTCAGACTCACTCGTGCCAGCGCCAGATCTGATGATCGTCCTCGGTGGGACTTACTGTAGGCTGCATGGCTTCCCACCATGGCACCTACGTCTCACAGAATTCTAGTACGTCTCCAGCTCTTGCTCACCTATGCCAGGCTGATGCTGTGTAGTCATGTGCCCAGTCCACTTTGGTCATGGAATTCCACGCCTACGCAATTATCTCGGGCGCATTTCGAGCAAGCATTAGATCTGTACAGCGACTGTGAAATGAGACAGGGGAAATAGACACGCAGACCAGCAGCGACAGTGTATGTTTCCAACTCGATGCATTCATGTACTCTGTCTAGATCGTTTGGTGACCTGCTTGTTCATCAGCGTAATCCCCGACAAGAACGGCCTTAGCGAACCTATCATTGCACGATAATGTCCATCTCTGATGCGCATTAGCTCAGAGTGCGAGCCCTTCTCGATGACTTGTCCGGCCTCGATGACGTACTGCTGGCGAGCGTCAGCAGGTCATGACGATACATAGATCGGACTAACAATGACATCGGCATGAGCAATCGAAGACAGTCGGTGAGCGATGGAGATGCACGAGCGGCCGTGTGCTGCCTTGTCGAGCGCAGCCTGCACTACTCGCTCCGAGTGAGCGTCGAGACTGGCAGTTGCTTCGTCGAGCAGCAGTATGCGAGGCTTGCGAATCAGCGCGCGAGCCAGGCAGAGCCGTTGTCGTTGACCGCCACTGAGTTGACTGCCCCTCCCACCCACTTCTGTCTCGTAACCGAGCGGCAGCGATTGCACAAAATCGTGTATGCTGCACATTTGGTGAGCCTGCAATAAAGGTCAGAACAAGAAGAGGACCTACTTCGCGGAACGGCAAGCATCGAAGAGATCTGCCTCGCTGACTTTACTAGGATCCGGGCTGCCAAGGAGCACATTGAACCTGATCGTGCCGCTGAAAAGGACAGGATCCTGGCTGACGAGCGAGACGGAAGATCTGAAGCTGTCGAGGCCGAGATCGCGAATGTCATGACCATCTATCGTTACTTGCCCATCTTCGGCATCGTAGAAGCGCTCGAGTAGCTGGCAGATTGTGCTCTTGCCGGAGCCGGAAGCCTACTAATCTGTCAGCCACGCACCGACTACTCGGGAGACACTTACGCCAACAAGAGCGACAAATTGGCCGGGCTTGATCTCGAGATCAATGCCACGTAGTACCGGGATCGATGGACGATGAGGGTACGAAAAGTGGACATTCTCGAACCTGCTCCCAGTGTCAATGTGGCGCCAATCAGAAGAGGCGAGACAAACTTGATATGGCCTGAAAGTCGTTCGACGAGCTGACCCTCTTGTCCACGGCCATTGATTTCAGGAACGTTTTCGAAGAGTTGCTCCGAGTCCGACATAGCGCGCGCTGCCTGCGACGCATCGCCGACGTGATTAAAGACTGCGCCCGCTTGAATCGAAGCAAAAACAACGGTCATGAGGACAATGTAGAAGTGAAGTTCGGAAATCTCGTTGTTGACGAGCTGACGTGATCCAAACCAGAAGATCAAGCCGATCGAAGGAAAGTTGAGTGCCTGGCAAAATCCAAAGAGCAGATTGGACCCAAACGCGAAACGGTTGCTCGACTTTTGAACTTGCGCAAGTGCCTCTCGGTAGCGTCGGAGGATCTGCTGCTCGCTGGTCAAGCATGCCACTGTCCGGATGGCACCTGCTGCTTCGCAAGCGAGACGTGATGATTCGGTGTGCGCTCCGGCCACGCGTGCTCGTTGCATCATGACAATCTTGGCTCCGCACATTCCAGTCGCAAGTGTCGCTGGGATCAGAGCAATTCCTACTAGAGCAGTCTTCCATGCAAAGATAAGACCGAGCGTGCAGCCGGCAATGAGAGTGACGAAGCAGTTTGTGATGATGCCGAACGTAACACCACCAAGGCCATTGACCTTTTGCGCTCGACCGTCCACTGCAGCTGTGAGTGTACCGGTTGCATCTTCCCGATCATGGAATTCGACGTCTTGGCCCATTAGTGATTTAAACGTCTTGAGTCGCAGCACGCGCGAGAGACTTTCGCCACAAGTGTAGAAAGAGTAACCTTCGATGAGCATAGCGAGCGAAGCTGATCCAGCAACGATGAGAAAGAAGATGGCATAGCGAGTATGCGTGCTCTCGATCTGATTGAATGTTCCAGAGAAGGCTTGGATTTCGAGAGCAAAGAGGATGCCGATAGCTGGATAAGCGACCCCGCCTGCGATTGCAAAGATGATTGCGATCAGATAGCGCCAACCTGCATGAGAGGATCAGTGTGGCCGTCAACAATATGGAAGAACCTTACGCATTGGATTAAGTCTGGCTGTGCGGATCATGAGGGGCAAGAAGGCTTTTTGTTTGATCTTCTCGATCTCTGCGCTCTCGGCTTCGTCTGGCACGTCAAAGAAGTCTTCCTCGGGAGGAACACCGAAAGACATGAATAGATTGCGAGTAGACCGGCGTGAGGAGAGTGGCCGAGAAGGGACAGATGATTTGGGTCGATCGTGTTCAGTGAGGCTCTGAGCTTGGACGAGCTTGCGATAGCGGCCGTCTTGCAGCGTCATCAGTTGCTCGTGCGAGCCGCGTTCGACGAGTGCGCCACGAGACATGACGACAATCTCGTGCGCATTGCGTATGGTACTGAGCCGATGGGCAACGATGATGGTCGTCTTTCCCACGACGACGTTGTTGATAGCAGCTTGAACTTCCTTTTCGTTAGCAGAGTCAAGAGCACTAGTGGCTTCATCAAAGATGAGCATTGGCGGACGAGACACGACGGCACGCGCGATAGCGAGACGTTGCTATTGCAGAGTCAGTCACTGCAGCTATCCGTAAAGGCTGCTCACCTTCTGACCGCCCGACAATATGCCGGCTCGCTCGCCGATCTGGCCTTCATAGGCATCCTGCAGCTTCAATATGAAGCCGTGTGCGTTGGCGGTCTTGCACGCGTCGATGACAAGTTGCATCTTCACCTCTTTCGACGCATTTTCGTATTTAGTCCCGATGAGACCGAGACTGATGTTGTCATAGATTGATCCAGAAAACAAGTTTGGCGTCTGACTGACGATACCGATACGCTGTCTTAGCCATCTGATGTTGAGCGCCTTGATATTGCGATCATCAACGTTGACGGAGCCTGCCAAAGGGTCATAGAAGCGGGTGAGCAGATTTAGGATCGAGCTTTTGCCAGAGCCGCTAGCGCCGACGATGGCGGTCACTTGACCAGCAGCAAAAGTGTAACTGAAATCCTGGAGGACTCTGACGTCTGGCCGGCCAGGATAAGCGAACGAAACGTTCTTGAACGCGATCGAGCCTGTTACTTGACGTGGCTTGAGGCCAGTTGTGCTCGAAGCGTCGATGGTCGGCTTTCGATCAATCGTCTCGAACAGCTTGCCGGATGCGACTGCAGCAAATGAGATAGCCTGAGCAGGCAGTGTGATCTGACTGAGCGAGAAGCTAGCTAGCAGGACGGCAAAAATACAGTTGACGATCTGCCCAGCGGAAGCTGATCCATTGAGGAGCAGCTTAGTGCCGAACCAGAAAGCAAGGGCGTAAGACAGGTAGATCGTCATGAAGAACCACGCGAAGCCAGCAGAGTGAATTCGAGCGCTGATCAGACCCGTTCGCAAGACGGCCTGGTTGTGCTTATCGTAGAGCTTTGCAAGAGCGTTCTGCATGCCGAAAGCCTGAACAGTGCGAATGCTCGAGAAGACTTCTTCGACAAGCGTAGCACCTTTGCCGGAATGAACGAGGGCTTCTTTGCGTCGACTGGCAAGCAGACGGTTCATCACTGCTGCAGTAATGGCCATGGAGGGCAACATCGATGTCAGGACAAGAGCCAGTCGCCAGTTTCGTATGTACGCGACAACGAAGCCAGTCACAAATGTCGATAGCAGACTGGCAACAGTCGGCACCTTCTCATCAATTCCTTGCTGTCGGGTGCTTATCAGTGCATAGTCTCCAAGCTGTCAAGGCTAACGCACCTGGATCTGCTGAGTCTCATTCGCGATGCGCGTCGAGACGACGCCAGGAGACATCTCTGTGTCGAAAAAGGTGATGTCCTGTCTGAGCACGCTCGAGAGGAACTCTTCGCGCATTCTACGCGTTGTTGCCTCTGCAGTGTACGACCAGATGAACTTGTAGACGAAGGTCAATACACCGAGCGCTCCTCCAAGGATGACGAGCAAGATAGCATCGCGATCGATAGACGAGAAGAGGGTTTGCTTGGCGGAGCCGGGATCCTCGCCATTGAGCACTGTCGCGGTAAAATTGACAAAGGAGTCCGTCAAATTCCCAAAGAGGACCGTCATGAGCGGCAGACCGAAGCCACAGAGAATGGCGCAGAACAGGCCAATGAAGTTGAAGATGACATTGGTGCGAGACGCAAAGCGAAAGATCCTGAGGTACGATCCTTTGGCAGGCGTCGCGTCAGCGGTCACGCTCGACGCAGGCGACGCATTCAGGATGTGAACCTTTTCGTCTTCTAGTGAGTGTGCCTTGCCATGGTCAGCATCCGATGATGTTGCTGAGCGATTCTCCAGTCGAATCTCGATTGGCGTATCGACATCAGTCTGTCGAACGTCGGCGCGTATTGGATTTGTCTGCTCGACGAGTAGGCCATTCCGTCGCGAGCGAGGAGGACTGCCGCGGGTCGAGTGAGGGGACGACGAACGATCTTGAGCTCGGAAAGGATCATTGTACTTTGCGCTTGGCTTGCGAGCGAGCTTGTTCGTCATACACGATTGCACGACTTGTGCAGTCTGCCGCAAGGATTAGTAAACAAGGCAGGCTGCAGCATCTCGACAGCGATCCGGTTGAGTGCGCTACCGAGCATCTGGCCCCTGCCGAGCGATCCTTCATGAATGCGTCTGTGCTGCGAGGCCTGTGGTGAGAAATGTGCGGAGACGCAGAGGGGAAAGAGACTCGCGCAAAAATTTGTCGCCAGCCGGCTTGACAAGACAAGATCATCGTGCGCTATGGCACCCCGAGGTCAGCCAAAGAAGAAGGGCGAGTCAGGAGCGGCGAAGAACTACATCAGTCGAGCACGTGCGACCCGGAAGCTGCAATGTACGCTTGCCGACTTTCGACGACTTTGCATCCTCAAAGGTACGACCTCGAGCATTTGTCTCTCGTGTGTGGCTCACAGATGTGATAGGCATCTTCCCTCGGGAGCCAAAGAGCAGGAAGAAGGTCAACAAGGGCTCTAATGCGCCTGCTTCGTTCTACTACGTCAAAGACATCCAATATCTCCTGCACGAGCCCGTCCTCGCAAAGCTGCGAGAACACAAGGCCTTTGCGAAGAAGCTGTCAAGAGCCCTTGGGAGAGGTCAGATCGGTCTTGCGAAGAATCTGGATGAGAAGAGGCCCAAGTACCGCATTGATCACATCATCAGAGAGAGGTACGCACATCGCCTTGGTGCTCGATAAGTTGCCAAGTGATATCTGCAGGTATCCTACTTTTATCGATTCGATCAGAGACTTGGACGATGCTCTATCACTCATCATCCTCTTCGCACATCTGCCAGCCTCGTCCAAGGTTCCGGCGCCCATTGTTGCGCATTGCGCCAGATTGGCGAACGAGTGGCAGCTCTATGTCGCGCGCACTCATTCACTCCGGAAGGTCTTTCTGAGCATCAAAGGCATCTACTTCCAAGCCGAAGTCATGGGCCAGACGGTGACCTGGCTCGTGCCGTATATGTTTACGCAGCATGTAAGGCCTGCTCGCACGCTTGCAAGATTGCGCTGATCAGGAAGCAGGTTCCCGACGATGTCGACTTTCGTGTCATGCTGACTTTCCTGGAGCTGTACCAGACCTTGCTCGGCTTTGTGTTCTACAAGCTCTACACCGACCTGAACCTCGTTTACCCGCCCAAGCTTGACGAAGAGAGGGATGATGCCGGCGGTGCTGGTTTGAGCGCGTTCATGCTGCAGGAGACCAATCGGAGCCTGACGAATCTCGAAGAGGATCCAGCCAAATCAGCTGCGCAACGGAACTTGACTACAAAAGATGTCAAGAAGCAAATCAAGGCAATTACGCAGACTGCCGCTCCTGAGATCGACGACGAAGCTATTGAGCCAGAGCAAGCCGAGCAGACAACAGACACGCGAGATGTGTTCACGTCGCACAGCAAGACAGATGAGGACGACGTCATGCTGACGCTGACGGACGCCGCCAGACAACAGGAAGAGACAGAGGCGCACGCTTCGCTCTTCTCCAACTTTGTTATCTACATTTCGCGAGAAGTCACTCGACCTGTTCTCGAGTTCGTCATCCGATCTTTCTCCGGTCAAGTCTGCTGGGACCCCATTTTAGGCGCCGGCTCGCCATTCGAAGAGAACGACGAACGGATCACACACCATGTCGTCGATCGACCTGTTCAGCGAGACGCAGCAGGTCAGATCATCAACACGTATACTCAGCACAAGGGTCGAAGGGTGTATGTCCAGCCTCAATGGGTTGTCGACTGTGTGAACAAGAAGACTCTGCTGCCTACAGACGATTATGCGCCTGGGCAAGCGCTACCGCCTCATCTCTCACCCTTTGTCAATGACAAGGAAGTCAAAGCAAAGGGTGGATACGTGCCTGCAGAAGCTGGTCTGGATCAGCCGGCAGCAGAAGCAGCAGTCAGTGAGAGTGAGAGCGAGGAAGAGGAAGAGGAAGAGGAAGGAGAAGCAGACGTTGACGATCTGGTCGAAGAAGCAGAAGAGCCTGTACATGTGCCAGCCCAGAAGAATGGCAAAGCTCGAGCGACGCCCGCATTGCTCGCAGCGGTCGACAATCCTGATGACGAGGCACTCTTGCGCGCAGCCGAGCTCGAGGCGGAGACCCAAGGTATACCTCACGCCGTGTTCGAGGCGAACCTCAGAGCAGCCCAAAAGACCGCCCGACAAGTTGCAAAGAAGACACCTTCGACTATCTCCCCCTTGGTGCGAAAACAAGAAGGTGATGCGAGTATGCTATTGACTGGCAAGAATCGCAAGATCTACAAGCATATGGAGCGTGGCATCCGAAATCGCAAAGCTGCTACGGACAAGCTCGCAGACAAGAAGCGTAAGCTTGTCAAGGATGCAAAGAAGGCTTAGATTGCTGTTGTCCGACCCGCGTGTGTATACGTGTAACCTCTCCGCCTTTTTGTGCGCAGTGCTCGCGTGGCAGTCAGCGAGCGATCGTCACCAGACGTGGTGATCACCTGCGGCCGCTGAGACCTCCGTCGTCTGCTCGCTGTACAGCTGAGACTGCTACCGTTCGAACTTGGGGCAGCCTCACGCACAGACCGTCTCGTGCGAGCTCAGACTGCACTGGCAAAGTTCGAGGCCGACCCAGTCTCACGCTTGCTGCTGACACCAGCGACGCCTGAGCGATAACGAGCCGAAGCAGATCATGGGCCTGCTCTCCAAGCTGTCCTCGGGGAGCGACAACAAGTTCAATGGCAAGGCGAACAGAGCCAGCTCTGCGCCGCCGGTGGGCAGGTAGGCTCTTACTTTACCGCCTTTTGAGAGTGAGCTCATGACGGATCCAGCATGAGCAGCTACACAGGCGGCAACAGCCTTGGCGAAAGAGTCTCACCCCGTCCCTCGACACTCATGCGCACACCTTCGGACGAGCGTGCCCTGTCGAGGAACGTCTCAATCACCAGCTCGAACGGCGGCGGGGCTTTCCAGCCTACGCTGGCGCCTATTCCCAACGGACGACCTGTCAGCATGTCAGCAGCCCCCAATAGCAATGGCTCAACGCTGTCGTCTGAGTTCCCGCCCGCTCCTGAGAAGCAGGCCAAAGAGAAGCGACGGATGTCTGCTCTGGCAGGTCTGACGGGTGCCAAATCGACGCCCTCTGCTTCCAAGACTTCATCACGAAACCAGAGGGCGGGCTCTGCGCCATTAGAAGCGATCAAGCAGCACGATGACTCCCTCGCGCCCCCTACATACACCGGCAATGGTCGTACGCCGAAGAGCGCGCTCAAATCGTCTACAGCAGTCAGGACGGTCGCCTCGGCCAACGACAGCAAAATGTCATCTCCCGCCAATGCTACCTCGACCCTTCCTCGAGATCAGCCATCGGCACGAGCCGCATCAGTGGCAAAGCCAGCCTTAGCGGCGCCTGCCGTCCCGACCACCAACGGCGCTTCTGCATCCCCCGAGCTGCCAAAGACGTTCTCACTGTCTGCGCTGGGCTTCAGTGGCGGCTCGGGCTCGCAATGGGGCAAGTCCACCTTGCCAGGCAACCTGAAAGAGGAGGACGAGGAATCAGTTCTCGAAGAACATCCCATTTCTGAATCAGATTCAGACGGCGGTCAGACAGACTACATGTCGACCAAAGGTGACATGACAGATGATGATGCCTCCTCTATAGAGTACGACCACGACTTTACCGACGAATCTTCCGCCGAGCACAGCGGCACTGGGTCATCTGGAAGTGCAGAGGTAGAGCATCATGAAGACGCACCGCCGCCTAAAGAGCCTACCGCAGTAGAAGCCGTCATTGCTGCCGTTGCCCCGACTCGAAAGAACAAACCTTTGCATAGGCTTACGCAAGAAGATGTCGCTCTGACCGAAGCCGAGAACGCTCAAGATCTTCTGCACGTGTGGAAAGCGATGCACCTCTTCATGAACAGTCGCATGATAGAAGCAGAGGATATCTGTCTAGCCGCTGCCGATCATCGCCTCTACTTTTCTGTCGGCTACTCGCTCATCCAAAGCATGAAGGCTCTCATCTCTTTCGAGCCAGAAGATATGGAAGCTGCCATACAGTGTTGCCGTGACAGCTTGGTCATCACTAATCTTTTGCGGAAGAAGGACAGCGGCATCATCAGCGGGATCGGCAAACTCGTCCGAGGGTCGAGCAGCGTCTCTGTCATTCGTTCAATGACGGTCGTCGAGCGACATGCCGAGCTCATCTTCGCCGAATGCACGCTACTCAAATCAATTCTTGGCATCATCTACTCTGGCGATTTTCTAGCTTTCTTGAAAGAGGCCATGAATTTGCGAAACGGTACATTCATCTACAAGTATCTCATGCAGTATCTCGACGCCATGGACGCAGAGGCGGGCGGGTTCGATGCCTCAATTGACCAGGATCTGCGTTCGGGCATATACCTGGGCAATGGCATTACCATGATGATTCTGTCTTATCTACCTACAAAGGTCACAAAGGCACTCGAGCTCTTTGGCTTTTCAGGCGACGGCGATGCAGGTCTCGTCGTCCTCGAGAAGGCCGGTGGTTGGCGCAAAGATCCGGAAGCAAAGCAGCCGCTCATTGGGGTTCAGCAAGAGGGCATTCGTCGAATCATCTGCGACCTCTGTATCTTGTTCAACCATTTGCTCAACGCTGCTTATCTGCCCATCAAGAACGTCGACATTGGCATGGCTTCAAAGATCATCGAGTTCAACATTGCGCGCTATCCGGAAGGCTTCTTCTTCCTCTACTTTTCTGGGCGACTCGCCTTCACACAAGCCCTATCAGAGACGGCATTGCGGCAATTCAAAGCCACGAACAATGCGCAAAGAGAATATGTACAGATTCAGCACATTTGCCACTGGGATATGGCGCTCGTCAACCTAGGTCTGGGAGCATATGTCCGTCTTCTCCCATTTTACCTTTGCCTACGCTGATCTACTGAGTCCAGGAGCGATCATATCAAAGCTTCAACGTGATCGAATTTCTGCCATCTCACCAAGCAAGCTGACCCGTGATTGCAGATCCTGAGCAAAGAGAGCAATTGGTCCAAAGCGATCTACGCATACGCACGCGCAGTTGCATTATACGAGTCGGACCCCGCCAACGCGCCAGAAGCCATCAAAATCATGCAGGGCGTGCCAGGCATGCGACAGCGTATCGCTGGCAAGACTATTCCACTCGAAGTCAGGAGCTCGCTTAAGAGCAGGATTGCGCTGAAGCAGCACGGCAGAAATTCGCAGGCAAGAAGGCGCAACGCTTCATCGCGCAAGGTGGTCGCCTGCTGTGCCCTGTAAAAAGTCCGCTACTTGCTGTGCTCACCGCTGACCGCGAGTTGCAGGCGATCGAAATGACCTATTTCTTTAATGCGCTTCCGAATGCGCCTCGTTTTGCACTGTTCGGTGTCCACCTCGACGCGATCAGCAAAGCGCTCGCTGATCTTCGAGCGGTGAAGACGCCTGCAAGCTACGGCACACAGATGGAATACTGGGACGATTTCTGCTACGCTCACTTCTTCCGTGGTGTACTCTTGCGACTGATTGCGCACCCCGAGCCTCACCATGTCGTGCGGCCTGCTGAATGCCCTATCGCTCCCGAAGAAGCGGACACGCAAGCTCTTGTCTCCTTCCGCAATGTCCTCAAACATGGCAAAGATCTTCGATACGATCATCACCTGGTCCTCTTTGCACACTACGAGATCGGCCGACTGTATGACTGTCGCGGCGAGTACGCTGCGGCGATACAACATTTCGACATGGTCATGGTAAGCTGCCGCGGTTCTGATCAGGCTTCCGTGCTGATAATTTGCGCGATCGTTACCAGACTGGCAAAGGTCTCGAGCTGAGCAAGACGCGAACAGGCAAAGTGAGCATGCACAGCATGGCTGTCCTTCGCACTGTATGTCATACGTTTGCTTGCTTCTCTCACGCCCTGCTGACGCGGAAGCACAGAGCATGGCGCGAAGCAATACGATCAAGGCTATGAAAGCTGCGAAGCAAAGTATCAGCTCGTATTAGGCTTGCGCACATTTATTTATCGCCGCTTCCGTATGTAAGCAGTACTGTTGCATGCACTTTTTCTTGGTTGTACAACAACACATGCACGGAGCATGCGCATCTAGTCATCAAGCTCGATAATGTCTGAACTATCGTCGTCTTGCTCAGCTTGCGTTCTCTTGCGAGCGTCGGTAGCAGCAGTGCGACGAGCACGAGGCATGGCCGAAGGCGGAGGCTCAGCGACTTTCCTTGCACGAGGCTTCGCGGCCGGCTTTCGGGTCGTAGCAGGCGAAGCACGCTTGCCCTTTGCTACAGGCTTCCTGGACGCCGATGGTAATTCGAGCTCTTCTTCATCATCGTCTTCGTCATCTTCGTCTCGAAAGAGCGCTGGCGATTTGGCCCTGGATTTTGCGGGCGCTCTCGTTTTGCCTTTGGCAGGCGGCGTCTTGCGGAAGTCGCCATCAGAAGGTCTGTCAAAGTCGCTATCGAATGAATCGGAGCCTTCATCATTTACTGCTGCATTCTTGCCTTTCTTCTTACCGGCCGTCGAGCCGAATTCCTGTAGCGAGGCAGCTGCAGCCGCTTTGGTCTTCTCGACCTGTGATACCCTCAGATAGGGCTCTAAGGCAGGGAAAGCAGCGTACCAAAGCTTCGATCTGATCTACTTCTGTTGTACGATCTCTTGCATAGCTTGCATTGGCAGAGAGCTGCTTCCTTTGCGACTTGAGCATAGCCCCAACAAATCTGTCAGCACATCAGCTCGACCCTCTTGAGCTCGCAATGAGAGTCATACTCGCTGATCGCCTTGTTGTCGTCCTTCTCGATGAAGCTCTCTACGGCCTGACCAAAGTGGGTCTGGTCGAGTATTTCCATATGCTGCGCTTCGAGATATTGTCGTACAAACGTCTCGACCTGAACCTTCTCTGCGCGAGCACCGGGCTCGACATCTTCTAGGCCGACTTGGTCTGGCTGATCAGGCACGACTCTCATCGATTCTGGTAAGGGGGAAAAGATCAGCTCGGTTTTCGAGCTGGTGAGACTTTACTGACTCTTCGCCGCTACTTTCTTGGATCGATAGAACTGGACGATATCCTTTGGATTGGCGACTTTGCCTGCAAATTCTTGGCCAAAGCGTTGAGAGTTGGGCACGTCGAAGTCAGGAGTGCCCTCATCTACCGATGACGAGGCTCTGAAATCGACCTTGAGTCGAATGAGAGGCAGCATTGGCGGTACAGGCGAGCCATTGGGATCCTCGTTCAGCTCTTGGTGCTCTTGACTGGCTATGGCGATGAGCATCTGAATCTGGCTCTTGAGGAACTTTGTGATCTGAGCTCGACTGTTGAGCTCTACCTCGTCGTTCTCTTGCACTTCGGCCAGACTGATTTCTTTGTACTTGAACGGTCGAACGGTTCGCAAGACGATGGGATCGATTTGGAAATCCTTGCCCTGGATGCTCAGAAGTGCTACCGTCCTGCTCGCAAGTCAGCAGTCAGCATCTAGGAAGAGGTAACGACGAGCTTGGGTGCTGCTTCGGCCTCGATGAGAGACGTCGAGACAGTGCTGCCCGGCTGGGTGATAAAGTAGCGACGACCTGGTACTGTCTCTGGAATGATGCGGGAGTCGTGCTCGTGTCCCCAGACGACGAGGTCAATGTCGCTATCGAGCGCATTCTCAGGCACATAGGACTGCTGCGTGCGCGGAGCCCTACCATCGTTCATATGAGTACATGGTACGGCAGCACTTGAGCTCAGCTTGCCTGTTCTGATGTATGAGCATGAGGTTGAACCACTCTTCTGCCTGATCTTGTGGCTTCATGTACCGTATACGGCCAGCACGGAGTTCCTGATGGAATCGCTCATCGCGCATGTTGCCCACGCCGTACATGCACAGCTTTGTCTTTCCTCTGATCCTGACATGAGCGACCTAGTCTTGTGGAAGAGCGGCGCAGCGTACTTTTTGAGCAGGATCGGCTTGATCTCTATGCCTTGCTCTTTGGCCTGCGAGTCCGTTATGGTCGAACCTGGCAATTCTTGACGGCCGAAATAGTTGATGAGGCCAGACACGGAGAGCAGATCTAGAGCGCTCAGCGCTCCTCCTTCCTACAGGTGACAGTGATGTCTGTCAGCAAAGATTGCTGAGAGCGTGATCTGACCGACAGGTCCTGCGCCTTGAGGATCGTCATGGTTGCCGTGAATGGAAAAGACAGGCAAGCCGACGTTGATGTTGGTGTCCTCATAATTGACTGTAGGGAAGCTGTGTACAGCAGGTTCGTCGAGCCCGCTGGGAGACCGAGCAGACGACGACTCACGCCTCGCTGTACGCGCCGCCCTCGAGTCCCAAGTCGCTAATGACTTCGAGGTTGACCTCTGACCGACTGAAGCATCTCTCGCGCAAGATGGCCATGACCTGATGCAACGAAATCCTCGAGGGTTTGTTCTCGTGGAAGAGATCGCCGGCGAGCAGGAGAGCGTCGACTCGATTGGCAACTGCCAGGTCGACGACTTCTCTAAACGAGTTGATGCTGTCCATTCCTCTGATCGGATCTCGCTCGTGTGCTCCTACATGGTTGTCTGTAGCGAGCAAGAACTATCCCCAGGCGGGAGTGTCATAGATTGGCGACTGGCAAGGCGGTCGTGACTCACCTTGATGCAGTCTCGAGGTGATCTGCCGTTGATCGTGTTCGATGGAGCTGGCAGAGCGTCTCGCTCGTCCGCGCCGTCGAGGCCAGGGCTGACAGTCGCGATCAGCACCAGCTCGCGCATGTTCAGCCTGTGCTCACCCTGGCTCCTCTGACGACATCGGGAGAGTCGCCCGAGAAGTTCGAAGAGCGCGGCGGACGCGAAGTCAATTTGACAATTCGACCAAAGTCAAACGTCGCCGTTCGCTCGCTCATCACCAGCAGATGGACATCTTTGCCAGTCTCACCAAGGGCACTAAGCTGCAGGGTAAGAGGCCTAGCGCTCTCATCGATCCAGACGTGCACATACACTTTGAACCGCCAACGGCCGCGCAGACTGACGAGACGACGTCAGCAGCCCGACCACGAAAAAGAGCAAGAAAGTCGCAAGATGGTCTTCCTGCTCCGACGCCTGCTCAAGTCAGTGCGGCAATCAGAAAGAGGCACAAGATCAGAATGACAGGCGAAGACGTGCCCGATCCTCTCTCGAGCTTCGCCGAGCTTGTGACCTTGTACGGCTGTGAGGACTCTTTGTTGGACTGTCTGGCGACGATGGGGCATGCTCTTCCTACGCCCATCCAGGCCCAAGCTCTGCCTCTACTGCTCAAGGATCACGTCCGTTCAGAGCAGACCTCGGTCTGGCTAGTGCTAATGCGTGCACGCGCAGACACGAGATCTTGTAGCATGCGCACCCACAGGATCCGGCAAGACGCTCGCATTCCTCATTCCGCTCCTCGCTGCTGTCCAGTCAAGCTCGTCCGAGCCTTCGAACCGAATAAGAGCACTCGTCATTGAGCCTACGCGTGAGCTAGCGCGTCAGGTCGGCAGACAGGCGGACCTGCTTGCGCAAGGATCCGGTTGGCGAACATGCGTCATGGGTGAAGAGGAGTCAGGAGTCAGTGAGTCATTGACGGCAGACCTGCTGATCACTACACCCTTGAGGCTCATCTATGCCATCAAGGCGAAGACGGTAGATCTCTCCACGTAAATATTCGCTGATTCAACTTACCGCACTCAAGCTGAACCCGAGCTGCAGCGTCGAGCACCTCATACTGGACGAAGCCGACCGTCTCTTCGAGCTCAACTTTCTCGAACAGACAGATGAGCTCATTGCAGCCTGCAATCATCCTAAACTGCGCAAGGCACTCTTCTCCGCCACCATTCCTTCAGGCGTCGAGCTGCTGGCCAAGACGATCATGCGCGAAGATGCCGCACGTGTCATCGTAGGATCACGCGATTCTGGAGCAGCAGGCATCACCCAGCAACTCACCTTTGTCGGTTCAGAGGACGGCAAGTTGGCTTCTCTACGAAGTCTGATCGCCAAGGGCGGTCTTTCGCCGCCCGTGCTCATCTTCACACAAAGCATAGAGAGAGCACAAGACTTGTATAGAGAACTATCGCGAGACGGTCTGCCGGTGGAGGTCGTCCATTCTGATAGAAGCAAGGAAGAGAGGGATCGCGCGGTGCAACGCTTCGAAGCAGGAAGAGCCTGGTTCCTGATCTGCACAGACGTCATGGCGCGTGGCATCGACTTTCAAAACGTCAACCTCGTCCTCAAGTGGGTCATCCCGCTTCAGCTTACAGACTTTGCTGACGTGGACGCAGCTACGACTTCCCGCAAGGCGCTGCGAATTATATTCACAGGATTGGCAGGACGGGCCGAGGAGGTAAGGAAGGCAAAGCCATCACCTTCTTCACGCAAGAGGATGCTGTTCACCTCCGGAGGTATAACATGCGAATTACAGAAGGCCCAAGGACTGACTTTCAAGGCAGTATCGTCAATATCCTGCGCAATTCGGGCATCAAAGTCGATGACTGGATGCTCAAGCTCAAAGCGCCTTCACAAAGAGCCAAACGTAATCATCTCCGTGCGCCGGTCAAGCGAAGACATATCCGCAAGGCTGCCAAGGGTACAATCTGAGAGCATTCATTGCAGATAGGATGTCGTGACAATTCGTGAGACTTGCCTAAATTATGAATGGCGACGCATCACGTGCTCTGACGCGCTCATCTCGTGTGCATGCCGGTGCCTGCTACGTCCAGCCGACATGGCAGCGTATGGCGATGAGAATGCCTACAGGGCCTTCAGAGATCATCAGCCGACTGGAAAGACAGCTCTCGCTGTAGTTCCGGCCAGCTCGCTCGATTGCCATGCTGCCTCAACCGTGTTTGCTCAAACGGCAAATCAGCGTTCTGCGACCAGCAAGCCTGCCCGTAGACCGCTCACGGTCATTGCGATTGGCGAAAAGTCATCGTCGCCGTCTGATGCAAGCTCATGTACACCTAGCAAAGCTGAACGCGAACGACGTCGGACTGATATGGAGAGACAAGAGATGCATGATCGGTTCGAGAGAGAGATACAGGCTGTCGAAGAGCGTCTAGCGCAAAAGGAAGTGGACAAAGCCAGGGGACGCAAACCCCGTCCTTCTTCGGGAGCGAGTCAGAGAGCAGGCGATCTCATGTCGGCGCGTCTTGCGTTGCTCGAGGACGATGGACAGGATGATGTCGAAACTGACGGGATTGATGTCTACATTCGGTCGGTCTCGTCTGTCGTTGACGGCTGTCTGAGCTCAAACAGCATATGCAGATATGCCAAGTGGACGCTGACAGCGTACCCCATAGCCGGCGAAGAGCACGATGCACATGTGCTACCCATTCTCGAGCGGCTCGTCAGGCGGTTCTATTCAGTGCCAAAATATCAGACCGATGCGCGCTACTTACGCTTCTGGCTGCTTTTTGCACAGTACTTGCCCGCTACCAGCCTGAGCAGTACATCTACTAGCCCCAGAATGGCGGTCTATGCTCTGCTGCTTCTTGCCCGGATCGGGCATTTGCATTCGCATCTTTATGAAGAGTTGGCCAGCTTTTTAGAGTGCCAAGCACAACATGATCAAGCAGAAACAGCCTATAAGCTTGGGCTGTCCCGCAAAGCAGAGCCGATTGCCCGCCTGAAGAAGAAGTACAAGGCCTTCCTGGCAAGGCGCGCAGAGCAACTCGAGACCGAGCAGCGGGAGCGCGACGAAGGCAAACGGCTGGCAGTCTTCTGCGACGATGTAAGCTCATTCGCGACGCAAGAATGCCGCTGATAGTGTGCGCAGACTCAAGTCGCAGGATCTGACAGACATCCTCTGCGAGTCATCTCCGTGTTGAACGGCGTAGAACATCTAGACAAGCTCGAGCAACTGCGGCAGCAGCCCCTGAAGAACTTTGAGCTCCGCCTTTTGCCGACAGCCCTGCTCGAGCCCATCGACGTTGCGATCCTCCTATCTGGTCGTGGTCATGCGCCTTCGCAGACAAATGGCCAGCAACGACCCATCGTCAATCTCAGTACACCACTTCATCTGCTCTACCCGCCGGACAGTACAGCTGAGCAATCACTCGAAGAGCTCATGGCCTCTCGCTATAATCTACAGCTCGCGGCCTTACCTGACTGGGCCATCGGTACAGCGCTGTCAGTTGACGCCTACGGAGGTGCGACTTCTCTCGCCGGAATGACTCGGGCTTACGCGAATGCAGAACCCCTTGCGCCTGCCGTTGTCAGCACGGCCTCATCACCAACCAAGCCTTCAGTACAATTCAACGTCTATCAGGATGACGAGCCTGAAGTCGTGTTCCACGCATCGCCCATGCTCGCCCGACGACCGCCATCGCCAACCATGAACACCAGGGCAGCCTTGAATGAAGTTGACGCAATGTTCAGTGCTACATTGAATCTCAACGCACGAGGAAGGGAGCGCATGCCAAGTGCAGAGTCGCAAGACACGTCACGCTCTTGCTCCGAGCCCGGACCTGAACCGTCGCAGTACAGCGCTTCAGGTTCGGCGCGAGATACAGGGAGCGACGATGTCCAGTCCGACGATGAGCTCGCAACTCGCCTTGCAACACAGCCAAGTCAGTTCGCCTCGCAGCTCAGTCAAAGTTTCAGCCAGCCGGGCTTGCCATTCGGCTTCAGTCAGAGTCAGACCGTGATACCCTCCCAAGATTCAGAACGCTATAGCGACGACGAGGACGCAGAGACTGGTGTTCTGCGCCCGTCGCCCACTGGCGTAGCGTTTGCAGAGGATGATGCAGGACTGTTTGTATCGACACAGACGGATACTCGCGCGCGACACCGCCAAACGGAACGATTCGGGCAAGCTTTCGACGCGATGACGCCCATTACCGAGCGCACATGCGAGAATGGCAACACTACTCGAGGCGCGCTGTCCTTCATGTCTTTGCCAGCCTCGGTGGCGCTCTCGGAAGGTACAGAACAGTCCCGTACTTCCGAAAACAATACAGACGAGGTCAATGGCAACACGTTCAAATTCTGCAAATCTGTACCGGTACATTCGCGCAAATCCGAGCTAGGACACCGCAAGAGGTCGATGGCCTCTGCTCCGTGCGATCCTTTCGATGCCGCCATCGTTGCGCATCTACTGACGCAGTCGGAACACCTTGCGAGCGTGTCTTTTATCGATATGCGCAACCGGACAGCGCAGCAACTGACAGCGCTTAACAAGATGGCCAGCGTTCAAGTACAGTCGAGCCGAAAGTCGAGTAGCAGTGCGTCTGGGAAAGACAGCGACCCGTGGGAGCTCGAGCTCGGGAACGACGTTTTCTCCGTCCGAGCGAAGCTGGGCGAAGGTGGCTTTGGCGCCGTCTTTGCTGTCTGGAAGCAAGTCAAGCTTTCGCCTGATGAAAGCAACGCCTTCAGCGATGACGATGACGATGATAGTGATCAGCTAGCAGCGCTCAAAGTCGAAGGCAGAGTCAACCTATGGGAATTTCATGTCATGCATCAGCTGCACCAACGACTTGCTGTCTACGCGCGGAATTGGTTTGTCAGATGCCACGAGCTTTACGCCTTCAAAGACGAATCATTCTTACTGCTTGACTTTTGCCCGCAAGGGAGTCTGTTCCATGCGATCAAGTCTGCTCAGAGCAATGGCATAGCCTCCGCTGCCGGCGCGAGTGGCATAGACGAGATGGTGGCGCTCTTCTTCATCATCGAGATGATCAAGATCGTCGAAGCTATCCATGCCAGCGGCTTCATTCATTGCGATGTGAAGGCTGAGAACTGCATGATCAGGCTCGAAGAAGTACCTGGCGGTAGCCGAGCGTGGTCAAGCAAGTATTCACGCTCTGGCGAAGGCGGGTGGAATTTCAAGGGCCTAAGGATGGTCGATTTCGGCCGCATGATCGACATGTCAGCCTTTCCATCGGAGCAACAATTCCTCGTCGAGTGGACGGAGACTCCAGATCAGCACGACTGCTTGGAAATGCGGAATGGCAAGTCGTGGACTTACGAGCCAGATTACTACGGTCTTGCCAGTATTGCGCACCTTTGCTTATTCGGTAGGTTCATCGAGACAACAACCGACGAAGACGGGCAGCAATGCCTGACACAGGGCTTCAGGAGGTATCATCAAGTAGATCTATGGACGCGTTTCTTCGGTCTCATGCTCAATCCTGGACTGGCATTGCCAATCACCGACCGGCTGCGGGAGCTTCGGTGCGAGATGGAAGATTGGCTCGAAGCCAATTGCGACAAAGGCAGTGGGCTCAAGACGATGCTGAAACGATTGGAGGCATACACCGACTCTGCTGCTAATTGTAGATGATCTTGCATGGAGACATTGCATCGTAAGCACATGGTACGGTCGATTGGTCAGCTCGAATAGTCTGTGATGGGCCATCAGCGATCTCTCGTGTGTATGACTGGGTACACTGACAGTATAGATCGTCGATGAGGGGCGTGTAAGTCTGCAAGATCGAGGCGATAAAGCCGAGTAGAGGCTTGCTTTCGAACGATCTCGCGAGACTTTCTACTTTGGGCCTGGAGCGCATGCCTACCCCGTCAGCACGACTAAGATGCTCAAAGAAACATGCTCGCCTGGTCCACTGTTCCCAGAGAGGACCTCGCATGAGATACCAGTAGAATTGCCGGTTCCTCCTCGCGATCTCTGTCTTTTCGGCTTCGCTGATCTTGACTGCACTCTTTGCCATGGCTCGGCTGCTCGCAGAGCCTCTGTTGCGGAGGACGAGAGCAAGATACTCGACAGTGATAGATGTAACGAACGGCTTGATGTTGCGCACGCCATACTTGCGCATCAATGCGACTGCTCGCAGATGTAAGCTACCTGCAATACCTCTTGACTGCACGCACCATAGATGACAGGCCGTAAGATGTATAACAGCTCGCCAAAGCTACCCGCTACCGTATCAACGGGTTTGACGAGCTGCTGAGCGGGCATTGCTTCTTCGATCGTCAAGACCTTTGTGAGCAAGAAATCGCTGACGGTCTTTGGCTTCTCGGTTTGCGCAGATCCGTTGGCTGGCGGGGAGCGCAGTGAGAGCAACGTCGGATGGACATAACCAGTGCGTGAGCCCTTCCAATAGGTCGGGTCTGCATGGCCATTCGCGTGCCCATTGGCGTGGCCATTGCCATGGGCGAGGGGCGCGTCGCTGTGATTGATCAAGCGTGCGTGAGGTGGCTGGCCTTCTAGCGATGTCTGGTGTGTGTCTAGCATGAGTGCAGGGTCGATCTCTCGTTCTGGCACGGGCGGTGTGAGCAGTGAGCGCTTGGTCAGCCGGAGCAGCAGTATCCTAAGCATGGCTCTTTGCAAGTCGCAATGTCAGTGTGGCCACGCGCTGAGCAGTTGCGCCTCACTTGAAGCTCTCTAGACCGAGCACGACATCCCAGCGTGCTTCGCTACCCAGCCGCTTCCTCGCCGCCATCTCTGTGAGCAGCTCGAGGAAGCCGACGATGCTGAGACAGCGCGCGACGGTCCGATAGAGGGCGCTGTTGTCACACCACCAGCGTGTATAGCGAGCATGACTGCTGATCTTGCTCGTCAGGCCTGCCGCTTGTCGTTTGAGCTTGCTCGCTTCCGGCAGAGCGTCTGCAGCTCTGACGAGGATCGAGTCGTGATAGCTCCCCAAGACGTTGAGGAAAGCATAGAGAGCTTCGCTGGCCATCTCCGAGTCCTGAAACCTGCCCGGGAGGAACCAGCTGAGTGAGCGCAGGCTGGACTCGATGCTGCTGATCCGAGAGGCATTGTGCAAGAGGAAGCTCGAATAGCTTCGTGGTAGGCTCGAGACTGCCCGCTGTACGGAGCTCGGGCTGGCCGAACGTGACATCACCGCCTCCTTGGAGCCCGATGACTTCTCCGCGTACGTCCCTGGCATACTCGTCCCATTCCCTTGGCCCATCTATGGTCAGCAGGCACGCTCGCCTTGACTTTGAGCACCGGCTATCTCGTCATCATCGCGGCTTCATTTGACACACACAACAACATCACTCTTGCTCCCTCACGCTGGCAACATCTTCCTCTTCACTGCCTCCGAGATCCTCTTCATCATACTCTTCCTCTTCTTCCTCGCCGTCCTCTTGATCCTCCTCCTCCTCCTCCTCCTCATCATCATCATCATCATCATCATCTTCGCCTCTTCCTTCTCCATCCTCTTCCTCGTCACTCTCTTCACCTTCAGGCGCGATAGTACGATCTGCCGGATCGAGGGGTAAGGGCGCCTGCAAGCCATGGAAGCTGTGATCAGGTCGTTGAGATTGCGAGGCCGGCGGGAGCGGCCCCCAGGAGAAGGAGCTAGGCGCCGGCGGGACAGTGCCTTGCGGTCGTATGGGCCGCGCCACGGCTGGTGAATGAGCATGAAGTTTCTCATGGGGTCGCGCCCGCCGGGACGTAGGCGTAGAGGCAACATCGTCTGATGACGATGGCGACGCAGTGGGTATGTTGAATTGTATCAGAGAAGGGGCTGCGATTGTGTTGGGCGGCGCCTTAGGCGTCGATGTTCCTACAGGCGTGCCAAAGCCGGCGAATGTTGGAGGCGCTGCCTCCCGACGAGTCTTCTGGGGCTGTGGTAACTTCGTAATCGGGCCACGAGAAAATGCGAGCTGCAGATCGGCAGTGTCCAGTGTGTTCATAGACTCTGCAGTTTGTTTGACAGACGCATCCGTAAAAAGTGGTGTTCTGCCTGGCGTGCGGAGCGTGCTACTGATTGCCTCGAGCGCAACGCGATGTCTCTCCAACCTTTCCTCGGTCGCTGCGCGTGTCGCTGCGAGATCTGGTTCATCTTTGGTCGCTAAGACAGACTCGTCGAATTTACTATGGTGATCACCAGACGTCGGTCCTTTGCTCTGCGGCCGTTTCTGCAGCGTGAGGCGGAGCATGTCAAATCGGATTGCCAGCTCGTCCAAGCTGTTATTGACCGAGATCGTTGCCGTACTGAGATTGCGCGCGCTTCGAGCTATGTTGTCGAGTGGCGGCGCTTTCAGGCTGGATCGAGATGCGGTCGAGACCTTTGTCTTGATGGCATCAAGCTGCTCCTCGAGCATTTCTATCGTCGAGCGAGCTTTGTCGCTTGCTTCGCGAATCGTGCGCTGATTTTCTAGCTGCTCCGGGCCAAGCTGACGGACGCGCACCATCTTGGCAAAGCCAGGATCGCTCTTAGATCGGATGAAACGAGCGCATTCCTCGCGCTTGACTTCGGTTTTGAATATATCGCTCTGAATTTGCGCAGCCGCAGCTTTCTGAGCGTGCGTCTTGGTCTTGTGAGACTGCACGTCTTCCTCGAGCGCTGCGCAGAGCCGCGAGAGTTGTTCGAGATCTCCGAAACTCCAATCGCTTGCCTGCAGACTCGCCCTTGCAGCATCGGTCACGCTCGGTTGCATCGGCGCCTTGAGATCTGCCAGAAAGTCAACACAAATGCGACTATTCTCGCGCAGCTGTGCGCAAAGTCAAGGTCTGCGGTGATCAAACAGCAAGCCACATACCAGCTTGAACTCGGTCTCCATGATCTGGTGGATCTTGAGGAACTCCTGGGAAATGCCGGATTCTCCGCCTTGCGCCGTGGACACGTTGGGTGGCACACCATCGAGCTTCGGCGCTGTGAGCTTAGTCAATGGTGACTCTGCCTTTGCTTTGACGGGTGCCTTGGTACTGATGATCTGAGAAGTTGGCGTCTTGGGGCGGGCAGCCTGAGGCTCGGGTGCGGCAAAGGACAGGGCAGGCGCAGTCTTTGCAGCGAACAAGTTTGCCGGCGAGGACGCGCTGCGTGCAGCTTCCTTCGCGAAAGAGAAGCCAGGTGTAGTGCGAGGCACGCCGGGCGCAGCATCAGGATTTGGACTCGCCAAGGGAGAGCTCGTCTTTGGCTGGAAGCCGCCAAGGTTTGGGAATAGGCTGCCAGCTGGTTTTACGTCGCCCTTACTTGCAAAAGGCGATGCAGAACTTGCCGGCTTCTGAGCGATAGGCGACGGTGGCGCAGCGATAGATGGCTGCTTTGGTACAGTCGCTGCCTGCGGTAAGGGTGCAGGTGGCAAGGGGGTAGAGGCAGACGCAGTCTGCTTGATTGGCAAAGGCGCAGGAGGAAGGGGCGCCGGGGGTAGCGGTGCAGCTGACACACGCTGGGCGACTTGAGGCCTGTCTGGATTTGTGGTCGGTAGAGCTTTTGGCGGCGTTGGCAGCTCGACCTTTGCGAGCGACTTGTTCTGAGGGATCGGCATCGGTGGTGGAGGCGCGAAAAGTGATTTGGACTCAGCAGCAGGCGTGGACTGAGCTATTGGCTTGACTTGTGGGATTGGTGCGGGCGGCGGTGGCGCGAAGAGACTTGAGGCTTTCTCAACAGTCTTAGTCTGCGGTATCGGTGCAGGTGGCATCGGTGCGAACAGAGGCGCTGTCATTTTGTCGGTCGGTGTGCCCTGCGGCAAAGGAGCAGGAGGCGCGGGCGCAGGAGACATAGACGTAGGGCTCGGCGCTGCTTCAGGCTTTGCCTTAGGCGAAGCGGAGGCCGATGCATGAGCTGAACCCAAATCGAGTGAGACGCTGGACGATGCTACAACACTGGGCTCAGGAGACGCAGAGGCCGGTGAGATCGGTGCGGGCACGCTGATAGCTGAGGGTCTTGCTTCCTTTGTTGGCGGTGGAGCCAGCTTCTCGACCGCAAGGCCTCCGAAACTGAGCGAATCTACGTCCGCAGATTGCTACAAACGCATGTGAGCCAATTGCGAGGACACCCGAAGTAACGACACGTACAGGGACAACCTTCGCTTTAGCAAGCTCTTGCGCGGCAGCATGTGAGGAGCTGCTGGGCGAGCCTATCGATTGACCAAATCCAGGGAAGCCCGATCCAGACTTGCCGAATGGACTTGCGCCAGTCGCAGCAGATTGTCCAAACGAGCTACCGAAGCCAAAGCCGACGGAAGCGGGCTTGGGAGCTGGCGTGCTTGCACCGAAAGGTGAGGCACCGGCTGGCTGAACGAAAGCTTTTGGTGCGCCAAAGGGCGACGGGCTACTTGGAGTGGTCGATTGACCAAAGACAGGCGCAGATGGTGTACTCATCTGTCCAAATGAGGGTACAGCAGGCTTGGTCGTCGAGCCGAAAGCAGGCGTGCCGCTTGCACCCGGCGAGCTCGTCGTCCGCAAACCAAATGCCGATGACGCGGGTATGCCGAATGGACTGCTCCCTGAGGGTGTGCCGAATGGGGATGCGCCGAAAGGTGTGGGCGCAGTGGCTGGTTTGCCGAATGCTGCAGGTGTAGCAGTCGACGCTCCAAACGGAGAAGGCGCAAAAGTGGTAGCAGGTGGATTAGACGCGGATACTGGCGTGCCTGACCTGGTGTCTTCCAGCATCGCCCCGGAAGTATCAGAGCTATCTCGCATGGCAGTAAAGGCAGAGGATCCGAATGCAGCTGGAGTAGCCGATGCAGGTGTTGGGGCTATCGAGCCAAAAGAAGCTGGGGCAGCAGCACCGAAAGAGGCAAAGCCAGTCGGCTTGCTCCCTGACGAGCTGAAAGGACCAAAAGGAGAAGCGCTAGGCTGAGCAGGTTGGCCAAAGGCCGGCTTCACGCCAAAAGCAGAGGCGCCCAGACCCGAAGGAGCCCCAAAGGCGGAAGGCGCACCGAAGGCGGGTTTGGAGACCGCAGGCGCGCCAAAGCCTGCGAATGCCGTAGTCGATGGAGCAGGTACTGTTGGCGGTGGCGCTTGTGCTGCGCCTGGGACCACGAGACCTGCGTATCGGCCTCCTTGCTCGCTGATGAGGTGCCAGGCAGAGAGACAGCCATCGCTCGTAAAGGCATACAGTATCGGCATGGGCGGTCTCGGCTGGGACTCTACGTTGATGGGTGGTAGCTCATCTGTCGCAGTGAGGTCTAAAGCCAGACCGACTGGAAAGGTATCTTCAGAGGTTGCATCGGAGATGGGCAAGGCGGGTCTTTGGGATTCTTCTATCTGCAGCGCCGCCCATTGAAATTGTCCGTCGGGGGACTGGATCTGTGCAATGCATCCTAGCTCTGAGCAAGCTGCACTAGCCATGAAGAGCCAGTGTTTGAGTGGCTGCCAGTTTTTCAGCCGCTCGCTGAACCGTCGCGGCCGCCTGGCATCCCATAGACCGAAAGCCTGAACAGGATCCAGAAAGCGGGTATAGGTCGGCTCTACGCCTGCTACGAGAGAGACGGCATAGACATCTGTGAGGGGAACGAAGCTTGTCGGATCGTCGTCTGGCGTTGGGGCAGAGGCATATGTGACCAGGTAGACGGTGTTCTCGATCCATTGGACATCGATTGCTGAACAACGTGGTCAGCGTAGCATACGACTTGAGCAATCGTGCATACCTAAGCTGTCTGCGAGTGCTGCTGGCTTGGGTATCGTTGCTTTGTGTTCGCCTTCGGGCGTGTATTGAAGCAATTGGCCGGATTGTGTGCCGCAGACGATCTGCTTGCCCTTGACGGACCAGCACGCACACAGCGCAGCTTGGTCGATGGAAGCTATGAAGCTCTGCGTGTCCAGGTTGAAGATCGACAGCAGGCCAGTGGACGAGATGGACGCGACGAGTTCGGGTCGTGCATCTGGATTGGGTATGAGCTCGACGAGCGAGCTCGAGTCTGGCGTTGCTGTGAAAGTCTGTGCTGGCTCGAGCTGCAAGCACAGAGGATGAGCATAGGCGATGAGAGGCTGGATGGGCACACGACTGACGCGTGCTTGAGGTTGTAAGAGCTGATCCGTCTGCCAGACAGAGACTTGTCCGTCCGCACTAGCAAGAAGCAGCCTGCTCTCCTGCGAGGCGAAGTGGATGCTCTGGTACTGTGTCGCTTGAGGCAGGGGCACGTTGAGGCAGCCTGCTAGCGTCGGGGTGGAGTTGCGTGCTGCAGCAGTGAATGCGTGCCTGAGCTGATCCAACTTGACGAGACTCAGGCCGGACTGTGCGTTCAGGAGCGCCGCGTGACTGTATCGATTTGAGATGGCGAGCAGGCTAGCATGCTGGTCGAGAGCAGCCGTGTCGAAGCTAGGCGACGCTCTTACCTTGACAGACTGCTGTAGCTGCAAGAGTGAGACCTGAGCTTCCGTGTCAGCGGACCGATGGCGCAAGCATGGCAGAGGGTGGACCTTGAGGGACTCTGTCTCCAGCTCGACTGCGTCTGCCTCCATCCTCGCCCTCTGAGCTGACGGTCGACTCGAGTTTTGCTGGCTGACGCGCGCATTTGCCTTTTGCCTTTGGGTTTTGCCATCATCGACGTCGACTCGAGCCTGCACTCGTCCAGTCAGTCGGAGGAAAGCAGGCAGCAAGATGCCGTCTGAGCCCAGCACACTCACCGTCGACCTCATACACAACAGATACAAGCTCGATCGGTCATCGACGGGCAAGTCTCAAACGCCATGACGTAGCACCATCAACGGCTGATCCTCGTGCGCCCAGATTGTGCGCTATCTGCGAGCATACGCGGCATCTCAGAAAAGATACAGCCTACGCCATCATGGGTCAGTCGTAAGGCTCAGACCGGGCGTGGCCGTCCTCACACAGGCAACAGGTCTATCTTTCGCCAAAGCCGCACTTGTTCGAGAGCGATGTGCTCACCAGCCCGGCATGTGCAGTCAATGTTGCGCAAGACGTCTACCACGGCACATGTCAATGTCCTGCCTGCGCGCGGAGACGCTGAGCTTGTCAGTCCGAGAAAAGAGCGACGGTCGCCCAGAAAGAGCGTGTTTCCTTCGTCTTGCCCGATTTGCGACTGTTGACACGATTACCACAACTTCCAAAGATACCAAGGCCACCTTTCATATACCATACCACAGCAAGCCAGGCAATCCTGAGTACCGAAGCAATACACGTCAGTTAGGTCCAGCTCGAATTCACTCCCTGTAAGCTGATGACAGTGATCCTGGCAGAATAGGCAAACATGATACATGTATGACATAGCTTGCAATGCATCTCTCATAATCACCCGTCAGGTCGGAGTCCACCAGCAGACTCCATCTGCCGTGCTTGGGCAGTCCGGGGAAGTACGTCATCGCGTCAGATCGACCGCGCGCGACTTGCCGAATTGGATCTACTCGACTCGACCGACTGTCAGCCTTGTGACGAGATAATGTTCGACAGATTCGGTAGCATACCGCCTCCGCATCCTGCCCTCGACCCCAATACCCATCTCATTCCGGGTCTCAAAGCTTTCATCAAAGCAGGCGCCCATGTTCCAACGAACCTGTCGACGAATGACCTGACAGTAGCGACGGCTCAAGTACGCTCCTAGTCTGATTGTCAGACAAGGTACAGACTGATCTATTGCTGTGTAGACATGGCTCAAGACACAAGACCCTCTGACGCTCTCGCTCGTGCTATGCTTCTGGTCGAGCGTCGTGACATGGTTCTTGGGTGAAGTGACTGGCAACGTCTCTCAGGTGACCTTCTCTCCTCCTGACTGACTGCCGCTTCCTCCATCTGACACGATACGGCAGGTCGATCGTATCTGGACGTTCATGCCGGTCATCTATTCTGCCATCTTGACCCTGCACCCTCACTGGCAATCGTACGACTTCAAGCTCTTCACCCTCCCTAAACTCTCGTGGTCGAGTCGCGCTAGCTGGGACAAGAACTTCGTCGATCTCCTCGTGCCATCTGGCGTCGACCCCAGAATGATGCTCATCTTGCTCTTACAAGTCCTCTGGTCGCTTAGACTCACCTCCAATGCCATCCGACGCGGTTTCTTTGACCCGTACGCTCACATCATCACATCAGAGCTTTGCTGATCCCCTCGGCAGGCGTACCGAAGACTACAGATGGCCTTTCATACGCGAACGCTTCCCAGGTGGCAAGCTGTCCTTCAAAGTCTTCAATCTCGTCTTTATCGCCTTTATACAGAACATCATCCTCATGGCCACCGCGGTCGGTCGCTTCATCGACAAGCTTGGGGTGTGTCTGACGGGATGCGCTCTGGACAGCTTCCGCAATACGTTCTGCTCACTTCCCGCGCGTCTGCACATCCTACACACGCTGCGCCGGCACTCGGCCGAACGGATCTCATCCTCACCGGCTGGTACCTCGTCAATCTCTACCTCGAATTCGTAGCAGACAATCAGCACCAACGCTACCAGAACTGGAAGCATGGCAGCGGTAGAGAAGGTCGTCCCGGTCAGGTCGGCAAGACGGCGCGTCAGATGCAAATCGACGAGGGACGTCTCCGTCGAGGCTTCTGCACTGAAGGCTTATGGGCATACTCGCGTCATCCCGTGCGTCCTTCGGACCATGCGTCAAGACTGCTGCTCATGAGATTCCCAGAACTTCTTGTGCGAGCAAACGGGCTGGTTCATTCTCTACCTGTTCTCTGTACACGCGACCGTCTCGCCAACGGTCATCAACACCGTCTACAAATCCTTCGATGCCGCTTTGACAACACGTTCGATCGATCCGGTCAAAGCAATCGCGCACAGCGCTTGGCCACACTTCTTCACCTTTGCACTGGCTGGCCCGCTCTCCATGTGGATGATCTTTGCCGGTTCGACTTGGCTCACCGAGCTCATCAGCTCTCGAAAATATCCGGTGAGATCCCTACATTCGTCATGGCTTCCTGACTGATGGGAATATGTTCCAACGATAGCTCTACAAGCAGTATCAACGTCGTGTCGGCCGATTCACGCCCGACGGCACCCTTCTCAAGTCTATCTGGCTTCTGCTCACCGGTAGCTACGGCAAAGTCACGGAAGACGTGTTCGGGCAAGCCCCCAAGCAGATCAAATCGCAATAAACAATCCGGAAAAGCATCTATGCATCTACAACCGTGGCTGCTGTACAATGTGGAATAGTCTATCGTGCGAGGAGGATCAGTGTTTGCTGTCCGCATAGAACTTGCGTGCGTTGGCCGTCGTGACGCTGAGCGAGCGTTTGTGCGAGTGTCGATTCACGTATCGGTCTTCTTCCGCTGTCTGTCGAGGTGGCGAGCGGACTGGTGTAGCAGATGGCGCGGCTGCCTTTTTCGACATTGACCACGTATACATGATCGAGCCGGCGAGAATAGCGACGATGCCGGACGCGCGACCCGAGGTCAGCTGGTCGTTGAAGAGCCAGCAACCCAGGAAAGTCTGTGCGATGCCCCGCACGGCCGAGCTGATCATGTGCGTTGTTGGCGAAGTGACCTTGATGGACAGCGTGCCTGCCATACCGATCAAGAAGCCGAAAATGCCAGTCAGGAAACTGCCTGAGATAAAAGTTGATAGAGCCGAGCCGCCTGTGCTTGTCATAGCAAGCAAGTCGCCCGTCTCGACGACGACGGCGAAGGGCAGCAATATGATGGCACTGAGCAGATTGCTAAAGTAGACCAAGTCGAGCGAGCTGTTGTTCAGCAACGGCAGGGATCGCTTGACCACGATGGCGTGGTATGCGGTCGTGATGGACGAGAAGAAGCCGAGGACGATGCCGAGTGCAGAGACAGACATGTCTTCTGTGCCGACACCGAGCATGAAGCCAAAGCAGACGACGCCAATCGCGCCGAGCGTGTAATTGTTCGGCCTGACGTTGAGATAGAAATACGAAAAGAGGGCGGTGCAGGGCAGGATCATGCCTCTTGCGATCTGATAGAAAGAGGCATCGATCGCTTGCAGGCAGTATGTGTTGAAGGCGAGTCCGATGACGTTGACGAGGATGAGTGGCGCGAGGCCTTTGCACAATCCGACGGTGCAAGTAGGCACGCGAAAGTAGCCAAAGATGGCCGACACGCGCAGCAGCAGGACAGATGTCGTCAGTTGCACGAGCAGGAAGTAGAGCGGCAGATTGACGCTGTTCAAGACCCACTTGTTGCCCATGACCATCTGTCAAAAGCCCATCAGCCTGAGCACACCCTTCAGACGGCATGAGACCGACCACGAGTGCTGCAAGGATATAGAATGATACTGCAGCTGCAACTTGCCACGGCGTCGATTCTGACTGAGGAGCGGGAGCGGTCATGCCCGGTGAGCTGGGCGGGCTCGCGCTGCTGGAGGCGTGCGAGCCAGTTCGCTTCATCTGAGGCGATAGGAAGGCACGTTTCTCATCCTCGCCGTCGCCATGCCTACTGTACTCTCCAGCATCGTAGCGGGGCAGCTCTCGAGAGTCATCTTGGCTCTCTTCGCCCGCGTGACCGAGCTGAACGGCAGTATATTCAGGCACGGGCGACCGTTGTAGCTCGGGACTGGACATGTTGCTGTCACTCACGGCCATCGCTACTGATCGTTTCTCGCCCATCTTGCCGTGTCGCTGCTGCCGTCGGCGATGTCTCTTTGTGCGGACGTTACGAGCCGCTCGGTCGCACCACAAAAAAAACAACTTCGCGCTTCGCGTGAGATCATGAGAAATCAAGAGAAAGCAATAGAGCGCGTCGCCTCGCGCGTCCTTTTCGGTAATTAAAGTGCGCTGGCTCGAGTGGAAAAGCTTGTTCCCGTCAGCTGTGCCGGCCTGTTGAATTGACGATATCCTTCTGCCATGTTCTTTTGAGCTTGTTGACACGCTGCGGCCGATCTGTGGGCGTGTTATGGCCCGGCCAAGCGAGCGGACTCTTCCCACGCTCTTCACATTGCACGCTCGCCCTGCTTCAACAAACCCAGAAGGACAGCTCGAGAGACTCGGTCTGGTCTCACCACTCAGTCTTTGACAGACACCACTCGCCCTGCCGGCATCAACTCTCTTTACCACCCCGTCTCGACCGAAAGACGACACGGGCCCAGCGCTCCTATCACAAACGATCTCAGTACCCATAGCGCGTGGATAGCATCATGGTCAGATCAGTCGCTATCGCTTCACTTGTTTCCTTTGCAACGCTGGCGTTGGCATCTACGAGCCGGACTAGTCTCTTCGAGCTCTCGGCCCGGGACATCGCTCTTGGTCTCAACCCGTCGACGTCTGTCGCTGCCGAACTTGAGAAACGCGATGCTGCCGTCAATGTCGCTGCCGAATTGGTCTCGCGCGACCTGGCTGGCGAAGTCGAAGCGTCTACTTCCGAGCTAGAGAAGCGCGCGCGTCACCATCACAGACATGCGAACCATCATCACCACCGCCACCATCGCAATCACAGACATCATCACCGTCGCCCGCAGCACAAGTCACACCATCGCCACCACCACCATCATCAACACCACCATCACCCTGCACCGCACAAATGCCACAAGTGAGGTTACATCTCTTGCGAATCGTACACGCGCTGATGCTTTGTTTGCTACCTAGCTGCCAAACCAGCGTCAAGCACGCGGAACCATACTGCCATCATGGCAAATGCTCCTTCACCTGCAAGACTGGCTACTACAAGAAGAACGGCCAGTGCCACAAGGGCGATGACAAATGCGACAAGGCTTGCAAGCCCATCACCAACGGCGCGAGCAAGTGCAGCAAGAAGAATGGCTGCACCTACTATTGCGATACTGCCAATGGCTTCTCGCTCCACAAGACGAGCACTGGCTATACGTGCTACAACACGATGACCGATCCCACTCACTGTGGCAATCCGCCCAAAGTGTGCCAACAGGCCTACATGTACAAGGGTGAGCCGACATGCACCAACGGCATGTGTGGCGTGCTCTGTTCGAACGGCAAGATGGCCACAGAGAGAAATGGTGTTTTCTACTGCCCTTAGAGACGGCACGCTCTTGATGAGCAATTAGACTAGATCATGTACGGGTCACAAGTGCATGCGGGCATGCAACATACACGCAGAGATCGTCGTCCTTTGATGACAATGCTGAGGTGAGCTTGGCTTGCATACTGGCAACAGACATCAAAAACAACATGGGGGCAAACGATCATTAGCGACGCTCTGGCTGCGCAGCTACTGATGCGTTTGGGCCGAGGTATCGCTCGCGCTTCAGCCTTGCCCACTCTGAGACGCGATCGTAGACTGCCTCTGGAGAATCTAGTGCTGGTCGGACATCGAGAGAGAAGACGGGATTCCTGCTATCGAGCATTAAGCCATGTCGCAGTCGGGTAGAATAAAAGTTTACCCTTGCTCATCCGGCGCAGCAGAGTAGTAGTCGATGACATAGCGATGCTCTGTGCCGGTCCCAGGTCTCCGTATCGTCCAGTCGTGACGATCGAAGGGCGGTGTGGAGCTGTACGTCTCTGGAAAGAGCTTGCCGAGGTAGAGATGTATCCGCGCCTTGGGCGACAGATCTTGTGGTCGTCCTGTGAAGTGTGCGAGCTGTACTTGCTCCCCGCTGGTCGTCGTCGTCGTCGAGGATGTCAGTCACGGTCTATCATGCAGAGGGTGTGCTCACGTCTGACGGCGTTCCTCCCATCGCAATACTTCGTTCCAAGCTTGCTCATTGAGCCAGTTGTGTATCTCCACCATGGTCTCTACATGCTCTTCCGGAGCGGGCTTGCCCTTCCTCACGAGTGCATTGAAGAATTGCTGTGGGGAGGGGTAGACCCATCGATCTGTGTCCGTCTTCATGCCAGCAGTGGCGGTATTGCTCGAAGTGGCGGGCGTCGATGCGACGGGACACGTTCCGGCTTGCTTGCTCGATGCGCTCACTTCTGCCGCATGTTGGACTGCCTCTGCCCGAGGGATGGAGGAGAAGGTCCGCTGGGTGGGTAGACTTTGACGTTGGCCTGCCGATTGAGATTGCGCGAGCTCGGGGATGTTATTGCGCGGATTGATCGCTGCTGGCTCCACGCCTGGCTTTGCATCGTGCATCGGGCATGCTGGCGGCGGTCTGCTGTCCTCTCTTGACTGTGCTGAGCCCATCGAGTTTTCAAGATCTGGACGCAGATTGGCTTCTGATCTGATGGCGCGTTGCGAGGAAACTTGAATAACCAGTTCCGACTGGGGCCCGTCACAACACAATATAAAAAGGGGATTTTCTTTGATTGGGCAAGAGATGGGCAGAAGTGTGTACTCGGCAAAGCTGCTCAAGGCACTAGCATCGGAGGGGCAAGTGCAAGAACGGACATCGCCAGGCAGGAAGCATGATGTCGTGGCATGTTCTCGTCGCCACATCAGCGCGACGACATCGACGACGCCAAGGCGGCGCAATGCCATGAGAGGCTTGCCACCGCGTTGTCCCGTCTTCGATGCTTCGTTCGATCCTGATTCGCCACTGGACGAGCGAGAGGCCGTCTACGAGGCGTTCATCAATGTAGATACTCCAACGAGCGCAACAAGAGGAGAAAACCTGTCGCAGTATCAGACTGACGGCAATGCGCTAGCGAGTCTGCTTGCACGATACTCCAGCACTGCACCTCACAGCACTGCCTCCCGTTCGACTGCGCTTGTACATACGGACGCGAGTCGATTGACGTACCACAGCGACTATACCCTGCCGCCGTCTGCCGCGTCTGATGACGACGCAGCGACAGATTGGACCGATAGTCCACTCGTAGAGGGTTGGCAGGTTGTTGGCCGGTCACACCACGACGAAACGCAGTCTTACCATCGCCTTGTGACCACTCAATCTGAGCCGGAATATATATTCAGTCGGGATGCGGCCACCCAGATTCCTGCAAGCGAGGCGCACTTCATCTCGTTCGAGTTGGCTGCCGGTCCAGAGGCTATCAACGTGCCAGCTGACGGCGCTCAGATGTCACAGACGCCCGTGACGGCTTCGTCTGGCGCCACCCTTGCCACCGATAATCTGCTGCTTGCGCTGCCTGGCGAGACACAAGAGCGTCATGCATAGATGACCCGCAACTCAAAAGACAGCTCGATACCCTATGAGCTGTCAGACTATACCACGCCTTGCCTCTACCCGAGACTATACCGTTGCTTGCGACAGCGCTCGTTCCAAGCCTGGCTTCTTGTTCGGCTTTGTCACGCTTGCTGCTGTTGTCTCATAGATTGATGTTGCTTGTCGCTCACCTCAAAAAGTGTGACGGCTGTCGTCGTGTGAGATGACATGCGGCCGCTTTGCCTGACGTGACGCGGCTGTGCACACGCGAGCAAATTGTCAGGCCGGCTAAGCCGAAGGATGAGCACTTTCGCAGACAATGATGATCCGACTCAATCGCTGTCGTCCGTCGTCGAACGCGAAGGTCTGATCAAGTACGCCGGAGACTGCGCTGCATGTCTCGTCCATCGCTGACGTTGATGACTTTAGGGAAATTCAAGACCTGCAAGATGGGCTCAGAGGTGTGTACCAGCGACGAAGTGGAGCGTCGTCGCTCATGGCGAAACAGCATTGCTGAGCCGAGTCGATGGCGTGACGGACGAGTGCAACAAGCTCAAGGCATCCAACGATACTCTGCAGACTTATATCGACAACCTCACCAGGAACTCGTGGGTGGCTCGCTGTGATGCGTCTACGGACTTGCTCACCAGCTCTGCAGCGTTCTCATCGCCGGTCACAAGTGAATGCAAGCGCTACGGGCGAGATACAACAGCACAATTCAACCCAAGTCGCGTGAGGTTTACAAGCCAGAGTGCAGATTGCGCTTCTCGATGACAGACCGGTTGTTCTCCCGCTTGACGTAGTAGTACCGATCGATATGAGAGCTTCCGCCAAGATGGTTGAGGAGCTCTTCGTCATGGGTAATGATGATCAGCTGGAATTTAGCATTCTTGCGTTCTTTGACGATGCTACCATGTCTCACTGTCAGTGACAAACAACATTGCAAGAAATTGTCAGACGTACTCGCTGAGCGCAATAGCGAGCGAGGCGATGTTTGCACGATCGAGATTGGTTGTGGGCTCATCGAGAGCCATGATGCCGCAGGACGCGCTGAATGACTCTGCGAGCGCGAGTCGAATGATGATGGAGGCCAGAACCTTCTGCCCGGCCGAGCATCTTCCTCGCATGTCCATCTGGACGCCGTCTTTGTCCATGACCACACGATAGTTGTACGTTCGAGCTTTCGTCGCGCCATCTCCGTCGGAGACGATCGCAATCTTGTCGATATCCGAGCCGGTGTACGTCTTCGTCCAGAGCTCGCGGATGATGTTATTGATCTCTTGCATCTTAGCACTGTGATAGGCCATGATAGCGCTGTCGAGTGCTTTGCCGTACTTCTCCATGTCGTGGATGGCCATGTCGAGCGTCTTGACGTTGATGACTTGATCGAGGTGACGCTTTCTGATGTCCTTGTACTCCTCGTCCAGCTCACCGCGGCGCTCCTTCTGCTGTTGTCGAGACATCTCGAGCTCCCCAGCCAGCTTGGCTTGCTGACCAGATTTGCTCTCTTGCTCTGCACGCGAGGCAGTGTAAGACGCTTCGAATTGCTTCTTGGCACGATTGGCAGATTCCACGTCGAGATCGGACAGCTCATCGTTCGACTTGGCTAGCTCCTTCTTGTAGTTCCGATAACGCTGGTTGTCTTCCAAATTGCGTTGGTATGACTGGGCTTCAGATGACTGCTTGTCGAGCGCAGCTATCTCATCAGTAAGAGCTTTGATAGTCTTTTGACCGCCTTTGCGCTGAGCTTCGATGTCTTTGATCGCAGCCTCACATGCCCGCAGCTTGGCCTCCGTACCATCGGTCTCGTACCGCTGTACCCGCTGAGCGAGGGCATCCAGTGAGCTCAAGCTCTTATCGAGGCCGCCAAGCTTCGTAGTATGCACTGCAACTTCGCTGCTGTGATCTGCCAAGGCTTGCTCGAGCTCGTCACGCGCTGCATCGAGAGGACCTTGCATGGCTTGCAGACGCTGTCTCCCTTCTTCCATCGCTATCTTCGAAGCACCAACGTCCTTCTGCGCAGCGGCCAATGTGTTTTGCAGCTCTGCACGTCGAGCTAGATCGTTCTTCTGCTGGTTCAATTTCATCTGACATGTCGAGACCGTTTCTCGCATGCCAGTGATAAGCCTGTTCTGTTGGTCTTTCTTGTTTGCCAGCAATTGCATCTCACGTTTCTTCTCCTTCCTATCGGCTCACACACGATCAGTGACTGTCAGCAGCTTTTATGCTGTTGACCCACATTTGTCCGCTCAAAGCATCTAGCTCCGTTTGTACGTCCGCCACAGTCTTAATCGAACCGGTATGGGCGAGCGATGTCTCCAGATCAGCAACGTCGGCGTTCAGTCCTTGCAGCTCTCGGCCAAGGCGAGCCATATCGATGGCTGCACGTTTGAGGACTTGCAGGTCAGATACCCCAAGCTTGAGATCGGACATGCGACCGCGGGCTGATTCGAGGTCATAATCAGCAGCCGTAAGTTTGTCTTCTGCACCCTTCAGCTCCGTCTGAGCTTTAGGCAGATCAATTTCCTCCAATCGTTTGAGATCGTTCTCGATTGGCAAAAGCCTCTCCCAATCAGCCAGAAAAGTCTGCCACGAATCACGCTCTCCTTCGAGTTGCTTGATCTGGTCAGGTATGTCTCTGATTTTGTCACGCAAGTTCTTGTCGTGCACAAGTATTGCTTCTGGGCTCATCGGTCTTCGACAGCAGAAACATCTTCCTTTCTTGCCGTACTCGAGCAGATTATCATAGAAGCCGCTCGAGACTTGTTGTCGTCCAAGTTCGTCTTGGCTTGATTGTAGCTCTGCTCGATCCCTTTCGATGGCTTCGGCGATGCTGGCGTAGCCGTCAGTATCAGCAAGTCCGTCTTTGATCTCCTTCTGCTTCGACCGTTGATCCTCGAGCAGGCGATCGACTTGGCGGCGCAATCGCGAGATTGTCTCGCTGCAATCTTTCTGCTGACGTTCGCTTACCGCAGCTGTACGTTGGACGACGGCCAGCTGTTCTGATTTATCCGCGAGCGCTGTACTGACCTGCTCGTCGAATGTAGCGCTGACAATTCCGCCGCCGAGCAGCGCTGTCGCTTTTACATTGTTGTCTGCGATAAGCTTGTCAAGTGCAGTCTGACGACGACCCGCGTCTTGTCGCTTGATAGCCAGCTCAGCTCGAACGCCAGCCTGACTCTGCAAGCTGGCAAATTCTTTCTGAGCTGTTTCGCGCTTGTCCTCGAGCTCGCGATCGTCAAATTGCAACTGAGCTATCGTAGCATCGTAATTGGCGTCTTTCATCTCCTTTTCGGCAAGCATGAGCCGATCCTTGGCAGACTTGAGATCGGCTTCAGTGAAAGCGATGGCGGTCTCGTTGATATCGATCGCACGTATGCTCTCTTCTGTGATTTTGATGCTCTGTTGCGTGCGAGCGGTCTTCTCGCCTGTCACACGCCGCAGAGCTTGCTCGTTGCTCTGATCGGATTCGAGCTTACGTCGAGCATCCGCGATGCTTCCCTGTTTGCGCTTGTGAGTGATTTTGAGGGCGGCAATCTCTGACTCGAGCGCTCGATAGGCATTTTGTAGACGACGGCGGAAGTCGACGACCATATCATCACTGATCTGACTGCTTGAGAAGCCGCTGATGTCATGACGAATGCCCAATTCCTGCACGAGCGTCGCACGCTCTTGTCGAGCGGTATCCTGTTCCTGCAGGCGTGCCGACAGACTGCCGAGTTCGGTAGCGCGAGCGTTCAGACTCGAACCCAAGCGAGCATAAACATCTTCCTCTTTCGCTTTTGCCCTGGCTTTCTCTCTGCGTCTCTCCCCGTTCGTCTCAAGCGTCTGCTGGAAGCCTTGCATCTTAGCAGTGAGCTCGTCGTCGGTTTCTGCCCAATCACAATGTTCAGGCAGGCAGCAAAGGCTAAAACGGGGCAGCGTGATTGACCTTCTAGTAGCGTCATGTTGGTCTCGAGATTGGCCATAGTCTCTCGAGTGGTCGTCATCCGATGCTGCAAAGTCTGCGCTTTGCTGATAATGTCGTTGTGCTTGACCGCTCGCTCGTAAAAGTCTTTTGTGTCAGAGTCGAGCTTCCGGATGTCGGCCGTAAGTCGCTCGAGTTGAGCTTCCTTGCGCTCGATCTCACCGTCCAGCTTTTCGAGTCCCCGTTCGATCTAAGCGTACTATTATTCAGCACTCTGTATCAGGCATGCGGGAGCAGGCCGCACCTTATCTGATCGCTCCCGGTCAATCTTGAGGGCAGATTCGCGCTCCTTTTCGATCTTGAGCTCGACAACACTCTCCTTGCGAGTGTCTTGTATGCTCTTTAGGGCTTTCGTATATTTTGTAGCCTCGAAGATGTCGTCGAACTTCTTCTTGAGTATCGACGGCTCAGACAGAGGCCAATTTGAATCTTCCTGATGGCAAAAGATGACGTTCTCGAGGATCGCCTTGGACACGCCGAGGTGTATGGGCACCTCTTCATCAAGCTCTGCCGCTTTTGTTGAGAGTGTCTGTCTCTGGGAAGTGCGCGAGTGATGATGAGCCCGCTATCAGTGATGCTGACGCCGCTTACCCCTTGCTTGGATCTGCCGTCCTTGCCTTCTTCGTCGAAAGAGATCGTCGCCTCGAGCGACTTCATGGTCAAGCCGCCGCCTTTCTTCTTGGTGACTTGCAAACGGCGCACCGTCGTCATACGCCTGCCCTGAATATTCCTGAAGCGCAACTTCACTTCGCCTACGACGCTGTTCTCTGACGACATCTGCGAGCGCTCATCAACGCGGGCTCCGTCGACGGAGCATCACATCGAGACTCGCATTGGGATCATGCACGAATGCACCTCCCTTCGTATTGGGTGGCAGATCACCGGTCGTGATGTACTTGAGACATTCGATGATTGTCTGTCTTCCTCTCCTTCTGCTCAGCCAGCCATGGCAGGCTCAGAACAGAGCGACTGACGGTCTTGCCGCACCCATTCTGCCCGACGATGACGGTCAGAGGGCTGAGAAACTGTATCGTCACGAGCTCCTTGCTTTCGAAAGATCGGATGCCGCGGATACCGAGCCGATCTATGGACGCCATAGCTGCGCTGCTTTCGCAGCCCAAGCCAGCCCTGTCGCGAGCGTCGCACCAACAGGCGGAGTCAGGGGGCACAGCTTGATAGATCTTATTTTTGATTGTGGATTCAGTTGATTCCTTTTTTGCGGTCCGCGAGTTTGGCAGAGATTCGCCGCTGGCTAAAGCCCAAGAGCAAGGATGGACGACGTCGAGGCGCTGCTCGAGGCACCGCTGAAGCGCAAGTCTGACCGACGTGACGATGACGACAAGAGTCGCTCGCCCGAGTCATCCAGGCGACACCGGGATTCTGCTTCTCGCCATTCCTCGTCTCGTCACCATCGAGAAGAAGAGGACCGCTACAAGGACAGAGATCACGACAGAGAACGCGATCGTGATCATGACCGAGGATCTCGCAGGGAAGAGGACCGGAGAGATTCTCGGAGAGATGACGAGAGACGTTCGAGACGACGCTACGACGATGAAGAGTACGAGAGCAGCTCGCGCAGGCACAGAGAAGCGGATGATTACCCGAGCGAGCGACGCAGAAGACGCTATGAGACCACAGAGGAAGAGGATCCGGATCCCTCTCGTCGCAGTCGTCGTCGACACGAATCGCCCTCTCGCTCGAGTCGAGACGCGGGCGAGGACAGAGAGCACCGCAGTCGTCGATCTACCGCTGCGGACCTCATGCCCGATCAAGATGCGGCTTACGTGCCTCTCGAAGAAGACACGAAAAGCGCACATAGCGCAGGGTCTCGCTCGCGCCAGCTCAGCTCTTCACATCGCGACGATGAAGAGAGACACTATCGCTCACGCTCTGGCAGGGATGACCGACTCGATCCACGTCGCTCTCATCGTGACGAGTACAGCTCGCCTCGTGACGACCACCGCCGTCGTGACCACGTCGACTCTCCACGTGAAGATGCCCGTCGTCATGAACCTCGCTATGAGGCACCGCCTGCCAAGCCTCGCACGCCCACGCCTCCTCCGTAAGTGTTGATGTCCTTGACGTTCCTGACATGTCACTGAGAGCGTACGACAGAATGACGGAAGAAGAGCACGAGATGCGCTCAGTGTTTGTCTCCCAGCTCGCCGCTCGTATTGGCGATCAACAGCTTCATGCATTCTTCGAGAATCAAGCAGGCCCAGTCAGAGAAGCCAAAGTTATCGTTGACCGCATCTCTCGTCGATCGAAAGGCGTAGGCTATGTCGAATTCATGGAGCTCGAGACAGTTCAGAGAGCACTCGCCTTGTCGGGCATGAAAGTTCTCGGCGTTCCCATCCAGGTGCAATATACCGAGGCAGAGAAGAATCGACAAGCGTCTACTGCTCAGAGCAGCTACGGTGCCCTCATGGATGCAGGCTTTACTATGTACGTTCAGTCTAGCTACAAACACGCGCTTGGGCTTATCACCATCTATCCCGCAGTCCAGCTGGCTCAGATGCTACACCGTCAGGAGCTGTGCCCTACAACGTGCTGTATGTGGGCTCGCTCAACTACAGCTTGACAGCAGACGACATGCGCGAGGTCTTTACGCCATTTGGCGCGGTGGCTTCTGTCGACTTGCAGACTGATCCCGGCAGCGGCAAGAGCAAAGGTTATTGCTATGTCCAGTGAGTCTTCACCTGTCGTCTTCAGCATCCTCGCTCACCAAAGGTTGGCAGATTTTACAAGCACGTCGATGCGATTCATGCCCGAGAAAAGATGAACGGCTTCCAGCTTGCAGGTCGTCAGCTTCGAATTAGCACCATCAGCGAACGCAACGCCATCTTGCCTCCCATGAGCCGCAGTGGACCCGTCGCCCTCGGTGATGGCGAAATAGGCAAGCTTCCTCTGAACGCTGGATGACCATGAACTGACAATTGAGCAGGACCCAACCTCAATAATATCGGACGCATTGAGCTCATGCAGAAACTCGCTCGAACAGATGCAGCATCGAATCAGCCTCCCCCGACCGTGTATGTTTGCAATATTGTCTCATGAGTCCAACTGACAGACATTTGAACAGTATGCGGCCTAACATCCCGACTGCAGCGTCTAGGTGCATCCTGCTCAAGAATATGTTCGATCCTGCCGAAGAAACCGAGCCGACGTGGGACACTGACCTTCGTGATGACGTCAAAGAAGAGTGCGCTTCCATTCAGTCGTCAGCCGTCAGTGTCTAATCTGAAAGCTGTGTTCTGCAGAATCCAAAGCAAGTATGGCGCTGTCGCTGAGCTTGTAGTCCAGCGTGACTCGACAGAAGGTGCAATCTATCTCAAGATGGAAGACACGAACGGAGCCGCAAAAGCGCTGAGTGGACTTAACGGTCGCTGGTTGCAAGTCTTCCCCCCATCACTGCCGCAGCCTGCAGAAGCTGATGTAGAATCACAGCGGTGGACGAACGCTCACGGCTGCTTACATCTCTGACGCAATCTTTGATGCTCACAAGCGCGGATGACCGCAGTACGCAGAATAACCGCAAATCAGAAAAGGACAAGGAAATCGCTATCAAGCATCGTCGTCATGTCTTTGACCTACTCAAAGTCGTGGCTCGTCTAACTCGTGATCTCCAAGTCTACAGACATGCATGCTCCTACATCTTTCCCGTCTTCGCGTTCGCACATGAATGAGCATCGTCGCGCTTGTCTCCGTCTGGACGCCACGCGAGGTCTACCTGTGACAGCCTCTTTCGCTTTTCCCCTCGTACCACTCTTCTCGGCAGCTCAAGTCGCACGTCGAGAGAGCAAAGCGAGCGATCATGGTCGTGCAAGAGCTACCGCCAGAGCTGCTCCTTGCCTATCTTCAAGCAGGTAAAGCCAAGTGATGTGACCAATCTGGCCCTCTGCTCTCGTCAGTTCCGGACGCTCACTGAGCCACTGAAGTACGAGTCCGTCGACATCGATTTCATGATTCCTCACAACATCAAGCTGCTCGCCTACCTCTCCAACAAGCCGGATCTATGTGTCCTCATCCGAGAGCTGCGAATCAATTCGAGCATGATCCCTCCTAAACCGGACGAGGCAAGAGAGTCTCACAAGCTCGTTCGCGAGGTGATGAAGATAGCCAAACAGCTGCAAGTCCTGACCAACGTGTGCCTCGAGCTACCTTGCGCTACCACTGATCTTTTCTCTTGCTGCCTACCACGTATGAGCATCTCGACTCGCTTGAATGCTGCGCAGTCACCTTTCGTCCGGTAGACATGCAACTCAAGGATTCTATCGAGCACTCTCTCAACCAGGTCATTTCTGTGCTCAACAAGTCTCGTGGTGCGCTCAAGGAGCTCCGACTTTTCGACCACGACATTGCAGCAGCCGAACCTTTTCTCTTGTCCGACAGACTAGCATCGCGACTGGCAGGCGCAACATTCTGGCTCCATCTGCGCTCGATCAGCCTCGTCGGACTTTGGTTCGGCGAGACAGCCATGCAAGCCTTTCTTGGCGGTATTGACCACACGCAGCGCTTGCGCAATCTCGATCTCTCGCTGACGGAGACTATCGAATTGTGTGACATCGGCAAGCTCACTATTCTCAGTAAGCTCGCGCGCCTCCGCATAATCTGGGACGGTCCGGAGCGATCAAAGGGCGCCATCAAGACCTTTGTAGTCAAGCTCGCAACCTCCATGAGCGCGCTTCGGTACGTTTGGTCGGACACGGAGTACGCCCTCTGACGTGCGCATCTATCCTTGACTGATCTCTTTTGTGAGCAGTCAGTATACGATCGAGCGTCTGTCAGCGAAGCTCGAGAGGCTCATCAAGCCTCGCGTTACCTTGATCGAACACGAGACCGCGGAGCTGCTCTGGCAGCGCCATTGACCGTAGCAGTGCGCTTTCGACTAAGGAGCTCTTGCTCACGATGTCATCTACTCGTCCTCAACATTCGTGTCACGATGATGCAAAGTTCAATTGACCTCTTGGTCGCGAGGCTAGCTTGAGTTCAATGTCGTTCGCATCCACTCGAGTGTTTGGTATATCAGCGACCAGCGCGTTGCAATCTGTCCAACAACGCCAAGCCCAAAGCAGAAGAAGCAAGCCAATAAGCAGACCAGCGAAAAGCGAAAGCGCACACAAGCCACGTCGAAGTCGAGAAATCTTGAGGGCTGGACTTGTATACCTGCGATGCTCTGCGATACCCTGCGATGCTCTGCGATGCCCTGCGTGCCCCTGCGATGCCCTGCGTGCATTACCTGTATTCCTATCGAGACGCGCGACCGGCATGCAGTAAGAGTCAGCAAGCGCTCAGAGGAGCATGCAGTGAAGCACTTACTCGGCATCGATACCAGCGCAAAAGTCGAAAGCCAAGCATGAACATCCTGAGCATCAGGAACGGTCAGCCCTAGTAGTCAATGACACAGATTGCACTTGCCAGCCTGTAGAGAAGAGCGAGTGACCGTCGAGCCTGCCTTGTGTCTGGCAGGAATTCTCGCCCACTGCAAGGGGCGCGTCAGCCTCGTGTGTCATGACAATATATGACAGACTGACCAATGTCGATCGAGCAGTTCTTCAACAGTCTTGAGCCTGATCCCTAGCATTCCTTCTCCCGACCCTTCAAGTGACGAGCATGAGCAGAGCACGATCATCGCTCAGAAAGGCATACCTTCGAACGAGAAAAGCAGGCATCGACTCATGTCCGAGTGTCGAGCAATACCTCTGCCTAAGCGTCCATGTCAGCGCAAGAGTGGTGCAGGTGAAGCACAAGCTGACCCTGAAGACAAGACGAGGCGCTGTCTTGACCATCGTAGACCACTCCTCCTCGCTATCTAGACTCTCTCCTGTTGCAGGGATTAGATCAGCTAAAGCGTTGAGGACTCAAGAGGAGCAGACTGACCATCGCACAAGAAGACTGCGCTATGAGTCCGCCAGAAAAGACCGACTTGTTGCCAGGTCGAATCGCCAAAGGTCGCCGGCAGAAGCCATCCTTGAGGATCGCCAGAGCAACTTCTGCAAGCGCTGCAGCATCCAAGATGGCANAGTCAGCATCGCTCGAAGCCTTCCAGGCCTCATATTCAGCACAGGGAGCAAGAAGAGAAGGCTCGAGATATACTTGCAGCTCCGCNGGAATGACGAGAGGCGCGTCATTGTCGTCAGTGTCGACAGCTGCCTTCCAGGCTTCGAAGTCGGCGTCGTAGGCGAGCAGCGACTCGCATGCCGCCTCTTCGACAGGTTCGACAGGCTTGACAGGTTCGGCAGGCTTGATAGGCTTGACAGGCTTGACAGGCTTGACAGGTTCGACAGGCTTGACAGATTCGGCAGGCTTGACAGGCTTGACAGGCTCGAGCTTGACAGGCTCGACAGGCTTGACAGACGCCGGCTTCTTCCCCTTCGACACACCAAAGCTGAACGGCCGAGGCTGAGTCACCGTCTTCCTCAGCACCGACCGAGCAACAGACTTGCCGAGAGCCAGCGAGCCTACAGTAAAAGTCAGCTGTATCCTATTGATGAGATGAGGAGAGCACTGACTAGCTTTCGAGCAAGTGGACACCTTCTTGACGACCTCGACCGCCTTGACCGATACCTGTGGTACGGTAGAAGTTAGCACAGCAGAGATGGCAGACACCTGTCTGCCCGTTGGTGNCAGACGAGATGCTGGCACCGGGATCCGCGAGCGTATACCTCTGACCGCTGCACCAGAACCAGCTGGCGAGACAGTCGTCATCGNGCTCGACCCAACAATTCGCTCCGAGCGAGCTCGAGAGACGATAATCGGGATTTTGCTGGTAGCATTTCGCATGACCGGCTTCGTAGCAGCAGACAGCATCTTTGTAGATTCTGCTTCGCTCTTAACAGTATAGAGTACTCTCAAACGNTTGCAGTATAGACTTGATNTGATCAAATGTATACGAATCTCGAGTGAAGAGAGGCAGAATAATTCGCCAGGCTTTATAGCTCGCCATTCTCTCACGAGGGCTTCAACATCTCTCTCGCTCGCCCAATCGTCCCACCCGCCATCTCTCTGATATATTATTAATGCAAGCCTGACGGTGAGTGAACCTGCTTGACCGATGACCGGTCGATGAGCGCTTCAGGCATGAGCCGCTAGTATTCCTGGCGCGAACTTTGTTTCCCTCGACGCGTCCCACGCTCGTGCCGCACAGTGCTCATCTCTGCTTCGGTGATGGTATGTGGATACAGCATCTTGCAGTACGGCGAACGGACAGGTCTTGTTGTGGCCTTGTCAAAGCTGATGCGATCTGTTGGCCGCTTCTGGCGAGCGATACTGCTGTTCATGTCTGCTGCAGTATGTCGCATCTGTCTCGTGGAATGTCTGCCAATCTGTGCCTCGCCTCGGTGATGAAGTCGCGCAGCGCAGCTGCCGGCTCAGACCCTTTTGGGAGGGCTGGCGACTGTCCTTAGAGCGCGCGTTCCGTAGATGCTTCTGAGTTCGGATTCCGACACGTTGCACTCTGATACTGCCATCGTCTGCATCTGCTGACATACCGCACATAGTGATCGGTTTAATGTATCACCGGATTCCGATGCTTGCACAACAGAGCGTAGCGACGTGATTGTTGCGATGTTCAATGGAATAGAAGTCGCTGACCGCTCTACTGGATACCATCGGGTGCAGAGGCTGAGAGTAGTGTAGACCTGTAAATGCTGTGTAGTGGGCTCCACTGCAGCGAGCATGAGGTGAGTCGCGTTCTGCTGACCAAACTTTGACTTTGTATCTCGATTCGCTACAAACGCGCTATGTCGTCACGCGCACGGTTAACCAGCGACTGCGACGAGCTTGTGCGCCTGAGCTCCAAGTGCGCCTGTGGTCGAAGCGGACGTCCGAATGCTTGCGAGCTCGCTCTCTTTGCTCAATGCATGGCTGCGCTTCAGGCAAAGTACTGAAGCCGGGTGGTACATATTGCAAGGACAAGATGGCAACAACAGATTGATTCAGAATGTAGCGGCGTCTCTGACCGTCCGCCTGGTATCGACCTTTGCTTTGCTGCCCTTCTTACGACCGAGTGTTCGCTTCGTAGCTGTCTTGCTGTGGTGTTTGCGAGTTTGAGACTTGTCCTCCTTCGTCATTGAGCTGGCGACGACCTTGGCAACGTCCGGTACCGCGCGTTTAGGTCGCTGATGATTGCTCGACCGCCGCCGCTCACCATTGTCTGACTGCACAGATGACGCTGCGTCGTCATCATCATCATCATCAGATATGCCAGACGAGGCCGCGTCTTCTGCCAATTCGAGTTTTGCCATGTCCGGCTCATCTGGCGCATCGACATCGTTCGGAGCGCTATGGTTCCCAATTTCGTCTTCATCGCTTCCTTCCTCCTCGCTATCTTCCTCCCCTGCGCTTTCGTCTTCCTCGTCCTCGTCGCTGTCTCTGGGCTCAGTATCGAGCTGCTGCCGGTACTCGCTCAGCTGCTTGTCGTCCTGCTTAGTCCAACCACTCGCTTCCACCTCGACGTCGAGGTTGAAGTCGCGCTGGCCATTCTTGACGACTGTAGAGAACTTAGGCCACACAGTCGATTCGTAGCGATAGCGCTTCTTGAAGTATGCTCTTATGCAGCTGACGTCGCGATTGAAGTAGTACTCGGCGTTCTCGTGCTGCGTGGAGACCATCTGAGGAAAGTCAATCAAGATCGGCTCTGGCTCCTGATCGTCTTCGCGCTCTCGAATGAGAATGTTGAACTCGTTGAAATCGCCGTGTATCAAGCCAGCGCGCGCCAGTCGAACGATGAGATCCATCAAAGCAGAGTAAAGTGAGCCGGGATTTGCTATCTCGCTAACCTGTCGTCTGTATCGCATACGTCAGCACTCGTTGCAAGCGCAGCAACGAGGAGGACGAACAAAGGAAAGGCGTCGATCAATCCCATGATAATGCAATGCCGCGCTTGATCGATAGGCGTCGGAACTGGGAAGCCATTTTCGTATAGTACCTGAGCATGTACGTCAGTCGTCGTGCGTCTCTCGCAGCGAGGATCATACCTTCATGAACGCATACTCCTTGACGGCAGCAAGACGTGACATGTACATCCAGCTGGCGCTCTTGCGGTTCTGCATGTAATCTCGCTTCGTCTTTATCGATCTGAATGATATCCGTCCAAGCCTGTGTATCTTCAAAACCCGCTGCTCGCCCTCCTCATCCGCTACGACATAGATGTCTGACTCTTTGCCAACGCCAATCTGGTTGCCCACGGAATAAACGGTATCGCGCTTGGCGAATGATCGCATGGCGAGGAAATCGTAGCCACCGTATGTGAGCCGATAGCCATCATCTGCGTTTTCGAGCCTGAGATCACGCCGACCATGCTGGTAGATTGCTTACATTTAGCGCCTTGCACTCTCGCGACCAAATTGCGTTTTGCCAATTCGCCCAGGCATTTGTTGACGCCGCCATGTCGTACACCGGCGATCTGGGCGATCAGAGTCGATGGCACGACCTCGTGGTTCTTAGATCCCATCTCGACCTGATGCATGCGTCAGTCCTTTGACGGAGCATTCGAGGCAAAAGGCTGACTGCTGTAAGCACGCGAAAGACATCGCTCGAAAGATATCTGAGCTCTGTAGGATCGAGCTACACAGCAACTAATCAGCGAGGGGGCACTGCGAGCGCAAGTACGACTGACCTTCATGTCTCAGTGTCTTGGCGGCCAACTTTTCCTGCGAGGCCGTTGATATCTCGGTCCGCTCAGCCGGTGGCGACCCTCGCGTCGTCGTCCATATCGATACGTCAGGAAATTGGCCAACCTCGTAAAATGGCTAAACGCAAGAGCAGCCGCGTCACGACCCCGCGGTCGTCGCGCATGTCTTCGATTGCAGCGGCATCGACGACGGACGCCAGCGAATCGCCTATGAGCGTGGAAGGCGCGGATGCGAACTCAACGCGTCCAACCTCGCCGGCACCGGGCGCAGATGAATCGCCTATCAAGTCAGAAGCAGGCAGCGACGCGACGTACAAGCCTGGTCAGAAGACGGCAGAGCCCAAGGCAGAGCCAGAAAGGATGAACAGACTGAATTACTTACTCAATCAATCTGGCGTCTACACCGAGATTTTGGCGAAAAAGATGGATCGACAGCGCGATGAGCGTCGCAAAGCTGCCGAAAAGGCCCAAAAAGCAGACACGAAGCAATCTACTCGTCAAGGGAGAGCCTCAAATGCTGCCGATCCTGCCGATTCTGCAGGTATAAAGTCGACCCGCTCAGGCGCCGTACACGCGTCTACATCTACAGACACCGCCGACAGCGCGCCAAAGCCGTCGAAGAAGGCACCCGCAAAGGTCAACAAGCGTAAGCGCAACGAGGAAGAAGACGAGGAAGCCATCGCGGCTTTGGACCTTTCAGCGCGTAGCACAAAAGCCAAAGCTGGCGGTAAAGCCGCAAAGACGGAGACCGGTCAGCCAAGCCTGGTGACGGGCGCAACCCTGCGCGACTATCAGGTCGCCGGCGTAGAATGGCTTGTCACGCTGTACGAGAACGGTCTTAACGGCATCCTCGCTGACGAGATGGGCCTCGGCAAGACGCTACAGACGATAAGCTTCATGGCCTATCTTAGAGAAAAGGCAGGCATCTCTATGAGTGCGTCGTACAGCCAGCTGACAGTGTACGCAGGGCGTCTGGGGGCCGTTCCTGATCGTTTGCCCGCTCTCGACGCTTGCAAATTGGGTCAACGAATTCGAAAGGTACGCCGCGCTGCCTGCTTTGCTCACTTTCTGATCTTGTATCGCTATTCCTGCAGATTCACACCTTCTATACCAGTCGTGCTCTATCATGGCACGCCTGCCGAACGTGCCTCCCTCCGTTCGTCACGCATGTCGCTCAGCACGTCAAAAGACAAGAGCCCGGCAACGCACTTTCCCGTCGTCGTGACGAGCTACGAACTCGTCATGAACGATCGCAAGTATCTGTCAAAGTTCCAGTGGAAATATATCGTGGTCGATGAGGGGCATCGACTCAAGAATCTAAACTGCAAGCTCATTCAGGAGCTCAAGACGTACACTTCCGCAAATCGTTTGCTCCTTACTGGTACACCCTTACAGGTAGGCCATGCGAGCTTGATTCATACCTTTTGTCTGACACATACGCCCGCAGAATAATCTCGCCGAGATGTGGTCTCTGCTCAATTTCCTCCTACCCAGCATCTTTGACGATCTTGATAGTTTCCAAGAATGGTGGGCTTACCAAGCTGCGTGACTGGCTTGTACTGACTAGAAGCGACAGGTTCAATTTTGAGGAGATGAGTGAGGAACAGATTATCTCGTCAGAGGCATCGAACTCGATCGTCTCTAAGCTTCACGCTATACTGAAGCCCTTTCTCCTGCGACGACTCAAAATAGATGTCGAGAAGGACCTACCGCCCAAGAAAGAGTATGGCTGCTGTCCTGGTGTTTAAGTACGAAGCTGATGGGCTCGTAGATACTTATTGACGGCGCCCCTGACGCGAAAGCAGAAGGAGCTCTACGATGCAGTCATCTCCCGCAACCTGCGCAGCTTCCTGCTCGAGCAAAAGACTCGCGGCGACGAGCCTCAGACGCCTACGGAAGCTTCGACAGAACCCGCGACGCCTTCCAGCCCATCGCGGCAGTCACCCGAAGCTGCTGCTACCATCGACATCTCGTCAGACGAAGATGGTCCGACAAGCATTGCTGGTCGTACACGCAAGCGTGCTCGTTTCGACTATGCTGAGAAGGCGGACACGGCATATTTCGAGGATCTTGAGAATGGTGTCGACTCCATGCACAAACAGCAAGAACAATCGATGGCAGATATGGGTCGTGCACACAACTTGCAAACAGCAACAAAGTCAATCAATAATATGAAGCTGCAGAACCTGATCATGCAACTCCGCAAAGTATGCAACCATGTCAGTGCTTTGTCCGCTAGAGCACGAGCGCAGCTGATACGTGTGAATCGTGCAGCCGTGGCTCTTTGACTGGCCTGTCGATCCTCGCACCGGCGGACTGTCTGTCAACGAAGACCTCATCAACGCGTCGGGCAAGATGCTACTACTCAACACGCTGCTCGACGAGCTATTCTCACGCAACCACAAAGTGCTACTCTTTTCACAGTTCACATCCATGCTAGACATCATAGAAGACTGGGCGGCCGAATACAAAGGCTGGAAAGTCTGCAGAATAGACGGTAGCACGAAGCAAGACGATCGCCGACAGCAGATGAAGGACTTCAACGAAGGCACTGGACCCGACAGCCCGAAGCTATTCTTGCTATCCACTCGAGCCGGCGGCGTCGGTATCACTCTCACTGGGGCAGACACGGTCGTCCTGTTCGATTCCGACTGGAACCCTACCATGGATGATCAGGCAAGCGCTCGAGCACATCGCATCGGGCAAACAAAGCCGGTCTTGATCTTCCGTCTCGTTTCTGGCCATACAGTCGAAGAAAACATGCTCGTCAAAGCTTCTTCGAAACGTCGCTTAGAGCAGCTGGTCATCGGCGCTGGCAAATTCAAGATCCCAGGCTCGGAAGTGTCAGACGTGCTCGCTGGCAAGGGTCCGAAGAAGTCGATCATGGCGGAGCTTTCCGAGGTATTGCTCGCCGAGCAGAGCGAGCAGGTAGCTCTGGCCGAAAGAGGCGATGTCATCATCAGCAAGGCCGAACTTGACTCTTTGCTCGACCGGAGCGATGCAGCCATGACGCGCGCAAAGGGCTGGAAGAGCAAAGCACAGGCTGCCACTGTGTTCGAAGCTGCGCCTGACGAGACCAACGATGCGCTCGCAAAGGCCATGGCCGTCAAAGATTAGATCATCGTCTCTGTATGGTTCTTATAGCGCCCGTGTTGTACAATGCAATTCTAGACATCTACTGGATCTGCTGCGAACATTGCGCTGTCTTGGGCAGCATCAAGATCAGGGAGTACGTCGTCTTGTAATTCGTCAGCAGCTGTGTCTTCCTCCTCGTCTTCTTCCTCCTCTTCATCCGGCGCGTCAAATGTCTCGTCAATATCGAGCGCGTTCGTTTCGTCAGCCTCGTCTTGCTGCTCGTTCGGCAAGACAGTGTCGTCTCCTGGCACGAGTGGCTGCCCGTCTGTGCCTGCTCGTGTAGCTTCGCTCGCGGCTGCAGCCTTGCTCTTCTTTCGCGCTGCCGCTGCCGCTTGTGCAGCATGGGCTCTTTTCGCGTCGCTCGCTTCTCTGTAGCCTGCAGACCCATGGCTGCATTCAGCGACTGACAAGCTACCCCTTTGGTGTAGATGTGTGTGCTTGCCTTCCAGTTGGTCATACAGGATGACAGACAGCTGAGCAGCGTCTGACCAGTTGAGCAGTCGCGCTGCTTCCATGACATGGTGCGCCGCTATCGTCTTTTGAGAGTTCTCCGCTGCAACATGCTGCGACATAGCCGCAAAGTAGCTAACGAACACTGTGGACGCCTTGATGAGTGCTTGCGGGACCTCCTTGGCCAACTTGGTATTGTCGCCAATGGCCGACTTGGCGACTCGTGTGATGACCGCTCGTGGGAGGTCGTAGGCATCCAGGCCAAGCGCATCGGGCCCTGCATCCTCTTGCGCCTCTGTCTCGACCGTCGCTGGCTTCTTCTTGGGCGGCATCGTCAACGACTCGAGCTTGCTGATCGTCGGCCTCGTCGCGTCAGCAAGCACGATGTCGAGGAGAGCCGACTCCGACTTGCCGCTGACGAGTACTCGATGGAGCAGGAGGAGAGCACTGCGGCGATCTCGACAGCGCAAGATGAGCTGATTGCGAGCACAAGCCAGGCCGCGGCAGGAGCAGATGTTGTCACTGGAAGTGCATCGGGCACATCAAGCATGATCGATGCACCATCGCAGATCAAGGTGTACAAGCCCTTGGAGGGCGATACATCGGCTTACAAAGCTCCCCAAGGTACCTTGCAGTCGATCAGACCCTCGACTCGTCTCGGAGCTTGAGCGGATGTTGGCCCGCAGATGACTTGCCTGATAGCTACTTCGTGCCGACGGCTGCGGAAGCGCAACGAGCTCACGCTGGTCAAGTAAGACAGCGCGAACGACTGACGGGCGGACCTCTGCTCACGAAGAAGCTGCGTGATCAACAAGCACAGCGTGAAGCTGCTTCCAAACGGAGATGGACTCAGGCAGGCTCGCAAGACTTTAGACTTTTCTGCGCTCATCTGGTTGAGGTTGATGCAGACTAAGATCCGCATACGATTCGGCGATCGTACTCAGATAGAGACCACGTTGTCTGCTTCTGCTACGCTCAAGGAGGTCTACGACTTCACGCGATCCAGTCTGTCAGACGTGAACCGGTCTGAGCCGTTTTATCTATGTGCGTCGCCTTCTGCCTATCAGGCCAGACAAACAGAGCTGAAGTCGGCTTCGGCTGCACAGATCAGACACCGCCACGGAGAGTGTTCAGTCTGGATGACGAGTCTCTCAACAAATTGACGCTCGCCCAATTGGAGCTCGTGCCCGCGAGCGTGTTCTACATCCGGTTTGCGAACGAAGACCTCAATGGTAAGCAGGAAGCTCGCCTGCACCGTCGGAAGCGCTGATATGACTATCTTGCTCGCAGATGGACATCGATCCCCGCCGATACGAGCTGAGCTCATTAGCAAAGCTGAAGCTCTACCCTTACCTGCCGCCCAGCCTGCTGCCCAGCAACTTCGAGTCGAGCCAGAACAGACCGTCCCGAGGTCATCGGGCAATAGCGGAGGTCCTGCCAAGGTACCCAAGTGGCTCAAGCTCAAAAAGTGATAGCATGTCCGCACAAGTTTGCCACTCATGACGTTTTGTTGTTGTCGCACACGAGTGCAATAGAGCTGCAATGGATCCGCACACTCGCGATACCTGAGCGGCTCTTGGAATAGACGACAGGCGGTGGCTCGATCTACCTCTCCAGATTGCCCGGGAACTTGCCGTTCTCAATCTGCTCATCCCAGCGTGCAATCTGATGCTGCGTGTCAGCTCGTGAGCAGGATCGTAGGGCGGCACGATCTACCCATTCGTCTGTGCGTAGCTGTCAGCACTGCGCATTGTCCCGGGAAAGGAAGCGACTCACTCGGACACAAAGAGTGGAACGCGCGGAAGAACTGTCGACAGGAATCTGTCAGCGTCGTCTGACCCGTGTACAGTGTATGCATACCTGTTTGCAGGGCTTGTAGTCGTCGCCCTTTGTGTTCACACACTTCTTGTGATCGACGTACTGCCGGAGCAAGATGAGCTCCACCGGCGTGCTGATAGAGCGGGAAAACTCACGTTTTGCCAGCAGTGCTTCGATTGCTGTGCGTTTGGGAGCGTCCATCAGCTTGTGCAAAGCAGATCAGCAGCCCGACAACTCACGTTCTGTGAGCCCGCGAAGAGCAGTCGCAAGGTTAGTCAGTCCAGCAGAATCAAGGCGCCGACCAAGAAGCGCACAGTGTTCGGGAACCTGTTCATGAGCGTGTCAGCATCGTCTCGAGCGCACCTCACGAGCACAAGTAGCTCACCTTGCATCACTGTAGCCGACAGAAGCGCAAGGGCAATCGATCAGCACGCTAGATCGGCATTGAGATCGCAAAGGCACGCACAATCCTGCCGTCTGCAGTACAGCCACGCGGCTCTCTCCGTCCTCCTGTCAGCAAGCTCTCGAATCAGCATGACTCGATGCTGACTGTCATCATAGAGCTGACCGAGTCTGACATGGCAAGATGTATGAGCGGCGTCTGTCAGAGCGTTGTGAGGCAGGGTCGGGATTCAAGCGTATCTGGTCAGGCACGTGCCAAAGCATCCTGCTGACGTGGCAAGCTCGCTCCAAGTGGAGGGAGTCGCAACAGGTTGCTATGGCTTGGCGCTGCTCGGGCAGGAGCAACGGAGAGCTCATCGATAATCTCTACAAGAACGGGCTGATCCAAAGTGAAGCGATCATGCAAGCCATGAAGCGAGTCGACCGACTCAATTACCTCAACACATCCATTCTCTCGGGCTCTTTCTTCAACCCTGCCCGTTCGGACGCCGACAACAGACAACGATGGGCAAGGGAAGCCTACACGGATTCGCCGTATTCTATCGGATGGGATGCGACGATAACAGCGCCGCACATGCATGCCAATGCGCTCGAGAATGTCTTGCCTTTCCTCAGACCGGGCGCTCGCGTGCTTGGTGTGCTCTCATCGACACTATGACATTACGCATGCTCATCGGAACACGTAGATGTCGGCTCCGGATCAGGCTACCTGCTTGGCATCTTCAACGCACTCGTCTCGCCAGGCGGTCGCGTCGTCGGTATTGACCACATTCCCGAGCTGGTTGACCTTTCACGGGAGAACCTCATCAGAGACGGATATCAGACCGAGCTCAAATCAGATGCGATCAGACTGATAGCGGGAGATGGTCGTCAGGGTGTAGAGACGGAAGGACCCTACGATGTCATCCATGTAGGCGCGGCGGCGCCGAAGCTACCTCAAGCGCTCGTTGACCAGCTCAAGAGCCCCGGAAGGCTTTTCATCCCCATAGGCACCAATGATCAGTCGATCTATCAGATCGACAAGGATGCAGATGGCAAAGTCACTCAGGTCAAGCTGTATGGTGTGCGGTACGTGCCCTTGACAGATCGCGCGACATAGGATGCTACCAGCTATTTCTCTGCATGCCACGAGCACGATATCGATCCGGCAGTAGGAAGAAACAGTGCGGATCTCATGATCTGTCCAAACATTGCGATCGTCGTCCGAATGCTTGCTAAGCAGTCCGGCGCGCGAGCCCTCCACAGCGAGCTCAGATGCTTGGAGTCCGCAAGCATCTCGAACGGGGTCCTGAGCAGAACATTGCAGCTCAAAAGGCTCATTGGAATACTTCCCTGGGCCATAGCGCATTGCATGATATTCCCCTTTTTTTTTTTTTTCGACGATCGATTTTCCGGAATTGTCTCTCGAACAAAACAACGATTAAAATCGTTTGGCCACAAGCGTTTCTCTGTGCGAACAAAGCGATTCTTGAGACCTGTACATAGCCATGGTGGGATCCGAAGCAGGCGGGCGCCGTCAGCGTCTTCAGCGCCGTGACTTGACGGGCAAGAAGTGGTCGACAAGCAGCGACGTCATCAATGCTGACATGAAGCGGCTCGCGAGCAAATACGCCAAGTATGGCCCACAATCGCTCAAGAAGCGGCAAGATGCTGGCAGTGACGCCGGCACGACGACCACCACTGCAGCCGATGGCTCTGTCACAACTACAGCGGATTCTGCTGCCGCTACTTCCGCGGTCTCAAGTTCGTCATCAACGCCATCAACAAGTCCCACGACATCGCCCACAAGCGACGGCACAACAGCACAGTCGACATCGGCAGGCTCCAATCCAGCGGCTGCAGGTAGCACGACGACGACTCCTGCTGCTGCTTCCAGCACGGCCGCACAAAGCTCATCAAGCCGCACCAGCGATACACGCGCCTCGACCACTTATGCACCTACCACCGTCGTCGGCACAACAGAGATCGTGCAAGGCACGCTGACACGCACACTCACCACGACCAACACGAGCACGCCCAGTGCAGCCGCGACGTCGAGTGCCTCACTCACTGGCGATAACTCTGGCTCCTCCGGCGGTCTGTCAACAGGCACAACACTCGCTATTGCCATCCCTGTGGCCATAGTGGGTGCACTCATACTGTTGGGCTTGCTCCTCTTTGGCCTTTCCAGATGGCGGAAGAGAAATGCTCTTCGATATAATCCCTCGGAGGATGAGATCAAATGGCCAGAAGTCGCTTCCAATCCGGATGATCAGGCTGCACTCTATCCCACTGCCGTCAGACCCACAGGACGTGCAGGCATCGATATGGGAGAGGATGGCGAAGAGACACTTGCACCCATCATCGGTGCAGGCGCCATGGGCGCAGCTGCAGGCGGTCTCCATGGACGCCAGCTAAGCTCGAGCAGCAACGGCTATGGCACAGCTTACAACGACACCTCTGCTTCGGGTCACTCGCCCCCCACGCAATCCTCGCATCAGGGCTGGGGCGCTCCTCAGGCTGCCGGTGGAGCTCACTACGATCCCCAGGCGGGCGCATATGCAGAACAGACCCAGCCTTGGCGGGATTACAGATCGGGCTCGGTTGCACCTTCGATGGGCGCACCCGAGGATCGTCAAGTCGGCGATTTCGGCTCGTCTGCCAACTCTCACGAGTACTATCAATCCCCTTATGGCGGCTACGCTGCGAGTGACGCGACGAGCATGAGCGACGGCAGGAGGAAACGTCTCAGTGTCACCAACCAGCTCGATGACGTCGATGAGAGCGAGCTTGGTCATTCAGGCGGCTTGTAGTCGGTCGGTCGGCTCGAGCACTGGCATCGTTGGAGCTGATGCCGGCTGCGCAGAAAAGACTCGCCGGCTAGATCGTTGAGATGAAATCACGATGTGATCAGGATCGCTGATTTATTCAGATTATGGCGCCACTACCGGGCACACACGCATGGACTTTTCCGTATTCTTGGTGCACGCAAACCCCCTTTTTTTTAGTGACTTGCAGAATGACGCAATGCAGAGCAAGCGGTCTTCTCATCTCGTCGGGATGTCGACAAGCTCAGACTGAGTGCAAAGTGTGATACATCAACATGCTGTGACAATCGATCTACCAGGCTGAAAAATCGCCGAATCCTCCTGATCGCTTCTTCTTCGCAGGCTGCTCTTGCATCTCGTCTGGCAATGGTCTGCTGGCTTTCGTTGTGCTAGCTTGGAGGTATTTGCCAACGCCAGCCTTGGGTTGAGCGAGCCTACTGAGATCGAAGCCGTTGGCAGTCTTCTCGGGCTGACCGGGCAGAGCCTTCTCGCCAAGCTGAGTACCAAATACAGTCGTTCTGTCCTTATCGCGCTCCTTGCGAGCCTCGGCAGGATCGGCCGCACGATCTCTGGCGAGTTGCTTCTCGAGCTTTGCCTTGTATTCTTCAAAGGGATCTTTGAAGATGGCTACGTCGATGATCTTGATGGGCCTCAGAGGCTTATTTGTATCCTTCTCGACTGCAATCTTTTCCATCTTGTCCAGCACATCCTGTCCGCCCACCAGCCTGCCAAAGACGGTGTGCTTGCCATTGAGATGAGGTGTCGCTTTGAAAGTTAAGAAGCTGTCCTCGATGTGAGCCAAGTCAATCAGCACGGGAAGCAGTTTCTCACAATTGGGAAGTATTTGTGTTCGGACCGTGGTTGGCCATGCTTAGTATCCCTCTGTCATCGTGCTTGAGCGCCTTGGCTGAGCCATATTCGTCGGCAAAGGGCGGTCCCCCTTTCGGATCGCATGAGCGGAAATAGGCCCCACAGGAAACGCAAGACTTACAGAATGAATCGCCGCCCCGGCCAGTGCCCGTCGGATCGCCGCCTTGTATCATGAAACCCGGCACAGATCGATGGAAGAGCGTGTCATCGTACTTGTGCAGTCTCGAGAGCATGAGCATATTGTAACACGTCCGCGGGGCTTTATCGCAGAACAGCTCGACGTTCAGTGCGCCGAGATTGGTGGTGATGCGAATGTAGCCTTTGCCTTTGATCTGATTGAACATAAACTCTTCTTCGTCAATCAGAGCGCGTTCTGTCTTGGTCGAGACGGTAAAGGCGGTCGAAGTGAGTGAGGCTGCCGTCTTGCCGGTCGAGTGTGCGCTCGCGTTATACGGGACTTTGGTCGACGTAGCTGGGCGCCCTTGCTTCACAGCGTTCTGAGCAGAGCCGTAGCGAAAGATCAGCCGTAGTCTCCGTCAGAGCACGCATCTCACATTCGCAGGCGCCTCTGCAGGACCAGGCTGGACATCTTCGATGGCAGGCGCAGACCGTGCAACCTTGCGCAAGAGCAGATTCGCGCCACCGACTGCAGAGACATTGATGCCGGAAAGGCCTTGCTTCGCTGCCGCAATGTCTGCTCAACAGTGTCCGAGTCAAGTTCTGGGACGAGTCATAGACTGCCATGACGGACCTTCATCTGTGAAGCTCAGATCGTGTTTCCTGTAATGGAATTGGGAGAAGTCTCGCTGCTCGGGGTTGTGCGGATCTTGTATGACGATGATGTCGTCCTTTGTGAATTTCTCGTCCGAGACGAGATCATTCCAGTGTCGCGGCTTGACGTTGAGTCTGTCGACTGATTCCTTCGAGAAGACATTGCCGGACGTGCGGATAGCGACGAGCGGGGTGTGTTCAGTGAAGATCTTGTAAGTCACCGGGTCGAAGTACTCTCCTGATGGGATCGGTCAGACCTTATTGTTGAGGCGCGTACGCGTTGTGGCAAAGGAGCGGGCGTACCCTGGGTGTTCTTGAAGAAGTTGAGCTTGATGAGATCGCCGGGCGCGAGCTTCTCGCCCGTAGCAGGGTCAGTACCGTGTTTGCGCAAGTAGGGAATGATCTGTTGCCAGATCAGATCAGAGGCAGTGACGGAGGCGCGGCAAGCCGACTGACATTTGTCAGATCGTATATTGTGCCGTTGAGGGTGGCCATGGGTATATCGAAGGGCTTGAGCGAGAGCGCACAGCAGTCATAGGGTAGCTGCACACGCGGAGGATCTGTGTCAGCCTGCGCAGAGTGACAGAGGCAGAGCAAGGCGGCGTACTCTTGCATAATTGCCAGCTTGTCGCTTGGCCTTTGCGCCTGATGAACCGGCAGAATGATCGCCAAATTCGCCTGTCCACTGCAGCCGCTCTGTGAATGAGTTCGGCAATCTCATGGAGACATGTAGGACTTGCCTCTGAGTGCTGCACGATCGAAACAGTCGAGTCAGCGTCAGTAGATGGAGCGTCCCTTTGCAGGTCATACGCACAGTGATGTATCTGCACACACGAGTCAGTCAACCTCCTGGCTCGCTCGTCGATCCAAGACCTACAGCTTGTCTGACCCGTGGCCCATCTCTGGCCGATCGAGCGCTGACCAACCCGACTTGCCTTCGACTTCACAGCTTGACAGACTACAACCCACACACACACGCGACAACGTCCGACCCCTCCCGGCGCCCTGGCAAGGTCCACGATGCAACGCATACTGAGCAGCCTCTGCTGCCTGTGCCTGCTCGCCTCTACGTCCGCCTTGACCCTCTCGGGCACGATCGTCAGCGGCGCCCTGTTCAACAGTCCGTGGGGATCTACGTCCATCCCCTGCTCGCGCTCAAGCGTGCCTCCTGGCTTGCAGGCTCACATGCTCTGAGCTACGATACCGCCGTCTTGCTCGACTATGGCGCAGCTGGCTCCACGCTCATAAGGCGAGACGGCTCGTTCAGCTTGTCAGTTTGCCAGACTGGTGACACGTTGCTGCTGATCACGCTACGGAGAATGTCAGACAAGACGTTGCGCCGGGACGATACATCATCTCTGTTGACTCGCTCGACTTCACCTTCCCAGAAGTACGTACCGTCCCCTTTACCGTCGAGGCAAGCCTGAAGTACCAACACGCAGTACACCGTCGAATTTGACGCACAAGCGAGCGCGCCGACGGTCAAGCATCACACACTGACTCATGTCTTGCCATCCTCTTCGCCCTCTCTCGGGCACCCCATCCAGTTTCAGGCTCAGAGCCGGCCTCAATATGTAGCGATCAAGCAAGGCTTCAATATCATCAATCTGATCAAGGGCAATCCCATGATGCTCATCATGGGCGCAAGCGTGCTCATGGTCCTCGGACTGCCCAAACTCATGGCAAGCACTCGTCGATTGCGACAGTATGATCATGACTGACTCGCACGCGCGATGGCAGGAAATGCTCGATCCCGAAGCCCTGGCCGCCGTCCAGGCAGATCAGGCCAAGATGCACGGTCACCTCGCTGCCGCCCAGAACATGGACTTTGCAGGCGGCCTGTCAAAACTGCTCAGTGGGGGCGATGAGGCAGCCGAACAGACACAAACGAGAGCGAGCGCAAACGCTGCATCTCGAGGCAATGCTCGCTCGGTGAGCAGCAACAATGCGAGGAAAAGGCGGTAGTCCATCGACGAGAGATGCATCATTCATACAGAGCTGCCGTCCTCAGGGCTTTGGCCGCTTCCCTTCCTGCTGGCTCGCATCATCTCCCTCTTCCCTTGTTCGTTTGGCAGAAGCAGGGGGTGTCGCACCGGCAGCAGCAGGCGGCACTGCAGCAGTAGCAGCGCTTGTGCTCGCAGCCGTGATCGCAGAGCTCAGCGCAGCAGTCGCCGATCCTCTGCCCCTGCCGCGTGCAGCGGCCGAGGATCCCCTGATGCTCAGCAGATTCGGCGCGGACGGTCCCTTTGCCTGCGGCGCAGCCGGCAATTGGCCTTTACCCCGGCCCTTGATGTTGCCAGGTGAGCTACCTCGGGCAGCTGCCGCGCGTGTCTTGGGCGGACTTGGGGCGGCAGCCGGCGGAGTAGAGGCAGACGTGGAGGCCTCTCCTGCCGATGCAGCTGAAGTCTCGCCATGAATGGTGCCAGCTGAGCCGTCTTCGAGCGTCTTGACCTTGATCGCCAGCGCATCACGCTCCTTTGTGACGTTGGCCAGTCGCTTTTGTGCGAGATTGTCCTTCAGACCGCCTTCTTTCCGGACTGATTCGATTGCTTCCTGCACTGCTTTTGATTTTGTCTTCTCAGCCTCGAGTTTGGCCTCTGCTAGCGCAATCTGGTGTGCTTCTTCCCTCTCCTTCGACTTAGCGGCCAATGCCTCATCTAGCTTAGCTTGAACCAATCGCTCGATTTCTGCTGCATCCGGAGCAGCTGCAGCAATGTCTTTGACGCTTGCCGGCGCTGTTGTCGCTTCAGCCTTGGCCGCTGCGACAGCCTCGTCTAGTGCTTTCTGGTGACTAGCCCCGATCTCAGTGCGAGCGCTGATCAGAGCTGCCTCAGTGAGCTCGGCTGCCTTTCTCTCGGCCTCGGCTATTGCTGCCGTCAGCGCGTCTGACTTCTCCTGCTCCATCTGAGTACGGAGTGCTTCGGTTGCGGTCGCGATCGCTGCCTGTACTGCAGCATTGCGTTCCTGCTCAATCTTGGCATGCGCCTCACTGATGCGTTGTTGTAGAGCGTCCTGAGCATCTGCGCCTTCCTCCAGATCGGTCGGCGCGCTGACGGTAGCAGCAGCGAGCTTGAGATCTTCCAGCGTCGCAGCCCCCGATGGTGAAGGCTGTACTGCCGCTTCGGCCTGTGCCACGCTTGCAGCCTGCTGGGCTGCTTGGGCCTCCGTCAGGCTGCCTTGCAAGCGAGCGACTTCAGAATCACGATCTGAAATGGTCTGCTTGAATCGTCGCTGTGAATCGTTCATTGCGTCAGCAGCTATCAATGACAAAGAAAGTCGCACTCACGCCGTCCGCTTTCATAGCGCTGATGAGCTTCTGCGATTCGGCTTGCGCTGCGTCGAATGCAGACTTTTGCTCTGCAGCCTTACTCTCGGCTTGCGCGGCTTGCTCTCGGAGACCTTTGATCTGTGCTTCTAGCTCGTCCGTCTTTGTCTCGAGCTCCTTGACGCGAGAGGTAGAATCGTTAGCCACAGTGTTTGCTTGAGCGCTTGCTTCCTTGTTGGCATTCTTTTCTTGCTCTAGTGCTGTGGTGGTCTGCGCGAGAGCTGCCTGCAGAGCATCTGCCTTTTCTCGAAGTGACTTGATCTCCTCCCTGGCCTCGAGGGATGCTCTGTTGTGCTCGGCAATGCGAGCATGAGTCTGCGAGCGCAGCCGATCAAACTTGTCGTTCGCAGAGGCAACTGCCGCATCGCGTTCAGTCTTTGCTTCTTCTGCGCTTCTTTGATGCGCTTCCTGTAAACTAGCGCGCTCGGCAGAGATCTGGACAACCTCGCCCTTGAGCTTCTCGACCTCGTCCTTGAGTTCTTGCAACTCTGCCGGATCAATGCGTTCATACTTCTGCAAGATTTGCTGTGTGCGTTCTTTCCATCGTGCATTGTCTTCTTCGAGCAGCTTAATCTGGTTTTGTCGGCCTGCGAGTTCGGCAGCAGCTTCGCGTATCTGCACTTCCAGTGGACCGATTGTGCCTTGTGCGGCAAGTAAGTCGGTCTGTAGTCGATTCGCGCGCTTAGTACTGCGCTGAGCCTCGTCGCGCAAGGTGGCATTGCTTTCGCGTAGAATGTTGAGACTGTTGATCTTTTCGAGCAGCTCTGTATGCTGAGCACTGCTTGTGACAGCATCGCCGGCACGAGATCGCTCCTCGCTGAGAGAAACGCGTGCTTCGTCGAGTTGCTTCTCCGCTTGCTCGAGACGTTGCTGTAGTCGCGAGCGCTCTTGCTTGGCGACCTCGCTCTGAAGGTCATTGATTTCCTTCTCACGTCTCATGAAGCGGATGACTTCGCGTAAATCTGATACAGTCTTCGTTTCGGACGATATACTGGCGTCAGGGTCATCTTCAATCGTTCCTTGACGCGAGGTGCTCGCGCCGAGCTGCACGGTCTGCTTCGTGAGGGTCTCGAGCTGTTCATGCAGGAGCGTGTTCTGATCGGCAAGATCAGAGCACCTGCGCGCGGTGTGTCAGTGAAAGCATGCAGCAGGAAGTGCCTGCCCACCTCTGCTGGATCTCCTGGACCTCCTTCGTGAGTGCGGCTTTTTGCTGTGTCCAGCTTTCGGTCGATGCTGCTGAGTTGACCCTGGCATTTTCGACTTCGAGCAGTAGCGCACTAGCGCGAGTGCGCTCTCGTTTAAGTGCGGCCTTCAGGGATGAGCTCTCCTTGATAGCCTCGGCATGCGAGACGAGCTCTTGCTCGTACTTGGCGTGAGCTTCGCGTGCTGCTCGCGCATGCCCCACAGCGTCTCGCTGCGCTGCAGCGTAATTCTGCATGGCGGCACTCGCACTCGCGTCTGCAGCGTGGACGCGTTCGTCTAGCTGAAGCCGTAGAAGGTCCCACTCTTGCTGCTTAGTGGTGAGTTGCTGATGCAGCTCCGAATTGGCATTATTGGCAGCTGTGAGATCGCTGGCAAGCGAATGGACGCGATCTTGCAGTGTCTGCATGGTTGCCGCTTGGTCCGCCAGCGTTTTGTCGCTCGCGGCTTTGTAGTCGTCATAGGTCTGCTGAAGGGTCGCGAGAGCCTCTTCACTAGCTTGACTGATCGCCTGGAACTGATTGGCGTTGCCGCGAGCTCTCTGCAATTCGAGCTGCGTCGAACGCAGTTCCCCCCTGCGGCCCGCGAATGTCAGAACGGGGATAGCGTAGGCTAAGCTCGATGTCACTGACCTCAGCTCTGCGAGCTGCATCTGTAATGCTTGCTCAGGCGTCATATTGTCAGACGGTGCGGCTTTCGAGCGGCCTTCGTAAACGTCGAGCTTCTCTTGTTGAGACTCGAGTCGGGCTGTAAGCTCAACGACTTGCGTCTGCAAGTGCTGGGCAGATGTCGTGGCTATAGCGGAGCTTTCCCGGGCGGCAGCTGCCTCGGTTGACTGGCAATTTTTCAGCAAGATCAGCCAAAGAGGACGCGCAAACTCACTAATTGGGTGACGCGATTTTGCAGCGCGCGACCCTCTGCTTCCTTGCGCAGGAGCATACCTCTGAAGGTCTCGAGCTCTTTGTCAAGTCGCGAGCGAGCGTCATCACTGCACGAAGGTTAGTGAAAGCACGTTTGGGAGAATGAAATGCTCACTATTGTGTCTGAAGTCGAGCATTAGCTGTCTCGAGCCGAGAGCGAGTTTCGCTCGCGTTGCGATCGAGCTCGTTGTGCAACGCCTGCAGATTTGCCAGGGTAGATGACATCTTGCTACGCTCAGAGCGCAAGGCAGATGTCTCCTCTGTCAGTCTTTGTTCGATTGCCTTCCAAACTTCCTTCTCCGCCGACAGAGTGTTATTCTGATGCTGCAGGGTCGACACTTGGCCGCGGCACATAAGCAGCTGCTCGCTGGTATCTACTGCGATCCGATCTTGATGGCGTGCTGAAGTCTCGAGCTTTGTCCACCGATCGGTCAGCTGGCTGATCTCGCGCGATTGCATCTCGTTGGTCTGCAGCAAGACGTTATATCGCTCGCTGTACAGTTGAACCTGGGCAGCCGCCTTTCCTGCAGCGATTTGAGCTTGCGCTAGCTCACGACGCGTTCGCTCGAGATCCGCTCGGAGCGTTTGCTGATCGGCGTGCATCTCGGTTCGATATGCGTCGAAGCTAGCTTGTATCTCCTCTGCTTTGACTGTGTCTCCATCTGTCTGGGGGGGTTTTTGAGTGTCAGTGGTGCCATTCGACGAGCTGCCACGTTGTGCTAGAACTGTGCGCAGCATGTCCCGCTCCCGAATGTAGCCGCTCATCTTGACGCGTTGAGACTCGATAGTATCCTTGAGCTGCAAGATCACGTTGTGTGCATCTTGCATCGCCGCCGTACCCTCCTCTGAAAGGTTTGCACGAATGCGTTGCTCGCCCTCATCAAGCTGCTGACCAAGCCGGCGAGCGATCTTGATCAGGCTTTGATTCTGCGCAAGCAATTGGGCAAGACTTCTAAAGGTGACAAAGTTGGCACTGATGACATTTTGCGCATCTGCCTCGTCTGCTTCGAGCGCTTCTTCATCGTCGTCGAACATGTCGCCGTTCGATCGCGTCCGGATATTGGGATCTTCACGCAATACGAGTTCGCGCGATAGAGCACGGACTTGTCGTCCCAGATCGTGCAGTTGCTGCTTTTGAAGCGCCTGCTCGCGACGCACTGCCTCATTGTCTAGCTTGGCATCTTCCGCCATTTGCTCCGAGCGATCACGATCGGCCAGTGTGCGCGCGAGCTCGGTCGCCAGCTGGTCGTTCTCGCGCAATGTCCGTTCGTACTCTACACGCTGCTCTCGCAAGATAGGCGCTCGCTCTTCGATTTCGTTGAGGATCTGAGCTAAGCAATCGCCGAGTCGTTTGGTCTCGGCACGCTCTCGCAGGAGCTCGTCTTGCACGCGCACGAATTCGGCGTAGACTTCGGTGTAGCTCTTGCCCGCTTTTTGCAGCTTAGCAGTCAGGGCCCCCGTTGGTGACAATGAGAAGAATGATGAGAAGCGAGATGGGGCCGCGACCGTCAGACCGCTCGGACCAGCGTCCTCTATAGCTGCGAAGCGACCCTGAGTGAAGCGTTCGAGATCGAGCTTGACTTCTACTAGTTGCGTTTCCGCTTCCGTGCGCTTTGTCCGTTCGATTTCGATTTGTTGGGCGTGACGGGCTGTTTCTTGGTCCATCTGAGCACGGCGCTGATGCCATTCTTGCTCGACTTCCTCAACACGTCTCTTGCCTTCTGCGTCGCGTCTCTCGAGCAGATTGATCAGATGGGCTTGACTCTCTACTTCTGCTTTGAGGCCAGTCTCGGACTCGACGAGCTGCGACTTGAGCTCGGCGCATTGCTCAAGAGCGTCGGTGAGAGATGTCTGAGTATGCGTGAGTGTGCTCCGCAGGGAGGTCACGGTGCCTTCTGCGTTTGCCGCGCGAGACAGAGCACTTTCTAGGTCATTCTGCAGTCGAGCGACTTCCTGCGTCTGCACGTGTCCATACCAAGTCAGTCATGCAAAGCGCCAGATCGAGATCGGGAGCTGAGACTTGCCTTTTCGCTTCTCCACGCGGTCCATCGCGTTTCGCCAGCTTCGTACTCGGTCTTGTAGTAATCGCGATCGCTTCGGAGAAGTTGTAGTTCGCTCTCTTTGCTCTGCAGCGACAGCTGGAGAGTACGCTCGGCATCGATGGCATCCGCCAAGCTAGTCTCTAGACGTCTGACAGAGGCCGAGACGGAGGCATGCTGGCCCTTCAGATGGTTGGCGATCTCTGTCAGCAAGGTGTACGGGATCAGCCTAAGTCGAGACACGGTTCGCTGAACATGCCTTCCGCTTCGCGCTTATCTTCTTGCGCCTGGCTGATGCTACGAAGCAAGTCTCGCTTCTCGTTCTGGAGCAAGCTGAGCGCTTCAGAGTTTGCCCTTTGGACATCATCGTCTGTTCGTGAAGTTGTCCGAGCAGCATGCAGATCTTGCTGAAGCTGAGCGTTGCTCGTCTCCACAGCTTCTCTAGCCGCGCGTTCTGTCGAGAGCTGAGCTCTCTCGCGTTCGAGCTGGGTTGACAAAGCTAGAGAGGATGAGCGGGATTCGTGGAGAGCCTGCTCATGTTCTACTTCTTGACGGAGCAAGAGTGATTCTAGCTTCTCCAGACGAGTCTCGAGCGAGTCTGATCGTGATGATTCTATAGCTTGAGCTTGCTTGGCAAGGCGAGACTCTTGTTCGTCCAGTCTTTGCAGATGATTGAGTGCCTCTGCTGCGTCTCTCGAGACTGTGTCGGGGTCTGTCTCACTAGCAGGCTGGACAGGCGGTGCATCAGAGACCGAGGAGGCAGTCGAGAGGGTCTTGTCGATTGGCTGGGATGGTGCGCCTTCGTTCATAGTGATATCCTCTGTTGGCGCAGGCGTAGGCGCAGGTTCAGGCTCAGGTTGGGAAGCTGTAGGCGCAGGTGCAGGTCCGAGGCCGTCCAGGAACGCATCGGTCGCTGCCTCTGTCGCACTCGTTGATGCTGTCACGCCAGCTTCAGGCGTTGACTCCAATGCTGCTGGCTCTTCCAGCGCAGAGTCGGCTGCTTCGTTCATTGGCTCATCCTCCTGCTTGCCTGGCTCGACGAAATCCTCTTGCAGACTCGTCTGCGCAGCCACAGCGCTCTCTGAGCCCTCTGTGGAAGTCTCAGGTGCTTCGGGACGCTGAACAAGCTCGTCTGAGCTGTCTGACCATTTCGCTCCAAAGAGGGACTTACCGTGGCAGCTGAAGGTGCAGACGTCTCTGGCTCGGGCGCGGGAGAGTCTCTCGGCGAGGCGAACTGCCGTTCGAGATCGGCCAAGCCCTCGTCCATCTTGCCTTGCCTCTCAGGCACGTCGTCGAGACTTGCCCGCCAGATGCCAGGGCAGGATCTGATCACGTGATGCAAAGGGGTAACGTCAACCTGCTCGCGATGATTGCCCAAGACAAACTTCTCTGTGCGACAGCTTGCGCCGGCTCGTACACCGAGGATACGACTGGCAAGGCCTGCAGACGACTTCGCCATAATCACTTGGCCAGTCGGAGCTGCCCGCCAGAAGACAGGATCTCGTACAAAACACAAGGCAGCAATCTCCCTTTCAGCCGTCAACACACGTCCACTCGACAGCTCACACTCCTTATCACCTCTCACAACGAACCCCAATGGCCCAATCACGCAGTCTCGTCAGGCGGCAGAGCCAAACAGCGCTAGGATCGACCACGAGTTCGCCTTGTATCGGCCAGGCGCTTTACACTTCACCCGTGCTTGACCAGACCATCACCGCCAATGCGCCCCAGACACTCTTGTGGGATCCGAGCTGCCTGGATGCTTCCAATCCTGGCTTGGTCGACATCTATCTCTTTGCGCCCTCGCTCGCTCAGGGCTCTGGCGCAGGCGGTCCTGTGCATGCATGGATCGAGGTACCTAGCTTGACTGGCAATTTGTCTGTCCAGATCCAGCCTGCTTGGTGGAACGACACCATGGCAGGGACGACGACGCTCCAGCTCCAGATTGTTGACTCGGGTAACGAAATCTGGGATAGTAAGCACTCCCCATCCTCGTCGAGGGAGAACAAAGGCTCATCACGTTGCATTGCAGCCACGAACCCGCTCGGACCGACTTTCAGCTTGAGCTACGATGGCAAAGGATCCACGAGCGGAACAGGTGAAGCCCCCACGACTGACAACATCTCCAATCCTCACGCGACCGGCACGGCATTGACGGGTCCCCGCCTTGGCGTCGCCGTCAGTCTTCCCATGCTTCTGTGAGTCGGACGCTTTCTCTCCCATATCTCGAGCTGACCCAGAGGACAGTGCTGTCGTCGTTGTGTTCGGTTGGCTCAGATTCACGCGCTACAAGACCATCGACAAGCGCGAACGCTGGTCTCAATGTGATTCTGCCCGTGTGATACTCTGCGACAGTCGCTGACGCATTGAGCAGTCGTGGATCATCGCATGTCTCAAATCGCTACACCCGGCTGGAATCCAGCGTTCGACCCTCTCACCGCTCGTGGCTCACGTCCCATCTCCGTGGCGACCTTGCTCAACTCTACACCGGGCTCAGCCCAGCGAAAGTCGCGACCCTTCTCGAGCTACGCATTCGCTTCGAATCGTGCTTCGTTCGGCGGTCAATCTATCGCTTCGGCGAAAGAAGGTGCTACGCCGGGTAAGTTGGGCAATATGCGACAGAAACGAGCCGACATTGTTTTCGGCTCTGGCGCTGCAATTCCGCCCGGTCTGGACACTCCCTCCCGTCCTGAATCGACAGCAGACGAAATTTCGCCCTCTCCTCGCAAGTCTCGCTTCCTCGGCGAGGGCGATCGCGTCTCTCGTGTCAGCTTTGCCAATTCGGTCACCGAAAGTCGTAATGGCGGTATGGCACCCGGTTCATTCGCTCGTCGAGGTCACAAACAAGGTCAAAAATCGAGTCCATCGAATCTCAAGACGTTCCATCTCGTTCCTTCGCCCACAAACTCCCATGGACGATCAGCTTCGACTCCCAATACGGATGATCGCGCTTTGCGTGATCTGTCGCCGGAGCAAGACTCGCCCAGTGTGCTTCAATCGAGTGAAGTCGCCACGAAAGCCTACGATCGTCGCACACACAAGCCTACAAAGTCTGCTTCGAGTTCGCTCAGACATCAGATCAGTGGCGAGCCAGCCGTATTTGTCATCAGTGGCGATCAAGATCTCGAGACGAGCCCGGAAAAGAAGCAAACTTCGATGCATGAGCCGGCTTCGCCAATCAAGGCCAACGCGCCCCGTCGTCTGCAAGATCTCATGGACGACGACGGACAGGAAGGCGACTTGGATGTTACCGCTCCCAGCGTACCTCGCTTCACCCACAGCGCCTCAAACGGCTCGATTGCAAGTATTCAGACGCCAGACGCGGCCATGCTGGCCTATGCTCGCGCTCGTCCCCAACTCAGCAAGGCCAACTCTTCATCGACAACCATGCGGACTTTGTTCAACAATCCTACGGGCGTCAGTCGGGCAGCTTCATCTGCTTCAACGTTGCCGCCCGTTCGCAGTGCATCCCGTCAGAGCAGCGTGAATGACTCCGTCGATACGGTCACACAAGCCAGGGCTTCCTCGCGCAACTCGATGAACCCTTACCGCAACTCGATGATCGATCAGGCGTCAATCTATTCGTCGGCTGCTTCGGTGCTCAGCAAGCCTGCCGAGCCCAATGAAGACGCCAATCGTACTTCGACATTCTGGCAAGCACAATAGACGCGTTCCCTCTCGCCTTCATATCTTCATGACACTCTCTCGATACCCATGTAGCGCATAGTAGCAGCATAGCATCATTGTCTACATGCACGTAAGCCCTGCAATTGCGCGAGATGCATACAACCTGAGCAGTCTACTCGCTCTTGAACGCGGGCTGCACAGTCTGTCAGTGGGGTCAAACGCGCACTGAAAGGTGCGAGCTGACCTTTGCGTCCACGCTGTCATACGTCGGCGTCTCGCCTCGCTCCTCCATACGAATGGCAGCCTCCTTGCGAGCCCAGCTCACAATCCTGTGGTTTGACGGTCAACAAATGACTGCATACGCAGGCAGGCAGCTGCTCACGAGCGATCTTGCGAGTAAAGCTTGACGATGCCGATACCGGCCATTCCGCCGAAGAACATCCAGTAGTACATGAGCTCCCAGGACTCCCTCTCTCGCTTCTGGCCGGGCGGCAAGTGTGGCTCGCCAAAGAGATTGCCCGACGGTTCATTGAAGGCTGGTCCGTGATGGCCTGACGCTGACCTGTGCGCTTGCAATGGCGTGCACCTTGATAGCGGTGCCAGACGCCCTGCTTGGCGTGTGAGTAAGCTCATCGTGCTGAGCGACCACGATTTGCTGTCTGATTCGACGGCAGTCAATTCAAGCGTATCTGGGTGCGCGAGTCTGCTTGCAACGTCGCCCTGACCGACTTTGAGATTACAGCAAGATGCAGATGATCGCTCGCAATGCACTGCGACAGAGTGCTTTAGCAAGCAGACAGCCTGTTCTGCGGATGTCAGCTCGATCGGTGCACATTGGTAAGCCTCAGGCGTCACCTTGCACGATCACACGCTGACGATCTCTCGTTCAGAAAACACCGTGAACAACGTACGAGTCTGTCCAGTCATCACTGTGTGCATGTGCTTATCAGGCAAGCTTTGAACAGAACATGCCATTCAGCTATACCAACAAGGTGACTCCTATGCTCCTACACGGCATGGACAGGCTGACATGGGCGCGATGTAGCCGGCCTTTGCGACAAAGGTGGCCGTCTTCTTCGTCTCGGGCTTCTCGATTCCATTTATCGCTGCTGCGTGGCAACTGTGCGTCCTTTTTCTTTTGAAAGCGGATACGTCGCTCAAGTACGGACGTATGCACAGACACAAGAGCGCTGCATAGACATTGCTCGCTTTTTCAATGCATGCTCGGTTGTGACAACAACATTCTGGATCTCTCGTCATTCAGAGAGCCTACTCGTCCAGATCAGAGAGATCGTCGAGCATTTCCTCGATGACTGTCTTTTCGGGCGCGCCGAGTGTGATCCTGCTCGGCGCGACAAACAAGCCGCGGAGCATCTCGCAACTGAAGTGCCGGACAATTTCGCCAGCCTCGGTATCCATCAGAGAACCGTCGTTTTTGCCTGTCTTTTCGTCGAGCTCCACGCCAACGAACACGTGCACCTTATCACGGCGCGCGTTGTCCTTGTCCACCCGACTCATTCTGAGAGGTCCTATGAAGCGTATGTAGCCTCGACGCGACTCATCGACTGTGCAGCGAGCGCCTGTGATGATGCCGCGCTCCTCCAGCTCACGAATGACTTGCTCGACGGGCACGGGAGATTGAAAGTCAGCTGCAAATCTGCCCAAACCGTGCGCACGTTTGAACGCTTCAGCAGAATCTACGGTTGAACACAGCCTCAGCGAGTGATGGAGACGTGAACAGTCCAGAGCGCACCAGGACGAGCTGTCATGCACGGATGACGGCATCGGCCTCTGAAAATCCCTGAGAGTGATCGCCCGAGGTCGCGAAGACGGGCAGAGCGTGGCGTCTTCGCTAATAGGCTCAGCACGCTTTCCCAGGGCATATAGCCAGTAGAGGCAGCATGACAATGTGAGAGCGAGTCTCACTGCAGCACCTCATTCGTCTCCAACACGAGTGACACGGACAGTCGCAGACAACCTCCGTGCACCTGGCTCTTTGTCAGGCTGCAGTAGCTCGGCACAACTTGCTACCAATAGGAAGCGTTCCATAGTCAGAGTCACCGGTCACCGGTCAGACTGTGCCTGCATCCGACTGACGCAGAGCTCTGGCACACGAGCGCTGGCGAGAGAAGCGCAGACGATCGTTTGGCTCATATTGCTTGATGACTTGCATCTCATTATCTCTGCACCCTGCTTCACAAGCCGTCTAGCGGCGACCACAAGCTAGCCATGCAGCCCAACAACGCCATGTCTCAAGACTTTGCGGGTCTCTACCAGCAACAGCAAGCGCAGCAGCTCCAGCTCAACGGTCAGTCTGGCCAAGCAGGCCTCTATGGCGTGCCTCAGCAGAACGCCATGTCTGCTCAACCGTTTCAGCTGGCTATGCCGCCTGCCAGACGACAGCCTGGATCAGACCAGAACGAGTTCAACCCGAATGCGATGCTCAATGCGCCTGCTGAGCCAAGCAATGCTATGATGGCTCCCGGCAGTGACGCGTTACTCGGCAATCTGGCCAGTCTGCCCGGACAGCTACAACAGCCCAATGCTGCCGCTGCTTTCAAGTCACAGTACAACGCGCTCTCTCAAGCTGGTCGGGGTCAATTCCTACAGTCCTACGCCCAGTCCCAGCCACAGCTTCAGATGCAGATGCAACAACAGCAGCATCTACAACAGCAGCTCGGACAGCAGCAGCTCCCTGCGAGCTCGAATCCGTACAACTTTGCTCCCCAGCAAGCTGCCAATATGACGCCCCAGATGTCCAGACCGACACAGCAGCAGCAAGCTGCACAGCAGCCGAGGCCGCCGTCAGCACAGCAAAACCAACAGCTCCAGCAGCAAGTGGCGATGATGCAGCAACGGCTAGCCTCCCAGGCGCAAGCTCAGAGACCTATGCAAGCCCAAATAGCACCACAGCAACAGCAAGCCAGACAGCCTCAGCCTTTCAATACTGCTCCTCCTTACCCGACCCCAGCGGCAAGCTCTGAACCGTACCATGCCCAGCAACAACCGTCAATGCAGCAGATGCAGCAGCAACAACAACAACAACAACAACTGTACATACAGCAGCAGCAGCAGCAGCAGCAACAACAGCAGCAGCAAGGCAACATGCCGACAGGAGCTCAGGCCGGTCCTTCGCAGCAGCGACCGCAGCCGTCTATATCACAACAGCAAGCGAGTGGCCTTTCGGAGTATGTTCAGAACCTCAATCGTCTCCGGGGCGTCAACGCTCGCATAGAGGCACTTGATGAGCTCCTGAAAACCAATCTGACTCCCGCTACTGCTCCTGGCAACCGTCGGCCGCTGAATCCACAAGAGCGACATCAGGTCGAACAACAGATGATGCAAACGCGTGCTACTGCCACGAAGCTCAACGGCATCATCATGGCATTCGTCAACGCTAGCGGTGGCCAGCAGGCGATTGCTCAGCAGCTTGCTCATCTCAGCATGCTGCGCAAGCAAGCCGATGAGATAAGGGCAATGACTGCTGCTGCGAACCCGTCAAATCAGGCGCAGCATCCCATGGCACCTACGCATATCGCATTGGCTCGGACTGGCTCGCCTTCGTTCATCAGTAGCGCCTCCTCCCAATCTGGCGCGCCAAGGCAAGCAGATGCTACGGCTCAATTGCACAAGCTTCGACAAGACGCTGCTGCAGCTGCTATGCAAGGCAATCGGCCTGGGTCGAGTGCAGGTTCACAGCAACATCGAATTGGTTCTCCTGCGATTGGTGCATCGTCCCAAGGACTGCCTACAGCGTCTCAGCCCGCCTACGGCCAATCTCAGATGCCAATGCAAAAGCAACCTTCGGCCATGGCTCAGATGCTACAGACCGGACTTCCCTCGGAGCAGATATTCATCTCGAGCTTGACAGAACTCATGCGAAAGAACGGCTCGCCACTGACCGGCCCACCCATTATCGAAGGCCGGCGTGTGAACCTATATGCCGTCTTTTGCGCCGTCTTCAAAGAAGGCGGCTGTGAGCAGGTGAGCCATCTACTTTACGGGCTGGTGTATGAGATCTGACACAGAGCAGGTCGAGCGCAAGAATGGCTGGCATATGGTCGCTGCTGCCGCAGGTCTCTACGAGGGCGTCCAAGATCAAGCTCTGGCGCATGCGATCACTCGGCAGCTCGCGCAAGTCTACGTCAACGTACTGAAGCACTACGAAGAAGGCTGGACGCGAACGCTCAGGTCCCACCAAGAACGTCTTGCCCAAGAACAGCAACAGCAACAGCTGTACAACAGTCAGAATACTGTCTTGCCCAGCGTCAACCCGCAGCCCGCCTCAAATGCGAACGCGCAGCCTCAGATGCCTGGTTATACAGCACAGCAGTTCCAGAGCATGGGCATTGCGCCCGCACAAATTGAGGCCTACCGCCAACGGGTGATGGCTGGCCAAGGACAACAGCCCATGACAGCTCAAAATCTGGCGATCGCCTCTGCTATGAATGCGCAGAACTCTTCGCAGCAAGGCGGGTCTTACGGCCAGCAGCCTGGGCAGCCACAGCTGCAGCTGCAGCAACAGCAGATTCAGGCACAGCAACAGCAGCAGCGAACGCAGCCGCAGCCGCAGCAGCAGCAGCTTCAACAGCAGCCGCCCCCGCCCCAGCACGCGGTCCCAGTGGTTCCGCCAGATCATCAGCGTATAGTTGAAGCCAGCAAGGCCGTCCAACAGCTTGCCGCTGCGCGTGATAAAGGTTCGATATGCGCGCTCGCGCTTATTCGTGCTGACAGTCGATGCAGTGCGCTATCAGCAGATAGATCCATCCTCAGAGGATCGGTTGGCTATACGATCATCAATTGCTAGCATGCTCGGATTGGTCAATTACGTGCGCGAGCATCTGGCAATCTTCCACGCGACTGTTGGCGTAGAGACCGCAACCAAGCGGATCATTTCTCTCGTTCGTATGTGTCTGCTGCAGGTGGAATGGGCTGACATCTGTGCAGATCACGATGTACAGCGATCAATCAGAAGCGCTCAATGAGGACCGGTACATCATGAAGGTCCATGATCTAGAATCGCTGCGCAATCAACTCACGAGATGCGCCGTCGGTCTAAGGCCGTATGTCGAGGCCCTAGCAAAAGCTGCTCCACAAAACCAGCAGCAGCAACAGCAGCATCCGCCGCCACCTCAGCAACAGCAGCAGTATCAGTCGCAAATGTCGTCTCAGCAGTCTGCACCGGCCAGACCGCCTTCTGCTACCAGTCAGCTCGTCAGGCCAAATCCAAGTGTCTACGATCAAGTTTCGCGCGAAGCAATGCTTCAGAACATCCGGCCATCACTTCGACAGGAGGACTTGCAACCGCCGCCCATGGCGAAGCGTCGTACGCTAACAGGCACGTCGATTGCCGAGTCGCCGCGTGCAATGCCCTCGCCCCTGACGATCTCTGCATCCAGTCCGGCAGAAGCCCGATCGCCTGCCCCAGCTCGACAGCCTTCCTCGCCGGGCAAGATGTTGCGTCGGCAGCCATCTGCCAAGGGCACGCTCGCTACAAAGGCTCTGCCGAAGCCCAAAGGCTCGAAAAAGTTCCCAACGAGCGCAGAGATCATGGCCGAAGTCAAGCAAGAGCTAGCCCAACAAGCCACTCGACCTGATGCGGCAGGCAGCGTGGAGACGGGCATGGCAGCAGATGCCGCTGCACAGATTGCTCGCGTCGCTTCAGGCGTACCTGCATTCAATGAGGATCCCGTGGCGAAGCGAAAGCGAGAGCAAGACGAAGCCGAGAATGATCCAATTGGCTACGCAGATCGTGCAATGGCAGACTTTGCACAGCTTGCTGCTCATCCGACTCAGCTGGCGCCGCTCGACATAACTTTGCCAGCGTTTGCGAAGGACAGCGATGCGACTGACATTGATTTTCTCGAGATGCATCTGCCGCCTGCCGTCCAAGATCCAAGCAAGCTCGCACTCCGCTTCGACGTGCTGTCAAGTAGCGGCGAGGAGGCCAAGGCTTCGACGAGCCATCTACCTTCTATACCCGTGCCCGAGACTGCAAATCCGCCCGCCGAGGAACTCGACTTTGCGTTCTTCATCGATGATGCGTCATACGCTGACGAGCCAGTGTCTAGCAAGGACACGCCAGAGCTCAGTGGGGGCAAAGCGACTGATCTCGAGGAAGAATCACCTCAGTCTGATCAGGACGAAAGTGAGAAGCGAAAAGTGGAGAGTCAGCCGTTGGCGAGAAAGGACACCATCATCACCGAGTTTGAGCATTTGGCAATACCATCCGAGTCCGATTTGTGGGATATCAAGCTCGAAGACTTACCTGTTACTACCAACAATCACTTCGTAAATACGTATGTGGAATTTTGATGAACAATGCATGTCTATATACTCTCAAGATCTCGGCCAGCTCGATTTGAGGGTTACGTAGACGTCGGTGCCATGACCGTACATGCTCTTCAACTCGAGTGAGCCCCTGCTCGCCATCAGCAGGCGCGGTGACGATCGAGACAGCGTGCGTACCCAAAGTAGTTGCAATACAGCCTTGACAGCGGCAGACCGAAGCCCAGGCCGGCGAGAGTGCCAAGAGGATGAGCATGCTGATCTGTGCTACCACTTGATGCTATTGCGCCGATTGGCTGGGTGCTGTAAGGCCCTGCTTCTTCCTCTGCATTCTGGTCTTTGACGACCGAGGTGAATGAGTACGAGAAAGCCTGTCGCTCGTTCTCCGGAGACAGCCCACCGCCTTCATCGCGGAAGCGGATCGTCATCAGCTACCGCCGCATCAGCTCTCGCACTTGTAAGAGTATGAGATCTTACATCAAGTGCTGGTGCAGAGGCAACTGTGACGATGACGGGTGGCAAAGGGCGCGATGAGGCTCGGTGCCGCTCTGCAGTCGCGCGGAAAGCATTCTTGAGCAGCTCAGTGAAAATGTATTCGAGCTGCGAATGTTAGCCGGCGACAAGACCAAAGACAGGGCGGAGTACTCACATGCATTGGCACATAAACACATGTTGCATCGATTTGTCCGTCCAGGACGAGGCTGGGCGCAACGCCATAGGACGCCTCGCACAGGTCAGACACGAAGCTTTCGCACCCCTTGACAAGACCGGCAGGACTGCACTTGAGATCGATGAGTCCGAGCAACTGCTGGTCGCGGTCTCTTGCCGGTCTGGGCTTCTTGCTCTTGCGAGAGAACCAAGCGAGACTGAGGTGCTGCTCTGCTATGAGTCGTATGGAGATGCGATTGCGAATGGCCCTGTCAAGGAACTGGGAGATCTCGACATCTGACATGTACCGCTTGCACTCTTGAAAGCCTTGGGCCAGCACGGGTATGTTTGACGAGTGTAGCTCGACGGTATCGTTGAGCGCAGAGGTAAACTTTTCAAAGTCTTCATAGCTTGATATGCGAGGGAAGGAGGTGAGCAGCTCGAAAGATGACTGGTAGAGTTCAAAGATTCGCGCAATGGATGGATTGCTGCCGACGATGTAGGGCAGCGTCTGATGGGCTTTCACCTGGCGTGGATGCTTCAGCCTCTCGCGCTATCATTGCAAAGCTTACGAGCGACTTGCCCGTCTAGCCAGCCGGTGTGGCAGTTCGGCTCGCGTGTACTCGCCCAACGCGATGAGTCGTTCTTCTGATAAAGGCGGTCGGCCGAAGCGTGCAAGCTCCTTGAGGGTGACTGGAGCACATATCAGTCTGTCAGAATAGCCTTGAGCAGATGCAGGGAGTGCAGTGACTTGCTCGCTCTTGGCACTCGCGCTTCGAAATGTCGGTGTCGTTCTTGGGCGCTGCCAGATAGAGCCTCGATGGGAATCTCGGGTGCATCGAAAGAAGTGTGCTTGCTAGCGCTCGTCGAGGCGTGCCGTTGTGATCGGTAGGCTATCCTGGCGCATGCTCGGCAGCATCGCATCTTTATCGTGGCTCTATCTCGGTCGCGTGCGCTTGCCCACGGTGCACTTCCCCGGCTTCCATCGACTCGTGACGACAGCCATGACACTTCAACGATCGTCAAGTGAGCCAGGCTCGACTGACAAGTATCGCTACCGTCAGACGATCTAGCCTGCCTTCAGTCTGCCAACGAACCACGCAGCCACGTCTTGCCACGGGGAGGCCAGCAATGCTGTCTACTCGCATCTGCGTTCAACATGACGTTGACACAAGCGCCCAAAAATGTCTCGCTTGACTCGCCAGAGCCCTCATGGCTCGTTCGCTGTCTTGGGATTGATCAACGTCGGCTCTTTCCCGTCTCCGTGTCAAAGATTGGCGAGACACCATGGCAAGCAAGTCCTCGTGGGAGGCTCAGGCGGTAAGCGTCATCGCGGCATGTCATCTGTCGAATGCAACGGCTCTCCTTGATCAGCCCGTGAGGGAAATTGGCGTTACATGCCGCGCGACCTTTGCATCCGCTTGCGCTGTTCCGTACGCGCCTTAGCTGTCTACCGTACAATAAAGTCTGCTGGCCATAGCCTAATCGCGGCTTCGCAAGTATGGCGGCAGACTCCTGCAATCTAAGGCTAATCCGCTCTCAAGTCGGACGCGTCGCAAACTGGCCTGCCTCACCGTCGCTTGTTTGGGTGACTTCGACGCGTGAACGCCATACTGCCGAAATGGCACAAGAATGTCGCTTCATCCCTCATCGCTTGATCCTGCGAAATGGCAGACAGTGTCACTGTACAGGACCTCAAAGACAGACTTGCAGATCTTGAAGCCCTTGCTGCGGTTCCGAACATCTCACGCCAAGGCAAAGTCACTACAATCTTTCGTATGCCTAGCGTGCCACAAGTCCTCAACACTCTCGCTCCTCCCGCTTTCCAGACACTCGAAGACCTTCTGCCCACTAGCAGAAGGGCATACTCGGACAAGCTGCGGGCAGCCTTCCCGGCAGACATCATGCAACGTCTGAGATCATTCGATGTCGAGCTCGATCCGACGATGCGCCTCGCCAATATCACTAGGCTCAATCCAGAGCTCGCCTCCTCAGACGAATGGGTCACATCTGAGCTGGCGGAAATGATGCAGCAGCACATCGCCCGTACCGACGGCTACCTTAATCTCGCGAGCCTGCTAAAGAAAGCACACCGTACGTACACCGATCCTGCGATGCTAAGCCCCTGACAGGACATCGCAGTTGTGCGCTATCGCTTCGCTCAGCTCAGCAGCTTCATCCTATCTCATCCCTGGACGTCCTTCGACAATGAATCGGATGTCTACGAGCTTTGGCGCAAGCTGACTTTCTCTCAGCTGATCGATATGCTGCCTCTCAACAAACTTGGCTTCACGCTCCCTTCATGGACTCATAAGTTCATAAAGCGCAAAACGAGTGACTACCTGCATATTACGCACCTGGCGCTCGCCAATTTCAATGAGGCATTCGTTCGCGACGAAACAGACATCTGTTCGCAACTCGAGCACGTGGCAGCCTGGATCCATGCAGCACACCTTGATAGTCCGGACGGTCGTATCCGCTGTCTACATCTAGGCTGCCCCTTTCGCTCAAATCGTTCGCGACAGCTGGGACTATGCAGCTGGCACGACACACTCGACGCACGTCTGCAGCTCGGCGTCGGAGTCAGGCCTCGTATCTTGTAGCTCCATTCTTGTAGTTCAATGCATCAATCCCGCAACGGAAGTCATGTATCATTGTCGCGTGCACACAACCTAGAAACTGTCTGAGAGCAACGTCTGCACAACACTGACCTGCAGGAGGCGTTCTTGGGAAATGCCGTCACTGGCATGACGATCCCGTCGAGACAGCACGTTCTCGTGCCTTTGGTAAGGGCAAATGCATAGTTGTTGCAACGTTGAGAAGGCGTTGCGAGTCAACCAAGTTCGGTCGGCTGCTGCTATTTCGCATTTGCCGTGCATGCTCGAGCCAACTTGCATACCGTTCGGTAAATTGGGTCTGGCACTCCTTTGCCGTGAGTCTGCCGCAGCGAGCCATCGAAGCTGGAAGCTCAAGCCAGCAGGCGCGATCTTCAAGCAGAGACAGTCGATGTTGCCTTGCTCGAGAGCTATCGTCCAGTCTGCTAATCCGCGCTGAATGCCATCAATAACAGCTTGAGAACTTGCTAGCTCTCCGCCTGAAGCCGAGTTGTGGGCTGACAGCTTTTGGTCAGTGCTTTGTCTGCAAGGATCGCGCGTGAAGTTCTGCGATGCTGAGCTTTCCTCGAAGCATGTAGCGAGGATGAGTAGCGATTGTAGACGGATGCTGTCACGCCGACGTTTAGCGCAGCAGTGCAAAGAGAGAGGCCAAGAGCAGCTCATCTGAGCAGTGAGCGGCGCTGTAGCCCACTTGCGCGGCCTTCCACAAGCGTTGCCTTATCGAGGACATGGGCGGCATGGTCGCCCGCTCACCAGATGAAGGACCTCAAAAGCGACAATGTATCGCTCGAGGCTCGTCTCTTGACTTGGTTGCGACAGGCCGAGCGCTGCTGATCGAAAGCGTCCTGCACCTTTGCATATGGCCCGCTCTTCTGCCGAATGCAGTCTTGCTTGGAAGGTTCAAGGCTTGTTGTAGACACGGAATGTGAGCGGGTACAGACGGACACGCAGCGCGAAAACGCAACACCAGACATTGAGAAACAGAAAGGATTGCATCGGCGACAACAAGGCCGCGCATCGAATCAAGTCGAAAGAGTATGGCTGCGGCCGCACAGCAGGCACGATGGGCGGCTCGTCACGAGGCGCTCCTCGTGAAGCGCGACAGTCAACAATTTGACATTCGTAGTCCCGGGGCATTATCTTTAATATCTTTAGACGCGTGTGTCGGATTGATTTGTAAGATTACGTTACCTAACGTAATGTGCACTAGCTAAGAATTACATGATCCTTTGCTGTCTGGCGAACATATATAAGCAANCTCTCGAACGCTCTGACCCATCGTTGGTCTCCNCCTATCCTCCGAAAACTGCTCCACTCTTGGAAGAAGCCGAGAAAAGAGAAAGATGGCTGGAGAGGATCCCTTCTGATGACAGTCTGGCTCAAGGATAGCAGACGGGCTGTCAAAGGATGGGACTGGTGAGCCGGGAAGNAGCGATCTCGCAATGAGACCCAACTTGGCGAGCGAGCGCTCTTCCCAATCGTGCGACCCAGGTCAGTCTTCGCTCGCTCTCGATGGAATGTGCTAATTCTTGGCCCTGCTCTGCAGGTGCATTGTCCTGACTTGGCCAACGCTCGCTGTTGTTGTAACCGATGCAGTACTCTCCTGCTACTCGCTATGCCCTTGCACTCAAGTCGCATGTCTCATACATTTANTNGCACTCGCTTCCTTTACAGTCCCTGTTATTACACCTGGTTGTTGCGAGGCAAGCCAGGCTGAGCCAGAATGCCAGACACGTGCGAGGACACAGCACAGGCTTGTGCAAGAGTGCATTGATAACTAGCCAATCTCGATAGCCTTCAAGGTCTATAGATTCGACCGTGCGTGCGGCAAGGATCAGTCCAGAAGTCAGCAAGCACTTGCATATGGTCTGTGGCAGCCAGATCAGATGCATCTGCAGCATTGGGTCCAGATACTTATCGCATCGCTGACTCATCTGTCTGTGTGCCACATCTAGACGTTGCCTTGTTGAACGGAAGCATCATGGCGTCATCAGATCTTGCCGGAAATGCATGTCTTTGGCCATGACAGCCCCTCTATCGGCGTGCGTCAAGTTGTCACAGCGTCTTATCGGCGATCGAAGTCGACACGTTCGAAGCCCCTATTACCCCATTGCTGTCGTCAGCGCGGGTCCTTTCTGCGTAAGCACGATGTCAGACATGCTCTCGAAAGTTCTGATCACTCTGCTCGTCATTCTGCGACCACTCGCGACGGCTTCGCCTTTCGTCTCGTTCAGCAGGAGCGAATTGACCAGCCCGATTGGGGCCGTGATTCGGAGACAGACCCTTGAGCGTGAGTCGCCTGATGAACGGATGTGCGAGCTCACTGTCGCCAAGCAGTATGGGCCACGGGCACTTGCACTCAGCGCTGGACGACGATCCGACGTAGCTCCCTTACGGCCACTGTGGCATATGATGAACATGAACGCCCAAGCTATCACTTCGTCCGTCTCGCTCGGGCTGAGCTCTTTTGCTTATGCTGACGATCACGCAGTACTCGCGTCTGTCGTGCACATTGCTTGGCGAGTCAGGCTGATGACGTATGGTTCAGCCGGCAACGTGATCACGGTCAAGTTGATCGATTGGCTCGTGCATACGGACAACTCGAATCATGGTCGATTCGAGATCGAAGCACGCGAGGATGGCACATCGCAATCGAACTGGTCCGCACTTGCGCAAGTATGCTGCACGCCTACATACACTGTGCGCATCGAACTAGGGTACGAGCATGGCAAGTTCTTTCCAGAACTCACCGCGCGTCGTGTTGATGACGACGGCTAGCTTTTTTCGAGGCACCAGAGTGGGATCGTGATCTCACTCGTGCTTGCATGCCCTGTGCGCCTTTCGCGTGCTCGGCTCGGTCGGGAGCTGACGCAGATGACGGGCTAGTGTCGGCGAGCGATCCCGAGCCGTCTTGCAAGACGTTTGTGCTGCCTGCAACGGAGCACTGCACACTTGCGATGAGTACCGTCGAAGAGCTCACAGAGGCTGGTTCGTAAGCCATGCATATGGTCAATGATGAGCCTCAGACCTCGTGAACTTGATCATGATCGAGGAATGCACATGAATGCATGCCCGCAAGCGTACACGTCACAAGTGTACAAGCGCACGCTGTAATGTTCTGAACCTCGTCCTTCGGCCATCGTCGGGACGCTCAAGATGGATCACGGAGGAATGGATCACAGCATGCCGATGAAGTGCTCCATGCACATGCTCTGGAACACGGACAGCACGGGCATCTGTCTGATCCATCCCTCTCTCATCATCACATCTCGAACGAGTCTGTTCTTCTGGTTCCTCATCCTCGTCTTCGCCGGCGTAGCATACGAATACCTGCGGCTCATCACGCAACGCTACGATCAAGATTTGCTCGCTCGCTTGTCGGCAGAAGGAGCGCACAGGCGAGATCGATTGGGAGTACCTGGCAATGGGAGACGAGCAACAAGTCCGCTACTGGGTCAGCCTTCTGACGATGCAAGTAGCTCGTGAGCACCTGAACTGACTGTGTGAGCGCTCCGTTCTCATGCTACCAGGTCAAAGGACGATCATCCCGTACAATGCTCAGATCGCTCGCTCGGCGCTCTATGTGGCCAATGTGGCCGTCTCGGTAGGGCGATCTTATTGCCGAACGAAGGATGACGCACGCTGACTGGGCTGTGCTGCAGTTCGCTCTTATGCTGCTCGTCATGACATACAACAGCTACGTCATCGCGGCCGTCTTGATGTTGGCCAACGCAATACTCTCCCCTGCGTGCTAGCGCTGACGCAGATCCACAGAGGCGCTTTTGTCGGCCATTTGATCTTCCAGCGCGATCTCACGCTCAGCAACGACGGCACAGGCAAAGGCATGGCTTGTCATTAGCGCTCCGAGGCGAATTGCGAAGCTATCATGCAGCCCACAGCCGAGTACGCACGTCCGATGATGTGCTCGCTGTATGCATGCACGTGATACGTTGCTTGTAACATGTTGTATGGTTCGCTTGCAGAAGATCGTCGGGGAAAGATCTGCGTCCCTTTTGAATTGCCACGCGCAGATTGGCAGAGAGACGCGCCTCGACGTGACCGACGAGCTTGCGCTTGGCGAGCGCTCCTTGCCCGCATGACCAGCTAGTCCGCACACATGGACGGCTACCAGAAGCTCGACAAGGTCGGGTCAGGTAGGCTGCTCGCTCTGAGCTTCGACTGAAAGCTGATCGAGCTCTTGCAGGCACGTACGGCGTCGTTTTCCGGGCGATCCACAAGGCGACAGACACCGTCGTCGCACTGAAGCGCATCAAGCTCAACGAATGCCCAGAAGACGGAGGCGAAGATGGCGTACCTTCCACAGCGATGCGGGAGATCTCTGCCCTACGCGAAGTCAGTCTCTTAGCCGAGGAGGCGAAAGCCGACGGTCGCATACCGCCGGCTGGCTCGGAGAACATTGTCAAGTCCGTCATTGGCTGGCTCAGGTCAGTGGTGACACTCATGCTCCGCTGCTTGGGACAGGTTGCTCGACATCATACATGAAGAAGCACGACTCATACTCGTCTTTGAGTATCTCGACATGGATCTCAGAAAGTATATGCAGACCGCTGGCGGCTACGGTCCGCCCATCAACGAGGCGGGTCAGTATGACGATCATCGCGATGTCAGCAGCCGCGCAGCTCGCTTTTGCGACAGCTAATGCCTACGCTTGCCTGCGCAGGTCATGGCATTGTTTGCACGCGGTCCGGAGCGATTGACCAGTCGTGGCCTGAGAAAGAATCTCGTCAAGGTCCGTGTCGAGATCACTGCAGACGAACTGCGACTTGTGCTTAGCTCGTGGAGCAGACGCTCGCGTTTCAACTCGTCAATGGCGTGCAATTCTTACACGCGCGGCGGATCACTCATCGCGATCTGAAGCCCGCCAATCTGCTCATCGATAAGCAAGGTCGCCTCAAGATCGCAGATTTTGGCCTAGCGAGGACGTTTGGCTACCATACGCACACATACACGCACGAGGTCAGTCTCAGCACGTGCGACTGCGTAGGACCTTTACAAAAGCCATGAGCAGATCATCACACTTTGGTACCGACCGCCGGAGGTCCTGCTCGGTACGCGATACTATGGCACTGCCGTCGACGTCTGGAGCATCGGCGCTATTGTGGCCGAGATGGCTGCAGGCGCACCTCTCATGGCAGGCGATTCTGAGATCTCGCAAATCTTCAGACAATTCCAGTTAGTCTGCACAAGCAGCGTGTGTATACGCACTGACAACCATACAGATTGTTGGGCACGCCGGACGAGCAAAGCTGGCCAGGTCTGAAGGACCTGCCTGAGATGAAGAAGACATTCCCTCAATGGCGACCGCAAGATCTCAGCAAACTGCTCGTCCATCTGCCGCCAGCAGGCGTCGAGATGATCGCTGTGTGTTGCTTGTGCACAAGTGTGATGCGCGATAGCTGACCTCTCTGCAGGGTATGACGCGCTTCGACCCCGGTGAGAGGTTATCAGCGCGAGAAGCGCTACAGCACGCATACTTTCGAGACGAGGCTCTGTCGCCCGCCGTACCCAATGCGGCCATGCAACACATCAATCTCAATGCAACCACATACGATCATTCGGGGCAATCGACCATCAAGCCACCACGGGTAGCACAATTGATGGCCTCGCCCGTCTTCTGATACACCTAAAAACTGAACAACGAGAGCATTCTTAGAGAACTCGTCTGTGTGTACTATGCATTTCCTCCTGTGACACGCTGATAATTGCGTCTGAAGTTTGCCAACAACGCGTCGAAGCTACCCTCGACTTCGCGTATACGCTCACACCATGTTCCCAGATTTGATCCTCCTCTCACACACTTACACTCAGATGACGTTGCAACGATTCAGCAGCGACAGCGACTCCATCACGCTGGCTTACTTGGCCTCTCACTCGCAACAGCATCAGTTTCTTGATACGAGTACAATCTCTTCAGCATCCAGCTCGTCACTGGGCCCCCTGAGTCAAGCTTCGACTGACTCATTCGGTAGCTCAACCAAGGAGAACAATCCCCGCAAGAGATGGAAGGTCCGCATGAGGTGATGGCCTCACCCCGATGAATGCTGAACGAGAGCAACAGAGTGTGTTGACAAGTCTCGTTCGACCCCTCTCGCCTACTCGCCCATCCTCTCCACCTCATCTTTCGTCCAGCCTGAAGACGAAGCTAGTCAAGACACTGAAGCGCAAGACACCCGATCGCAGCAGTAGCAAAGCCCGCAAACGCCCTCAGATCAGCAGCCCGATTCTCATCGAGAGCTCGCTCGTCTCAAAACGCAGGAGCAGTCTTGCCTACATGGTCACGACCTGCCCGGATCTTGTTCAGGGCTTCTGTCTCGATCCGGTACGCTCGTTACCAGTGGTCTGTCGCTCGAGCTAATGTGATGACAAGGTGCCTGAACGTGTCTCGTCTCTCATGCCCATCTTGACACTAGCTGCACCGGGAAGGCCGTCCTTGATCGAACAAGGCGGTCAGGAAGAGTCGATCTTCGTGCATTGTGAGACCACCTCCTCTGTCGCCTCACCCGTCAAGCCCGCACGAACCACTTCACTCGCACTAGCAGCGCAAGTCACGGATTCGCGACCATCGAAGCGAGCAAGACACTCTATCGTCTCTACTCTGCTCACGTCTGTCGCATATCTGCAACGCAGAGATTCTGGCGCCATACTAGCAACAGCAGACGATTTTGCGATCTGCGAAGCGTTCCTTGCGCGTGCTTCCATTGCGCGTCAGTCTCGCTTGAGACTCATCGAGAGCAGTGATGTCAGAAGCGCGACGTGCTCCTCTGGGCATGCATCGATCTACTCACTCTCGAGCTACGGCGACGATCATGCGGATGTGGCCTTTCATCAGTGTCTGCAGGCGTTTATCGAGGCAGGTCACGAAGATGCAGATACTTCTCGCCAATCGACTACCGGCCTAGCGTATTAGCTGTGGCAGCAAGCAGTGCCAGAGTCGCAGCTGAACAAGCTCCTTTGGCGCTCTTCTATGCAGTCACAGCATCGTTGGTCTTGACCGGCAGATTTGTCCAGTCGATCTGTCCCTCGGAACCGTGACGGGCATTGAGCCATTCGTTCGCTTTCTTGAAATGGCCGTTGCCCAGAAAGCCTTTGTGAGCGCTGAGTGGCGAAGGATGAGCGCTGGTGAGAATCAAGTGCTTCTTTCGGTCGAGTCGTGCCACTCGTTTCGCTGCCCAAGCTCCCCAAGCCATAAAGACGACACCTCCTCCGACCCCCTTTGCTGTGTCTGGCAATGCCGCTCCCCCGTACTTATCCACGAGCGAGATGACGGCGTCCGTGAAGGTTTCCCAGCCTTGCTTGGCATGACTGCCTGCTTCGTTCGCGCGTACAGTCAAAGAAGTATTGAGCAGCAGGACGCCCGACTTTGCCCATGCTTCCAGATTGCTGTACAAGACTGTCAGCAGGAGCTCACAGTCACAACATTGTGGTTCACCCATGTTTGGGCGCTTTGAAGTCTGTGTATTCCTGTTGCAGCTCGCTGTACATGTTCTTCAAACTGGCGGGAACTGCTAGACCAGGTCGGACGCTGAAACACAGACCGTGCGCATTGCCAGGCTGATGATACGGATCCTGACCGATGATCACCACACGGACCTTTGTCAAGGGTGTATGTCTTGACCAGGCATACACGTCGGGAGCTGTAAGCAGATAAGTCTTGTTCAAGTCGCGCTAGATTCGATGACTTACCAGGCGGAAAGATTTTGGTTTGCTGTACGTTTGCCTGCCTGAGACCTTCCCGCCAGAGAAAGCGCTTCAGTGTGAGGAAGTAAGGCTTCTTGATCTCCGGTGCGAGCACTTTGAGCCAAGTAGAGCCCAAAGTGGTCATTTCAAGATCGAGTAGATCGCGCTCGCATGGGTCACCCGTGGTGCTCAACTTGGCCAGGAAAGCTTGCTGATCGAATTTGACAGCATCGTAAGCTTCTAGTCGAGTAAGTGCAGGCGCGCTGGAGGCTGAGATCACGCTCGACACGGTCGTGGAGACGGCGCCGTTCGAATCGCTTGTTTCTACCGTCTCGGTGACTTTGACCTTCTTTGCCGGTGGCTTGAACATGGCATCGAGAGTGAGCTGACGCTTGCCATCCTTGGCAGGCGAGCTCATGACTGGTCGTTGTCGATGCCTTGAAGCTGAGAGGGTCGTTTATCAAATCTCGTGACCGCGTCGCGTTCGAATGACAAAACGTTGCTGGCCGCCAAACAACTCGCGAGCATTGTACGTACAAGCAGCAATCGGGATGGAATATGTCACTCAAGTCACGCCGCCGACTGTGGTGCCGCCAAGCAAGATGTCCAGAATACCGCCAAGGATTGCCGGCAAGGAGGATATCGCGCCTGCCGGACAGCGACCGCAGCCGAGTCTGCACAAAGCCAAGAGCAACGTTCAGCTTGCCACGCACCGGACGCCGCTGCAAGAGAATAGTAGTAAGTCTGAGTGGTCAGAGTGTGCTCGCTCGACTGAGCAATGTGGTCCGACAGACGCCCGACACGAGCGAGCAATGTCAAATGAAGGCTTCATTAGCGCAGGATCAGACACAGAGGCGAGCGCACTTTCGCTGGGACCACGCATGAAGAAGCTCAGTCCAGCACCGTGGGACATGGACAAACAAGCCGCGGGAGCGCCTTCGAGCAAGCTACTCGCATCCCCGTTTTCCGCTGGCAAGCCAAAAGCGCGTCACACAGGTCTCAAAGCGATCCTCACAAAGTCTGACGATGGCCACTCGCAAGATGACACGACGAATTGCTCCACTCCTAAGTCACCATCCGCAAAATCTGTCAAGTCGTCTCGCAGTAGGAAGAATTCGATGGCAAGTTTGAGCGATGCGGGCCATTCGCACCTCACGACATGTGCCGATGCTCCGCCGGTACCCCTCCTCAGAGAAAGCAAGTACGTCTCACCTTCAGGTGCACGGCCAGAAGACAAGAGCCTCTCGCCATTTTTCGCGCCAACTGCCAGCCCGACACCTTCAGCAGCTGTGTCGCATCGCACCATCAGCGAGCCACCCTCGCCTGCGCCGCTGCCAAGTCCATCGCTGCAGCCCGCGCCCTTGCCTGCCTATGAGATGCCAAGTTCGCCCATCGGAAGCGTCATGCCGAGCACGACACAGACTGTGCCGACATTCAAGCTCATCTCGCTGCATGACGCTCAAGCGCTCGCAAGGGACAAGGCCGCTGCTGCCGTAGCTGCACGCAAAGCAGCTAACCCAGACTGGGACGACGCCGCGCCTCTAGACGCGTTCTCGGGAGATGAGAACGCCATCACGAGGGGCTCAGCGCCTAGTAAGGCTACAAAAGCACACCGAAAGACTGGCTTCTTGGGTATGTTCAAATCCAAGGCAGATGAAGATGACATCTCTTCGTGGCCCAAACTCAATATCAACTCGCCACCATCGCCCAAGCCATTCCCAGAGCTCGCCTTGCCTGCCATCAGCGAGCCGGTCTCTCAATCCCCTGCGCAACTCAGCCCGCCCGTTCTGCTTTCGCCCGGCGGCACGACCTCGCTTGAACCGCCCAGCTTGACCTTGCGTCCCGTGTCGATGTTCTCAGCCAGCACATCATTCGGTCTGTATCTGGACGAGAACAGAGCGGATGGTATAGCAGAAGAGAGCGAATTGCCTTCGCCTGCTCTATCGGGTCAGGACGAGCTGTTACCTTCGCCTTCTACTGCCGCCTCTTCGCTGGGTCCCTCTTCAATCCAATCATTTGAAGTAAAGAAGCCGTCAAGTTCGACCGACCCGGCCGTCATGGCTCTGTACGAGCAGATCCTCAAGGCTCGCAGCTCCTGGCGAAGTCAGATGAAGGTACTCGAGACGCAAGTTGACAGTCTCACGACCGAAGTCACGCGTCTCCGTCAAGAGAAATCATCACCGCAACTCGTACGCCCTTTCCGCCCGTTCAGCAGCTTTGTGCTGATTTCGGAAGGACAGTGCAAACACTGTCATGCTGATTTATAAGTCATACACGAGGGAAAGACTTTGCTTGTAATGCTAGAGGTCGTAAGGTATCATGCATCGTGTACAACCGGCTCTTGTGAGATACATACAATAAGGTTCGAGTGGGGATTACGAAGACTCCATACCGCCAATGACATCGTCTGCAAAGGCGACCTCGGAAATCCGCCGCCTGAGTTCTGGCTTGGCCGCTATGCCAGTCGATTCGGCAGTGTCGTCCGACAGCCCGTCATTTTTCGATCTGCGCAGAATCGATACTGGCTGCGACGACGTTGTCGATCCGGAGCGTGAGGATCGGACGGAGCCATTGAGGGAGGGCGATGCGTCGTATGCTTGTGAAAAGTCGCTCGCTTGGCCGGGTACAGCAGGAGTCGGTGGAAGCGGATTGCGCATGCGCGCCAGGCTGATCGGCGTGGGCGAAAGAGCATCAGAATCGCTTTGCTCTTCGTCCGAGGTGGTCGTCTCGAGCGGCAGAGGCAAGCGAGTTTTGGGCCCGCTGGGAGAGCGATAAGGCGCAGATAGGAGCGAGTTGTGCCCTCGTCTCCTTTGTGCGCTCGTTCGGGATACTCCACGGCCAAAGGTGAGGCTGTCCCGCGCGTCTTGCTCGAGGGTATCGGATCGGTTGGATACGTAGTCGCCGACGGTGCCATTGCTGAGTCCCGCGATCAGTCCTACGAGCAGGCCGACGCATGCTCCGGATGCGAAGAAGACGACGAGCGGACGGAACTGTGGTAGCCACTCGAGATCAGTCACAAGATTGCCTGAGCAGAAGTGGACTGACGCGATAGAAGAGCCCGATTGCAAATGCGCTCGGCTTGAAGACGCCGAGCCAGAAGGGAACGAGTAACGGTGTGGTGACGAGTCTGATGAGCGACCAGGACCATGCCAGGCAGAAGATCGTGACCGAATAGACGATGGACACGCAGAATGGCAGGATGACGCGCCAGGTTATCCTGAGAGGATGATGGAGAAAGAGCGAGAAGAGGGCCTTGACGGCATTGACGAGGTTGCGTATGTTTGCAGGCGATCTCTTTGGCTTTGCCGGCTTGGTGGCCGTCCTGTTCTCTGTCGAAGTGGGTACTCCAGAGGGCGTGGCTCGCGGCAGGTATATATGGGCTGTCGTCGTCTCAAGTACGACGTGAGTGGCACCCTCGTGATCAGCCTCATGGGTCTCATTTTTCGTGCTGCCATTGTTGGTCCGTGTTGCGGACTGTGCGGGCGGCAAGGCTGCTAGAGAGGACGAAGGAGGAGCACGGTCTTGTATCGCTCCTGGCATGTACTCCTTCAGTCTGTTCCTCATCGCATTCTGCCCTGTGGCTCGTGTGACACATGCCGCAAGGAGAAGAGTGAGCAGCCATGGCTGCTTCATCCTCCCTGGCCTGACGAAGTGCTTGTTGATCGCTGACCGTCGCTGATGTCACGGAGACGCGTCTCTCTCTTCCGCCAGCGGCTGTTCGCTGATGAGCGAGGCACCCCTGCCGGCGAGACAGCTCGTCAAATATGTCGCACGGTGCTTCTACACCGGCTATCCAGTCGTCATCCTCGACTTTCTCACCCAGCAGCCCGTGTATGTCAGACATCCTCCGCCGACGATCTGCATTGACCTCAGCAAACGTGCAACAGCATCAAGGACGAAGATCTGGCGGCTCTGCTGGGCGTCACCAGGAGCGAGATGGTCAAGCATATGTCCAAGCTGCTCGGCCAGCGGTTGGCATGCGCGTACGCATTGAAGTTGACAGCTGCGAGCGTCATGTTGGTCTGATGCTCGTTTACTCAGCTATGCACGCAACGAGGTCAGGCCAGGTGGACTAAAGGCAGTCGAGCGTACATACTACTTCATCGATTACAAACTCTTCATTGATGTCGTCAAGCTGCGTCTCTACAAGATCGGCCAGCGCATCACTGCCATCTCAGGCAATGTCAGTTTCCTGCGCCGTGCTCAACGAAAAGGCAGCGATGAACTTGTCTGAACAGGCTATCGAATCGCAAGGATGGTACTGTCCTCGCTGTAAAGCGAATTACAAGATTGAGGATGCAGGCGATCTGTTGTCCTATTCTGGCCAGATGATCTGCACTGTCACCGGCTGCGAGACCCAAGTCATCGACAATGGCAGTGCAGAGGAGAACAAGAAGCATCAGAAGACACAAGCGAGATTGCAGGCTCAGACTGCTGTCATACAAGACTGGTTGAGAAAGACAGACACCATGACTTTGCCTGCGTGAGCCTTGGCAAATTTCTCAGATGGCGCAGGAACCTGACGCTGGTCGCCCAGCTTCGATGTGGCCAACTGGCTCGCCATCAATATGCCTGTCAGAGGCTCTGCCAGCGAGCTGCCAGATGCGCAAGGCGGCGCGCAAGCCTCTGAGATCAGGATCGAAATGGGTGCAGCCGGCTTGAATGCCGCGCAAAAGGCTGCTCTCGCAGCTGCCGAAGAACTCAAAGCGTACATGTCTCCTGTATCTGACATCTTGATCTTTTGCGCTGATGCGTATATGCAGACAACAAAACGCGTTGCCGGTCTGGATAGCAGAATCGACTGTTGCCGGCCTGGACGCTACTGCGCAATCAGCGGCCTCAACTTCAGAGAATGCTCTCGCCTCGCCCACTTCTCCTCTGAAGTCTCCCGAGGGCAAGCAAGACGCAAAACCTGCCGCGGATGCAGAATACGAAGCCTACTATGCTCGTATGCAAGCTAGAGATAGCTCAAACACGATGCAGTCGCCAGATGTGGCTTCGCCCACGAGATCAGCGCAGAGCAGCATTGCTTATGGCAAGCGGCCTCTCTTCGATGCGCCGGACGCAGCAGACGCAAAGCGGTCAAGAATTGAGGAAGAGGAGGAAGACAGCGATTCGGATGCACCGCCCGAGGAGACCGACCATGCAGATTCTCTAATGGTCGTGGTCGACGGCGAGGAGCATCCGTTTCAAACGGTAGTAGACTCGCAAGCTTTGCAAGACGCGATGAGGCCAGACGAATACGACGCCTTCATGGAGATCTATGCGTCCCAAAGCTAATCCCAAGGCTGCAGTGAGTGGACTGTTGTCACACTGTAATACATTCAACAAGCAAGTGACTGCAAGTGTATCATTTGTACATTGCTGCGTCTGATCGCCTTTGACCGATCGGTTGACCAAAGGATGCTTTTTGCCTCGGCTTGCCCGGCGTCTTCGGCAATGACCAGATGAGTGGCTCTGCGTGTCGTTGCTTCGATGCCCATGCGAGCGCAACATCCCGCTTCGATCTTGCCGCCTGAGCTTGGAGGAATTCGGGACCTCGGGAGCGATGACGAGGCACAGGTCGTTTGTAGAGCGTGTCATTGACTGGCAGGGGAACGTCATCCGGCAAGGTCGCTTCGCGTTGCATGCTGTCGCCATTGGCAAACAGAGTCCTGTTTGTAAGACGAAGCGAATCGTAGATGTCCAAGCTCTCGCCAGATGGTATCGGAACGGGCTGCGAGGGTGTGACGCAGTCCATATTAACCTCTTTCCTGAAGACGTGATCGACGTCGACCGCCGAGAAGAATGCGCAAGACTGTTGAAGAAGCCTTAGTCAAGATTACGGAGTAACAACGTCTGGCTTACTTGGGGCAGATCGTCCATCTCGAGCTTATAGCTGAACATGGATCTTGTCCAGAGATTCGCAATCTGTAGAGCCAAGCTAGCTCGATACTTGTCCTCGTCCTTGACAAGGTATCTGATTTCGTCGTGTACCGAGATCATATAGCGCGCAGCAATGTCGAAGCGACGCGTGAGATATTCCATGGCGACGATGAGCAGGTGCAAGTAGTCAACACCGCTCGATTGGACTGCCCAATTGACGCGCGAAGGCATAAAGTCCTCGCCTGCTTCTGATTTTGCAGTCTTGGGCAGATTTGACTTTGACAGCGCTTTCGTAACGCCGCAGCCAAGTGCAGGGGTACGCGGATCATCACTCATTGCGATTTCCTCGAGTTTGTTGAACAGAAAGCTCTCGGTGCCGCCGAACCAGAAGCGACGGTCGAATGCGTCTTTGCGGTACGTATTGATGCCTTTTGTGGAGACGTACAGCTGCTTTGCGAGTGCGGTAGCGGCCTCTTTCGTCTGTGTGGGATTCGATTTTGTCAAGAGCTGTACAGCGTGTCGCACGCCGGCTCCATAAATACGCGAATAATTGAATACCTTGGCATCGTCTCGCGAGATGCCCAGAATGGAAGCGGTCTTTGAGTGTAAGTCCGTGCCTTCCGACTTTGTGCCTTCGAGGGTCATCCATCCTATTGCCGTAGCGCCATGAACACCGAATTGAGCATCCCCCATGACGCTGCTAATCCAGAGCTCTTCCGAATCGACATCTGCGCCGACGATGGAGTAGCCCGGAGGTGCTTTGACCATCGCTTTAAGCTCTGAGCCCAATCGGTTCTTCTTCGCATTCGACGCTGCTAGCCAGGTTTTCTCTACAGCACGACGCGTGACTGTACCCATTGTGACGACTTGAGGGAGTATCATACCAAGCCTGACGTCGGCGCTTGTCGGGGAAGAGGTATCCGAGTCTCGCCACACGACGAATTGCTGAACAATACGATCTCGTGCGCTGACCCAGTAGCTACATTGTGCGTTCATGTCGAGCGCCTCTTTGGCGACTGGATACTCCGAGCTGAGGATGCCCTGCTCAAAGGCAGGCATGAAAGGTTTGCTGAGCGGACTGCCCACATTGGCATCCTCGCCATCTTTATGCGGCAGCTTGTAGTATTGCGCGTCAGAATCGAAAGACAGGTTGGCATCGGCGAGATTGGTGAACTTGAGCGGCTTGCGCTCTGATGCCGAGCTAGCCGACACTTCGCTTAAAGAGACCCGATAAGTCCAGCCATGTTCGCGCGAATGCACGAGCGGGTAGCCTTCCCATCGAAGCTTGAGCAACAGAGGCGACACTCGCGTTCTGACGGACAGATCGAGTCCTTTGCCGATCTTGTCCAGGTCCCAGAACCATTTTGGCCAGATCAGATCCGCGGCATCTGGTTCGTCGAGTGCTGCTTCTGCGATGTCTGCTTCGTTTGTGTCTGCACAGGCTCGTTCGCCGGCTCTGTCGAAGCGAGACCCGGTGGGTAGCTCTACTTCAACCTCGTCCCAATCGAGTTGCCTGAGCCAGGAATCGGCCTTCGCTTTGCTCCGAGGCATCTCCTGCAGTGCGGCTAGGGCAAGCTCTGTCAATCTGGACTGCAGCAATGCTGCGACGTCTGCGTTGTCACTCTTTGGTGCAACGATGTATGCTAACAATTCGGCGTTTGGCGAAGCGAGCTTGCCAGATTCGAAGAGTTTCTTGGTGGAAGGAGCGATGATCGTCCGAATCTTCCCAGTGGACTTGAAGAAGTAGAGACCTGAGCTGCTATCTGAGTCGGGCTCGACCCGCCTCTCACAAGTCGTGTCGAGCTCAAATTGCGAAGCTTTATCGTCGGACACGTGGAACAGCCAGCCATGAGCCTTGGAATGTCTCACGGGATAGCCCCGCCAAGACAGATTGAGCAAGAGGGCAGCCTGTGTGCTGTTGTGCTCTATCGTGATAGCGTCGCCGTCGCTGCCCAAGCAAGCGGCAAACCATTTCGGCAAGACAGTGAGACCATTATCTGGCTTCAGATCGGCGGCGGCTTTTGATCTACGGGCTCGCTTATTGCCTGGCAGCCTGCGAGCGCGTTTCGGAGACCAATCGAGTTGCTTGAGCCAAGGATCCTGTTCGTAGACTGGCCGACCACTCTCATCTTCCTTGAAGATGAGTCGCCGGGCTTCTTGAGCGAGCATGCGCAAGCGCTCCTGTACGGCCTCCGAGAGCTCCCTGAACTTGCTGTCTGCTCTTTCGATGAATTCGGGCCAGCTCTGATCGACGGGCAGGAAAGGATTGCCCATATTGAGCATGCCTGCAAAGCTGACCGGGTTGGGGCATGTTTGACGGAAGGCAGGCAGGACAATAGCATAGACACGGTGGGTTGTCGCCACATCGGTCGCACAGTAGGTCATGAGCTCCTGGAAGTGATCGACGACTTGTTCGCGCGAGTAATGCTCGAAACAGTCTCGTGGCCGTTTGTCGACTTCGAGGCCCAAATGGAGCTTGGCAACGTCGGCCAATGAGCTGAGGGAGCTGACATCTTGCCATGCTCTGTCCATACCTGCATCGAATGAAGCCGGCTCGTCTGATGCGGCGGCGGCTTTGGCAATCTTGGCTTTGCGATAGGCCATCCAGGCCATTCTCTGCGGTGACGAGAGACCATAGACGGCGACGTGGAGTGACATGGTGTCCACGAATCGCGTCTTTGTTCTCTCGAGACTGTATTCCTCCCGAAGGCGAGCACGATCGTAGCTCACTGCGTGGCCGACAATGACACGCTCGCGATCGCTGGGCATGGGGACGAGCTGCTCCATATCTTCGGTCTGTCCGAGCAGCCAGGGAGAAGCCCAGCTGTACCAGTGCCTCTCGGATGCAGCAGCAGCGATGACAGCATACGGGCTGATCTTGTAGAGCGTCTCTACATCAAAGACGATTGCGTCATCGGATGGAGCCAGGACGGATTCCCATGAGCCATCCCTGTTATAGCGTGTCCAGCCTGGCTCCATGGCCCACTCGACAGGCTGCTCGGGCAGGGTGACATTGAGGGCAAAGTGTTCGGACAGGCTGAGGTAAGGCTGGGCAGAAGCGAGTCCGAGCCGCCAGAAATGTTCATCGATGTTGCTGCCTTGTAGCTTGGGCAGGATGAAGTCGGTCTCCGGTATCGGCTTGCTCACCGTCTTGGCCAGTCCGTGAGCGGCGAGATGCTGCTTGGAGATGTCGAGCGCCCTCAGATCTGGCAAGGGGAACTTGGCTCCCTTGAAGACCTGCCGGTGGAGACTCCGCGAGAGTAGCTGGACAGAGACTTCATTGCGAGGCACTGCAGCGCTTGCCAGCGCATCAGACGACTGGACGCATCCGATGGAGCTTGTGCCGACCTGAGTGAACCTCAAGTGGCTCTGAGTCTGGATGATGGGAGGGGGCATGAGAGGCCAGGGCTCTGTTGCTTGTCCATGCACGAGCAGCATGCTTCGAGTGCCGTGATCGAAGCATGGCCGTCGATCGGGGCCTACTGCTTCCTACTCGACTTGACTGGTCTCCCTCCTCGGCCGGCACATCTTGCTCGCTTTGGCTTGTCCAGCGACTGCGACAACTTCCTCGCGGCCGACTGCCAAAAATTGTCGACTGGCCGTCACCGGTGTCGTCGAAAGATGGCCAAAGATCCAGCCAGCAAGGCGAGCAAGCCCCGTGCGAAGGACAAGGACGGGCCAGTGGCATCGACGTCCAAGACGAAAGCGAAGCAAGACAAGGGAACAACAGCAGGCAAGCTCATGCTGGCCCGTTGACTCACGCGAGAGGCGGACTGACTTTGATGAGGTTCAGGCGAGTCGGGCGATGGCGCAAGCTCGGTCAAGAAGGGCAAGAAGAAGCGGACGGACGATGCTGACGCTGAAAAGGCCGAGAAACCGACGACGATGCGACTGAGCAAGGCTGAAAATGCGGTCTATGTTCACCTCCTGGAGGCAGCCAAGGTCGGTCCTGGGGAGCATCAGGCCAGTGTATCTGCATACTGATCCTGTCGGCTGTTGCAACAGTCTGTCAAAGTGGACGTGCTCGAAGAAGCCCTCAATCTCGAGCGCACGCAGCTCACGGCTATCCTCAATAAGCTATCCGACGTGGTACGTGATCGTGCGCTCTTTGCCTGCGCCAGCTGATCTTGGAGAACGATCAGAACCTCACAGAGTATACCCAAGTCGGCAAGCACCTCTGCGTACTCGCCCGCTCGCGACAGGAAGCAAAGACGTACGCCGAGCGCTCTCGTCATTTTCGTGCAGCTGACACGTTATGTTGACGGACACGACAGTCGTGCGAGTATGCCTGTCGAGAACAAGCTCGTCTACGACACCATTCGAGCTGCCGGCAACGTCGGCATCTGGACCAAGACCCTCAAGACAAAGACCAATTTGCATCAGACGGTCATCAGTCGCGTCCTCAAGCAGCTCGAAAAGGACAAGCAAGTCAAATGCGTCAAGTCCGTCAAGACGCCCACGCGGAGGATCTACATGCTCGCAGAGCTCACGCCTTCTGCCGAGTTGAGCGGAGGACCCTGGTTCCACGATAACGAGCTCGATCTCGATTTCATCAACATGCTCTGCATGACAGTACTCAATCTGATCAGAAACGCAACCTGGCCCAAGGCCAAAAAGGGAGACAGTGGCGCCCTTCTACCCGCTAGTCACACGCCGCTGCTACCCAGCGTCTGGCAACTCCTTCAGGAGATCCAGCAACTCCGGATCGTCAACCAGCCTCTCACTGCAGACAACCTAGCAGAGATCCTCGACATCCTCGTGCTTGACAGAGAGATCGAGAAGATCAGAGTCGCTCACTTGCCGACCGAATGGATCGACGCTCTCGAGAGCGATAAGCCCAAGGGTAGACCCATCTACAGGGAGAGCTCGCCGGAATCGAGCGACATTGATGCAGATACCGACATTGACGGGAGCGATGACGACAAGCCCTTCCAGGCAAATGGGAACGGCAAGAACAAACGCGCTCGCAAGGATTCTCCTGGCACTGCAGCGCCAGCCCTCAAACGACCACGAATCGGATCCCCCCCGCTGGAGGAGGCTGGTGAGGAGGACGCAAAGCCGATCGATGGCCTCGTCTCGTTCAAGCGGTGCGGTGACACCGTCATACCGCCGACCAACGAACCCTACAATGTCTACCGAGCCCTTCGGCATAGCACGCCCAATCCATATAAAGCCCTGATGTACAAAAGTGACGAACGCAAGGTCGCTCAGATCAAGTTGACAGACCTCGAGAACCCCACAGACATCTTTGGGCTCAAGATGGGCTTGACCGAGCTCCCCTGCACAACTTGTCCGGTCAGGAAGCAGTGCAACAATCGCGGGCGACCGCAAGTCTACGCTCCATCGCCCAATGCACCTTCTGCTCAAGTCATGGAAATGTATCAGAGGTCGCAGCTGCAATCGAGCATCGCCAAGGGTACGGACGACTTGATCAAGATGAGAGTCCCGGGTTCGAGTACGAAGTCGCGCCTCGATCCTGCTGCGAAATACAGAGCTTCGCTCTCACACAACCCGGTATCAACTGTCAATCCGAGAGGTTGTATCCACCTGAACAAGTGGCTCGAGATTGGCTACGAGAAGTACCTCGAAACGATCAAGGACGAAGACGACGAAGAAGAGGAGGAGGAGGCGCAGGAGGGCGTCTAGCATGACGAACCAGTCCGCTCGTATTATGACATGTTGCTGTCTCACCAATTTGCATTGTCTTGGACGATCGCGCGTCGCGCTTTCTCCTCCTCTCCTGCTCATGCGCTCTCGCATCATGAGCAGTCCCACACAAAGCCTCGAGACGCATCTCTCTGCTCCTCCAGCGCCACTCGACCAGTCTCAGCTGCTCAACGCCCAGCGCAGCATCGTAGACGATGCCGCCGCTCAGTTCAGTCGCACGGTTTTCAATGCCCCTTCCTCGCCCTCCTCTGACCCGCTAGCTTCGCAGAAATCCTGGTGGATCTCCGTCAGCTCCGAGAGGACTTTGAATGCTGGGCTTCTGCTCGCCTTCATCAGGTTGGAACGCCTGCTATAGCGTATTCTGCGTCACACTGAAAGCCATCACAGACGGACGACGTGGTCGAAGCCCGTCTGAAAGCGGGCATCGAAGAGATCACTGCGCTCGAGCGTGATCAAGGTAAGCTTCGTTGAGGCCGGACATGATACAATGCTGACTGAGCGCTACAATCGCAGCCCAGAAGGATGCCCGCCTTCGCGCCTTCGTCGAGCAAGTCAAGCACGCTTTCAACAGTCTTCAATATTGATTGGTACAACACCAATAAAATATCAGCAATGATAGTGTTGCATATGGCACAAACACGAGTGAGGCGGTTGGACGATGGAGTGATCTGTGAGCTTTGAGATGGCTTAGCCGCCACTCAGGGGCCCTACAGGCGGAAGCCGCCTGAGGTCGCCAGGCGGATGAGGAGAACCGTCTGAGCTGGCGACGCTAGAGTCGCGAAGATCGAAAGAGTCCTTGTGGTCCCTGTCGTGGAAGCCCGAGGGAACAGCCTGATCTAGTGGCTGAGTTGTCAGGGAGGTCGATGGTCGAGGCGAGACGAGGTCAGATGCACTTTCTATCGTGTTTTCTGTCGCACTGCTTGCCAAGGTAGAATCCGTGCGCGTGCTGTCCGTATGCGCGCTCTCGACAGGATGTAGAATAGGCTTGGCGGGTGATTTTTTCTCACTTGCAGACTTGCGCTTCATATGCTTCTTTACCCATTTCAGCGTCTTCGTTGGCGTACTAGCCTGCTTACTCGGCCGCACGACAGCCACCTCGTCGTCACGTACCGCAACCTCGTCTTCGGATTTCCATTCGTCGCCAGTGAGAGAGATCCGACTCGATCTGCGCGAGTTTGGTATCGAATTCTCCGCCGAGCGACCTTGCTTTGGACTACTCGATGAGCTTCTCGGATTATGCAAAGGGCGCGTTGGCGTATCGCGGAACTTGACGCCAGAATTGCCCTTTTCAGCGGGCTCGGAATCGTCGAGCGCTCCATACAGGCGAATCGCTGCACGTTCGAACCCAGTCAGCACAAAGATCATCACACAAAGGACGGAACGTGCCTCTTTCGACCAGAGGAAAAGGTACCTCGGTCAAAGAGCGATGGACCTGCCCGATGCCTGGCACAAAGTGAAGCGTCACGTCGAGATAGCCTTTGACATGCTCCTCGCTGAGCGTTTGTCTCCGCTTCATCTCGCTGACTCGGTCCGACATTTGTACTGTAAGCTGGTGTGCTGCCTCATATAGCTTCTCTCGTCGCTGCCTCGACTTTGAGACCTTTGCATCCGGATCGACCCATTTGCAGGGCACGACGCCTGGCTCGTCTTCAGCGCACGTCGCATGTCGAGCCAGGTTGTGGCCATAGATTGGCAGGGTCAAGCGGACATAGCCCTGATCAACAAGTTTCTGGGGCCAAATCGTCGCTTGGCCGTATACAGCCTGCTGCAAGTGGCGAGTCTCTTTGAACTGAATAACGCATGGCTCGCGCCTTCGGTCGAACATTGGCACTCGCATGGGCGTTCTGTGAGCCCAATTTGCAGCGTATGTATCCAGATCAACTGTTCACGGTCTCAACTCGGCATGAATGGGTAAGGGCAGACTTACAATTTGTGTCTCCTTCGAACGGCTCAGCCCCGGCCTCGCCCGCGGTCGCATAGCTGTACGTCCCAACTGATGCGGTTGCTACACCCACGAACGTCCTGTCGATGCCTCGTGCGCGCATATGAGAGATCTCCAGCGTGCCCACGTCCCAGCCTTGCAGCTCTGCAACCCACTTTGGTATCAGCTGGTGTAACCAGAACAGAGAGCTCTACTTGCGATCTGGTAGCGCCATATCAAGAGCCTTAAACAGCAAAGAGATCCGAATGCGGCCAACACCTTTGCCTCGAGTAAGTGGGTACCAGTGTGAGACTTGGCTGCGGCGCGAGATGACTTCGTTCAGATTGAGCGTGACTGCCCCTACGAGAGTATCCTGCGGGTCGTTCTCATTCTTCTCAAAGACTGCGAGATCAAGTCGGGTATCTGTCCAATCCTTGCAGAAGAACTCTTCGCCGTGGTTGACATAGGGCGAAAATGCCTTCTGCACGCGAGTCTCGTGATACTGTTCGCCATTGCAAAAGATGACACAGTACGTGGACGGGCTGGCGTCGGTGCGATCTGTCGAGAGCTTACCGGCTGGCTTGTGTGTAGGTGTCTCAATGTTGGCGACTTGATGGATATGCACAGAGATGAGGCCTGTTTTCTTGTCCGGCGAAGGCGGGATAGTCGAATCGAGCATCTCGCGCATCCTCGTGGCATATAATCCCGACCGAGTCTCGCTTTCTCGCGATGCTCGGTCGAGGAAGGGCACCCGGCGAGAGCCAACGGGTAGCTCAAGGCCAAGGGCGCGATCCTCATCCGCCGTGAGAACCTTTGCTAGGGGGTAATAGCCCACAGTGTACCGCATCTGTCCGGCGAAAGCTGTAGCTCGTCTTACCGCTCGAATGGGCTCCCTGCGCTCCGACACCACGCTAGGGTTGTCTACGAGCTCTTGCAGCTTGACGTCCAGGAAGCCGATGATATCAGAGTCGGTCAGACGATCAGCATGTGATATCGTGATCCTGATAGCATCATTGTCTGACAGATGAGAAGGTAGGACTTTGACAAAGACTGATTCCTGCCAGCAGGGCATCTTACATTGCCGAATGATCCTCGTCTTGTAAATGACTTTGCCGGACAAGATAACTTCGATGAAAGTGTCAAGATGATGAGTCTCGTGGTGTACGCCCAGCTCGGATGCTGACAGCAAGCCGAGGAAGATAACACCACAATGCTCGGTCTTGAGGGGGATGTCTGATCCCATTATGATCTTTGATACGTCTAGTGTATACGAGCGAGGCGAGACAAAATTCTCTGCCACGATGTTGATAGAAGAGAGGATGTAGGACGATATGCCGGGGATGTTCATCAAATCTAGTTTGAGCGATCTAGATGGCCGGACTCGAATGTCGATGCGAGGTCGACTGGGCAAAGTGAGCGTGCAGTGTCGCAGGAAAGGCGGATCTGAGATGAGCTGAACCCTGACACGGGCTCGTCCGACCACACCACTGATCTCGACTAGGCTCGGGAGCTCATAGCGCGCAATCTTGCCGAGTGAGATGCCCATGAAGACGAGCAGGTGCGAATTAGGCGTTTTGTGTTTCTTGTGATGCGCGGTCGGTAGCCGCCTGTAGGAATAGTCAACTTCGATTGTACAAAAGTCGCCTTCGTCAGGAATGACCGCTCTGTCCTTGAAGCCGACATCTTCATTCTCGGAAAGCATGCGCATGCCCAGCAGTCTTGGCGGATTGAGACCGAGATCAAAGTCTTCTATGCGCACAGAGTGTACGAAAGCTGGTGCCTTGGCCTTCATAGTATCTTCCAAAAGATCGATGAGAGCTACAAAGAGCTCCGAATTGATGAGCGGCCAGGCTGCTCGGATGAGGCCGTTCATCCATTCGACGCTCTCTGAGGGCGCGCCATGCGAAGTCGCCATCTTGGCATGTCGTCGCTCGACGTCAGAGGTATAGTCATCCCGCAGAGACTCGACACGTCGGCGAATAGAATAGCACGTCAGCCCGACAGCGAGGAGCAGCCAAGCGATGTTCCACCCAAAGTGTGTCAATGCTGCCGACGTGCCAGAGCAGATGATGATGGCCACGACGACCTGCAAAGGTATTGAGTTGTGTGAGTCAACAAATGCACAAAGTAAGCGTACCTGGTACATGGCCTCGTCATGAAACGAGTTGATGTCCGCTGGCGGAAAGGCGGCATTGTTGAGATTGACCGCGCCCGTGCCAGTCTCGGGGTTCTTGGGCTCCTCGTGACTGTCTTTGGCTCTAAAGTCGATTTGTTCCCAGCCAGACGAGGTCGAGTCTGCCAATGAGTCGAAACTATGACGCCGATCTCGGCCGCCTCTGGGTGTGCTCGAGTCAACATTGCTCGTCGGCCGTAGGCCAAGCAAGCCAGCTGTGATGGGGTGACTGTTTCTTGGCATCCCGACAGCGCATCAAGCGCATGTTCAGTCAGCAAGACAGCAGATGTGCCGGCCAAATTCAGTCACCGGTCCGCGCTGTCGTTGCACTTTCGGGACGCGGTCAGCCATTGTCGACATTGTGCGCGTCGATCTTTTTGCCACGTTGCGCCTCTTCATTGACATCGTATGCGACTGCCCAGACGGATCCCTTGGCGGACGACGGACGAGTTCGACTATGTGCGATCATCAATCTACGAAGGCGGTCAGAAGGAGCAGCAGAGTGCTCTTGAATGGGTCAGCTAGCCCGTGACGCCTTGTCTGAGGAGGCTGATCGCTCAAACGAGGCAGCTCAGGCTCTGGATGGCCAGGGGCGACTGTCCGCATGCTGTAGAGAGCACCTCGCTCTTTCTCGAGCTCATCCTTGCCGATCTGGCCGGTACTCGGACATCGCTCGAATTGCGCGCTTCCTATGGCATGGCACTCACTCGGTATGCTGCTGCTCATCACAAGGATGGCGACAAGTGCTGAAAGCAGAAGCAGTTTTGTGAGCGGGATAGTCGATCCAGCACAGCAGGGCGTCTATGCGCGCTCGATTGCCGTCATTGCTGCTCAGGTCGGCCTGCCTCTTTGGTTCGTCGAGCTTAGGCACGCCTCGACTCACGAAGCACTGCCCAGCCTGATCGCCCTACGAGCGGCAGCACATCAGGTACGCGAGCAGACTCATGTCATGACGAATGACTCGATCAGGTTGGCGCACAGGCTTTGGCGTGGCTCGATGAAAAGTATTGGTTACCTCAGATGACGCGACTGCATAGTGCTAGCCCGCCCACACAGAGCGAGCCCACGCCACATATGTTGAGCGAGATCCGAGATCATCTCATCGCCTACAAGACAGCTCAGAAGCATTTCCTGCGCGATCAAGCTTCCGTCGCGCCAACAGAGATCACTAAGACGGTCTCTGCCCTCTGGAGCGCTGCAGAGGGCACTGCTCGAACGTGCCTGGCTTCCGTCACTTTGGCGTCTGGCGAGCTTGTACCTGTTGCGTTGGGACTCGTTTTCGGCTTGCTGCTGGAGCCCGGCGGTCTCGTACCTAAAGCGAAAAAGTGCGCCTGCCTTCCTCCGCCTGAGCTTGAACTTACCTTCGATTGCTTGGTGTCCAGAAAAAGACTAAACAGCCCCGGGGAGCCGCTCAGTCTGCAAGCGATCGAGCTCTGGGCCCCTCTGCTCGACTTTCTTGCCGATCTTGCGGATGAGCATGAATTGGACATTGAGCGCGGGCTCAGCACGCGGATGACCGAGGTCGTCTTGTCCACAGCTACACCTGCCGAACTGCTTGGCGCACGATATGAAGCAGATCAAGATATGCTCCGACTAGAAAGCGAGGGCGAGAGCGATGTGCAAGCTATCCGTGCGACCCTTGCCGGCTGGATCATGTATCTTGTCAGTCGAAGAGACGACTACAGCCTTTTGGACGTCCTCGCACCCCTATTGCTCAGATCTGATCATTCGTGTGTTCTGGCGACGGGTAGCAATACCACAGATCACATGAGCTGACATGGATGCAGGTATGATGTCGTTGCCAGTCTGATAGGCACGCCGCCAGCAAGCGAGCTCGAGGCCGGCATCATCCAAGCGAGAGCCGTGGCACCCTCAAGCGTGCGTATGCTCTGCTCTATTTTACCCTGCTGACACTTGATGAGTACAGATGCACGTCGAGCTCGAGTCACTTGAAACCCGTCTGGAAGGCATGTCTGCTCGCGCTCAAGAACTGATCGCCGAGCACGTCAGCATTCAGCCAGTCCAAGTTCGTGCCTTGACTCTCTTTGGCCCCAGTATACTCACGCAGCTGATTCACAGGCAGAATCCGCAGCCAATGTCACGCAAAGCGATGGCATGCACTGGCATCGTCAGGACAAGAGTGCGTGGCAGCCCTGTCCCCTCGGTCAGCTCACGTCTGATCGGCTGTCGGATCTGAGTCATGTACAAGCTGTTCATTAATGCACATGTGCTGCTCGTCCTCCTGCCCCAGCCATCCCGCGGCCGGCGCGTCGCGTTGACGCTTTGAAGTGGAAAAGACGGAGAGAGAGCGCTACATCTGCAGTGTGTCGAGAGCCAGGCCGACATGGACAGCGTTGTGATGCAGAACGGCGGACAGGCTCCGGTGTCGTTCGGCAGCGGAGCCTCACAAGCCAGTACATCTGCTCAGCTGCTCGGCGAGCCATGGAAGTACGTCTCTTGCCAGACCCTGCGATCTCTGCCTTCAGTCTGGCGCTGACATCGTACCACGCAGCGAGGATGCTGCAGGCAAGCAGAGGTCCGTGCCTCTACCGCCTAGCCACTCGGTGCCGACGTCAGTCTAGTCAGTCACACGCAGGCTTTGTCAACAGGCGTACAGGGCTGACATGCTATGTCTGCAGTATGGCCGTCTACTCCTCCGTGCCCGTGCTGGAGATGATGGTCAGAGGGATCAGCGTGATGCGGAGGAGATCGGACAGCTACATGAATGCAACTCAGATCCTCAAGGTCGCGGGCGTTGAAAAGGGTCAGCATTATCGCCTGACATGCTGCTCACTGCGAGCTCAATCGGGATCTCTCCACCGGCAGGCAAGCGCTCTCGCATACTCGAAAAGGACATAACACAGTCAGGACTGTACGAGCGAGTCCAGGGTGGCTACGGCCGATATCAGGGCACATGGTGAGCGCGCGTCGTGCGCCTGCGTTTGCTGATGCTGATTGATCCTGGCTAGGATACCTTTTGACAAAGCTAGAGAGCTCTCGCAGACGTACGGCGTCGAACATCTGCTCGCTCCCCTCTTCAATTACACCATGCCATCATACAAAGGTCCCGATCACGAGGGACCTTTCAACGCGGATGCGACGGCCGCAGGACCTACCGCGCTCGACAAGCGTCGTCAGCGAGACTTTGAAGACGATACCTCTGTGCTCGAGGTGGACGTGCACAAGCGTTTCAGACCTGCCCATTCGAGCAGCACAGATCCTTTCAGCTCGTCCACTGGCAGACAGTCGATTCCCTTTGCCGCGCTCAATGGCACGAACACCAAGCTCAGGAGGTCCAAGTCGCCCGTCAATACACACACCTTCATCGGCGATGATACCTCGAGATATGAGCGATACAGAAACACCCTCATATCGCTCTTTCCAGAGGCCGCCAACATAGACAGTCTCGCTCTCGATAGAACAGACGACTTTGAGACCGACACGCCCATCGATGATCACATGCACACCGCCCTGCACTGGGCAGCCAGTCTAGGTCGGGTCGACCTGGCACGCGCCCTGATCCAAGCTGGCGCGGATACCGAGAGAGGCAATGATGCAGGCGAAACGCCTCTCATCCGGAGTGTGCTCGCGATTAACTGCGAAGAAGCTGGCGTCTTCTCAGAGCTGTTGCGGCTGTTGGGCAACTCTCTCTGGACCACCGACGACTCGAACAGAACGGCACTGCATCATTGCGCTCTGTTAGCAGCTATCAAAGGACGGGCTAATGCCGCCCAGTACTACGTCGAATGTATACTCGAATTCATTGCGACAAGGGACGATGGCAATTTCAAAGACCTCATCGATGGAATGGACATCAATGGCGATACGGCGCTGAACATTGCTGCGCGTATTGGCAGCCGCCGACTTGTCAGGCTCTTGATCAACTCTGGTGCCGACAAGACCAGATCAAATAAGCTCGGCCTACGGCCAGGCGACTTTGGCGTCGAGACAGACGTGCGTACCTTCCGCGCCCGTCTGATCAAGCTGATCGGAATCATCCTCTTACCTAGGAATTGGCGCCCACCACTGCCGATGAGATCACTAATTCACTAAAGAGTCAGATTCCCCTCGCGCCGGCGCAGAAAGCACAAGATATCACCAAGCAGCTCGTAGATCTCGTGCAGACCCTCAATGCCGACTTTGAGCGCGAGATCCAGACAAAGACAGAGACGCTCGAGCGTGTACAAATCCAGCTCAGATCTTCCACTCGGGAATTAGCGGACAACAGGAGGCAAGCGCAATACTGGCGCGAACAGTGCGCCGAGCTCGAACGAGTGACCAACCGACTGAAGAACCTCGAGCGAGCTTCTTTCGACGAAGATCACTTTGACTGGACTGGCAGAACCGAGCTAAACGGTTTACCCAGCCAGTCAGTACCCGGCGCAGGCTACGCTTTCTCTCCACGGCCGCCGGTACAGCTACCCGCTGACCTGAACGTCTCTGCGGAGATCGATCTGCCTCTTGGTCAATCAGCTCACGATCTCGTGCGGCTGCGACGGATGCGGCAATGGCTCGCTCGAGTGCTCAGTCTGCAGCGGCAACGACAAGAGCAGACCAGAGGCATCAATGCGAATCTCGAAGTGCAGTATAGGCGCGTCGTAGCCGCCTACTGCGGTATGGAAGAGAGCAGGCTAGATGAGATTCTGGATCGGTTGCTCGTGGCGATGGAGAGCGACGGCAACGATCTCGATCTAGTCCGTATGAGTACCTTTCTGGGCAAAGCAAAGGGGATCTAGAGCGTCAGCTGCATGTCAACAACAAGCGATCGATGTACATCTTTTCTATTATCATCAAAAGTAGCGTGACCTTAGTATGCCTTGCCAACTCTTTCCGACGAACGTGAGAAACGAGACATCGCCTGGATTCGAGCTCGATGCGGACCCGAGCAGCAAAGCATCCAGTAGGTCATGTGTGCGTGAGAGCGACTGAGTGCCGAGCAAGTGCAGCTCGCACAGACCGTATATGGTGACGAGCCTCAGACGGGTGCTATACCAATCGGTGCCCTGTTCCTTGTTGCCACTGGCTCGACACAGTGATCTGGCGAGATCCATAGCCGGCCTCGGGTCTGGAAGCGGTACATGTACTGGCAGAAAGTCGTCGCCATGTGCACTGGGCGCGCTCAAAAGCTTCAACCCCTGCTCAGGTTCGCGAGTCAGCCCATGCATGTGTGTGCAAACTGGATACAAGCTCGCCTGTGGGAGATGCTCAAGGCCGGTCTGGCTGTACTCTAGCCTCCTATGCAAGCCTGAGCTGAAGATGCTCTCTTGCGTCTTTTGCGGGCAGTCGAACAAGTGTTGCTCCATGTCCTCCCTGCCAAGGTCAAGCCATCGCTGGAAGAGTGCTCGAGCAGGTCCGACAGGCTCCTGATGGACTGGTTTCGAGATGCGCTCGGTGAGATGAGTGATAGGCGGCCGCGAGGGGAAGATAGCATGGAGCGTCGTGGCCTTGTACTGTGGCAGCGTCGCATCTGACTGTATGGCGGCTATAAAGGCTCGCGTGGTGTAGCCATGCTGTGGGACCTGTCTTAAGCTCGCATCAAGGAGCTGTAAGTGCTTCATATGGCCAGCAAGCTGCTGAATAGATGATTTTGATCGGACAGGCAAGATGAAATAGGTTGCTGCCCCAGAGCTGGCCCAAGCTGCCGTCTCGCCACGCCAAAGCATGATCTAGGATGGCACGGGCAGAGGCACGCAGGTCCAAGCGAGAGGAAGATCGAGCGTTCAGGCTCGTGTTCCGAGATGACGTGAGCAGTGAGACGCACTGCTTCGCCAGTCCCTCGAGAGCGCATCCCGTTCAGCTTGCGAGTGATTATCCCCAACGAGCACTGCAAGCCGCCCGAGGGAGCTCACAGAATGACTGGATAGCTCTGCTGGCCAGAAAGGCTACCTTGCTCGATAGAGAGCACGCGCAACTGAGTCGCTGGCGACATCATTCCGCGCAAAGTGCTTCTGACGGTCTCGCCCCAACAGATGATGATGATGATAGCGACGGTCTGCCCTCGGACACAGATGGGGAGCCGTCGCGACGGGCCAAGCGAGCGCAGTCACCCGTGAGAAGGGAAAGCGTCTACTACGACGAGAGCGAGGTCGACTTGACCGCCTCGCCCACGTCGACGCTCGTCTCGCTCTCGCCCGAACGCGCTTTCTCGAGCAAGCAGAAGCTCTTCGATCTGGAGCCCATCACGCCCGTCACACCTCAGCTGCAGTCCAGACGTTCTTCTGGCTTTGTTGGCTACTTTGGCGACAGTCAGCCCAGACGACGCGCGCCCACTGTGGACGATATCGACCAGCTCGCTGGTTTGGTCATTGCCAATCAGGACAGATACTCACTGGCCAAGCACGTCGATGTTGCACTGAGCATGGCCTTGCCGAGACATGCAACGAGATGCTTGTCAGAGTCGCTCGACGCTCACGAGGACGATGACGAGGAGGAGCCCCGTCTCGTCACGGCAACGAGCAAGAGTATGGTCAATCTCCGCCCGCGTCGTAGCGAGACCGATGTGCCCACTCTGTACCGTACGCTGAGTATGGGCGATTTGCAACTCCAGCATGATGACGACGAGACTGATGACGATGACCATGGTTCTGACGAAGATGATGAATAGGCTCGCTGCATACTGTTCCCTTCGTCCCTTCATTCATTGGTATACGTGTATAGCCCAGCCTTTGCATTTTCCGCACTGTACGCCAAAGACAATTGCATATTCTCTCATGCCTCGACTCATGCCTCGACAAACGTCTTGACTTTCTTGAGCCACCTGTAGTACTCTCGCTGTTCCTTGTAGTCGGCCAATTCGGGAATGAAGAGTGCGAGCGAAGCATCCACGCCTCGTTCTTCGAGATAGTCTTCGAATTCTTGCTGTAGCGATTCGTCGAGGTGAGAGAACTGTGGTCCGATGTAGAGACCTCTTCGTTTCCAGTCCTGCTCTCGCTGCGAGTCAGTCGAACGCCGAGTCTGCTGCAAGACATGGACGCACGGCTTCTGCAGTCAATTCGCTTGCAAGCAGCGCATCAGAGTAGAAAGCGATGTTGTCGATCACGAAAACGCCGTCTTGTGCAATGGCGTCGATGGTCAAAGCTCCTCCTTCCGGCTGAGAAACAATAGTCAGTATCAAAGTACAGACTGCTAGAGATCGTGCATACCTTGTTGATCGTGATGGATGTGCGAACGGGGAACCCAGGTTCTTCGAGATCGTTACCCTCTTCGTCCGTTTCCGCCGTCGCGGACTCGTCCTCCATCCCGTCCTCGTTGGCTTGGTTGTCCAGGTCGGCGATAGAGAAAAGCAGCTTGATGCTGTCATTTGTCATCATCTCAGCACTGCCCTCCTAGCGTCATCGTCCAAGATGACCTTTCATTGCCAAACGAGCGCGTCAACGTCACTTCATCTTGACCCGACTTGTCTTCAATCTGCGCACGCCAACGGTCAGCTCGAACGGATGTGTGTGGAAATATTGCAGGCTTACCTTCCATACTCCTTGCTGCTTGAACGTCTTGAGAAATTCTGGCTCGGTCGCTAGCGCTTCAGTATTGCTCGTCTCAAATTCGATCTCGCTCTCCAATTTTGCAATCAGACTCTCGTCGGCTGGACGCAGTGATCAGCAGACAGCTTCGATCAATGCGACGGACGAGAATGCGCACATGTGCCTCCGCCCTGTCGTCTGTGACTGCTTGAGAAAGATCGAGTGACCGCTGAAAAGGTGTTGACACGAGGCGCAGGGAGGACATTTCGACGAGTCAGCGTGGCAGCTCTCCGGCCGAGAGTGTTGCGCAGAAGGTGCGGACTGCTTCGTGTCACTGCTCTCAGCATCTCTGCGACTGCCCTGTCCGCCCCAAAAATGGTTGATGACATGACGACAAAAGGGGGCACATCCTCTCGCCGCTCGCCGCGTCCACGTCACCGCGTCATCACCGGTGACTGCAAGTCCTCATCCCGGCGACTTTGTCAGGCCCCCTCCTGGCCAAGGCTGGACAGCAGCGTCATGATCGCATCTGACATCCTCGACAGACCAATACCGGGCACGGCATACCAACGCGCGTCATGGCCTTACGAGCTCATCAGGTGGCTATTCACCATCATCCTGGTCAGTTCTGCCTTCCTCAGGTTGGCTCAGGCTGATCTAGGTTCGGCCTGAATTGACAGAGAGTCTTCTATAGCGAGGTCGTCGTGGAGAACGAAGAGCTGCTGCCTGCCAACGGCGTGCCTACAATTCTCGTGGCAAACCATTCCAACTCGCTCGTCGACCCGGCACTGCTCATCTCTCACGTCAAGAAGCGCACCCTCTTGAGACTCACCGCCAAAGACACCCACTTCCGTCAACGGACATTGTCCAGCTGGCTCATCGAAAAAGCAGGCGCGCTGCCCATCCAGCGACAGAAAGATCACCTCGGTAGCGAGATCGCGACGGGCAATGCAAAGACGTTCCAGCGTCTCGTCGAGTCGCTCACCCAGGGAGACTGTCTCGCTCTCTTTCCAGAGGGCATATCGCGACATCACCCCAAGCTGGCACCTTTCAAGACAGGCGTCGCCCGGATTGCCTCGGCCGCACTCACCGCTAATGCAGACGACCCTCACTTTCGACTGTACATCGCGCCATGCGCCATCACGTATCTGCATCGCTTTCGCTTCCGCTCCAACGTCTGCGTCAGCTTCGGCGCTCCCGTCATATTGTCAGTTGCAACGCATCCAGAATTGATCGACACGCCAGAGAAACCACTGCAGTTCGAGGCCGTTCGCCGGCTGACGCAAGAGATAGAAGGCGAGCTACGGAGCGGGACCCTCGACGCACCTTCATGGCAGATCCTGCGGGCTTCACACACTGCCAGGAGACTTTATGCTCCTCTGGACGCAACCGCAATATCGATAGGCGACTATATACGCCTCACCCAGATCTGGTGCGACTATCTCAGCAATGCGACACGTCCGACACCACTCAGTCGGAAATTGAAGCACCAGAAGCGACCCTCCCTTTCGCGCTCAAACACGGCCAACACTGGCATGACAGAGGAAGACATAGAATTGACGGAGGAGGAAGCACAAGATGGCATAGAGGTAGCAGACGTACAGAGACTCGTCGCTCGCCTGGAGCGGTACCAAGACCAGCTGGGAAGACTTGGCTTGAAAGATCATAGAATCAGCTCGCACGCATTCTTGCCACTATGGCGATTGCTGCTCCGGCTCAGCATACGCGCGACCATCACAGGTGCACTCGGCCTGCTCTGCCTGACTGTTTTGCCGCTGTGGGCACCCATCTTCTACTTCACAAAGCGAGCAGAGATCGTATACCGCGTAAAGACAAAGGCGCGCACCCTCTTGCCTTGCTTCGCCAAATGCTGACGCCTGTAGACAACAGAACAAGACGCTGTGGGATAGTCTCGATGAGCTAGGACAGGCGAAAGCGCTGAGCGGCCTGGCGTCTGGCGCGGCGACTTGGGCGCTCGTCTGCTTGCTCACATGGCCTTTGCTACCATTCACCTTTTGGCTCGTACCGCTCTTCATGTGGTGGTCACTGGGTTGGGTCGAAGCTTTCGTCGCTTCAGCTCGCTCGACGCTTTCCATTGCAAAGCTCATCGAGCTCAGACTCACAAAACCTCACGTCCTCTTGCGACTTCATGCGGAACGAAGCCGATTGGCGGAAGATGTGATGCAGATCGCAGTCACAAAGCTAGGCTTGCCGCCAAGTCATGACGAGCTCTTTCCAGACGCGGCACTCACAAACGGACACGCTGCCAGCCAAGGTGGCAAAGTTCGTGGCCGACGGCGACGCGCATTAGCAAAACGTTTGCGCTGGATTCATCGCCGCAAAGATTGGAACGAGACTCTTCGTCTGTGGGATGTAGTCGATTACGAGCAGGACGAGCTGGAGCGATTACCCACGGACTAGCATCTCATCAAGCAGAGCTTTTGGCGTGAATCGCGACCTGCATTGTACACAAAAGGACATCTAAAGGGGTGTCGTCAATGTATCTGCGGCGTATTTGCGTGCGTAATAGTGTCCATGTGTGAGTTGGGGTACGCTTAGAAGACGAATGCAAGCGCGCTCAGAGCGACGAGTCCGAAAGCGGAAGTGGCCAACTTGAGCGATGATGCTGCGCCGGTGCTCGATGCACTGGGCGACGAAGCGGCAGAGGCTGCGCTTGCAGTCGTAGCTGCAGCGGCGGTGGTGGCGGCCGATCTGTGCGACACGTCAGCAAGCAATGCGGCCCTGGCAGCGTTTTGACGTACGAAGCAGAGGTGACGGCGGAAGCGCTGGTCGAGACTGCCGCGCTCGTTGCAGAAGCGGCAGTACGCGTGCTGCTCCTGCGTCTGCATGTCGAGTAAGCCTGGTCCGATTTCAACATGCGGGAACTCACGAAGAAGCCGTTCCGGCGGCGGCACCTGCAGCGGCGGACGAGCTGGCAGCGCCGGTGGAAGAGGAGCCTGAGCTGCCGGACGCGGCGAGGATGGTGAACTTCTGCGAGTAGTTGACTGTGCACAGGTTGCGCACGTCAGTTGAGACAGCTTGGAATGCGAGCTCTGGACGTACTAGCTCCGGTGGAGTCACGGATCTCGAGAGAGCAGCTCGTTCCGACAGGGAGATCGACGGTCCATGTGTATGTGCCGGCGGCGGTCTGGGTAGGGAAGGACTCGAGGGCCGCTGCCGATGGCTGACCGCCGGGGATGACGCTGATGTAGTATGGCGCCGAGCCCTGAGCAAGGGTACGCATCAGGAAAAGGTCAAAGCAACAACATGGACCATCAACTCACGCCGCTGAACGTCAACAGGACCGGTTGACCTGAGACAAGCCACATCAGTGTATGCTTTGCGAGCTCGCACGAGGATGTCTACCAAAAATGGCCGAGGTAGGTGTCTGGATGATGGCTTGTGCTGCGGCATAGCCCGCGAGGAGGGTAGCGCTGATGAGGGTAGTGAAGGACTTCATATCTCAATAGTGTCTAGTCGTGCCTTGACGATGTAATGAGCGTGTACTGGGTTGCTTCTTCTTGTGAGTTCCGATGAGTTGTGAGCGGCTGCGAAAATGAAAAACCTGGCGAGTGTATGCGAATTCGAGGACAGAAAAAGAATGGCAAAACGTCGCGTCGCGTTGAAATCATCGGGGGGCGTGACTGCTGCGATGGGCTCAGGCTGTGCTCAGCTCGTCCCATTGACTTCAAGCTTGGACTGCAACAAATATACACAAGCTAGCTCTCTGGATTGGCGATGCGTAGATTGGCTCCACCTAGCGAGCCCAGATCTTCATTATTGTCAGACGAGCGATTGCTGTGGTATGCATACTTGTCAGCCGATGGTGGCGAGAGCTGTGCAGGCGACTGATGGTTTCTCTCCCGCGATCTATCGATGGGCGCATTTTTGTGCCTAGTTTGGGGCTGAGGCTGCTGAAATCGGTCTTGCGGTGCCAGATGATACTGCTCCTGAGGTGCTGGATGGTATTGCTCATGCCGCGGCGGTTCCCAAGGCTTCGGCGTACGCATTCGCGGGCCAGCTCCTGGCGGCAGGTACTGCTCTGGCGGAGGTGGCATGGGCGAGGGTGCGTAGTAGCGATCGTACTCAAAATCGTTGGTGTAATTTTCAGCCGGGCGAGGAGAGGCTGCTCGCTCAGGCGCTAGTACATATGACTCTGGCGCGAGATGGTTTGGCAAAGGCTGCATGGGTATAGGCGGCTGCATGGGTATGAGCGGCTGCATTGGCATCCCCTGTCTACCATAATCGCGTCTGAGGGAGCCTAGCGAGGGCTGCCTGGCCATCGGATGCTGAGACACAGCGTGTGGCATGCCCTGATGAGGATAATCAAGGATGTAAGCATCTTCCGAATCGATCGCGCTGTGGCCATGGCGATAGTCGTCTCTCATGATAGCATCCGGTGGCAGATCGTCGCGATAGCTGTCAGCATGGGCGGGAGCGCCCCTTGGTGGCTGTGGACGAGCCGTTGGTAAGACAGGCGGTGGCGGCATGGGCGGTAGCGACGGCTGTGCGGCATTAACAAAGTCAAAACGTGAAGTGCTCTTGAAGGACGAGCTTGGCGCGATGCTCTCGCCACCACCACCAAAGTCATCACGAAGCTTCTTGACAGAATCTGAACGCTGCCTGAGTGGATCATGATCCCGGTCGAGCGTCGCAAAGAGATCGTCGCTCGTTGGCGGCAACATGCGCTGAGGGGGATACCGTCTGTCCTTGGAGCGTGACGGCTGACGACAGCACATCGTGAAGCAGAAGAAGAGCATGACGGTGATGACGATGAAGGCCAAGCTGCCGACGATGATGACCGGCACCTTGTGATGCTTGATCCACGCCCACACATGCGCCGCCTGTGACTCTCGAACATTGAGTCATGCTTTGTTTGAGTGTAGACTCGACCTACAGAGAAACCCATCTCACTGTTGCTTCGCCTGAATGAAGAAGTTTGCGCAGATGCGCAGGCAGGAGGTCGACCGACACTGAAGTCGATTGGCCGCTTGGCGACGGTCTCATCGCAAAGTCTGTCGCAGGTGACGCCTTCGCAACTCCTCTGTCTGACGGCTCACGTGCATCGCTACAACCCGCACGTCGCTCGACATTGTACTTGTGGCTCGCTCCCGGTCCCAATCTGCATGTCCGTCATCTGTCTTCGACGTCTTGTTCGAATCCGCAAGTGACGCTCAGATCGATCTTCAGGATCCAATGCCGCCGTCGCAGATGAGCTTTTGAACTGGTTGACGTCCGCCGTCAACTCAGGAGACTGCAGACCACGGCAAATGTCATCAGCAAGCACATAGGAGCGAGATCATTGTAGATTTCTAGGGAAAGTCAGATGACAAAGGTTGCATTGCGTCAGCAGAGCGATCGGAGGCTGCTTTCTCTAAGCAGGCGCACTGCGGACGAGCTGAGGTGCCCCGGACTTGGCTCTTGCTGCGCATCATCGTCAAACAGCCACAAAGGCCGGCCGACGCGATACGTGATACACTCGGCGCGTCCTCTTTGCTTTCTCTCGATCGCGTTGATGTGCGGTGGCGACCGCAGTCTTCTCTCTTGGAGTCTATAAGAAGCCCGGTCTTTCGCTCTCCATCACTCAAGACACTCGTACATACAAAGCTTGCAGTAGCGCTGGTCGCTCGTCTTGCTTTTCCCGCAACTACATTTTTTCGCGTTGGTCAGGCACCGTACGTCGCAGCAAGCACGCATACGAGCTCAGGCAGGTCGTGAGCGCGTCCCTCCTCACCGAAGTCGTCTCGAGCTGACGTACGCGTACAGCTTTGCTCTTCCTCGCAACCTCATCACCACACGCTTGATAAACCTGCAAGACGCTAGTATTTACCACTGACATTTCACCACTATGAAATTCACAATCACGAGCGCGATGCTGCTGATCGGCGCGCCCATCTTGATGGCAACTGCCACGCCGGTCGCCATTCACGAATCTATCTTGCGCAGAACACCAAAGGCCTTGCCAATTGCCATGGCTGAGCCAGTCGCGCAACCGCTCGCCGACCTATCGCTCGCGCACCATCACACTGCCTTTGCCAAGCGCGACGCCGAGCCTAGCAGGACGCTCAAGAAGCGTCACACGCAAAAGAAGCGTATGCAGAAGAAGCGTCACGCAAAGAAACGCAGCCAGATCACGAACAAACAGACCATGCTCTTTGAACGATCAGCTTGTAATGACGAATCGGACTCGTCTACTACGAGCAACGTATCAGATCTGACCAATACGTCAGGCAAGCAAGTCAGCCAGTCTGCAAGCTCCTCCACAAGCGCTGCTGCTTCCACATCTACCTCGACCTCATCCGTCTCTGGCACCACATATTCCGGCGGAGAGGCTACCTACTTCTATCAAGGCGGCAACCCTGGATCATGCGGCAACTACGCCCAAGACAGCGACCTGGTCGTCGCTGTCCAGCAAACCCGGATGAACTCATCGCTGTGCGGCAAGAAGGTGCTCATCACGAACACAGCGACGGGCGCCACAGTCACTGCTACGGTTGCCGACACTTGCCCATCATGCCAGGGCAATCCAAACTCACTAGATCTGAGCGTGGGCGCCTTTGAAGCGCTCGGCTCGCTTTCATCAGGCGTCTTGCCAATCTCGTATGTATTGGAAAGCTGAATTATACAATGCATGCCTTGCACGAGCTGTCACACTAGCTTGCTGCCTACGTGCTTGATCACGATCATCGTCAGCCCAATGCTCGCAAGGCCAATGTAGCTGCCCAATGCTAGCCACCCTGCAGGTATCTCAGGCTGAGGAGCTTCGCGCTTATCCTGCTCCTTTAGCCGCGCTTGCAAGGCGGCCAGACGAGCCTTGCTGATGACAACAAGCGTTCCTTGTCCGAAGTCTTCGTCGTCATCAAATGTCAGCTTGAGAGCTTCTGGCGACGTAGGGAGCTTTTCGTCCGAAACAGTGGATGAGGCTTCGGTCGAGCAGCTGAGGAAGGATGACTGAAGGGGGCCGAGCACAAACGCGTCGTCTGAGCCAGGTCGTTCCGGGCGTAGAATCCTATTGTCTTCAGACTCGCTGGCAGAGTCATCACACGCTCGATCGTCCGGCAAGGTGAGACTATCGACACTCCCTGCATCGGACAGATTGCGAAAGTGGGTGACAGATCGTCGGAATCGCAGCTTGGGCCTATCGCTCGCGTCCTGCAGAGGGGTGTCCTCAATGGGTTCTGTGGCGAACGAGTCGGCCATGAGCTTGATACGTCCCCTGCATCATCGTCAGCTCCGACAGCAGCTTATGTGGTGCGGCTTACGGCGCATATGCGCGAGTGGCTCGAGCTAGAGAAAGTTGCCAGCTATTCGGGTCGCGCATCACCGGCACATCACGAGCGCTTGCATCTGCAAGCTTGTTGGGCTCTTGAGGCACAAATGCTGCAGTCGATCCGAAGCCGCAGATTCTCCCGCGTATACCTTCTGAACGCAATTGCTCCCGAGCGTCGAGCAAAACTGCTCGCCATGCAACGTTGACGCCCAAGGTGTCCAGATCGGCTGGCGATAGTCTGAGGAAGCGTGCGCCGCTCAAGCCAGACGTGCGCACAAAAGCCTCAATGTCCTCGTGAAGGCGTTCGGGCAGCTTGAGAGCTACACCCAGATATTGAGCGAGTTGCGAGGGGCGCCAAGACCTCGGCTCGGCTGGGAGCTCTGCCCTGATGTCAGCATAGCCTGTCGACATGATGCGACGATGCTGGCGATCTGGAGTCAACAAGCTCAGGACCAGAACTGAGATTTGAAGAAGATCTGGGGAGACGTATGCACGGCCCTTCTGCGCAATCATGGAACAGCTGTATGCATTCTTATCGATCACACTCCTCTGGTCGGGCTGACCGGAGGGACCGAAGAGTACACTTGCTGACGGTGCTCAACCGTGGGCTGAAGATAGGGCTGCTTGCGCGGAGGTAATTTCGAGTCTTGATTGGGGCCTGCTAGATTGAGAGCGACAAATCTGCGGCCCTGGTGAGTTGTGCAAGACATGAGCGGCAATGAGAATTACCCGATCGTCATAAAGAGGCAAGTGAGCCATGCGAAAGCAATTGCTGCACGCAGAGGAGTGTAGTTGATGTATGCAAGCTTTTCGGCTCCATTGGCGAAGCGAGCCAATTCAACGATGTCGTCCAGAGCAGGCTGGCTTATGCCTGTCTGTGCGATCACTGTGATGTGACCGCGGGCAGTGACAGCTGAGTATCCGGCGGAGATGATCATCTCTGAAATAACAAAGATGACACTTCCGATGACAGCCCAAGCGCGTTTGAGAGTCACTGCTCGTGCTTGACAAATGCCGATGATGATCTGGTACGGTCGTTAAGACCGGTCGGCCGTGGAAAGCGGCGAGCTCACGATGATCATCAGACACGCAAACTGGGCGATGAGCAGAACACCGGCAGCAGCTTCGAGCTTCGTTGACTCGCCGGTATACGAGACATTAGGACCGAAAGCAGTACTAGGGACGCCGGGCAGGGAAGATGCGTAGCTAAGCGCGTTGTCTTGGTCTTTGACTTGAGCAACGCCGCTGACGAGTAGCAATATATCGACCAATGCACACAATGCAGCCATGATGAGGCCAGACCATGCGATCGTATCCTTGCCGGTATTGATCATTCGTGCGAGTGCAATTTTTGCGTGTCAATGAGAGGGAGCGGGAGGAGACAAGGCGGCATGCCAGCAGGGAGGTCCGTGTGTGCTTTCTTTTGCAGACCGACAACGCGTTGACGACGAGTGATGAAGCAGACAAGTGACGACGAGCCCAGGCTGGAAAAAGGAAGACGACATGGCTTAGTCACGTGATCACTGCTCTGCCACGCGACAGCCTGGTCGGGTCGCGTAGTCTGCGCTCTGCGATCGAAATTCATCAACCTTGCGTCTTCGAAATTCGTGGACGTCTCGAAGTTCTGGGCGGTCTTCGTCCCATCGTATCGATACACAAACAGCAACGATACGATTCCCCATTATCGCAGCGACACTGCATCAGACTTTGACGAAGTCCGCCTGCCTACTGCTCCGGGCCACGAGCTACGATCGACGCGTCTCACACGCATATCGGCGCACGCGAGGCGCCGCCATTAGCGCAGCTCGATGACAGCACCCTCTAATTCGAAGCGGTCCACGCTTCCCCAGAGACAGCGGCGACGGATGATATGCAGTCAAAGCGTCTGCATCTGCCTTTGCTTGCTCTCGATCCTAGTAGCGCCTGTCGAAGCCGGTCTGCAAAAGGTGCCTAGGGTGCATGCGCGTCGACATGCTGCCAGTAGCGCGTCAAAGTCTGTCAAGATTGCCAGCACGGCTCGTCGGAGGGTACTCGTACCTGCCTCGACCACAGACACGCCGTCGCCAGCTGCCACTGCCGTCTATGGCACGCGTGTCAGCACAGAGGTTGGCGCAAATGACGCGGCTAGCTCGTCACTCGATACGTCTGCATTAGTGGCATCCGTCGTCTCTTCCGTCGTCGCATCCGCGGTCTCACATGTCACTGCAACTAGTAGCGCATACGGGGCCAGTAGAGGCGGCAGCTCGACCGCGTCTCGTACGAGGACAGGCCCACAGGCCACAGGGACACAGGTCGTGCCCCTAGCCACGATGCCCCAACCATTCGACACTGTCTTGTCGACAAACTTCAGGTATGCCGACTTTCCACGTTCAAGGCCCAGCATTTGCTGATTTCAGGTCGACAGCTCAACAGCATGCCCTTCATTCTTCGAGCAATTTCTTGCCTCGCCGTCATTCAGGTCTTGCTATCCCTTCTCGCTCTTGCTCGGCACATCAACCGCGTTCTTTCAGATCCAGAGCAATCTGACAGCTCTCTCCGCCGTCCTTGACAATTCTTGCGCAGCGGACACACAAGTGTGCTCAGACAAGATGATCTCGCTTGCTCAAGCAATACAAGACCCGGCTGCGTGCGGGAACGATTTGAAAGCTGGCAATGCGCTTGCACAGTCTGCACTCAATGGCTTCTTGAACTACGACATGATGTCGCAAGTCGGCTGTCTGAAAGACAACAGCACAGGCGACTATTGCTTCGCCGAAGCTGCGAGTAATGATACCAGCGTCACTGATCTGTATTGGTACCAGCTGCCTCTCGGGACGACACTGCCGAGTGGCACACAGGCCAGTTGCGACGCATGTCTCGTGAAGACCATGTCGATCTACAGGTGTGTTGACCATTGAAAGCAGCCATCTCCTGCTGATCTCCTAATGACAGCGATTATGCTTCAAACTCAACGCTGCCAATCTCCCGCACTTACAACCAGGCGAGAAGCGTCGGGAGCATCAATTGTGGTCCTTCCTGGTCGCCTCTCGTAGTCGCCACAGCTGCGAACAGTGCAGCATCACTATTTATACCCGTCGCATTCGTGCTCGTTTCATTGCTATTTACGCTGTCATAGATGGTGCCAAATGTTGTAAACACAAAAGGTGAACAAGGGTATTGCAATCAACATTGTAATTTGCTGCTCATGCGCGCCCACCATGGACTCGCACTGCTGAATGCGAATGATCATACAAAGAGCTCCCAAGGCGCATCTGCTGTGCCTTGCTCCAGGATTCGACCGCCTTGAGCCGTGCAGGAGCGGACTGGGCAGCGTGTCCAATAGTCCCAGACGCCATCACAAGCCTTCCAAACAACGAAACGTCAGTCTCAAGCCTCGCGCACCCGGGAAAAGCTGACCTCCACATCGGCTTTGCGTTGACGGGCAAGTGCTCTGGGATTGAACTTTGCCTTATCCTCTTCTGCGATCGGACTCTGCCAGCTGAGGTTGTCCGTGATAGCAGCGGCAGGATCGATGAGAGCGCGAGCGCGAGCCGCCTCGAGGCAGGCCGAACAGACGGTATGAGTGCATCGCAAGACCCAAGGTCGACCTGCACCTTTTCCGCGTTCTACCTTGCGCATTGCCGGTCGCGGTAGGCTTGAGATACCAGCCGAACCAGGCTGATCAAGCATCAGAGGGGTCAGACAGCTTGCGCAAACGGGCACATGACTCCTCAGGATGCCACCTTTCTTGCTCGTGCTGGCGATACCGATTTCTGGGGATGCGATGACATCTTTCGAGAAGCCCTTGGCGCCCGAGATCCCCTTCGGATGACTTTTGTCCATCGTGAAGGAAGGCGGGGGATGACGGCCATGTACATGCTCATGGATCATGCCAGGAGCGATGAGACGAAAGTGCATGCCGTCGCGTCCAGCATGGGCCAAGTGGTGATGAGGTGCATAAGCAGCCTGACGATTTCCAAGACCAGCTCCGAGCACCTCGAGGCCGCGTTGGACCGGATCAGGTCGGCCTAATGCCTCAAAATGTTGCCCACGGTTTCCTGCAACGTTGAAAGCCGGTTCGCGATGTGCAGCAGCAAGCGGCGGCCGCTCGTCGATCTCGAAATCAGCAGGACCGAGGCCAATCAGATCGCGGAGGCCGCCCGCGCCGAGCAATCGTTGCAAGCGCGCGTGAGCTTGCTGCATCGTGCGAAAGGGATAGCGATCTGGTCAAAGCTTGTTCAGCAGATTGTCGTTTCAGATGGACAGGCAGCTTACGATTCTCGTTGCCTTCCGGGACCTGGACGAGTATGCGTTGACGAGGGCGAGGTTCTGCCTCTCCATAGTCTCTACCTTGTACGATCCCTTCTCGTATTGGTTCCGGCAGAGTGCCTCTGAAGTGATCTTGACGAGGCGCGGGCGGCATATGAGTAGCGCCAGGAACTGCACGGGTGAAAACGACATCGTCATCTCGAGGGATGGCCTGCACGGCCGGTGTTGGTCGTAGACGAGGCGGGTCCTCGATCTCGTCGACGATTATGGGTGCAGGTACTTCGCGCACGACGATGACCGATGAGCTACGACGGCGACGATGATTACCCGTTGGCAGGCGACCTGGGGTGACATTGGCCAACAAATCCAGATCGATGCGTTCTGGAGACGCAGCATCGGTGAGATCGATAACACGATTAGGACGAGTAGGAGGTGGGAGCGAGGTGCTGGTCATAGGTTGCGCGGCTGATGTAGACGCGACAGGAAGCGGACTGCTCGAGTCTACGTCAAAGGGGATTGAAGCCCTTTCCTTGCCCTTGGCCTTGCGGCGTTGCTCTGCAGAAGGTTCTTCCCCCTGATCGGTGGCAGACTGCGCCGTGTCCGCCGCGGCGGTGACGAACGAGCTGTCTGAAACGCTGGTGTCGAGATCTTGGCTGAACTCTGGTGTGACGTCGAGATCCATCGGGGCAGAGCCATTGCGAGATCCTGAAGGCATGGCAGCCGAGTCTGAATGATGCGGTCGCTTCACAGAAGGCTCATCGGACGACTGTGAATGACTGTCGTCGGTGAGATCGATGTCAGGCTGGACAGCTCTGCGTTTGCCCTTGTCTCGTGTGGTATGGTCTGTTGTCATGAGCTCATGGGACGAGAAGTTCGCATCGACGGATAGCTCGTCCATGGTGAGTGAGTATCAGCGCATTCAGGGACCGTCACTAGGCGATTTGTCAGCGAGACTGGTCTGGCCGAGTGTGAAAGTCGGTGTTGTGATTCGAAAGGCGTGTGGCGACAGGTACGATACCCTGCCTGTTCCAACCAACAGTGCGCTTAGGCTCGCCTCGGCAGCGCTAGCGAGACATCAGATCTCCTGCAGCTCAGGAGACGCAATCTTTCGGCGTGATCGTTTGCCGGTGGACTCATAATTTCTGCCAAGTCAATTCAAGAGCATATGGGCATCCGGTCGAAAATGTGCGCGACCCAAAAATGAAGAGTACTCCTCGCCCGGTCAATCTGCTTCTGTAAGTCATTGACATCCATCACAGATCTAGCAGAATCGCTAGTCCAGTGCTCCTACATGATGATCTTCCAAGAATTACTCTTTCCCCGACCTACCGACCATGCCGAGAGCTCAAAGAGAACCTGGTCAGTCGAGCGTTTGGCTGTCCGGCCTCGTGTCGTCAGTCATCACTCAGCTGGCCGGGTTTTGCTCTAGCGGGGTCAAAGCCGCTTTAGCCATACTTGCCAGTATATCCATTCGTCTGACCCTTTCCGGGCTTGCAACTCCTGCTTGCCCCCTGTCGCTGCAAAAATTTGCAAAGTACGTTGCTGACTCGTCAGTCGGACAGGCATAGCATGCAGAGTCGGTGTACGAGCCAGAGATAGCTTGTGTAAGTCGTCTGCTCCCAGCTCTCCTGCACTCTGCCTCCCTACAGCCGTCTACAAGATGAATGGCCCCCAGCCGTTTCTATTCGCAGTTTCTACTAGAGCGTCCCTTCGTCATGTCGTTCGGTCCGGTCATCATCCCGCAAGCGGTCCCCTTCTTTCTGTATGCACGCGGAAGCTCGTCTTCTGGGATCTCGTCTCCTCGGGACGTTGATCCGGTTCGGTGTCTCGCAAGAGTCGCCTGACGAGGTGCAAAGGTGTAGCCAGCAGACTTGCATCTGACAGAGGTCGCCTGGATTGCTTCACCCAGCTGTCGGCGGGATCTTCAAACCCTCTCGTCCGCGCTGGCGGGCTTTCTATACCAAAAGCGCATCCTCTCGTCTGGATCGGTCGACCGGCATGACCTGAGAGAGCTTGAGCGGTTGACTGCTTCGGGACGGCCTCAGTATCGTTCGGCTGGACGTCATGTTAGCCCATAGGGGTGTCTGACCATTCTTCCGAGCCCAAGCTACGCGTCTCTGTCGAGTTCGGTACTGACGTGCACACGTCTTGCAGATCGGGGCATGCCTCTTCTGGAGGGATAGGCAATGTACGTAGCTCTCTTTTGCATCTGTCTTTTCCTGCCCGTCCAGAGATGAGAACTACTCCGTTCAAAAGTATTAGGAAGTGCCGTCAGATTTCCTTGATTCGCCTCTCGCACGCTGTCAACGAACTCTTGCTCGATCCTGTCAGTCTCGCCAAACGCGTCTCGATTGACTAGCCCATGCTGCCACTCTGACCTCGTAGCGCTCAGACGAGGCCGGCTCGTGTTACTCCAAACTTGCTCGCTTGTGCCGCTCCTGTGGCGGGAAGGCCAAGTGAGTGAAGGGCGCGCAGACGGTCCAGTCTTTGAGCGTTCGGTCGTGGGATCGGGACTTGGTGCAAAAGATCAGCGTGGACTTGGCGAGCGTGGGTCTGCTCGGCTGGTTCGCCAAGTCGGGAGGGCAGGAGAGCTCGTCCGGCCTGTCGAAGGCAATCGAGGCAGACGACAAAAGAGACACGCCTGATGCCCCTCTTTGTGCGAGGGATTGTGTTACACAACTCATCGCTTGAGCAGGTATGCGTTGAGGGTCATGTTGATTTCAACACAATTCTATGCATGTATTGTCAGGATCTACACAATGGATCTGTACAGATTGAAACAGACGAATAATTATGTACACCTTATAAGCCTCTGTGCAAGCAACGCTCACATCATGCCCGGCCGGCATGGCCGTCCTTGTCGAGGCTGTCTACAGATTCGCTAGGTCTGACGCCAGTCCAGCTTCTTGTCTCTACATAGGTGAATACAGTCGCGAGCACGGTGAACAAGATCGAAAGCCAGCCCGTGATAACGTAGGCTTTGCCGAGCGAGGATTGGTTGTAGGCAAGGGTGACTCCAAGACGATCGACGTATGAGCCAATCTCCGACTGAGGTACGCCTGGGACATCGAGGACCGCATGCCCGGTAGCAACGATGACGGTCGCTGCCAATACTGCCGCGAAGAGGAAGACGCTCGAGATGATGAGCGAGAGCATGATTGGCTTCTTATAATAGCCAGGTCTGAACGTGATGAGCAAGTTGACCAAGCCCGTTGCCGAGCCTGCAATCGCTCCTGCAGCGATCACTGTATGACCTGTGTCAGCGATGCCGATGCTGAGAAGCACACGACCACTTGCCTGCGCCGCCAACGCCAAGGAAAGAGGCAGCTCCTAAACTCGCGCCATCGCCGAACAGAATGGGTGCCTGACCCTTGGCATCGTTTATGTTCTTCAGCGATGCGGATGCGAGTGCGCCAGTGACTATGCCAATGATATTCGCCAACGTCAGGCAAGCAAGAGCCGCGATAGGCGGATTGCGATTACGCTGCGCCCACAGTTGGTCTGCTCGGGATTTGATCGTCATCGTCTCGGATCGTGCGAGAGCGTGTGCAAGGAAGTGCGGCGATGGTTGTTGTAGACTGATGAACGGCGAAAGATCATTTCACAAAGGGACCCGAGCGCGCTTGCGAGAAGACGAGACTGGATGGAGCTACGAATAGAATTTGATCGAGCGAGCAAAATGAAATGTCGATCACTGCTATCGTCTGCGGTCGGTTGCGGCGAGCCTGGGTGTTGAGCTTGCCCAGCGCCGAGTGCTATGTGTTCACTCATGCCATCACTCACATCGTGCATGCTGCTGATTCCTGTCGTGACACGTCGCCGGACTGCTTGTCTTGTTCCGCACGGACCCTATCTTTCGAGAGCCCTTCCACGAGCCGGTCTTCTCTCGGTATGCTTCGTGCTTCCGTTTGTTTCGGGCAGCTGGGACATAGTTCCGCATAGTTGATTGTTGGTACGAGCTGCTGTCGGCTTGTGCATGCGCAGACGGTCAGCAAGGCCATGGCAGACCCATTGTCGGACGATGTGCTCGAGATCATATTCGACTTTGTCTGCGTTCCACTGCGTCCTGTTCCGTTAGCCAGCCCAAATACGGCTCGACTCGAACTGACTGCAAGACTGCTACGAGTCAGCAAGCGATTCAACCGAATGCTGCTTCCGCGAGTCTTGAAGAATGTCTCGATGACCTGGTCTGACAAAAATGCAACGAGCTTATTGCACCTGATCACCAGCAGACCCGAGCTATGCAGACATCACATGCGATCTATCACGCTCCTCTTTGTCTCCAATCGGCGCAACAATGACTGGCGACCGCCTACGACGCGGCAGCACGCGCGACAGTGGCAATTGCGCAAAATCCTTGTGCGATCTGCCATCACCTCGACACCGAGCTGCCTGATCGCTCTCGGAGGCCTTCGTATCACTACAGGTGCTTCCTGGCTCGCCATACTATCGGCAAGCATGATCTCGCTCTTCCTCTTGACTTGCTCTGCCTCGACCGAAGGGTACAACACGATCTGGCCTTGCCTGTCTGCAGGTTTGGTCTGTCTGCTCACAGTTGCTGTTCGATCCCTCCTGGCCGGCACTGGCTTTCTCGCAAGAGTGCCGCAATCGGACAGGCTATTCTTTGCCGCCGCCCTTATTGCCTCGGGCATCGCTCTTAGCACCGAGCAGATTCTCGAGCCCTTGCGCGACCATCGTCAGCAAATCCGCATGAGAGCGATATCACAGATCTTGCGGAGTCTGCCCGCTCTGGAACATCTCAGCGTTGTTGATCAGCTCAACTGGGAGCATGAAGATATCTTGCCATTTGATGCGCTTGACGGGCTTGAACTTGAACATCATCCAAAGTCACTGACATATTCAAACGATTTTTCGTCGAGCTACGCCGCACTGGCGAGCCTTTTAAGTCATCTAGACGGTATACGTTGCTTGCGTCTCCGCAAGATGGGTCAGATCGTTACTGCCGCTAACGCATCAGAACGTCGAGCATTCTGGATCTGGCCAGAACGGCGGCCCCCCTTGCGCCTGCGCAGACTCACTGAGCTATACCTAGATCAAGCGGACCTGTCTTGGCAGGACATCTGTGCGCTCGTTCCGCCAACGCTGTCTGCGCTGTCGGTACGCCGGCCCAACCTGCCCGGCTTCGAAAGCATCTTCAACCACTGCTGTGGTAGCCTGAGAGTTCTCCTCGTACATCATGCCGAAACGATTGCACCTACGATCAATTTTAGCAAGCTTCAGCGTCTTCAGGCAGCAAGCTTTTCACACGTTCTCATCGGACCAATCATTGGTAGCGCGCCCGACGAAGTCTCGACGGCGCAGGACCTACAGAATGAGCGCATTGAGTGGCTTCAGCTAGCATCTCAAGCGGCCTTGCTCAGTGCCCTCGATAAGGCTCAAGGTTTGCGGCATCTGCGAATTGATGTGCCGGTATCATACTCGACTGGCTACAACTTAGCCGTCTTTGCCAAGCGAATGCCTCGCCTCAGACGAATGACGCTGCTCTCAGCCGGCAGTAGCGCCAGCGAGCATGTAGAGACATTGATCGAAGCTTGCCATGCTATTGACGTTCCGGTCGACATTCGAGAGACTGTTGTCTACAATGCACAGTGAAGACTACAACACCCAAATTCACTCGGCCTGAAAAGATTTGCCCCTGACGTGGGCGTAAGCGCTGCGAACCAACTTCTTCGTTTCCTCGACTGATCGCCAGTCTGCGGCCATTCGTCTGCCGATCGTGTCAGTTGCAAGTTCGGAAGTACATGAAAGAGCATACTGCAAACGGATGGTCGACAGAACGAGGACTGCCACGCTCTTGAGGCGCGGCACGCGCTCTTCTGGCTCATTACTAGCGAGCAATGGCAGGCCAAAGCGCTGAAGCGTCAAACTGGTCGTATCGATTCTGTAACCTGGTCAGGCCCTTGTCCATACATACATGTATCCACGTACTTGACTTGTTCTCGCTCGAGCTGCGTCTGCAAGTACTCCTTTTGCAGGCGGAGGTCGTCTCTAAATTGCCCTTCGCGCAGACATCTTTTCTTGAGATACGCAATCCATTGGAAGAGTCCGCGGCATTCCTCGCGATGGCGTGCAATAAGCTCGTTGGTGTCGTCAGAGCTGTCGTCAACGTCAGCTCCGATTGAAGCCTCAGACGGCTGTACATACGATGGCTGACTTGCTAGCTGAGCAAGCTCTGTGATCCGTTGCTCTGCTTCGCTGAGCTGCTGTCGTAGAGACTTTTGAGCTTCTGACGCTGAAAGCTGCAGACCCGTGGCGGGCTCGCGTAGCGCAAGGTCGATGTCGCGACCCAACACAACCGCGTCTTCCTGGACTGCTTTGAGCTCCTCGCGGAGGCTGTCGATGGATTTGAACATCTCTGCCTTGCTGCGATGAAGGTGTCGCTGCTCGCGCCCTGCTTTGCGTAGCTCGCTATCCTTGCGCTTCAGCACCGCTTTCAGTCGGTCGATCTCTTCGACTTGCGCTGCCAGTCTGACATCTACATCCCAAACGCTGGCTCCTAGCCTAGTGAAGTCGTCTGTGATGGATTCTTGGCGCTGCATCCGCTCGCGTCAGTACAAAACGTCATGACTGCCCAGAGACTCACAGTAAGTAGACGATTGATGACAGAAATGGCAGTGATGCGTTCGCTGGCTAATTTCGACGCAGTCGTGGTGTCGACAACATCAATCTGCTTCTCGAGAGCCCGAATAGTGTCGCGTTGGGCCGTGACGGTCTCTGCAATGGATCCATATTCTTCGAGCAGATCGCGAGCGTCACTTTTGCTGGCCCCGAAGTGCATCTTAAGCTTGTAGACAAGCTGCTTTGCAAGATCGAGCTCCTATATCTAGTCCATTAGTGACGGGCTGACTTTCTGCGCCTCACTCGCCTTTTCCACGCTGGCATTGCGCTCCTCTGCCTGCGTAAGATGTCTGACTTTATCGACTAGCTGGTCGAGATAAGTGTTGGTGACGTTGCCAGCACTGCGCTGTCTCTCTTGCCATTCATGTGGTCCCAGGGCTTCCTGCAGCTCGCGTGATAGCATAGTGCTGTCGAGGCGTAGGGTCTTCAATTGAGCAGCCAGTGACACATTATCGTAAGCTGCTTCGGCCAATTGCTCCGTGAGACGTTTGATTTCCATGTTGGCGTCGTTCAATTGCTTATCGAGTTGTTGCACATGCTCTGCCACTTCTGGAAATGTCTTTCCTTCAAGGCACTTTGATGTGCTGCCGCGATCTTTAATCGCCTGCACCAATCGCGGGTCAGCAGGCATATAAAGTGGCACATGTAACGAACGCCTTTGAAAAGCTCAGGTGATGTACCAGTCGTAGCCGAAGAAATATTACTGATAGACTTGCCGGGTGTAGACGAAGGGCTGCTTTGGCGCATAGCTCTCAAAAGATTCACATGCACGGCCTTTGTTTCGATGTCTTTGCTCTTCAATGTTTCGGTAAAGCGGGTCTGCATGTCGCGGTTATCCTTGCGCAAACGCTCACATTCCGTCGTGAGCTTTCGGATCGTCTCCAGAGAGTCTGCACTGTCGGTGGCTGTTTGAAGCGGACGGATTTTGTGTTGGCCTGTCTCCTGCTCGAGTGACAACACCCGGTTTTGTGCAGCGCGCAATTGCTCGTGCAGGCTTTTGTCATCTGCGGCGGTGGGCGAATGTACTGGACGCGAACGAAGTTGTCGCTCAATTGCTTCACATTTGGTCTGAGCTTGCGTAGCAGCGACTTCCGCGACTGAAAGCTGTCTCGCGAGGGCATCGTGTTCTTTGGCTTGCTCTGCAACGAGTCGTCTGAGCTGATCGAGCTCGCCCGCATGGGCATCGCGTTCTTTGCTGAAGTCAGATCTCTCGGCCGCCAAGTCCCGAGACTGCTGTTGGATACTTTCTTCTTGCGTCCTCATCACGTCGTCAAGCTCAGCGTGAAGTTGCCTCATCTTGTCATTGTGAGCTTGCCCTTGCTCCTGCAGCTGGTTCTCGAGCATCTCGATCCGATCATCAACCAGAGAAGCTCGCTCGAGCATCCGTCGCGTGAGCTCGGCAGCAGGAACGCGCGTCTCTGCGTCGATTGCTGCCAACTCGTCTGACTCGTCGATGAGCTCGAATGCAGCGTCGCGCAGAGTCTTGAGCTCGTCTGTCGTTAGCTCAAGAGCGCGCTGAAGTTCGCTGATTTGAGCAGCACCATTCGACTTGGCTTTAGGCGTCGGTGCATTGGTGGCTTCGTGGCGGAGACGATTGATCTTCTCTCGCTGTTCTTCGACAGTTTCCAAGAGCGCGTGATTCTCCGCTGCGAGCTTGGTCTGCATGCCCTGTAGGTACGAAAGCAACTTTCGACCGTCAGTGTTGATCTCATCATCGTCCAGCGGCAGCGAGTTGTTGAGGTTTGGATGTATTGACCGGCCATAGGTCGTGAGATCGTCGGAGGTGCTGCTCGAAGCACTTGCGTCGCTCTCGTCAGCAGCAGAGGCACCAAACTGAGACAGATTGTATTTGGGAGTGCGGTCAGCGGTGGCGGATACATGTCGACGAGCATAGGGCGTGCCTTTGACGCGCTTGAACCTGTTCGTAGAGGCTACAGCCGTGCGCTTGAGCGTATCGAGCAAGTACGCTTTCCTCAACTGTGCCGAGTCCGAGCCATTTCGCGGGCCGGGCGTGGCCGGATCTGCAGCTCGCGAATCATCGAACGTCGTCATACCCTCCGATGCCTTGCTCGGGCTTGCCAGCCATGAGAGATTGCGGTTAGGCGTGTCATTTCCAGGCAAGACAGTCTCGTCTGCGCTCTGCTGAGCAAAGTCATCCTTGTCGAGCGAGCTGACCGTATCCGGCGGAGAGGGCGGCATGTCCTTGCGAGTGGCAGATCGACCGAGCTGCTTTCTGCGCATGCTGACGTTAAGCATGTTCGTCGGCAATGCCTGCTGTTGTCCGTCGTTGTCAGACTCGACATCTTCGACCGTCGTGTCGAGATCTTGTGGCGGTTGCCCTGCCTCTTTGGGCTGTGCAGGTGAGACGGAAACGGATTCTATCGACTGTTGCGACTCGACATCTGTGAGAGCGTGGCCATCTGGATATCTTGCAAGTTTCGACCTGGCACGAGGACGTGATGCAGGCGCGAAGCGGTTCGAGTGTGCATTACGAGGAGCGGGCGATCCGTTCGCTCGAGCGGTAGCAGGGGATGCCTGGCCGGCCAAAATGCTGGGGCTAGAGGAACGCGATCGAGGGCCTGGTCGGACTGTGCTCGCCTGACTAGCTCGGCTTGACGCGACGGGCGAGGGCGAGTTCTCCTTGTCTGCATGATGTCGCAAATGGAAGCGATTGCTCGGCGTCACAGAGTCTGCACGTGCTGGCTTGGTGAGCCCCATCTCGACAGATTCGTCGAGCGTGCTGTCGAGTCCGTTGAGCATGTTGACAGAATCGCCGAGGTGGTGTCTTGACGGGCTACTGTCAACTTCAGAGTCGGAGACAGAGTCTGTGTCGCCAAAGTTGGGCAGGGCGGGTAGGTTCATGTTGGCATGCTCGTTTTGAGCTTGTCGTCGGCCGATCGTCGAGACCGAGTCCATCGTGTTCAGCAGCGCGGCTGACGCCATCTCGCTGCTATACAGCTGCTTCTATCAGCACGATGGGTGGCGCCAGAGCAGTACGGCTGACCTGGAGGACGTTCAAGAGGCCCTTACTTTCGTCTTGTTGACACTGCCAAAAAGCAGTCGCGGTTTGGAGTCTCTCACGCTGTCGCGTCTGCCACGAGGCCCGTCACGCTCACCGGTCACCGGCGACTTTGGGCGACTTTGGGAGTCGAACATAACGGGCTCGTTGTAGTCATGCAATCGCTCGACCGGCTGGTAGCCGACCCCCGGTATCGCGACATCCTCGCCATTGTCAAAGGCGCTCGCAATGGACTGGTCTATGGCGCCAAAGTGCGTATACGAGCTCGAGATAGGCCGACTGTGTGCTCATTCTGCCCTCGACAGGTTCGCTTCCCGCATGCACTCGTCATGACAGTCCTCTTCCACAGCACGCCGTACGCTCGAAGTGTATATGTGCTCTGAAAAGCCAGACTGAATCGCTCGCAGATGGTCACAACGGGCTCGATTTGTGTACAACGCGACGAAGCAGCACTCACTCAATCTGTGCAAGTTTGTGACCATCTACAAGACTGCGCTGCTCCTGCAACGATACCTGAATGGCGGCAAGGAGCGCTCGCTCGATACGTTCTTTGCCGGTCTCATTGGCGGCTGGACTGTCTTTGGTGAACGGAATGCAGTGAATGAACAGGTTAGCCCCCCAGCGAATGGACAGAGTAGAGATATTGACAGGCGTGGATCGCTCTCAGATTGTGCTTTACGTCGTCTCTCGGGTCGTCACCTCTGCCTTGCCGCGACAGAGCACGCCAGCATCGCGATCAGGCACGGGCAAGCCGGTCGCAATGGTCCCCCAGGGATCTGCGCCTACAGCCAATGCAGCAGCCAAAGCGAGCGCATCGTCTGTGCCGAACCCTCCGGGCTGGCCTTACCCTCGTCCGCTGCCGCCCGACAGTAAAGTGTTCGAGGTTGTCGCTGCTGCCACGTGGGGAGCTGTCATGTGGCTATTCGCCCATCGACGTCAGAACTTACAATCTGGCATGGTCAACTCGATGCAATATCTCTGTGCGTCCCTGCTTCATCTTATGGGGCCATGCTCATGCACTGTGTTAGACCTCGACTCGGAAGTTTGGAGTGGTGTCAAGACACTCATCTGGCGTGAGCATCATGGCCTCATTCATGGTAGAAGTACGGACTGATGATCTCCATATCACAACAGACAACAAATAGATGGCTACACCGAGCGCGCACGACACGTTGATTGCATGGGCAGATTGGCTAGATAGGCTCGCGCTTTTGACACTTGAGTCCATGCGACTTCCCATCATCGCACGCTTCGGCGGGCTCGTGTTGGGGGCGGGAGCTGTGCAGCCTGTGATTGCAAAGTCTGACCATACGCGGCTGCCGTATCGCGTCTGTCCCTTTCTTCCTCGTCTTCATCGTCATCATCGTCGTCATCGTCGTCGAAGCGGAGCCGATGGCGACCCTGTGCGCGTTGCCGCGCTTGTTGCTCTGCCTGTTCCTCCTCTTCCCTCTCGAATGCAGCGAGCTCTTCCTCTTCGCGGCGCGCTTCCTCTGCCTGAAGTGTTGCCCATACGCTCGCTTTGAACAGCGTCAGGACGAGGCCGAGCTTGCGTTCTAGCGGGCGAAGATGATTGAGAAGGGCTGGCTGGGTGCTAGCGAGGGAAGATGCGAGCGTGGCGAGCTGTGCGTCGGATGCAGTCAGCTCTGTGCGCGCAAGGAGAGCGCGGACGTGTAACCTTGTCGAGATTAGCGGCCATACGAGCGTACTCATTGAGAACCTGCGCCTCCGGTGTTGTGAACTGTGCGCTGTCGGTATAGCATGATGCGGTATCGCGTGTCAGTGGTGGCTCTGAGGCTGCCATTGAGGCCGGGGCGTCGAGCGTCAGCGTCACTCGGCCAGCTAGGCGAGACGCGATTTTGCTCGTTTCGCTGTCTTTTTCTTGGTGGGCTCATGAAGTCATGGTCAAGGCGCTCAAGGGCTCCCTGCTGACCTGGTGAGTGTCTCCTCGGGCATGCGCATGCGTCGATCTCAGACGGTGCGTGCCAGCGATGCCGCAGTGAAGCAGATCATCCTGCAGCTCGACGAGCGAGACAAATTCATCATTGCCGATCTTGATGAGACCCACCTGCTCGTCGCCACCGAGCGGGTGGAGGACATCAAGGCGATGTTGGACGTAGAGGCCAGTCTGCGTTGCTCTGCCTCCCGTAAGACGAGCTGACGATGGAGGGGATCGAACAGCTCGAAAAACATATGTTTACGCTCGATGGCTGATGCATCATTTTGCTTCATCACCACCTAATTCAAGCACGGCTCTGGACTTGAAGGGATCACACGGCATCCGGCATGCCGTTAGTAGACCTGTTCAGCTGCACCAAACTTTTTCACAGCTGGATAGGGGGACGTCAAAAGAAAAGACGTTGGCAGAGATCGCAACATGCCGTCTTAATGGCTCCTTCCGTCGTACCAAGGGACTGGGTCTTCGCTTTAGGCAGACATACACTTTGCATGCCTGCCATGCTCTTCCTTCTCACCTTGTCTAGACATGCATGCTTATCTCATCCTCGACTCGCCAATCTCTGCATCGAGAGCTGCTGCGGATACTGTATGCCAGTGCGAATCAAGATGATAGGAGGTCATATGCATGAGTACGCTCTCAATAAGCGATGAGCGCTGAGGCCTGAGGCGCTGAGTTGGCTCACTCGCGTCGCGTGTATTGTCATCGCGACTCGTGTAGATTGCGCCCGCCGCTCCAGCGTCATGGCTGAGCCCCTCGTCTTCGAGAGTCCTCTGGCAGACTATTTGGACGCTCGTACGCGTGTCCACAAGCTTGCTGATCAGCTTGGGCTCATGCTAGCTCTTGTCTCAGATCAAATCGATGTCGATCGCCAACGCATTGGTATCGCTCGCACCAAAGCGCTGTCTGTCGATGCAACAACGGATGCGAGCAGCTATGAGAGTAGCGAAGCTGGTATCTCGAGCGTAGCAGTGCGCAGATGCAAGATATCGAGCACATCCAATAAAAGCACAAAGGCGCATCGGCGACGTCAGTCTACAGCCCGACAGCAGACCAGTGCCGAGCCCATCCTATGCACATGCACCGTCGCTCGATCAGGGCTAGGCTATGCCTTCGGATTCAGACCAGAAGAGCTGACATTCACGCTGGCGCGACCGGGCCGAGCTGTGCCCGAACTACATCAATCAAGCTGGTCATCGCCTTGGCCGCTGAACAGCCGTCCCGCACGGCAAAGAAGTTCCATCTCTGCTGCAAGCAGATCGTCAGAGTCAGAGACAATCGATCGACTCAGATATCTTGTTTCCTCGTCGTCATTATTGGCAGACCAACCCGCGACGCTCGCAACGCCTGCCAACATACCGAAGCGTGTCGACAGGCCAGCGCCGTCTTCTGCAAGCTCTCGAAGTGTACTACACCTTACTGGCCTGATCGTTCCAGCGATGGCTAACCTGCCGTTTGCGAGGCCGCTTACCGAGCCGCGCGCATCTGCCTTGCTGCTCATCATCACACTCGCTATACTTTACGCGCTCGATCGCCTCTTCTTACTCTTTCGAAGCTCCGCTGTCGATCCCATCACCCCTGAAAGCCTGCAGAGCTCGCTCGTTGATCGACTGACGAGCCTACTTGACGAATCTGAGCAGCTCGATGTTATCATCGGACGAGTGACGAGGCGGATCAAGGAGCGAGAGTGCATAGACCTAGGCTTTCGGTTGTGAGCTCATAAACTCCACGCTCTGGCACATTGCTGATGCCTTCATGCTCAGATCAGACACGTTGCCGCCCATTTCGCGCGTAGAGGCTTCGCGAGCCACACGACTGAGGGCTGAGGCCGTCCGCGATGCGCTGTCCAGTGCCATCGCCCGCACGCGAACTTCGTACGCCTCCGCTGCTTCTTCGCTACAACAAGTGGTCAATCAAGATATCCTCACACCTTTGCTCGACATGTTTGTCGCCGAGCCATCCGTAGCTCTCCCGCGCTATCGCTCGATCTCGCCTACCATCTCGCCACCGCTTTCACCGCCTTTGGCGACATTGCCGCTCGATTCGTCATCCGGAACGAGTGAGACTGTCCAATCGCAGCTCGATCCGGAACTGCGGCGCACAGTGATGGCCGAAGGCAGCGACACGAGTTTGACGAGCGAGCCTGGCGGCGAGCATGCTATAAAAGCTAGACAGAGATCGCATCGTCAGAGTCTGACTGTGCCGCTTCTGCCCGAGCAACGGAAGCGGCGAGGTAGAGGTTCATTGACACCATATAGCAGCGATGCATCTGGCGAAGGTTCGACGTCTGAGATCTGGGCGGCAAAGCGGCGCTCGCTGTCGCATGCGCCAATGGCACAGGAAGTCTACGCTGCACAGACACAGCTCAACAGTCCGAGATCTCTCGACAATCTTTTGACAAGTCACAGAGCTATGCATAATGAGCGCAAGCGTCTTCTGTGCCATCTGCTGTCGGTTGAGACGCCAGAAGGAGAGATCGAGTACGATGCTTTGTCGTTCTGGGCTTCGCTCGATGCCTCGCTGGCCAGTGTACTCAGGACGATCCGGGAAGCGCACGCGAGTCTGTCGAGGACTGCAGATACTTGCTTTGGCGCAGATTCGGTGCAGCACAAGCATGCTTCGCTGCCCCTCGATACGTTGACGAGTACGAACAATCATAGCTTCGCGCCTGCTATGTCTCCCTTGCAGCTCCGCCAGGCGCAGCTTACCGCTTATCTCAAGAGTACCCATGACGTCTTGACCGCTTGTAATGCACTCGGTGCAGCTCTCAGCAACACGGCGGAGGATGTACAGCGCATGCTTGCTGCTGATCCACCCCGAGACGAAGCGCTCGGCGCCCAATTGATCTCGCAGCATGATCGTGCTCAAGAGCAACTTTATGCCGCACACAAGCATTATCAGGACACCCGACTGATGCTACGTCAGCTCTTTATCTTGCCCTCCTCAGCGAATCAACGATTCTCGGGAGCCTCACCCTCGCCAGTACCAGAAGCGCTCGAGATTGAAATCGATGAGGCGACACCCCAGAAACTATCACCCGAACCGGATCTTCCTGGATCACCAGCAGAGACCAATGGGCTTCAGCTGTTGGTGGAGAGTGACGCGGTCATTGACCTCATCTCGCTACCCGAGGACGTTTTCGAAGGCGAAGAGGCTAGCGAGCCAAATCGGCGGCCAGCAATGTCACGCGCAGAGCGGATAGCGCTCGCGAAAGAGATAAGGGGCAGATCAGAGCCTCCAGCTCCTCCTGCAGCAGATGTGGCCATGCTGAGCGAGCTCAAGGATGTCATTGGCGCAATAAAGAGTCGCAAATCTGTTGTATAAACAACAATCGTGCTTGCTTGTACAACTTGCTCGATATTGCTAGCCCATCCTGATGCGCTGCGTGAGCAATCTATCAGCCGCTCAGAGATTGACGTACATCTGGCTGAGATCTGCGGGCGGTCTCTTGATCTGGGCAAAGCTGAGCAACCGTTTGAGTGACTGGATGTACTTTCGTGATACTTCATCGTTGAGCACATGAGCGACAGAGTTGCTGAAGATCTTCTCGCGAGCCGAACGCTCGTGGATGCCCACCATGGTGACACCGATAGGCCAGGGCGCATTGCCTATCGAGAGACGCAGATAGGCGTCATTTGCTCGCAAGTACTCGCGGACTTGCATGTTGTGCACGATCTCTGCGATTGCAGAGAGTACATCCGGTTCTAGCTCCTGACAGCAGGCTCGTCAGCTAGTGTGTGTGCGCTCGCGCGCCAGAACGGACTCTTTTGCGTAGAGCCTTGAACAAAGGCTTGAGGTATTCGGCAGACTGCTTCTGCGTCGCTGCAGCTAGCTTGCCTTGTGTACTCCTTCTCACTGACTCCGGCCTCTCGGCCATACTCGCTTCCCACTCTTTGAGCACTTTCTATTGCAGCAGCTAGCGTCAGCTGGATAGTGTAACTTTATTACTCGACATACTTTGAGGGCGAAGTAAATGTGCGGGTATAGCTTGCGCGGGTCAGTCTTGAGAAGAGCGAGATCGATGATGATGTCTCCTTCTTCCGTGCGTTTGACGTTGTCGTCCTCTACGGCGGCCACGGCAGATCCTGCTGGCGAAGATGCGCCTGGTGTGCCGACGGGAGAAGTGCCTCCGCTTGCGATTGCGTCTGCCTTGATCCTATCCGCTGCGGTCTTGCCGACAGTCGTAGGATTCGTCGTAATGGTCGGATTGGCCAAGAGGCTCTGGTCGACGCCTTCCATGGCGCGCATGAGATCATTTTGCTGTCCCTCTGTACGCTCCTCGATCAATTCGAGTGCACGCAATCGCAGTCGACGCTCTCTGTTGGATTCCGCAAACAAGCGGATGGGTTGACCTTTGGACCGAAGCCGTCTGACCGCTTCCTCGTCTGACACATTGAAAGCTTCTGGTTTCTCATCTTGCACGATCAGAGATGCCGAGTCTGCAGGGGTAGCGAGATCAGAAGTCACATCCGGCTTGAGAGATCCTCCCAGCTTCTCCTCCGTGCCTGCAGCTTGCTTGGCAGCGTGCCAAAGCTTAGCTTCTCGTTTTGCTAACTCATCCCGCTTTGATGCTTGTTCTGCCTCTGAGCGAGCTGCTTCTAGGTCACCCCGCCTGACGTATTTCTTCGAGCCGCCGGTCAGACTCTCCTTGGCCTTGCGCTTGCGCTCAATTTCTGCGCTTATGTCCCCAAAGTCCATCGTGAGAGAGCGGTGAGTGGGTTTGGTATATTGCGAAACAAGAAATTCACTTTGCCTTACAGCACTGACCGATACTTATTTACTTATTTTCGAGTCTGGTCAAACTTTGACCCCGCCTCGCGCGAAATCCAGATTAATTCCCATTCGCAGATGGCTCAGGCACAGAAATAAATCGCAAGGCGAATGGACATTATAGTACTCGGGGCACATCATCAGATTGAAATATTGACAGAGCAGACCGACGCGCGACGCGAACGCGACTGTCAGCTGCAGAGCTACTGAATCAAGCAAGTCGAGACTGTACGGTCTGGAGCAAATACTGTCGACGATCTCTTTAGTCATTCACTCGCCAGCCAGAAGGAAAGACTAGTCAATATGCCTGCCAAAGCCGCTGACAAGAAGCCGAGCTCGACCGCCGGCAAGGCGCCTGCTGCTGCCAAGAAGACGACGGCGGCGAAGAAGACGGCGTCCAAGACGGCGCCTGCTGATGGCAAGAAGAAGCGCAAGACGACGCGCAAGGAGACCTACAGCACCTACATCTACCGAGTGCTCAAGCAAGTCCACCCTGACACGGGTATCTCCAACAAGGCGATGTTGATCCTCAACTCGTTCGTCAACGACATCTTTGAGCGGATTGCCTCCGAGGCCTCCAAGCTCGCGCTGTACAACCGCAAGTCGACCATCAGCTCGCGCGAGATCCAGACCGCCGTCAGACTCATCCTGCCCGGCGAACTGAGCAAGCACGCCATCAGTGAAGGAACGAAGGTGCCGAGCCGGGTTTCCAAGCGTGGCGTATCGATGCTGACTTTGCGTGCGCTTCCAGGGTGTCACAAAGTTCTCGTCGGCAAAGTAGGCGCTCAACCGTGTCGACCGTATTTTCGAGCTTCTCGTTGTGTCTTTCATTGTATGCCATCGGCTTCCATTCACCTGTTGCGCCTGCTTGCCCGTCGCGAGCGAGCGCGTCTTTTCTGAGATCTCAGCGTCACTGGTACATCACGTGCCAGTTGGGCGGCAATGCCATCCCATGCGCACGCTTGCGGTGACGACTGCGGCCATGCGCACGATGATGACGCCCACATTCGACCCGAGGACGGCGAAAAGGACTTTCTCTGGGGCCGTATCGATCGAGACGGTGTCGTTGCTCTCAACGAGAGCGTCGAAGGCTCAGGCAAGCTCGTCATCAAGCCTTTTGATCGGCGCAACGACGAGCAAGAGTGTGTCGAGAGTGACGCAGATGAGCAACTCATCCTTCGCATCCCCTTTACGGGCGCCGTCAAACTTCGATCGATCCTCATCAAGCCAGGCGGCTCGGGACAGTGCCCCGACAAGATGCATATCGTCTGTCCTGCTTACTGCTGTCCAGCCGTAGACTCATCTCTCGATGCGGCAGTTTGTGAACGAGTCACTCGACTTTGATCAGGCCAGTGAACGCGAGCCGGTACAGACTGTCGAGATTGTGTCTAGCCGGAGCACGATCGAGTACCCCGTCAGACCGGCAAAGTATCACTCTGTACAATCCTTGACGCTCTTCTTTCCCTCCAATCATGGCGACGAGACCACTCGAATCTACTTTGTCGGCTTTCGCGGTGAATACACCCAGGTAGATCACTCGGGTGGGCGATTTAGTCAGACTGATGACACTCGCCGGCAGCTCTCGAGAGAGGCCATCAACTTTGTCTATGAAGCTCAGGCTAATCCGGCAGACCATCTCAAGATCAAGGGCATCGACGCGGGCCCTTCCTACGCGGGCACTTAGGTCCCGCTGCGTCGATACAACGTGCGCGCCNGTTTGTAGAGTCGCCAGAAGTATCGCTGCTCGCTCTGGNGGNATANTCTGCGNGAGANGGGCCATCACATCACTCAGGAGCAGGACCGGCGAGACAGTCTGCAGCAAACGACGCTTGCACGTACACGCAAGATGTCATGGCTAGCGATTGCCACAGTGCTATCCCTCTCTGCGCTTTCATCAGCATCAGTCGTCCATATACCCTTTCGAAACGATCACCTGCTTCCCGTCGTCGGCCAGCGAGCTGACAACGTCCCCACGAGCGACTATATCGTCTCCTTTGTCAAAATCATCGCCAACGGCCGCGCAGACTGTCCTCGTCAGCTTCCTCAACCCGCAAAAGCACTCCTCTGACCGCACGCATCGCAGAGGGTCAGACCAATTTTGAGGACGGCACGATCGAGTTGCTCATCATTAACCAAAGAGGCAACATCGTCTTTGATACCAATGACAGATACCTCATCAGTGATGTCAACTTGCTGTACACGACAGATGAAAACGGCTTCATCTTTGGTCACTTCAACATGACCCTCACCGGCGTTTCTGCTATGCAATCCTCTTCGACGCCTTCGACAGCCGGGACTTCCCCCTGGGCCGATCCTCAGACTCGCTATTGCTGTCGGCCCTTTATGGCTTTCAGAGTCGTCATCGGCTTGACTCAGCCTGCATTCATACCCGAAGTCAAGCCGTTCAAAACATGGGTTGCCTGCAACCCAAACAGAGCGTCGCGAGGCGATGGTCGTTGTCGCAAAACGTTCTCTCCTAGTGTCACCGAATGTAATCCGACTACTGCCACTGCCAACATTCGTGCGGCATCGGTGCCAGTGCCTGCACACCCACAAGTCTCACGCTACGAGATTGCCGCTCAGGCCAGCGGTCTCTGTCCTCAAGGATACGCATCTACCGAGCTCGCCAGCGTGGAGATTTTCGTCGTGGACCAGCATAGCCGTGCCAGGTTCATCGCTGTCAACCGCATTTCCATAGTGAATATCGAATCTCGCAGGCAGCTGATACATTCGGGCCAGCGATTGATCGAGATTCAACTGACCGCAAGGTTTCTTGCCTTGCCTTGCCTTGCGTTTCTCATGTGCTCATCGTCAAGCAGGAGTCACGGCGAACAGCAGGAATGGCAGAACAACGAAGACCGCGTGTGCTGCAAGCCCATCTTCAGAGCCTTTTTCTGGCTCGGCGTCGATGATCTCAGTTTTATGTACCTGCCCGACGCAACGCTGCGCACTCAAGAGCTCGTTGCTGCATGCCCGCCCAGTAAGTCTTCTGCGCTCGCATAGAGCTTGACTTATACCTCGTTCAGGCGTCTTCTCGTATGCTGACCCCCACTGTCAGATCACGCCTTTCAATTGGCCCGGCGAGTGGCCGTGCACGATTCAGAGCAAGGCGGTCTACAATATACCTTACGGTGCACAAACCCAAAAGTAGCTGTCGAAGGACAATGCATTACTTTCGAGACGTGGAAGGTATGATGCTGTACGGCCTGAGCCATGCACGACTCTTTGAAGCCGCGCATATCGACACGGTCGGCTCATACACAATGGAAGCCGGGCAAGTTGATGCGGGAGCTGCCATCGGATCTGCGTTTGCTGTCAGAGCCACAGCGAGCTCCAAGAGGATACATACTGGGCGGACAGACAACCAAGAAGTCGCCGTAGAAGGCCGGATCCGCCTGAAAGAGCTCCTCATGGATGCCCAATGCAATACGGGTCTGGATCGCCGTCAGCGCCTACCTGGAGTATACTTCGGCGAACCACCTGTAGGATCGCACGACAGCATAGTCTATCGACTTGGCGAGACCATGGCTGGTTCTGTGCAGGCATTGAGCTTCTGTACAGGGCGCAAGGGCAAGAAACCGACAAATCCGGGACCTCTTGTGATGATAAGAAGGCGCAGCACGTCGTAGCCTTGCACTGTGCCATGGCCCAGTTTGGTGACGCTCTCGATACGCTGTCCTGTCCTGATCGGTCAGACATGTTTGCCTCGACTGGTACGCGCGCACGTCCAAACTGTCATATTGGTCAGACACCGTCGCCAATGATATCGTGCACTCACGGTGAAGAATTGGACGGGGTAGCCAGCATGACTGAGCACCGCGATATCGACGTGCGCTTGCTGCGTTTTTGAAGGTCCCCCTGTCGCAGATTCAGCCACAGTCGCGCCGAGAGCACGGACTTACAAGCACACTCTGAGCGTCCGAGCACTTGTACTGAATAGCACGTCAGGCGAGGCCATTGGTCGATGGACATGACATGCAGCTGCACCGTCGGCGTCGACCGCTGACACACATGTCGAGTGTAGGAATAGCCTGGACTTGTACTGCAGTCGACCCAGACAAGAGCACTCGACCGAACGAACTGAGTACGATCGGCACTAAGCACGATCGTGATATTGGCATACGGCCGACAAGTCGCCTTTGCTTCGTCTGACCAAAAGTCTTGCCTTTGCGCGTCAGACTCGAGCGTGAGCTGTACCTCAGCGTAGATGGATTCGGACACATCAACGAGCGTATCGACCAGTTGAACGTCAACGACAGTGTCAGCTAGGAGTGCATCAGCTGGTTGCATCTCACTTCTGATGTCGCTCACAGTCAAAGGTCTTGATTTGGACAGTGCGCATCTTCGTGACAATTGCGATCTGTGTGCTAGCGAGATCGATGACAGTGTCTCCCTCTGCTCTCGCATCCATCAGCGGGGAGCAGAGCCGGGCGACGGAGATGCGCGTACGCGAGCACTCTGCTGATGCAGTAAGAGACAAGTCATAGTATTGCAGCGCCGGTCGAAGTCGAGCGCCGTCGGCAGCCACAGAGGCAAAGAGGCTGCCGCACGCCAAAGCGACAGCCACGTTGATTAGCATGTTGAGTGCGAGTGGATGTGCAAAGAGGACAGGCAGGGAATAGATCGCGGCATGAGTCGCTCTTGCGACACTTGCCAATGAGTGAAGGGGCTGACTGTGTCATCGCAAATGCATTGGCGATATATGACGCTGCAACGTGCGGACTGCAGTGCACCGGTCGATGAGACAACAGTCTGGCCGGGCCTGAGCAGGCTTCCGTCGAACGGGCCGGTCCAGCAAGTGATGAGATCTGACAGTGCGGGGCTGCAGATCAACGGTAGTCTCTACGGCGGTCGGGGCTGCGACTGCGACGGGAGGCGCGAGGTGAGCGCTCACGACGGTATGGCCGCTCATCACGCGATGATGCGCGAGGACGATCGAGTGAGGAAGCCTTGGCGGCTCGCTTGAGTTTCTTTTGCTCGTGCCGTCGCTTTCGCTCCTCTTTGGTTTCGCCATCGTGCTTGGAGGAGGATCTGCGTTTCTCGCGGGCTTGCTCGATGAGGTAAGCTGCCATGGGGTCTTCAAGATCGATATCTGGCAGATCTCCGTCCGAGTCGACTGGCTTGACCGCCCGAGCAGCCTCGCTCGCAGTGATGTGTTTCTCTGGCAATGCGTTCAGGGATTGCTCGCTGCGCTCCTTCATCAAGCCAGTCTCCTGATCATGCTCTAGATGCTTGAAGTTCTTCACGTGATCAACCCGAAGCGTTCTCTCGAGCAGCTTTGAGCCGGTGAGATTGTCGACGGCGAGCACGGTGGAACGCTGATCCTCATACATCACAAAAGCGAACCCTCTCGGCTTGTGCGTCGTCTTGTCGCGCGGCATCTCGACGTTGACGACTTCGCCGTACTGGGAAGCTATCGTGATCACATCACCCTCGGTAAGAGCCTCATCGAGGCCGCCCATGTAGATGTAGGCCGACTCCCTGTATTCGTCATGCCAGCTGCCACCGCCGAGCTCGAGCTGGCGTGCATTGATGGTCCGGATCTGATTGACCAGACTGGAAGGGACCGTGTCAGCTCACTTGGGTCAGGAAGACCGACGGACTGACCTCATTCGGCGACTGCCTGCCTGGCGCTCGACGTGAACAGCGGCGCGCTGCCAGTGCTGTCAGAAATCATTTGTCAGCTTGAAAGTGGGTCAAACGAGCGTTGCGATTTGGCGCCAGTCAGCACTCGGCCAGGTGAAAGAAGTCGTCGGACCGCTTCGGAAACCTGCTCAGTCGCTCACCAAGCCATCTCAGGAGACGCACCCGACCGCCAGACGGCACACCAACGCGCTCACCTTCGCACAGGCGTCCCCTTTACTGGGCTTGCCGCACCAACAGCGAGAACAAACAGTCGGCAGCCTCACGATGCAGGCGTTCCCCTTGCGACAGTCTGCGATCACGAGCATCACGGCTCCATCAGTCGAAGAGGTCTTCAGGGAGGATCTGGCAGTTCGCCTGATCTGCCCTTCCTGTCAAGATCCGACGCCCAATTTGGCCGAGGAGTACTCGTCAGGCGACCTCGTCTGCCGATCTTGCGGCCTCGTTCTCAGCGATCGCATCGTAGACGAACGCAGCGAGTGGCGCACGTTTGCGGGAGACGAAAAGGGAGACGATCCCTCTCGTGTCGGCGGTCCGTCACCTCTGGCCGGTCTTGGTGGTTCAGCAGACCAGTTCTCTACCATCATCTCTGACCGGTTAGTGACCTTCTCTTGCCACTCGTCCCTCATGTATAGCCCGTCGGATCTGTGCGTTCGGACGGAGCTGACCCTGCGTGCCTACCCGTGCGCGCTCCACCTCTAGAGATGGCAATTCTGGCCTCGCAAAAGAACTCCAAAAAGCCGCTCTCCGTACCCAGCGAGCGTCTGGCGAGAAGAATCTCGTCGGATCCTACAAGGAGATCTCAGCCGTTTGCGAGAAGATCAACCTGCCCACCATGGTGAGCGACATCGCAAAGCAGCTTTACAAACGTCAGGACGACGAGAAGTTGCTCAAGGGCAAATCGAACGACGCCATCATCGCCGCTTGCATCTTCATCGCATGTCGACAGGCAGGCGTCTCTCGTACTTTCAAGGAGATCGTCGAGCTTTCCCGCGTGCCCAAGAAAGTTCTCGGGCAATGCTTCAAGATCCTCAAGTCTGTCTTTGACACCAACGACGTGGGTACGGGCGGAATCACCGCAGACGGCACTGTCGTCACCGATACTACCCATCGCGTCAACCTCGGCGGCAACGGGCCAGAGGACACCATTGTCAGATTCTGCAATCACCTGGGCATGTCAGCCTACATCCAGTCACGCGGCCGGGAGGTCGTACGCAAGGTCATGAATCTCGGCGTTCTGGACGGCCGATCGCCTGTCACCGTCGCAGGCTCGTGCATCTACCTCACCGCCCATCTATTCGGCGAGCCCAGAAGCGCTAGAGATATCGGTGAAGTCGCTGGCGTGACGGATGGCACCATTCGTATGGCCTACAGGTCAGTCACACCGAGCTCATAGATCCTCCGTCCACACTGACACTTTGGGACAGGCTCATCCACCCTCACCTCGACGAAGTCATCGACCAAGCGTGGATCGACTCGGGACGCGCGGACAGATCGCTCTTGCCTTCAGTCTAGACTAGATTGGCTCATCGGCCGAGCGCTCTGCCGGATGGATTCGCTCGCCATGTCGGTCTCCCTGTACGATAGAGCATGCATGTCACCCTGTTGTTGTCAATCTGCGTGAAGACTGATCGTGACTTAGCCAGCTTGGTCGCGTCGGCGGATGCTCACTCTGATCGGGGCGACAGCTCGACGGTACATCATGAGCTCAGCAGCATCACTCAGACCGATCGTCATCTCCGGGCCGAGCGGTACAGGCAAATCGACACTGCTCAAGCGCCTGTTTGACGAATACCCCGACACCTTTGGTTTTAGCGTGTCTCGTAGGTCGCACAGGTTCTAGGTGGAGCTGCTGCATCTGACGCCTCGAACACGATGCAGACACTACCAGAAAACCCCGGCCGGGCGAAGAGGATGGCAAAGCGTACCACTTTGTGAGCAGGGATGCGTTTAAGGAGCTCATTGATCAAGTAAAGCTACTCAGCTCTGTTGAGCCGCTAAGCTAAGAGCTCGTGCAGAACGGGTTTGTAGAGCATGCGGAGTTCTCCAAAAATCTCTATGGCACTAGCGTCAAGGCGATACAAGACGTCGCGGGCCAGGGGCGTCGCTGTGTCCTCGATATTGATAGTCAGGTACGCTCGAGTACGCACCATTCCCTTGACCGTCTCAGCTGATGGCTTTCCGGATGTGCAGGGCGTGAAGCTCATCAAGGCCAATCATGCTCACCTGAAACCGATCTACGTCTTTCTCTCGCCGCCCTCACTGGCCTCTTTGCGCACGCGACTGTCAGGGCGCGGCACAGAGTCTGAAGACTCGCTGAGGTCGAGGCTAGAAGCCTCAAAGGGCGAGATAGAGTATGCAAGAACGGGCGCGTACGATACCGTCATTGTCAATGACGATCTAGACAAGGCGTATCAGAAGCTCAAGGCCGTCGCCGTGGAAGACAGATTAGAAGCAGACTCAAAAGTGCCGCCAATGGACGAGGATCCTGCAGAGCTGGCAGCGAATGCATAGACGTCTACAGCGACCCGCTTGGTTTGAGCTGTGCTGGTCTAGCCTTCAAGCTCTGGGTCCTTTGTCGTTAGATGTTTGTCCTCATCATCTGACAGGTCGATAGCCTGTCCATGCGAAGCAGAAGGAGGCTTGTCCTTCCTGGCGTGGGTGTCCGGTCTGACGATGGCAGACGCAGGTATGATGCCGTCTCCGTTGAGATAATCGTACTCTGTCGTCGTCACAAAGTCGTGGAAGTTCACCCAGGTCGCGAAAGTAGCTTCCTCTTCCTCTTTGGACCAGATCTTGGGGTAAATCTGCTCGCTCTTGAACTTCTCCATGACGGCTGTATGGTCCGAGAAGCGCAACGCTTGACGCTCTCCCGACTCTTCATCTTGCCTGTTGGCCTTGAGACCATCTAGCCGCGAGTTGTAATTGTTGAACTCGGGATATTCCAGGAGCAAGCCAAGACTGGGAGCTTTGGGGACGGCGATGCGGGAGGGCCCGAAACATTCGAGCACGAGGGTCGAAGGCGTGCCGGTGCGAACCGATAAGATCGCCAATCCGATCATCTTCCGCTGTGCGCGAAACGCAGCCATCAGTCGATGCAGTGGCTAAGGATCGTGCCAGCGTACGATCTGATGCAGCATGAAGGACTGCCCGTGAAGTTTGATGGAGATCCATTCGGCATCATCTATCAGGAACGGATCAGACACGATGACCTGTTTCATCACTCTCTGTGCACTGCGGTCACGGAAATCCTTGCCAACGGTAAAGTTCCAGAAATTATGCGAGCCGAGGTAGCGAGCCAGGGTTGTTCTGAGCGAATCTAGCTTCTCTGGCGTAATTCGCCACAGCTTCCTCGCGGGCAGAGTATCGGCGAAGATGAGCTCTGGATTCTGCTCGTTCCAGAAAGTCTCCAGAGGCTTTTCTGCCATTCGCGCAGCCATGGGCGTGCCCGGCTTGGGCGGGAGAAAGACGTGGGTCGGCAGGGTGTAGTTGTACCAGCGTGAGTCGCAATTTGAGCGAGGATTGAAGCCGCCGGTGACGCGAGGGCAAGCCCATACTCTGAGATGATCAGGCAGATGTCGATTGATGTGTTCCACGATGTTGTCTGACGATGCGAGCGTTGTGGGCTGCAGAATGAGCTTGAGCGAGAACAGGTTGCCAGCCGCGTGTACGCCAGCGTCCGTCCTGGCTGTCCTCGCTAGACCGACCTGCATGACTGATCTGTGTTGAGACCACCTCAGAGGGGGCTTGACGGACCTTACTAGCGCTCTCTGCGTTGTCCTTGCTGATGCAGCCTGCTTTGACGAGTCCTTCAAAGAAAGCGCCCTCGATCGTGCGCAGCTCGCTCTGACTGGTCGCAAGCCATCTCATGAGCTTGCATGTACCCTCTTTGACACAAGGCAGTCACATTTGAGAGCCATAGTAGCCTGTGCCGCAGTAGCCGACGAGGAGAGCCACTTTGCGCTTGGGCAGCTTATTAGGCGACGAAGTTGACGCTACTGGCTGTTCGGACGGGGAGGCTATGCGTGCTCGCTTCGCTTCAGGCTCTCTGACGGGCGAGGCGGACTTGTCCCTCCTTGGCAGAGGCACATCGCTCGTCATCAGTCGGCGTGAGTTGGAGAGAGTCGAAATTATTGTCGTCAGCTCGTCATCATCGCATCGTCAGCACTCTCGTCAGCCATGTCCTCGCTCGAGGGCGGCTTGTATGCCTTCACACTGCCGCAAGAGATCCTTGCCTGTCTCCAAGTGCGCTCCTTCGGCGGTCAAGCGACAGAGACGGGCCCAGTGGAGCCAGTCCAGCAGCAAGTTCGCAATGGACTCCAGTCAACCTCACTGGGCTGTGCGACCTGCGCCGTCGTTGTCTTTGCCGATCTGCCAGAGCAGAGAGAGCACTTTCGATCAGACTGGCATCGCTACAATCTCAAGCAGGCCGCCTCATCGTCACAGCAGCAGCAGCAGCAGCAGCAGCCCATCACTGAGGAACGATTTCATGGGCTCATAGACAGTCAGTCCTGCGGCATCCTCTTGTGGCTTGTATGTTGACAAGAGCCTCATAGATCTCTCAGCATCCATCTCGGGCTCAGAAGGCAGCTCGAGCGACCTTGAGACCGATGAAGACTCCCGATCAGGCCTACAGCGACTACTCGCGCGCCAACGGCTCACGAACGATCTGGCCACAGACTCCAGCGAGGAGCGAGACAGCCGAGGTCCACGATCTCCACTGCTCTGGTTCACCGCCGAGCCTGCACTGAGTGATACTCAGATTGGTATCTACCGTGCCCTCTTTCCGTCGGATGCCAAAGCAACACGCGATCGCCCGGCCGCGGCATGGCTGTCAGAGCTTGCAGAGCTGCAGGTGAAGCCTCACATACCGAAGCCGCCGAAAGCACTTCGGGCTCAGGTGGCTCCTGCTGATAACGCAGCGTCGACTGAGCCGCACTCGCGATCCTGGCTCATGATCATGATCGGCGGCGGTCACTTTGCTGCCATGCTTGTCTCACTCGTGCCCAAGCTGGTCTACAAGGGCACGAAACTTGAGAAGGAGCCCGAGGTGTTTGCGAGCAAGACCTTTCATCGATATACTACTCGGCGCAAGCAAGGCGGCGCCCAGTCTGCGAATGACAACGCGAAGGGAAACGCAAAGTCTGCGGGAGCAGGATTGCGTCGCTACAACGAAGCTGCCTTGACAGATGAGGTCCGAGAGCTGCTCCACGACTGGCGTGAGGACATTGCCCGGACAGAAGCAATCTTCTTGCGGTCCAGTCGGGCGAATCATAAAGTCTTCTTCGGATATCCTAATGCTGTGCTTGAGAAGCGCGACCCGAGGATACGAGGCATCCCCTTTCCGACGAAGCGTCCTACTTTATCGGAGCTGACGAGAGCCTTTCAAGAGCTCACTCAACCAAGAATCTCTCATCTCACTGCCGATGCGCTTGCTGCCCTCGATGCCGAATATCTTGCTTCGATCGCGCCTAAGCCCAAGCCGAAGCCGGTAGAGAGTAAGGTCACGCCGAAGCCTGTCGAGCCAAAGTTGTCGAGCGAAGAGATTGAGCACCGAGAACGGTGGCAGCGCGTTGTCGACATGGTGCACAAAGGTCGTCTGGACGCCTTGTGCCAATTCATTGCCCGACATCAAGCGAAACCAGAGACCAATGCTGCCGGCGTCGATTACTTGCATGACTTACCTGGCTTCCTCAAGGAGTCGGCCACCGCTACGACGCTGCTACATCTCGCAAGCCAAGCCGATCAGCCGGAGATAGTGCGCTGGCTCTTGTACGAGCAGCGGGCAGATCCTACGCTTGCAGCCTCGCTCAGTCAGCATCACACTCATCGTGCACCTCAGACGCCATACGAGCTTGCACGCTCGAAGGAAACGCGCAACGTCTTTCGGGTGTGTTACTATGAGCACCCCGATTGGTGGAACTGGTCAGCTTCAGACGGCGCAAGAGTGCCTAGCGCGCTCGACTCAGCTGCAGAACAGCTTCACAAGGCGCGAGAGCAAGACCGCCTGCAAGCTCTGCGGGACAAGGCTCAAGCCAAGGAAGCTGCTAGACAGAAGGAAGCAGCGGCCGAAGCTGCACGACAAGCAGAAGCCGATGCCGAGACGGTTGCATTGGAGAGAGCCAAAGTACTCGCTACTCCGTCGGTCAAACCACGACGACTTGGCGGGGGACCGCCTGCTAAGCTCGAGAGAGCTCGTAACAACGATGCCGGCCTGGACGAAGCTGCACGAATGCGCATCGAGCGAGAGCGCCGTGCACGAGCTGCGGAAGCACGTCTTGCCGGCAAGTGAGTGTTGCAGCAGATGCATTAGCTTCAGCCGTGGATCTTCAGGCACGCATGAGTCACATTCTGCACAGCAAGGTATGTGCGTACTAGATGAGCAAGCTCGACCCATTCGTGCACGGCGCGCGAGTGACCTTCGCTGCCCAGTGTCGGCAGGATGTCGGGATGCCAAACGCGTATCGATTGGAAGCCGCCCACTGCTTGGAGTGTCTTTGTCGTCTCGAGGTCTTGCACGAGTGGCGGTTCAACCGCTGGCTCGCGCGACAGCGAGGCGGTCTTGGCTTGCCACAATTGGGCGACCTCTTGCTCGAGTGTCTGAGCTGTATCAGGGCCGTCGCGCTCTTCGTCTTCGTCTGCCTGGGAAGAGTCGGGCGATAGCGCGAACCGTTGCTTGCGCGGGCTTCTGCGCAAACCAGGCACCACGCCTTCCAATTTGGCGCGTTTGGGCGCTCGCTGGGGCGTTCTGGGGCCTTGATGCTTCGCCCCTGAGGACTGTGCCGAGTGGAGTGATGTGCCCTGGGCTTGCAAGACGACGCCGGTGTAGCCGCTCGGCAGGTCGAGGTCGAGAGCGCACATGAGCCTGCCTCTAAAGCTAGCCTGGTGGTAATGACAGCCTTGCTTTGCTGGAACCGCTGTTTTGGTCGCTTCGACAGACGAGACGGACGTGGCAGGAGTGAAGGTAGAGGCGCCATCAGACGATGCCCCCGGCGTCATTGACTGACTGGAGATCTCACTGGCGCTAGCTTGGCTGCTCTCCACGCCGAGCGACGCGGTCGTGATCTGTGCTTCTGAAGGCGCCAAGGGCTGCGCCTGTGCATTGAGCGGCGCCGACTGGACAACGAAGTAGCGCTCGATTTGTGCTGGCCCGTCGTGCTTGAGCGCAAATGGCATCCATTGAACGAGCGTCTCGTCTAGCGTGGCTGCTTCTGGTATGAGATCGAGTCGAAGCTGAGCCGTCATGTTCGTTCTGCCGTCCAGAGAGCCACCGCAAGGGGGAGGGGGCGGATACGCGAGACGCGCCTTATTAAAGCTTTACAGCTGACAGGCTTAGCGCTTAACGCGACCGAGCTCGCTGTACCTTCAAAGTCCACCATCGGACCTCTCTCAACCTCTCCAGCTACTGCTCAGGTTTCATCAGGTGCAACCCTGCAGACCGACAGCTGCGCCTTCTGTTGCCCGCTTCGAACCGCACGCAAGAGTAAACCCCTTTTGCTCGCAGAATGCTGGAGGCCATATTTGGCATTTTGCTGCTGCTGCTGTCAGCAATCGTTCCCGCACTTTGTCAGGACGGACACTTGCTAGGCATCGATCCCGACATCGCAGATGAGTTCATCATGCCATACTACAAAATTGAGAGTGCGTCCTCCCTGGCCCTCTCTCGAGACCGTCCCCACACGCGTCTTTTGCAGCAAAGGTTGTGGCAGAATGTGCAGGTCGTACGACGACGATCACTCCCGCGTTCTTTGAGGTCGTCACCATCTCAAAAGCGAAGCAGCAGCTCACACAGAAGCCTTTCAACTGTAAGTCAGACCGGCCCTCGCAGGTCGCATCGCCTCGTTGATGATGAAACAAGTCATCAATGTCAACAGACTGAATCTGCGGGGTATAGAGCGAGACGAGCAGGGTCGGCCGACAAGAGGCATTTGGATCTACTTTGTCAATGCTGACGGTCAGCCACAGCGCAACTGGACGCCCACAAACCGGCGCTGTTGTCGCGCAGTAGCTTCGGCGAGCATCCGGCTCGGCCTCACAGAGGCCTTTGTCGGTGCTTCTGCCGTCTGGGGTATGAAGATGAAGTGCGGGGGCGAGGGCTCCGACCCTTCGTGTGCTATTCGAGACGTCAAATGCGCAATCACACAGTGGAGCGTTCAGCAGGTCATTGAGCCAGTCGAATATCGTCCGATCACCAACAGTATCCGCTTTGCAGCAGGAGCTAGCGCGTCTTGTCCCATCGCATCAGAAGGCGGCTTCGTCAGACCACAAGAGTACTATACAGATACGAACGCTAGGGAGGCCGGGTTCTTCACGCTCGTCGTGTTCGGCGTGCAATCGCCAACGGGTCACTACTACAAGGATTTTGCCTTGTTCGACGCGAGCAATGTCTTCCAGAGTGTCCAGAGTGCTGAGGATCGCAGCACGCGGACAGTGACCGTAGCCATCGTGATGAGGCAAGTCACGTCTGCGGGTCTCTCTGTCTGCCTGACCGATCGAAGCACCGCAGAGGATCTGGTCTCGCCCAATCTGCCTGGCCCGAGGCGGATCGGCCTTGCTGTATGCCCAACTTTGTCGTCGAGATCACGTTGGGCATCATTGAAAACAGTTACATCATCCACAGAAGGACCGACGATCGCGGCTTGTTTGTCGCCTGTCCGCCAAGTAGGTCCCGTGCCTGCCCTGTGGCCGATAGTTGATCTGTTCACAGGCTTGTATTCGCGCGCGACGCCTGCTTGTGCCAAGGAGTACCCTGACAGCGGAGAGACATACTGTGAGCGTACGATCTACAGCATCTACCAGGTTCCGCTCGATGAGGGCCACCAGAACAGCTAGTCGAATGCAGACATGATGCATTGGCGTGACACGTGTCAACGGATTCGCGACTGTTCATTTCTTTGAGCCGCCGTCGACATTGAGGCCACCATGAGCGCACTGCAGGCAGCCTGGCGGCCGCTGGCTGCTCTGACGCCTGCTCGGATGCTTGCAAGTCGGCTTGAGCTAGGTCAGTCGTCGTGATGGCTATGCGTGCATCCCGCTGACCGAGCGAACAGATCGTGCAGTCTGCCTCTGCCAGCAAAGATGGGCTAGCACGTCTCAGAGCCTGCCTGCAAGCTCCGCAGCAAGACAGCCAGGCAATACACCGAGACTGCCACGATCGATGGTCGCACCGGCCACGAAACCAGCAGGGCTCTCGGCCATACCGCCGCAGAACATCGGATCTGGCCTGACCACAGAGGACGCTGCGAGACTGCTTCGCTCACAGCCGAAGCACTATGTCGTCGCTCGTCTCTACGCTCGCAACTACCTGCTGACCGAAGGCGATCAGCTTACCGTACCACTCTTGCGAATCAAGCCACCTCAAATCGCGTACAAGCCTCAGCCGAGCCAGCCTCAGGGCGGTGTCGTTCCTGTGGGCAAGAAAATCAGGCTACATGGCATCGTCGAAGTAGGCTCGAGGGACTATACGCTGCGTGCCCCAGAGGTCCTACCGTCATCAGCCGACGGCACACAAATCATGCCTTTTGTCGCGCGACGGACCGCAAGCGGCACACTTGACCCCCAGCGGGTCTACGTCGAAGCCATCGTGACGGAGCACACGAAGAGCAAGATGGAGACTCTGCTCAAGAAGAAGAGAAGGAAGAACTACCAGCGCACGATCAAGTCGAAACATGATTGGACGAGATTGCGCATCACGAAGATCGAGGTGACAATGCCAGGCGGTGCCATTGCACAGCGGTCTGTGTAGTCAGGCTTCGCTCTTGTTGTATGCCCATAGCTGCATGCCCGTCACTTGTAGTCACGGCAGACTCGCAGTGTTGTTCTTGCCTTTGTTCTCTTGTGTGACCTCTGACGTTGACGCGCCTCGCACGAAGGCAGGCTTCGAGGCCTTGCCCGCCGCTATGCGCTGGCACTGGGGCTTCTTCTTCTTCGTCAGTGCGACCTCCGCGCAGCTCCAGATTCCGTTCGTCAATCACGCAGCGTCTCAGCCTCAGCCCGCAGGGCCCCTCGTCTGGGGCGAGCTCAATGTACTCGCAACGACCGACATCCACGGCTGGCTGCGAGGTCATGCCTCGTATGGGCAACAGACTGCAGAGGAGACAGAGCGTAACGCTTCGGGAGACTTGGGTGACTTCTACAGCTTCGCCATTCGGATGAAAGCACTGGCTGCCGAGCAGAAGCGAGATCTCTTGCTCGTCGACTCGGGCGATCTGCATGATGGCAACGGCCTGTCAGATGCTGATCCCTTCATCAAAGGTCACACGGTCATGCAGCTTCATCGCAAGCTGCCTTATGACATCACAACCATAGGCAATCACGAATTATACAACCTCACGGTCGCGCAAGATGTTCATCAGACTCACGCTCGTGTGCTCGGCGAACGCTTCCTCACGAGCAACGTCAACATCACCCTCGCATCGGGCGAGAGTGTGCCGATTGGTCATCGCTTCAGACGATGGACGACTGCGCAAGGCCGAAAGCTCTTTGCGCTTGGTGTTCTTTTTGATTTCACTGGCAATGCGCACGGAACGGTTGTGCAACCTGTTGCCGCCATGCTCAGAGAAGAATGGCTTGCAGAAGCGCTGTACGAGAGGCCGGATGCCTTTGTGCTCGTCGGGCATATGTCCACGCGAGATGACGGCTGGCGTGCTGTCATTGAGCACTTGCACACGCGCCATCCTGGCGTACCAGTGTATGTCCGCTTGCTGCTCGCTCAACTGTGATCCTGACACGGTATTGCAGGCTTACCTTTGCCGGGCATGCGCATGTGAGAGACTGCATTCAGCATACACCGGCCTCCGTCACGCTGGCATCCGGTCGGTATTTCGAGACGATCGGCTGGCTTTGTGAGTCGTCCAAGGCTCGGACGGTCGGAGAACTGATGCAAAGGCAGCGGCGAACATCTCCGGTCCTCGGCTCGAGTTCTCGCGCAAATACCTCGACCAGAACCCTACGACGTACGCATACCACCTTGGACTTGACCGCTCAAGTCTGTCGACCAGCAAGGGCCGTGGGATCTCTGCGGAGCTGCAGCAATACTCGCACGCATGGAATCTTTCGCATCAGTTTGGCACCGCGCCGCAGTCCTTCTATGCCAATCGGGCGCCAGAGTGGTCGAGCAAGTCCTTACTCAGACTCATGACAGATGTCATTTTTACCACCGTCATGGCCGATACATCTCGTCCGCTATCCCACGTGATGATCATGAACACCGGCGGTATCCGCTTCGACATCTTTCAAGGTCCTTTCACTACAGACAGCCAGTGGCTCGTCGTGCCGTTCGAGAGCCGACATGTCTTCCTTCCGCGAGTCAAACGGGCGCACATAGAAGCACTATTGCCTGCACTCGAGCTGCATGGCCCGGCGATCGCTGCTCGTCTGCGTAGTCAGCAGGCCCTTGACGACGCGCAGATCAATGCGGACTATGCAGCGCATACTCGTCGGATGGCGGCGCTTGGCCAGACAGATTTAGAAGCCAGCACAACCTCTAGCCTGACAGAGGGCTATCGAACCTACGATGACTGTCCCGGGAGAGGCGACGACACGTTGCACCGACCAATTCCTTCGTTCGCAATCCCAGAATACGTGACCAACGCTCTGCGAGAAGGCGAAAACGAATTCGATCTCGCATGGTTCGACTTTCTGACGCCACTCATCCTCGCGACGCTCAACACTGTGCAGCAAGAGTACCATTACGTCCAGGCAGATGTATCGGTGTATTCAGCAATCAAAGAGGATGAGATGCTAGGCGTCTTTGCGCGCAAGTACTGGTAGACTCTTCGCTGTTGTCAGAATTACGTAGATGTATGCATGTTGCTACACGTCTGCTTATCAGCCGTCAGACTCGGCTTGTGCTGCAAGGTCGACCAGCAGCTTCGACTGCGTTCGCAGCCTCCTCAAATTGCTGACAATGCAAAGTGTGCAAGCGAGCTACCGTTACGAGTCAGTGGCTGACTGAGCGGACCCGGTTCGACATACTCGAATAAGCTCTCAGCTTGGCCCGGAGGGATGACTCGCCATCGCTGCTAGGATGCGCAAGGGACGAGTCGGTGACGCTAGGCTGGAAGAAGCCATCCTGTGTTGTCGGCGTGGCAGGCGACTGCTCGGCCAACTCGACACGGGTGACCATGTCCATATCCTCTCAGAAAGCTCTTGTCAGATGGTGCAGCATGTTGCGAAGCTATGAGACATGTTCATGGGGCTCGACGATCAGGAGTCGATGACGTAGCCACTCTGTCATCAAGGAGCTGGCTCGCTTCGAGGTCCGTGAACGTCCTCGCTGCGCTGAGAGTGCAGTCAGCACTCCGCTGTGAGTGAGAGGCCCAACAGATTGCTCGAAAGAGCAGAGAGATCAGCCTTGTCGGCACGCTGGCTGGGCGTGCAGGGTCGCGTGCGGATGTGACACCACGACAGAGATGGATGAGCTCTGTGTGCTCGACATTGCAGGCCTCCGACTCGAGCCAGAGCACGATCAGCCGCTCATCTCCGATGGCATCCAGACTGCAGTCAAGAAAGGCCGACCCCAGCTCGCTATCAATCTCGCGTTCACCGACGGGACCACACAGCGTTTCCTGCCTCCTCACCGCTGTGACAGCTTTGAAGCCGTACAGAACATCGTCAGCTATACGTATCTTGAAGCGACCAGAGCGATCCTCGCTGCACGTGGTGTTACTGCGACGATTGAGGCAGTCACTCGCGTCGATGTATTCCTTGTCCCTCTTGCCAGCAAACAGGCCTCAAGTCAAGCCGTCAGCCTAAGCGTAGGTCAGCCGCAGAGCAGTGCGTGGGTCCCTCCCTGCGTCGTCGCTCGGTGCTCATGCTCGTGCAGACGGTGCCACCATCTCTGCTAGCACGACGAGCGGTGAATGTAGATCTCGCTTCATCCGCAAGATCTTGTCTGACATCGATAGCAGTCGAAATCCATTCGACGGCATGCGGAGGCACCTTTGACCATCTTCACTCCGGTCACAAGATTCTCCTGACCATGGTCGCATTCATCAGTGGCAAGCGCGCAATTGTAGGCGTGACAGGCGACAAATTGCTCAGCAAGAAGGAGAATGCAGAGCTACTAGAGCCAATGTGTGCAAGTCGTCTCTATATCAGCCAGAGCTGATGCGATGAGTTGCCAGAGAGACTCGCACTCGCAAGGTGGAAGCCTTCATGGCCTCAATCTCTCCTCGATTGGTTATCGAGACGCCCGTGCTCGACGACGTCTTTGGCCCTACAGCTACCGACCCTGACATCCAGGGCCTCGTCGTCAGTCGCGAGACAGTCAGCGGTGGCAAAGCTAGTGCGTGCATGTTCTCCCAGCTGGCCCAATTGACGTGGCGCTGCAGTCGATGCTGAGCGCAAGAAGAACAACCTGGGCGGCCTGCGCACCTTCATCATCGACGTCATTTCTGAGCAAGTGAGCATGCATGACGACAGTAGCGCAGAGGATTTGAAGAATCTCAAGATCGGCAGCACCGCCATCCGTCGAATGCTAGCAGAGTGAAGCGCATCATTACAACAGACATACAGAATCCTGCGCAAGCCGTCTAATGCTCAATCTCACCTTTTGCGTGTGCGGATGCGACCTTTGTCATGACCTCGACTTGGTTGGCGACATCTCGCAAGACGCCCAATACGCGCGAGTTGCCTTCCGAAAAGGTATAGATATGGTATCGCAGATCTTGATCCTTGCAGAACTGACGTACGAGCGCGTTGGCAGCCCGCAGATTGTGTCGCGGCAGGCGTGGGAAGAGATGATGGGTGACTTGCATATGTAGACCTCCATGGAGAAAGTCGAGATAGGCTGGACACTCGACATCCATCGTAGTCCGGATCTGTCGGCTTGCGAAGCTCTCGTACAGTCCGACGTCCTCTGTAGACATTGCAAAGTGGCTCAATACGATCTATGAATCTGTCAGTGCAAGCTCGGAATCAGCGTCGAGAGCTCACTTGGACATGTAAGGGTGATGTCGTAGCGAAAGCCACCATGACAAAGGCGATCCGTAGACCGGTCGTCGGGATTCCTTTGAGCAGCAGTGAGAACCAGATCCAGAAGAATGCGATTCCGGTCATCTCTAGATTGCGATAGAAGCCACGAGGCGCTTTGGTGGCCAAGAAGGTATACGAAAGTGCGAACAGATTGAAGCGACCGAACATCATAACGAGGAAGTAGAGTTTATGCCTGGCCAACAGTGAGCTTTGGACAATTCACGAGCACACCGGACATACTGTATGCTGACGAAGAAGCGTGCCGGAGCATCGTATTCCATGATACGATCGTAGTAGGTGCTCCGCATGCTCTTGAAAAAGTTGGGCGAGATGGCAAAGAATGGCATATGCTGGATATCAGGATCGTGCTGGGTATCGTTGGTCACGATATGATGCACATCATGGTTATCGCACCACCATCCGACACTCAGGCCGCCAATGAAATCGGCGATGCAGATGCCCAGCAAACGATCCCATCGGTGGCTGCCTGTGATCTCCATATGACCGGCATCGTGCACGACAAAGGTCACTTGATGCCAGAACAGGCCGAGACTGAAGGCCGAAAGCAGATATTGCCAAGTCGCGGTCGCGGTTGTATAGAAGTAGACAAAGCTGGCAAACAATGCGCCGTAGCGAAGGAGCTCCCAGCGATAGTTCTTCAGCGGCTTTGGATCGTATAGTCCAGCAGCAATGACTTGGTCGTGGAGAGCGCGATAGGCTAGCGAGATCTTGTGTTCGCGCTCTGGGCTGATCGAACTGCGAGGCGCCTCTGGCTCGAGCTGGGGCGGCACTGGCGTGGAGTCTCCGGCACCGCGACGTTCGTACTGTGCCAATGAGGCTGCGAAGGTGGGCGTTGACTGGTACGCATCGGCCTTGCCTGACCATGCCAAGCTTTGTACTGGCGGCACAAGTGGTTTCCAGCCGAGCTCGTCAGTGTACTCGCTCGCGTCGACCTTGCCAACGACAAAGTGACGCATCCTTCGGAGCGTCGGCTCTGGATGGTATGCTTCTATCTCGTCGCAAGCATCTCTGCCGACAAAATGCAGAATCGCAAGGGGTCCGCCAGGATGTCGCGCAAGCCAGGCATTCAACCGATAGACAAGCTGTCGGTGCAAGACCAGCACATGTCCTTGGGCGATCAGAAAAGCGATCTGGTCGCGGCTGAGCGTCTGGAGCTCGCCCGTCAGCATCTTGCGGCGTCTTCAGCTGTTGACAGTCGTTGCGATTTCGCTGGACTTTGGAATCCTGTAGGCGCGGCTTGCCACGCGCCACGTGGAAACCTCCTCGAGCCTCCTCGAGCTAGATGCCGTTCTCCCTCAGCAGTGTATTTCACGATGTATAATCAGCAGCAGGGACTGCATGTATAAAGTGCGCTGGGCTCTACCGTGCGGCAAGGCTCAGTGATATACGATTTGAGCGGCAAACAACCGCTTTTCATTGCCTCTCACGACATTTACAGCCCACGAGGCAGGCTGAAGTACACGATCGTGCCGTCCCCAAGATTGGTCTGACCCTCTGCGATGCGTGCGGTCAGAGGAGTGCTTTTGCGGGTTGAGGAAGCTGACGAGGACAGTCTGCGCGGCCGTTGGCGATGATTTTGACAAAGGAGACGATATAGTCGCTCGTGGGGACGTTGTCAGCTCGCTGGCCGACGACGGGAAGCAGGTGATCGTTTCGAAAGGGTATATGGACGACTGATGCTGATGAAAGCGCAGAGAGGGATAGCACTGTGGCAATCGCTAGCCATGACATCTTGCGTGTACGTGCAAGCGTCGTTTGCTGCAGACTGTCTCGCCGGTCCTGCTCCTGAGTGATGTGATGGCCCNTCTCNCGCAGANTATNCCNCCAGAGCGAGCAGCGATACTTCTGGCGACTCTACAAACNGGCGCGCACGTTGTATCGACGCAGCGGGACCTAAGTGCCCGCGTAGGAAGGGCCCGCGTCGATGCCCTTGATCTTGAGATGGTCTGCCGGATTAGCCTGAGCTTCATAGACAAAGTTGATGGCCTCTCTCGAGAGCTGCCGGCGAGTGTCATCAGTCTGACTAAATCGCCCACCCGAGTGATCTACCTGGGTGTATTCACCGCGAAAGCCGACAAAGTAGATTCGAGTGGTCTCGTCGCCATGATTGGAGGGAAAGAAGAGCGTCAAGGATTGTACAGAGTGATACTTTGCCGGTCTGACGGGGTACTCGATCGTGCTCCGGCTAGACACAATCTCGACAGTCTGTACCGGCTCGCGTTCACTGGCCTGATCAAAGTCGAGTGACTCGTTCACAAACTGCCGCATCGAGAGATGAGTCTACGGCTGGACAGCAGTAAGCAGGACAGACGATATGCATCTTGTCGGGGCACTGTCCCGAGCCGCCTGGCTTGATGAGGATCGATCGAAGTTTGACGGCGCCCGTAAAGGGGATGCGAAGGATGAGTTGCTCATCTGCGTCACTCTCGACACACTCTTGCTCGTCGTTGCGCCGATCAAAAGGCTTGATGACGAGCTTGCCTGAGCCTTCGACGCTCTCGTTGAGAGCAACGACACCGTCTCGATCGATACGGCCCCAGAGAAAGTCCTTTTCGCCGTCCTCGGGTCGAATGTGGGCGTCATCATCGTGCGCATGGCCGCAGTCGTCACCGCAAGCGTGCGCATGGGATGGCATTGCCGCCCAACTGGCACGTGATGTACCAGTGACGCTGAGATCTCAGAAAAGACGCGCTCGCTCGCGACGGGCAAGCAGGCGCAACAGGTGAATGGAAGCCGATGGCATACAATGAAAGACACAACGAGAAGCTCGAAAATACGGTCGACACGGTTGAGCGCCTACTTTGCCGACGAGAACTTTGTGACACCCTGGAAGCGCACGCAAAGTCAGCATCGATACGCCACGCTTGGAAACCCGGCTCGGCACCTTCGTTCCTTCACTGATGGCGTGCTTGCTCAGTTCGCCGGGCAGGATGAGTCTGACGGCGGTCTGGATCTCGCGCGAGCTGATGGTCGACTTGCGGTTGTACAGCGCGAGCTTGGAGGCCTCGGAGGCAATCCGCTCAAAGATGTCGTTGACGAACGAGTTGAGGATCAACATCGCCTTGTTGGAGATACCCGTGTCAGGGTGGACTTGCTTGAGCACTCGGTAGATGTAGGTGCTGTAGGTCTCCTTGCGCGTCGTCTTGCGCTTCTTCTTGCCATCAGCAGGCGCCGTCTTGGACGCCGTCTTCTTCGCCGCCGTCGTCTTCTTGGCAGCAGCAGGCGCCTTGCCGGCGGTCGAGCTCGGCTTCTTGTCAGCGGCTTTGGCAGGCATATCGACTAGTCTTTCCTTCTGGCTGGCGAGAGAGTGACTAGTAAAGTTACTGTTGTTGGTTGGTGTTGAGAGAGTCGCGTTCGGGTTGCGTTCTTATAGATTCGGAACAAAGCTCGCGCGAGTGTGTTGTGAGAAGTTGTAAGCGGCCGTCGATCGGGGCAATTGAGCAGAAGACGCGGTACGTTTGGGAGACGTAATCTTACAAATCAATAATTTAATGTCCGCGAATCGTTTTGTTGTTGAGCGCGTGCGTGAGAGCGAGTTGGACGGAGAGAGCAAACATAAAAGGTCGACCGGTTCGTTCGGACAGACACAAGACTTTTCTCACACCAACAAGTACTTTACGCAAATAAGTACTAGATCATCAACATGAGCGGCAAAGGCGGTAAATCTGGCGAGGCTACCAAGTCGGGCTCTAGCTCGCGATCATCAAAGGCTGGTCTTCAGTTCCCGGTCGGTCGTATCCACCGTCTGTTGCGCAAGGGCAACTATGCTCAGCGTGTCGGTGCTGGTGCACCTGTCTACCTTGCCGCCGTTCTCGAGTGAGTCACGCGCGTGCGTGTCTGTCACGAGTATGCTGATCGTGGTTTCATTTAGATACCTAGCGGCAGAGATTCTCGAGCTTGCAGGCAATGCTGCCCGTGACAACAAGAAGTCTCGAATCATTCCCCGTCACCTGCAGCTCGCCATCCGCAATGACGAAGAGCTCAACCGTCTCCTCGGTGGTGTGACGATCAGCCAGGGTGGTGTCCTGCCCAACATTCACGCTGTACGTGCCCCTCTAGCTGAGATTGCTGTCATCAAGGCTGATGAGCACATGTTCAGGAACTGCTCCCAAGCAAATCAAAGATCAGCAAGAAGGGCGGTGCGTCGCAAGAGGCATAAGCTTGGCATTCCTGTTCGACTTTCTCGTTGTGTCTTCTGATTGTATGCCTCGCGGCCCATTTCATACTGTCCCTCGTGTCTGAGCGCGTTACTGGCTTCAGTCCGCGCAAAATTGCATCCCGTCAGGTGATACACACGCTCGTGATCGCATTGCACGCCGGTGAGGCAGATCGCCAATCAAAGCAATGCGGACACTAGCCCGGAATGATTCTTCTGATGAGATAGCGAGCTCCATCGCCACAAACGATGCAATTCCGTGGCCTATCGCAATCTATTCGCGAGCCCAGGTGAATCGCGATTGGATAGATGATTTCTGGTTTGCACAAGTGTCAGAAGGCAGGGTAGCAGATCTAAGGCAAGGTGGCGAACTTCTACCGTTTTGCAGTCATAGCCAAGCTTTGTCGAGGCGCGGCAGCAGATCATGGGCATACTGAAGTTGTTGCGATATAGTCTTCATCAGCCAGACGGCACGAGGTCGAACGTAGTTGCTAGCTAGATCGATCGAGTCTTGCAGCAGATCCACCTGTCTGGCTATGAAATATGGATACAAAACGACATCCGAGAGCTATCTGTGCATCTGTCGTGCCGATCGAGAAGCCGGATAGTCGGGATCTGCCTGTTTGATGGCAGACGTCTTTTGCTTTTAGTCTATGACTCGTCTGAGGAGGATCCATGACCAGCTTGAACACCAAGACATCGGAAAGATCTACACATCGAACGTATTGAGGAACAGGAACAGCCGTCAAAGCAACAATGAACGATTTGGGTATGCTGACGGAAGCGCCAGGCGCAGGCGATCTCCAATTTGGCGTACTTAGCCTTGTCTCTATCGCAGGTGGCTTGCTACCTCAGTATTACGAGCAAGATGCAAGTCTGAATACTGCCAGTACAGTGATCGCCGGAAGCTTGGTGTCATCACTAGCTACGAGACTGCTCCGCGTGCATGGATAGACACAGCTACCGATGCATTACGTGGTGTCATGCACAGTCCCAGATATTGCATTGACGAGAGTTCACGGAAGTATGTATGGCTGACGTGTCTTGAGCGTGTTGGATGAATAGTTGGAGAGCCGGCAGCATCGTGGCAGAGTGGCGAACAAACCTCGCATGACACAGCGAATGACAGGAAACCATGCGAATCATGTCGATATACTTATCGGCCTCGACTGTCCAGAGACGGGTCAGAAGTGCTGAGAAGGTTCGTTGAGCAGACAGAGTGGTGGAGTCATACCGGATAGGAAAGGGTGTGCGAAACCTGCGATCGATTCGTCACGTTATTGATCTCGGCAAACACTCGTGTTGACATCTCATGGGTGATGTTGACGAATAATTCTTGACGAGTCGAAAACGGTGGACACGCTAATGAAGCGCTCGGGCAAGGTTTGCCGATCTTGCTTGTGCCGATGCTAATAATAAATTCGGAAATCGTCTGGGCACATTCAGCCCGCTTGGTCGCGAGTTGAAGGAGCTAGCCTACAGGACAAGATGACAGTGACTCAAGCACCTGCACAGAGCTCGACAATGTCGATGAACGCGCCCGTAGAGGTCGGCGCGATGTCAAAAGCGCCTGCGACGCCTGAGCAGCCCCAGACAATCGCCGAGGCTATCAGGGGTGGTGGTCATTACTTGCTCGACTGCATAGGCGGTCTCTGGTGAGCAGCGCAGCATTCAGCTCATGAGCTTTGCTGTGAGCAGCGCGAGAAGATGGGCTGATGTGGATGCGATGCAGCATCTGCTGCGCTCTGGAAGACATCTGCTGCTGCTGCGCAATCGACGAATGCTGCCACCTCGTCGCCCCATGCTGCGAATGTGAGTCGCTGTGTGGCGTGATGTGGCACATGGCCAGGCTGACGACGAGCGCGCAGACGAGGATTAGACGCGAAAGCGCACGGTCAAAGCGATAGATCGCAGCAATGTGGCCTTCTTGGATGATAGTCGGGTATGCAACCGTCGTGGAAAGTCATGAGCGATCAGATCGGCATGTGCGGTATGTGTTTGGGCCACCATGACCATCTCAAAAGTGGGTTATCACGCCGAGCTTGGGTGTTCAAATTAGAGCTCTTTCCGGCCAGCCTGAGCGTTTAGTCTGCAAATCTGAAGCGTCGTCGTGCTACAGCTGAGCATGCCTTTGATCTGCATGCCTTGAGAGTGATGGACGAGTAGAGTCAGGTGAAGCCAGGCCCAGGCGCCGGTCGATGACGTTATGACGCGACGCGAGGATGGGGGTGGCAAAGGGACAAAGAGCCAACGAAAATCCGAGCAGGGCCACACCTTCCTTCTCCCAAGTTCGAGCACGACCATGAAGCAGGACAATCTCAATTTCAAGTGCGCACTCGTAACTGGCGGCGGAGGAGGCATCGGCAGAGCCTTGGCAGAGTATTTTTTGTCAAAGGGAAAGGAAGTTGTCATTGCCGGACGGACAGAGTCCAACCTCAAGCAGACCCTCGAAGAGATCAAGGATGACAAGCTCAGCTATGCCGTACTAGACACGAGCAAGCCAGAGACATTCGAGGCCTTTGTCGCTGATCTCTTGAAGAAGCACGACGTCGACTGCCTCGTCAACAATGCTGGCATCCAGAAGCCGATCCAGATTGTCGACGGAGGCTTGGACAACCTGGCAGTGTATGACCAAGAGATAGCTACCAACATCATCGGACCGGTCCATCTCACTCAGCGACTGCTCCCTAACATCGTCAAACACAAGGGCGTCATTTACAACGTCGGCAGTGTACGTATTGTCCATCATCGAGCCACGCAGCACAGGCTAAGTCTGATCAACGTACAGTTGCTAGCCTACACAGGCATGGTTAAGTGCCCCTCCTATAATGCCACGAAAGCCTACATCCATTCGTGGAGCATCGCTTTGAGGTACCAGCTCGAGTCTAGTGGTGTAGCAGTGGCGGAAATCATCCCCAGCAGTACTTCCACCGCCCTTCACCGGGACCACGACGATCCGCACAACAATGACAAGGACAAGAACCCGAATGCGCAGACCGTAGAGGAATTCATGGCAGATATCACCAAGCTCATAGAGGCTGGGGAAGCCGATCTGCCCTCGTCCACAGCAGAATCCGTGGTGCACAAGTACAACGATGCCTTCTCCGAGGGCTGGAAAAAGCTCAATGGCAAGAGTTGAACGCTCGGAGAGTTTGCTTTGATGTCACGATGCATATGTACTACACGCTGAAAGACATAGATCAGACCTCAACGAATGCACGATACGCCACGAGGTGGTTGCCAGAGAGTGTGACTTTTTCGTTGGCACCAATAAAGTAGACTTGGCCGGCTTGCTTGATGCAAGCAGTCTGATCGCCAACCGAGAGTCTCGCCTCTCCCTCTAAGGCCGTGACAATCATGATACTGGGCCCGCCTATGGGTGCATGGGTCTCTTCCTTGCCTTCTGGCAAGTCGATAAGCGCGACACTGAACTCCTCAATTGGTGGGTCGTATAATTTTGTGTATCTGGCTTGCTGAAATGACTGTGGTGTCATCAGCTGCTTGTCCGAAGGTCCAAAGGTATAAGTGAGCATGTTGATGAGCGTGGGTGTGTCGCGAAGCTTTGGCGTCAAGCCAGCGCGAACGACATTATCTGAGCTTGACATCAGCTCGGTCATGACCAATCCTTCGTAAGACGTACCACTGGTAGCCATGCACTCGACGATATTGCCAGTGAGATACGCGTGGGGCTCGTTGGCTTTGAGAAAGATGGCCTGTCCGGGCTCGAGGGTGACGACGTTGAGAACGAAGGAGCAGAAGATGCCGACATCATTCTTGAATTGCTCGTCTAGTCTGACGACGAGCTCCTCGATCGACCCCGAGGGGAAGTCGGCAGACGTATCAGCCTTGCCTTCTTGCGAGTATACTTCTGCTTTGTAGCGCTGCACGAGCTTGCGAACTTCAGGCTTTACAACCTTTTCGGGATGCGCATTCATGAGAGCAGCGAACAGATCCTTCAGAGCGTCCTGTAGCTTCTTCGCGTCTGCAGTGACGTCGCTCGAGCCCGCCGCTGTCCTGTAGCCTTTTGAGACCAGCTGCTTGGGCGCTTCTCTGACCGCAGACAGGAACGCTTCTGACGCCGATGCGTCCGTTGCATCGATGACGCTCTTGAACTCGGGTACGCCGTCGAGAAAGTCGGCTATCTCCTGGAGCGGTCTGAAGCCGCAGAAGCCGGAGAACGCGGTGATGGCAATAGCCATCTCAGGCTGCCCTCGGATCGTTAGCACGCGAAACTGTCGTCGTCCGCTGGACCAATCACCTTGTGATTGTCATCTGTCAGGAGAAGCACAGCGATGAGTACAAGGCGGAGCACAAGTCTGCATGCATACCTTTGTAAGCGTCGGGCTTCTCCTTGTGTAATCTCTTTGCCAGTTGCTTGTCAGGATGAGCCTGGATGCTGAGCGCTTTGCCAATCGCGAGCACTTTGAACAAGAACGGCAGATCATCTTTGCCGTAGTGCTTCCGCACGGTGTCACCGAGGAGCTCCGGCTGAGCTGATAGCCTGTCCGAAAGAGATTCGAGCTTGCTAGCCGTGCTAGAAGCGCCTTGCTCTGTCGAGCTGACCGAGTCCGAGCTTGGCACTATCCGGGACGGGAGCGAAGGATGTGTACCCATCCATAGCTGCTTCTTGAGATCAAGACAAGCTGCTACTCGCTCTGCAAACCGCCCACCTCTGCGTAGGGCTTGTCCGCGCTATACTCCTTGTCGAATCCCGGAATGACGCCTGCAAATTCAGACACCGTCGAGCCATCCTTGCCCAACACTCCCCAATCGTAGCTTTGCACCGCAGCCGCGAGCTCAAAGACAGTCTCGCCCATGTCGAGCACTCGCCGGTTACTCAACGCTCGACGCGTGCGCGTGTGCGTGCCAGCGCGCCGAGTCTTGCCACTCACGGTCCGCTCCTTCTCGATCGGATAGCAGGCCTGCAGTCTGCGATGAGCAATACACCCTTGGATCCAATGAGTACAGGTGTGGGGTAGGAGTCAATGAAGGTTATAGGATTTACGACCGTCGGACAAACGGCGAGCCGATCCTGCTGCGGCTCTTGATCGAGGCGGGTGTGACAGATCCCTCTCGAACAGAATCACCAAGGCCGGCAGAGGGCGACCAGTCGAGAGACATCTCGAAGATGGCGCCTAATTCGGTGGGTATAGAGACATCGGCACGGACGCCGTCTGCCATGGGTTGAAGATGCTGCCATATGTCAACAGTAGCCTGTCCGACCTGGCGGTCTTTGAACGTATGCTTGTCGAGCAAGACCAGTTCGACATAGCAGGGTCCATTGGCAGATGTCGCAATCGTCACAGGCTCCTCTTTGAAGGTTGCTTCTGTGCCGCTGTGTTTGACCGCAGCCGACTTCTCGTACACTTTGCCATCCTTGCGAATGATGACGTAGGGCTTTACGTCGGCTTCCGAGAGACCGTGTACGGAATTGATGGTCAGGCGTAGACTGCCCTGACGTGTGGTTGCATCGGACAGCTCGAGGCCAGCAGCTTGAGCTTGGGTCGGATCGAGCACAGCGCCATCTTCGGTCACGATCGTACCGTCTTTGTTCTTTCGCTTGATGCCCACTACCTTGCGTGCACCTGAGAAAACTCCACCGCCAACGCCTTTCACGACTGAACCGCCGCCTTTCGCAACGCCTGCGCCAACGCCAAGCACGCCTCCGCCTGTGGCCGTCATGACACGTCCAGCACCGCCGACAAAGGTCGAAGTCGCCGCTCTTGATCGAGCGACAAATTCGGGTCGGAAGAGCAAACGCAAGCGGATGTGGCCTTGTCGCTTGCCGGTCTTCGGATCTGCAAGATCGATTGTGACTTGAGATGGTTGAAATGGTTCAAGGCTGGCCAGATCAACTTTCGCTTGACCGAGCTTATCGTCAGCGTTGCCCATGTCCCAATCGTAGCATTTGAGCACAAAGTCTGCCGCGACTCTACTTTGCACGTTCACCGTAAAGTCCTCGTCCCATTTCGGTGAAAGCGTTTTCTTCTTGATCTGACTCTTGAATACATCTTCGCCGTTGAGAGTGAACTTGACGTATGGATCGGACTTTCCATTGCGGTCGGCTGCAGGCAGATCTCGGCCGTCGAGGACGTCGACACGTAGGACGCCACAATCTATTCATTGTCTCAGTAAAACGCTGCGGTCACGTCTTCCGTGCTCTACGTACTGTTGACGCTCTCACGAGGCTCGATCTGGATTGCGACTGGCACATATCGAGCTTGAATGGTGACCGTGCTGCGGAATGCGCCGTTGGGACCAGTCAAGACAAAGTCGTGTGGCTTGTCCTGGCAGAAGACGCATCAGTCAAAGTATGTGTCAACGGCATCAACGTACCAGGCAATCGCCAAGGAAAGTATCCATGTCGCCGCTAAACTGTGCATATGTATCGTCATTGGTATCTTTCTCAGCACTGTCAAGAAATGTCAGCTCGGTGAGTATATCGAAGGCTTTGACTGACGTGTTGAGCTTGAGAATGACGCGGGAGAACTCGCGCTCCCGAATGAAAGCCTCGCCGACTTCGTCCCAGGTGACGTTAGTCGTTCTTGCGGGCTCTGTCGAGTAGGCCGGCCAATAGGCGTCATCGCATGCAATCTCTAGTCGAGCGCCTTTCCTGGCTAATTGTCCGCCGATGATGCTGAAGACGACGACACCGGAGGGTGCAGACAGTATCTCATCGCGCGACATCTCGACATGGTCCCTTGCCTTTGAGTCTTTGTCGGCTGTACCTATGGTCGAGTCTTCGACGATACCGTTCTTAATAGCTGCTTCGGCATCCGGAGCGGGCTGTATCGCACCCTTGGCTACCTTTGCAAGGTCCCTTGTTGATGCATTCGGAGTGATTGTAGTCGATGCTGGACCTTCAATGACAGATGCATTGTCGTCCTGATCGGCAGCCTTTATCTTATCGACTGCGTTCTCAACCGCCTCGAAACTGACAGGGATGTTTGCGCAGGGGAAAAATTGGACTGTGTAGCTGACGCTACCCTTTATTGTCTTACGATTGTTCGTCGCTAGCGGCGAGTTACGGTCAAGCTTGCCCTTTGACAGCCAAGGGGCGCGCTTCGTGTCTCTACCTTCTTCGAGCAACGAGGCGACATCGAGATCAGTCTGACCTAGCGTCCTGTCCTTGCCATTGTGCTCATAGTCCATACATTCCAGCACGAGTTTGTCCTTTTCGGAGTGGATGGGCACGTAAACGATCTCATCCCATTCGGGATTGAGGTTATTGTTGACGACCATCGTTCTGGCGACGATGATACCCGAGTGCAGAATGCGCATGTACGGATCGCTCTTACCGCCTGTGAGCGCTTCGACATTCTTGAGGTCTTTACCGTTTTGGAAATGGAAACGGAGGACACCAAGTGGCCTCGTGTAGCCGCCCGCGCCACTGACTGCGCCAGCCATCATGACGGGCTTCCAAGCAGCGCTGAAGCGAGCTCGACCGCTTGCGCAGCCGTTCAGCGGGAACCAGTCGTTGCTCTTGGCGTTGGCTGCCATTAGCTCTTGAAGTTTGATGTTGACATAGCCTACGATCGGATCTTTTGTAAAGCCACGGTCGTCGCAGACCTGGACGGTGACCATCGCGGAGCCTTTGTCGGTCACCAGTGCTTCAGCTGGGTGCTCCCAGATAGGGTTGATCGTCCGCTTGAGCTGCTGGCTGCGACTGATCTCGACGCCATTGAGCAATATCTTGGCATATGGATTGAGCTGGCCAAGTGTTGTCTTTGACTTATCGAGCTCTTTAGCCTGATTGAGCATGATGCGCACGATACCCGTCTTTGTTTCGGGTATGGGCTCCTCTGTACCGTCTTGCAACTTCTTCGCTTTGAGCACAGGGAAGTATCGGACATCGCCAGTGACCAGGCCGCGCTCCTTGCCTTCCGAGAAGAGTGGCACGCTGACAGCTTCCTGCTCGGGATCCTGCTCGAGCGACTTGAGGTCGAAGTTGCCAATGCCCAACTCAGAGTCTTTGCGACGTTCATTGTAATCGAAAACGCTGAGCGTAAGGCTGTCGGCGAGTGACTTGATGAGCAGAAACTTGGTTTCATTCCAGTGGGGATTAGCAGTCGAGTGCTTGATCTTTGTGCGCGCGACTTCAGCCCGCTGACTGAGCGAGAAGCTGACGTAGGGATCAGGAGTACCGCCGCCGACCTTGGTTCCTTTGAGGCCTTTGCCCTGGAACACAGTGACCTGCAAGACGCCGATTGCAGCATCGGCTGGCTGACCAGAGAGCATCTGCTCCAGGTTGAGCGTGAATACGTTGGGATCATACATCATGGGACCGAGCGTAGCGTTGAGCTGGCTCATGATGAAGCTATGCAAGCCAGGTATGATGCTGAGATCGAAACCGACGGGACGGAGGACAAAGTCGATGTGTGGAGGCTCCATGAAGCTGATATCGACCGTCTGAGCATGTGGGAAATTGGCGATGAGTTTGATTCTGATTCTGAGCAGGCCGGTGAAGCTGATGTTCTCGACGACAATGTCTTTTGAGACGCCGGCAACGCCTTTGCCAATTCGAATCGTCAACACAATCTTTGGATTGACTTTATTGGCCGCTGCTTTGACGGTGAGATCGTCAACATCGTTTGGCGTAAAGTTGACCTTCCAATCCATGACGACAATGTCCTCTGGCGTATCCGGAAAGGTACGAACGTGATCGATATAAGGCGCCTTTGTACCTAGCGTGAAGGTCGTCATGCGAAGACTGTCCAGGAAGCCCGGCGTTGAAACGCTGAGGACCTGATCCACCGAAGCAACGATAGTGGCGGAGAGGACAGGCTCGTAAATGATCCAGAAACGTTGCAAGAATGAATTCATCCATCCTGCCGACTCGAACTCGGTGAAGAGCCTCGTCTTCGCGATCTGCCGAGAGATATCATCACGAGCGTTGTGGCGCGTCCGGCTGATCGAATTGGAGTAGTACGTCGCGCAAAAGGCGAGGATGATGAAGAGCCATCCCCAGCCGCCGCCGAAGACGGTGGCATAGTGGGAGGCTGCGACAGCAAAGAAGATGATGGCCGCACTGCAGAGCGCACATCCTATCAGGGGTTGCTCAAGGCTAGTCTACGAGGAAGTCATACTTGTGGAAGTAGGTGCCGTAGAAGCTCTCGTTCAAGAAGTCAGACAGCAGGTTGCGCTGTCTGATCTCGACGGGCGAGAGCATGCCATCGCCATCCTGTGCGAGCTGATCGTTCCAGCCAATCTTGAACCAGTCTGGGATCGGTCTGGCAGGTTCGGTAGGATAGGCGCCCACTGTGGCAGGTTGAGAGGCACTCGTCGTGGCGGTGTCTGCTGGCGTGCGGTGCTGCTCCGGCTGATTGACCTTCTCGACCGACTTTGCATCGACGGTGGGCTTGATGTCGGTCGTACCTGCAGCGTCCGTCTTGACCTCTGTTCGTGAGGCAGGCAGTAAGCAGTGAGCGTGGGGCATGCGCCCTCGAGGGGATGAGCAGTCACTCGCCTTTGGCAGTGGCATTGTTGCCATTGGCGAGCCCGTTGGTGCCCCTTCCGGACAAGTCATCAAGTCTGCTGCCCTCGTTCTTTGCGACCTGGCTTGCTTTGGCTTGGGGTGACGCCGAAGCCGAGAAAGTGTGAGTCTCTGTGCCCGTACCGGTCGTGCTCAGCGGATGGCTGGGATTCGCTGTGCCTTGCACGGCCAGCTTGTCGGAGCCACCCGTCGTGGGCGCATAGTCGCTCGCCTGTGGGAACGACATCGCCCCTGCTGCCTCGAGACTCGCCAAAGAGCGTCTCTCCCGGGCTGGGCTGGATGGCCTGTCGTCGCCTCGCGTTGCCCTGCCTGCAGTCAGTTTGTTCGACAAGATGAGTCTGTTTGGAGGCGGCCGGGCGCAGTCGGCAGCTCAGATGTCGGCAGAGGTGAGCAGGCTGGCATGAGTGTAGGCCCGTGTGCTCAAAGCGCATGCAGAAAATGGAGGCAGCCGTCACCGAGATCGAGATGGTGGCCGACATCTTCAACAGGATAGTGTCCAGCTGCCACGGCAAGTGCATCGGCACTCGCTACAATGACTCACAGCTCAACAAGGCAGAGGGCGTCTGCATTGACCGGTCAGTCTAGCCGCTACAGCATGTCAAGCTCGGGCTCATTTCGGGGACGAGACAGATGCGTGGCAAAGTTCTTCGCCGTCAATGAAGCGGTCGGCAAGCGGATGCAGCAGGCTCAAGGGCAGCAGCAAGCCGCGGGGAGTAGCACCACCAACATGTTTGGCTTCTAGCTTGTTGCAGTTCCTTCTAGAGCGAAGTGCGAGCGAGATCCTGTTGAAGCCCGTCCCAGGGATGCTCGTCCTTTGGCGACTCGGCGAATTCGGCGATCATGCGTCCTCCTGCTGCCATCGAGGTACCCTCGCCATCCAGCGCCGAGGAGGGCGGAGAGTTGATGATCTCTTCGCGTGAGGGTATCGGTAGCCTGCAAGCGCGCGAACCGGCCTGTCAGCCATGCAAGCAATCTGGCTTAAGCACGGGACATACGATTCTTGGCGCTTTGCTGGGCGGACAGGTTCTTGTATTGGTTCTCTGACGAACGCACGGAACTCGCGTACTTCCTCGGCAATGAGCACCTTCATGCCTTCGATCGTGTCTTCATTTTCGAAAGCGAAGTCGAACGTCGTGGTCGTCGTCAAGATGTCCGCTGGATCATACCATACGCTCAGGTAGGGATGTCGCAGAGCGTCCTGGCATGTGATACGCTCGGCAGGATCGAATGCGAGCAATCGGGCGAGCAGGTCGAGCGCCTGAGGATTCGCATGCGGGTAGAGCAGATTGAACGGAATGCCCGCTTTGTAGGGCAGACTGCGGATGTACTCCTGCGCTCTCGGGCTGCCCACGCGTCGCAGGGTCTGATCGCTGGGAGTACCGAGGTAATGAATGATCTGGTTCAATTGATCCACGTAGTCTGCGCACTCGTCAGACGCGGGCAGCTGGTCGAGCAGCCTGTTTACCTTTCCCTTTGAAGATGGGTCGTCCCCCCAAGAGCTCTGCGAGGATGCAGCCGACGGACCACATGTCGACTGGACTGTCATGTCAGACCGATGGCAGCTTCCTACAGAGTGTACGCACTGGCGGTCGTGTAATTTTGAAAGGACAGCATGATCTCCGGAGCACGATACCATCTGGAGACACTTTGCATCAGCGCGTCAAGGTGACAGAGGCACGAGAAAGAGACCTAGTAGCAACGTATTCCGTCATGAGTCCTCCGCCGTTCGGATCGTTGCCCTTGTTATCGAGATCGAATCCTCTCGCTAGTCCGAAATCACAGATCTTGAGCTCACAGTCGGCATTGACCAGCAAGTTGCCTGCTCGAGTTCAGCATGCTCCCGTCTTGTGACAGATTGGGCATTCACCTGGCTTGAGATCTCGATGGAGAACATTAGCAGAGTGTATGTACTGCATGCAGACCTGTTGAGCGAGGTTTCAATATCGCTCAGCTGACCTACACGAAGTCCACAAAGCGTCTGATAGATGAATGACTGAAAGTGCGCGTCTGACAGAGGCTGACCCGACCGAATCTGTCAGGCACATCAGTGTCGTGCTAACTGCCCACGATGAGACTCACGATCGCGTGCAGATCAGCTTCCATGAGCTCCTCCTGCACGAGCGATCTAGGATCAATATACAGTCCTGAGACTAGCCTGCTTGGATGCTCACGTAAAGATACCTATCACGCGTGCTTGAGTCAGTTTGGGACATGCGCAAGCGAGCATGACGTACACTTCCTGAAAGTCGTGAGGATCGATGATATCCATGTCATACAGACAGGTGATCTGTATCTCCTGGCTAAATCAGCTGTCGCCTGACGAGCGTCAGGCCGCGTACGTTCTTGTGACCGCAGAAAAAGCGCAGTAGCCTGTGGGCGCCAAACCCCATCAGCTCGTTTGCGCCTGATTAGGCATGCGCTTACTTGAGCTCTCGCAGCGCTCTCTTGGTGAGAATCTGTTGCCGCCTCGCGTGAGCTTGGTTGAGCGGCCAGCGCTGCCATCGTCCTACCTTTTTGGTGAAGACTTTGGTTATCTTCTTGATAGCAACAGCCTCTCCTGTGCGGCTGTTCTTTGCTGCGCTGCAAAATTGCCAAGCGTCAGTAGCAGACAGCGCTTCGCGCGAGCAGGACGGACCAGACGATGCCATAGGCGCCTTGACCCAATTCCTTGACGAACTCGTACTCTCTCTCGACCCAAAAGTCATTGCCGAGGACTGGGAAGCTGTGCTTGGATGTCTTCGGTGGCTGGTTCGCAGAGGAAGAGCTCGCTACGGGAGCCTGATTCGCCATTGTCGCTTTAGAAAGGCCTTGAGGTGCAATTGAAGCCCCGACGGCAGCTGATGAGGACAGACCGGCAGCGAGCGTGTCTTGTACGCTTGACGTCGCTCGGTGTCTACCAAGTGGCATCTATTTATTCGTTCAGCGCTCGTCGGAATGGGGCCCGTGGGCAACACCAGCTGAGCCGAATTGGCCAAGGCGATGCACGCGCGACCTGTCGATATGGCACGCTCGACCGGCACCGCCACGAACCTTGTCCATCTCCCTCACGCTCGGCGTCATACACTCTCAGCAACATACATCATCCTCTGCAGCGTGGAGCGTCGATGCGAGCATGCAGTGTGTACAATGTGCAAAAGTCGTTCAAGGTGTGCAAGGGCAATTGCATGATATGCCTGCAGTTGACCGAAGGCCATGCCACGGCCTACGAGATGAATTGCCACTGTCGTCGTCGAGAGAGATGAGCATCTGCACGAAGGCTTGTGTGCAACACACTTACAGTCATGCCCGACAGACGGCCAGCGCCCAACGGACTGAGTTTCTGGAAAGCGGCCGGCGACAGATCGAGACTGCCAGCGATCTCGCAGCCCGCGCAACGATCGACAATACTCACGACGATGCTCTTGCCTCCCCAAGAGACTTGTGCTGCCCACACGAGCTGTTGTCAGCACAGCAGACGGTGCATGTACGAAGCAGCTTGCCTTTTCGATTGCAAAGCGGACTGTTGTTCGGGTTGCCGCCATTGGGGAAGCTGTCGAAGAGCTTGTAGGAGGCAGCGGCAATCATGTCAGAGTCCTTGTTGACGGTGCCGCACGCGTTCAGACCGCAAGAATAGAATGTCAGCTGTCCAGAATAAGTGGTCCCCGATCCTCCTGACGAGACGGCCTTGCTCCCGGCACCAGACAAGAAGGTCGTGCCCGCCGAACTTTGGTGGCTTGCATGCTTCTTATGCGCGACCTTTTTCGGCTTGGCAGAGTGGTGTTTCGACTTGTGGTGATGTTTATGGTGATGTTTTTGGTGCCTGTGCTTACGGTGATGATGGTGATGACGGTGATGATGGTGATGGTGATGATGGTGCTTCGCACGCTTCGTTAGCCCGGATTCCTCTGTGCCTTCGTCATCCTCTCCTTCAGCCTCGCCAGCCTCGTCGTCATCGACTCGCTCGGGCTGTGGACTAGCAAGTTCGGCTTCCAGGAATGCTTCAGAATCCCCGTCATCCTCCTCATCTGTCAAGGCATCCAGTGCCGCTGCTCGTTCTGACAGCATGCTCGGTCTTCCATCATACTGCCGCCTTTGTAGCGATATCGGGCCCAGTCCGTGCGCAACATCATGGTCGCGGACATTGTTTAGATCTGTCAGTAGACTGGCGCCAGTATTGATCGAACTGCATGCAGCCGACGAAAGCACGGCTGCCGAAAGCAGTAGCAAAGTCGCTCGAGCCATGTCGCTTAAGTAGCACCACTTGTACTAGTCGTACTTCACGAGCCAGAGGATGAGACACAACATAGGCGCACGCGTTTGGCTTCTTTTGATATTTTCGGCGCAGACGCGTCCTTTTGAAAGTCACGATATGCGGAGATCTGAGGGCCACGTCGCGCTTGCGGGGATCTGAGGGGCTTAGTGCGCTTGCGCGCCAGGCGAAGCAAGCGCTACATCTGACAGCATTCCGGCATGACCAGCATAGGAACGGGCTATGACCTGAGCTCATCGTAGGCCTCTGACGGATCGAGACTCGTGCAGAAGCTGAAGAGCAGTTTGCAGGACTTATTCACCCGACGGTCGCATCTTGTAGGCTGGCCGCTCGTCGAACGAGAAACGAGCTCATTCGGAGCGGCGCTACAGTCAGATCGAATATGCAGCAAAGGCGGTCGAGAATGCTGGCACAGCGCTAGGCCTGCGAGTCAAGGATGGCATCGTGCTCGCCGTCGAGAAGCTCGTACAAAGCAAGCTGCTCGTGCCTGGCGCAAACCGACGCATCGCGAGCGTAGACGACACTGCAGGTCTCGTACGTGTGCCACTCCACGCAGCGATGCATGGCTCATCATAGCATAACCATAGGCAACCGCTGGACTGCTCGCTGACGGCAGACATCTCGCAAATCGGGCAAGAGAGGAAGCAGACAATTATCGAGACACTTACCGCACCGCCATACCGACGAAAGTACGTCAGGCACCCGTGAGCTTATGACGAGCTCATGTTCGATGACAGACTCTAGCAGAGAGGCTAGCGATGTACTGTCAAGCCTACACGCTTTACTCGTCAGTCCGCCCTTTCGGTCTTTCCTCAATCGTCGGCGGCATCGATGACAAATCAGGCGAGCCAAATTTGTTCATGATCGAGCCATCTGGCGTCTTTTGGGGCTATCGTGGCTGTGCTGTCGGTAAAGGACGTCAGCTGGCAAAGACAGAGATTGAGAAGCTCAAGCTAGAGGAGCTCACTGCACGCGAGGCTGTTTTCGAAGCTGCGAGGATGTAAGCTTGGCTTCACAATCACAGCACCATTCTGAAGCTTCCGAACAGAATCTACTCTGTGCACGACGAAGCAAAAGACAAGTCATTCGAACTCGAGTTGACGTGGATCTCCAAGACAGAGACAAACGGCAAACATATGCCAGTGCCTCGAGATCTTCAGCAAGAAGCAGAGAGAGGGGCAAAGGAAGCGCTAGATGCTGCAATGGACGATGACTAATGCATCTCGCTCACAACTCAGCTAGCAAATTTGCCTGGCTTGCTCCACGCTTTTGGCAGCGTGCTGAGTAAACTCTGGAATGGCCGTTCGATAGCCGCAAGTTCGTTCGCGCCAAGAAAATCAAACGCAAGCAGAGATTGATACTTGACGCTCGTGGGCTTTGAAGCGGTCGAGTCTGCGACAACCGCGGACTCTCGTCGACGCTTCTTGCCTTGCTGCTCAAAGGGCGGCAAGTCGATTGTCTGGGCCCAGCTCGATCCCCACGCGATAATCTTATTGAGGCTTGCATGGGTGCTCAGACCAATGAGCTGGTCGCGATGAAGTTGCAAAGTGCCGGCGCTGTCCAGGGGCTTGCCGCTCAGCCAGAGTTGCTCGCGCTTCAGCTCGACATTGTAAGTCTGCAGAGTATTGTTCGGCAGACCGATGACCAAGGTACACGAGCCTGGAAGAAACGTCATAGCGTTGGCTGGCAGGAGAGTCGACGGCATGCTCCACTGATGTCGGAGACTGTCAAGATTGTAGATCTCGACATGCAAGCCACTGCCGGCAGCTAGCCATTGTCCATCCGAGCTGACTGCAAAGGCCGTGATGGGTGGATGGTCACTGTTGTCCCCGACGGTGATCGCGTCGGCCTCATCATCGCTCGAGCTCGACGACCCTTCCGCCAAGTCATGATGCACGCCATTGACATGAGCGTGACCATTCGCGTTGCCGTTAAGATGTGCATGCCCGTTAGTCAGCCGAACGATCGATCTTTCTGCGCTACTGTTTCCTCGTGTGCGAGCAAAGACGTGTACGGTCTTGCAAGCTTCTGCCAAATGGAAGATAGCAATGTCCTGGGTTGACAGCGACGCCGCAATGAGTCGCTGGTTATCCGCAGTGAAGGCTATCGCAGATGCGCCCTTGATCCGGCCAAACGCTCGAGATTTGTTGACAGCTACAGTGAGTGGCTTGATCTTCCTGGGCGCTAGAGAGCCGTCCGCTTTTTGGGTCAGCTCGAACAGCCGCAGCTCGTGGGTATCTGATGTCGCCAACCAGCGTCCATCCGCCGAAATCGCCGTACAAACAAGGTTGCTCGCAAGCTGGATGACTTGTCAACTGGTGCAATGGGGTCACACGCCAGGACGTACCTTCATCTCGATGTCCACGAGCTTTACCCAAGGCAAGGCGAGATCGGCGTCCCCCATCTTGGCGTTGAGGCGCCATATGCCGATTGATCGCAATCGTTGACAGACGACTAGACGCGAGGAACGACAGATGTGCACTATCGGGGCAGCAGCGGGCGCATAAGAGTATCGACGCTGCGTAGCGTCCTCGAAACGGATGGCAGGCCCGTCACTGATCGGATTGATACGCCTCTGTGATGATACTGGCGCGATGGGCAAAACAGACAGACCAAGATCTAAGCCGCCTGAGATCAGCAGAGGTACAGCAGCCGGCGAACGTCCTTGTAAGTTTGACGCATACATCGGTGATACCGCCAGCGCTCTCACGTCGTGCGTATGTACCCGACGGGAAAATGACAGGCTCCAGCGTCGAGCCTGTGGGACATAGGCAATCTCGGTGACGCGCTGATCGACGCCCGAAGTGAAAAGTGATCTGCCGTCGTAAGACACAGACAGGCAGAGACAGTCAGCTTGGTGCGCCGCGAACGATTGCAACTGGACGTTCATCCGAGGATCCCATAGTTTGACGTTGCCCATCGAATCTCCAGAAGCGATTGTGCCATCGCTGCGCGTTCGAGTCAACCTCGCATCGGACATTCCTTCCAGAGCATACCTCAGCACAGTCACGGCCCAAACAAGAGTCTGTTGATCCTTGCGGCGCTCTGTCGTCATCTTTGCAACGCATCGCCCCGAACGCGCGTCCCATTTGCGGATGCTCGAATCTGCGCCGCCCGTGACAAGCAGCACATCCTCTAGGCCTTGTCTTGCGCCCGAAAAGGGGACGGGTAGACCCCAAGCAATGCTGAGCATCCGCGTGCCGACACGATCGAACCGGCGGGAATGTTCGAGCGTATCGTCCCAGAGCGAGATGAGTCTGACGCAGCCATCCTCACAGCCAATGGCCATAATGCTCGAAGTCGCGTTGATGGCGACAGACCATATCGAACCGCCTTGCGAGTCAATGCGGTTCTGCACATACAGAGTCAGACGTGTACGAGTAGTGCATTATGGGCTTGCCCTGATCTGGCCCCTCTGTGAGCCTAGCCAAGACCACTCGACAAGCTCGCTGCCGCCTCCTGAGCTAAACAGTCGAGGCGGAGTGAGTAGCAGCTTTGCTTGCTCCCGCGCGAGCTCATCTGTCGAATCGGCGAGATCTACCTCTGACGGCGAGAGTACGTTCTGGTGAGCGAAAGCGAGATGCTCTACGCGTGACGGCAAAGGCAGGGGCAAGACTGCCAGTTGCACGTAGCCTTGTCTATTGCCATCCAGAGAGCTCTGCTTGGCTTTGCCCTTCCTGTCTGATGATGGGGCTGCTGGTCGAGCGGTCACCAGGGGGCGAGCACCATCGCCGTCCAGCCATGTCCAGAGCTCAATGCCAGACTCTGCCCGGCCGACCGCGATCAGTTCTCTTTCCTGTGCACCCTGGGAGAGATCAGGGCGAGAGAAGCTGAGATGCTTGCAGGTCGACGGTCTGAATGTGGACGGCGTCAGAGCCAGACAAGTGATGCTCGAAAATTGAGGATCGACGAATTGCAGCCGATGCAAGGCCAGCCTGCTTGCTTCTTGCTCTGCGCCGACTTTTTCACTGGTGCTCGCTTCAATCTGCGATACTTTGCTGTCCAATCTGCGCCTCTGTGGCTCAGGTGACTTGTCTGCGTCGGATTCGGCTGAACTTTCTTCTGTGCTTTTGCTAGCCGAGGCAGGCTTGCGGACATGCCCGTTCACAGCTCGGACTGCATCTTGAGATTCTGTAGCAAGCCTCCCGGCGGGTATCGTGCGGCCATGGCTGACCTTGCGTGCCATGCGGAAAGCGACAAGGATTGAGGCTACTCTGCGAATCTTGCATAGTCATCAGATGAATATCGGAGTTGCAAGCGCGATGCCCCACGCCAACCTCGTCGGCGCATCACTTGTCGTCATCACCGGCGCTCCTGCGCAGGCTCAGCACGTCGTCGAGCAGACATGGAAAGCAGGTGACCCTACTGCGGCGGAGGCTCAGCAGCGATAGCGCGCTGCCGGCGCGGCAGACTACCGGACAAGCGAGAGGATGGCTCGTCAAACTGATCTAGTTTGGTGTCAGGAATGGCAAAGTCGCCGACAGCCGAGGGCGATCTGGCGTACACCGACGGCCCGCCTTCTCCTCGACGGTGTGCACAGGAGTGCTTGCTGCACTAAGCTCCTACTCAAGCCTCGTGAAGCCTCTCATGAGCGAAGAGCGAGAGTGAGAGCAAGAGCGTCGAGATTAACAAGAAGTACCAGAAAGTGAACATTACAAGCATCATGGGTGAGCGTACTATGACACTCAGCTAGACCCGAGCTAATGGGAAGCTAGCTGACATTCCTGTGTCATTTCCCTGTGCCGACTTTGGTGCCGATGCGCTCTTGCAGCTCCTGCCTGCTGGCCTGCCGCCTTTGACGCCGCCTCGAGCAATCCTTCAGAGACAATCCTCGACGGACAGCGTCAGGGGAATCATGACGGACGAACGAGTGTTCGATTTGCAGTTGCAAAGCTATTTTGCAGCGCTCAGTCCGAGCAAGCAAGGCCGAACGACGGTCACACGGTCTGACGTTGGCGATATTGTATCCCTCCTGTCGGGACAAGATGATGACATGCGCGACATCAAGTTCAGGAGCTGGGCATTCAGAAACTTCAAGCTATCCGCCAATGACTCCCGCCTCGTATCGACTTCAAACGGCCTGCCAATCGCATGTGTCGAGCAATATTATAGCATCTGCGCGGCAGCTCACGGCAAGTGTATGCATGGCGGTCGCGATAAGACACACAAGGCTGTCACTGCCAAGTGGGCATTCATTCCAAAGGACATTGTCGCACGCTTCGTCGCTACCTGTCCACTTTGTCGCATGAAGCGTCCGTCGATGCACGACGACTCGGCGATGCCGACCGATTTTGATGCTCACCGTTTCAAGCCGGAGTCTGGCCCTCTCGAGCAGTCGAACAGCGACGGGGAGGAAAACGACTGCATGATCATTTCGCCGCCGCCGAAGTCGCGCTGCCAATCTGTGGACGAGCAGGCTCCTATCCTCTGGACGCCACAGCGTGAGGATCCTCTCGCGTTGCCGACAGAGCTTCTCACGCCGCTCGCGATGCTCGCTCGTGCAGATGCTGAGCCTGATGCTGTGAAGCACGGGTCACGGGAGCATGCCAGTGGACTATTCAAGTCGTGTCAAGAGCTCTTCAGTCCGATCGCGTGTGACGGCACCTTCACATTCGAGAGCACGCTCGACCTTGCCTTTGACGAACAATATTGGCCAGGGCTGCATGCTGAACCGAATGCGACCCTCTGCGAACGTTTTGCACTAGATTGGATGCTCGCATAGTGAGCCTAAGAGCCGTGTTGTTGCCATTGTATAACCTTATTTCGGGAAAGCTAGAGGGCACTCGCGGTGAGTCCACAGTCAAGCCAGCCTGGTGCAGCCTGCGCTAAAGCTCCGAGAGGCAACGAAAGCGAACTGACAGGGGTTGCATTCGGCTCGAACGGCAAAGAGATGCTCGTCAGTGGTCTTGATCGGGCCATAAGAGTGTTGTCGTGAAGGGCTGATTTCATCGCTAAATCTGTGCTTTGGTTTTGAGCTGCTTGTGAGTGGAGCAGGAAGGTGATCCTGCCAGTCTCGCTCTGCATGCAACTTGTCAAAGCTTGAAGCTTGGCCGACTGCAAGGACATGCCGACCATGGTCCTCACAGCGCCAGACGATGGTCGATAGACAACTTTACTGATTTCTCGAGACAAGCCACGGCTATGGTAGTAGGGAATGCATGCATTGACAAGTCGAGGTGCGCAATTCGTCATCAGCGAGAGCAATGGCGAGAGAGATGCCGCGCAGGATTGAATCGACACTGATCTGCCGACTCGAATCTACCGGGGTACGTATCTTCCAAGTTTCCGTTAGCTTGCTCTGTCTGATGCAGACGATGCGAGGAAGATCGGTGATGTCANTGAGNGTGAGAATGTATATTCAAGGTAGGCGATTGTCGATANGCAAGCGAGTCGGTGTCCAAGTCATGACGGGTCGAGAGATGGCCAGAGCAATGCATATGACCAGTAGTCTGACAATGAAGCTGATGAGTTAGCAAAGCGAGCGTGCTATTGCGTCGGCGAAGACAGGAAGACAGATGATGATACTGAGCGAGTGCGCGCTAGTGCGCGCTGGGTCGTGTGTACAAATCGACGCGAATGAAGGTGATCTCAACTAAATCTGCGAGCAGANNGAGATGTCNANGAAAAGTCNCGACAGANTATCTGGTGTANTCTGACTGACCAAAAATATTGGACAACTCATGAAGAGACGAGAGAGATGCAAATCGAATCGTCTGATCAGACTNACNANAGGGACCGAAGGAATCGAATGCTTGGATTGAGGAGCGTCTGTGGCCGAGTAGGGTCGCGGCTAGTCAATCGAGCTGAATTCTTCCAGCGTGTGTTGCGATTTCGCAACAAGCTGAAGGCCTAGTTTACGTTTGCGAAAGCGTGACGGGGATGTAGAGGTGGATTGGATTGCCTATGGCCAGACTATAAGTGCAAGAAACCACCGAATGGGAGAACCGACTGTGAGCGGCGCTGATCGATGATCA